TTCGATGAGCTGGTCGCGCAGCTTGAAGATGGGCAGGCTCTCGCGCTGCTCCTTGATGGGCCGCACGTCGTTGAAGCCAAAGGTGGGCGCCTTGCCCAGCGCCTTGGTCTTCCACTCTGGCACCTCAAACCCACCCAGCCCAATGCCGCGCAGCTCCTGCGTTCAGCCACGCGATTGTCAGCATTTAGCCTTGTCACGCAACCACAAGGGCTCCATGACACTCCTATCCCTTTTGACGAGGAATGCCAGCAGCCGCTCAGGTGTGACTATTTGGCCTTGTCACATAAATGGAAGCACGTAACCCTGACCATGACTGCAACCTGATGATGACGGAGCTTATCAAAGGCAGGAAGGTGGAGTAATGCTCACGCGAAAATTCAGTCCCGCACTTTGGAGATGTGCTGTCATGTACAAGTGTACTGAAATTGTGGCCAACACTGCAACAGATCGTTGAGGAGGTAGTGCAAAGTAGAGGGATAGCATAGCATACCTGGGCAAGGTGGCGCTCGCCGGCTTCGGGCAGGGGGTCTTCCCAGGGCCGGGAGAGGTCCTTGGGGATGGCTTCCAGCAGCGTGCGCTGCTGCTGCTCCCGCAGTTCCCTTCGCTCCTTGGACAGCGCTGATTGCGTCATGGCTGCCCTCTGCATGCCCACAACCTCCTCTCAGCACCAGCGCGCATTGTTACACATGTTGCCCAACAAGGAAACCGGTTATTATGAATGAGAATCAATGCACTGCCTTTCAATGATGCAAGAGCAAGCTGTTGGCGAAGGCTTCAAGTGGGTGACCCTACAGTAATGCTCATGAGACAGAAGATCCATGCATCGACGTGATGACACGACATGTGCATGAGCTGCATGTGCAAACACAATGGAATGGCGCACTTGGAGGCTGCCGTCAGGGTTGGCGACGATCTTGACAGGGGAGACCTCTACACCGCTCTTTGCGCTCTGGCCCTTCAAAAATTCGGGCTCCTCGTCGTTTATGTCGATTTCAAACTCCTCCTCCACGTCATCGTCCACATGCATCAACCCCTGGACAATGCGCCAGCAAATTCCTCAGTTGTTAGTTAATTGATCACATATTCAAACTCACGAAAAATATCAGCATGCACAGCTCAAAGTTATGATCTTTGAAACAATGTCCAGAGAGAAGCCAACCGATGAACTTGGCATGCATAGCTCAACGTTCAATCTTGGAGATGCTGTGCGCGGAGGGCACCCACCTGGCCTTCCTCGTCAAAGGTGGGGTACTCAGTGACGTCCAGCACGCCGGCTTTGATGAGCTGAGTCACCTCCCAGCGCTCCGGGGACGTCAGGCGCTTGCGCGGCCGGCCGACTGCCGCCGGCTCATCGCTCATCTGTCAGCACCCAAAGGCTTCATCACCAACATCCACAAAATGAGGCCTGCTCCACCCCGCAAGACTCTAAAATGCACTGGAAAACAAGAACTCTTCAAAGCGGAAACGCCAGAAAGGAGGATCTACGCCATGGACCTTGCAGGCATGCACCGACAAACAGGAGGCTGCAGCTCTGCTCTCAACATAAGCAACTGCTTGAGGGCCCACCTTGATGCCGGAGAGGCCACGCAGGCCCTGGTTGGGAGCGGCAGAGCCCGTGGGCCCAGTGGGATTGATGCCATCGGCGCCCACGCGCGCGCCGGGCAGCAGGTCTTGCCCTGTGGCCTGGTCCACGTCGCGCATGCTGAGGCCCATGCGCTGCCCCGACAGAGTGATCACCTTCACCCACACCTCCTGCCCCCTCTTCACCACGTCCTTCGCGCTGCCGGCCCTGGACAAACACACAAAAAATCAACACCATCTCAGTCCCTTGATTTTCCAGCCCGGCAAAGACCTGTAATAGTAACATTGTTCCCTGAAAGATACAAGAACAACCAGTAGGCCTCAACTGCAGCTTTTTGGTCCGCCCTGGATTGCTAAGCACGAAATCGCAGACGAAGGATGATGAGAAGGTAAAACTCACAACCATGCATGCGTTGGAGAGACCATTTCCGGCAACAGGTCACTTCTCTCATGAATGGGTTGCAGAATTCCAGTAGAACCCACCTCGTCTTTGAAATGTTGGACAGGTGCACCAGGCCCTCGCTGCGCTGCTGCACGCCCTGGACCTCCACAAAACAGCCAAAGTCCATGACATTGGTCACGCGGCCCCGGTACACGCCATATTGCTCAGGCTTCTCCGGAAGGCTCGGTGGCGGCGGCGGCGGCGGCAGATTCCTCGACTTGCGCTCATCTGGACTCCTTCGCCTCCTATCCCTGTCGCCACAGCCCAATATACCGTATTCTAAGTCTCTTGTTGATATTGTGAACCCCAGCCCAATGGGAATTGCGCGCCGCATAGTATCTTTGTCATCACAGCTATTCGGGTAGAGACTCTCCCACGCAACATTGTCAATATGCTAGACTTCACAGAATCTCCAACAACATCCTGTGCATTTCAAGACAAGAGACTGCAAGGGAGGAACACTGTGCTACCTGTGTCTGTCAGGGCTGCGGCTTCTGCTGTGGCGCTGCCTGCGCTTTCGGTCATCCCTGTGCCTGTCCCAATCAGGGCTCTCGCTGCGTTCCCTCCTGCGCCCTTGCCCCTTGCTGCTGTCATGTCTGCGCTCATCTCCCCTCCTGTCCCGCTCCTCCCGCTCAACGGCTTTGCCATTGGAGGGCTCGGCCTCTTTGTGAGCCTTCATACGGCCCTCAGCAATGATCTCTTCTTCCATTTGCTTTGCCCGCTCCCTACAGATCCCGTTTACGCCCTTCAGCTCCAGACAAGAGAACAAGAACACCTGATTATTGTGGGCATCCCTCGTGTCAAGCTGGAAAGCAGTCGGTGGACAGCAACCTTACCTGGTGTCAGGTAACGCCAGAGCACTGAATTTTTCTCCTGTCTCTGTCGCTGCCGGCTTGCCATTCTGCCTCTTTCCTCCAGGCTGAGACCCAGCACAGGACTGTTAACCTCTAAAAATATTGGACTCCACCTTTCGACCAACACGCTGAAGGCTTCCCCACATGTCTGGATGATCGCGTCAGAAATAGCTCACCTTCAACCGCTGGATGATGTTCCACAGTGTCTCCACCAGGGAGGTTGGCATTTCCGCTCCATTATCCACCAGGGCCTGCAGAAGCAAACAATTTGACAGGGTTATACAATCTCTAACAAATATGGTTGCCAACTTCTTCAAAAACTTACACCAAACGCAGTAAAAAAAGCTCACCTGTCCAAATTGCTTAGAAGAAGTCTTGTCCTTTGAAAGCTCGACGATGAACTCTGCGAGAGTCTTCTCAGATATTCCCAAATGATTCTCGAGTTCTGCAGAAGAAGACACGATGATCACCATCACACTCTGAAATTATACTCCTTGCACTAGTTTCCCTTACCATATATTAGCCCTGCTCGTCAAAGCCAAAGCCCTATATTCGGCGGTAATGTAAAATCACTGCAGTCCTACCTGTCGTGATTTTGTTCACCAGCGCCAATCGTTGCAGTTCTTTCAGCTGCTCCATCCTGCTGATGACAGCCCTCCTCTGCCAAAGGCAACCACCCAGTACTAGCGCGACATAGCTTCTAGGAACTCAGCTTAACTAATTCATGCCAGATCAAGGACGTACAATTTCAAAGAGCATGCGCATTTGTATTCCTTCTACAGAAAAATGATGGAAAGCAGTCCTGCAGCGCCTCGGCGTAAAAGAATTGCCTTGCGTATCTGTGTCGCGCTATCAGGCCTGCAAAGCGAACGAAAGACACCTTCAGAACATCCGAGTCATACTCAATCATGTATGGGTATCACAGTGCATTTCCATTGCCAAACAGGGGACGGCGGGAACAAAGTTGTCATACTGCTTCCCAACGGAAGTAGACCTCCTGAAGTCTGGAGACGCCGAGGAGGCCTTTAAGAACATCCAGGGTGCTGCTGAAAGACTTGACGCGACATTCGCCTGCGGCGGAACCGCAATATGCTCACAGCCTATTAAAAGATCATCTTTGGGGACGGTGGTGGCGCACCAAAGGTGTAAAGTACATTTGGAAATTGCTGCACGTACAAGTCACTGGGAACAACCCGTGACCGTAGCACTTTTTTATGAAATTCCACGGCCGACAATAATTTGCGTAGCTTGCTGTGTTACAGATGATGAGCTTGGAGCTGCCAGCAGAGGGAGCCTGTGAGAAGGCTTTCACAGAACTTGCAAACGTCTGTACTATCCTTTACAGTGCTGCCATTGGGAGTGCCAATGCTGCTGAAGGCATGCAAGTCTACAACGTCTATCTACATCAGCCACAATGGAAGTCAATCGCCAGTTCAATATGGTTGCAATTGCAAGGTATCCCGTGTGGCCACGGCCGCAAAATTAGCAGGTATCAAGATCCGAGAGCTGCATGAAGCATTGAAACCAATGCAGACTATGCTAGCCCTCGCACAGATGAGTCAACTCGCAAGACACACATGTCGTAAGGTGCTAAAGTTTAATAAACGCAGCATCACAATTTGATGGCGCATGCAGCGCTTCTACCCATGCACACCGGTGCGCAAGGCAGCTCGTTATGATTATCTTCCGCGGAGCTCATGCGAAATCCCCCTGCACACAAGGATCCTGGCTGTCAGTTCATCCTGCGATCAGCCTCCAAGCTCACCCACATCACCAAGGCATATGCCCATCTACAATAGCCTTTTTGTCACCATGATGCATGGACTTTTCATCAATCAAGCTGAGACAATTGCGCTGCGGAGTTTTGATGACATCACTTTCTAACACTCCACAGATGGATCTGCAATGTTTTTTTGCCCTCAGTAGTCAATCAACACAACACATTCAAATGGCCTTGCAGCTTTCCTCGCAGTGGAGAGTATCTTGCTGCAGCCATTACAAGTGCGGAACACCGGCGCAATTAATGGTTGAGGCTGCACACGAAGAGGGCATGCGGTGTTCCACAGCAGGATTTGAGCACGTCTTCTGGTTGGCACATGACGAGGTTCTTGTTCCAGAGTATTTCACCTGTTGTGGAGGGCGTGGGCATTGTAGGGGTCCAGCTGCAGGGCGCTGTCGTAGGCGGCCACGGCGTCATCATAGAGCCCGAGCTTGGCGAGGCAGAAGGCATAGTTATTGTACAGCCGCACCGTGCCCTGCCCGGCCGCCACCGCGCGCCCGTAATCCTCCGCAGCCGCCCGGAAATCCCCCAGCTTCCGCCACACATACCTGCGCAGACACACCAAAGCCGCTACTCATCCATATGCTGCAACAGCAATGGCCGCGGTGCCCTTGGAACTTTCAACGCCAGATTCCTGTCATCTCACCGCCATTTGCATCCTGCAGAGCATGCCCTCAGCTGGCAGCAGCGCCCCTGTTGGCCCAAGGTAGCTCTCCAGAAAACAAGCACCTAAGGCGCAGGTTTCCACCAAGCAGCATGTGTCAAAGTGCTTAAGGTGGCTTATTGTGATGAAGGCCGTGCAGCAAAAATGTATTTCACTGCAGCAGGCCGGGGTTTGAGGCGCACCTACATTCGCCTCTTCACACAGGAGGAGAAAACGTCATGACATGTGACCGTGCTTATTGTAGCACAGAGGAGCTTCTTGAGCGCAGCTCAGTTATGACGGGCAGGGCTCACCCGCGGTTGGCGAGTGCGAGGGGGTCGCCCGGCAGCAGGCGCAGCACTTCGTCCAGGTCCACGAGGGCGGCGGCCCAGTCGCCGTTGGAGCGGTGGTTGACGCCGCGGCAGCGCAGGAACGCCGCGTTGCCCGGCTCCAGCAGGCACGCCGCCGCCAGGTCAGCCGACGCCTCCCGCACCTGACCCATGCGCTCCCGCAGCAGGCCCCTGTGCATGCAAAATCCTCATCAGCCATTATTGTGGTTCTTTTCCCCAAGGAGTTCATGGTGCCTGCTTGCATGCGGATAGCAGGGTCAGAGGAAACCTTCACCAGGCTCCCTGGTATGGCTGGACAGCCTTACGCAGGACAATGTAGGCACAACTATGCTGGAGGGCAGGATAGGGCATCTGAAAATAATAATTGCAGATATTAAGAGTGCACCTGGCGTTGAGGGAGATGGCCGCGCATGGGTCGTGCACGATGGCGCGGTTGTAGTCCGCCAGCGCCGCCTCGTAGCGCCCCAGCCTCTCGTGCACCGCAGCCCTGCGGGGACAGCAACCAGAAGATACTCTAAAGTTTGCACTTTCAATGCATCATTCTGCTCTTAGCTTCTTCATGATGGTGTTTTGGTGTGCTCCATAAAGAACAAACGGTGCACTGGCGCATGCTAGAGGGAAACACATGGCAGAGAAATGTTGGCGTGCACAACAGGGGCAGCTAACACGCCTCTTGTGGTATGCGGTGGCGTTGCCGTCTGTATGATTGCAGATAGGTGCAGTGGAACATAAAGGCAGTCCGCATTCACATCTGTTGCAGGAAATGGCATGTGATAATTTAGGGGCACAACGGGTGCACCAAACATGCCTGTTGTGGTAGGCGGTTGCGTTGGAGGGGTCTAGCTGGAGGGCGCGGTCGTAGTCGGCGATGGCGTCGTCCCATCGGCGCAGGCGCTCGTGCGAGAATGCGCGGTTGTAGAACGCTCGGCAGTGGTGCGGGCAGATCGCTATCGCCGCGCTGTAGTCCGACACCGCCGCCTCAAAGTGGCCCTGCCGCATTGCCATGGCTGTTTCAAGTCTGCTGGTTCCATGCGCTGTTATTTAGCGTTACACGTGTGAAGACATCCCATTGATGATCATGGTGGGCACTGTCAGATTTCACAGCATCAAGATAACAAGTATGGTTATGTCCCCTTGAGATCGAGCCAGGGTAGTTCGGTACCAAGCGAGACACTACAAAGCAATCCATATTCTGAGATCCAAGTTCGGAGCGTGAGTATGGCACAGCTAAGGCAAAGCAAGGGGATAGCAAAAAAGGCAAAGCTGAGGGGCGGCACCAGCTTGCGCAGGGAGAAGCCGCGGTTGTGATAGAAGTCGGCGTTGCTGGGATCGAGCGCCAGAGCGGCGCTGAAGTCCTTGACGGCCGCTGCGTACGCGCCCAGACGGTCATGGGTGATCCCCCGGTTGTACAGCGCATAGCAGCTGCCGGGGTCCACCGCCAGCGCTGCGCTGTAATCCGCCAGCGCCGCCTCGTATTCCCCCACCTGTGTGAAAGTTGCATTTTCAGAGTAATTAGACTATACATTCAAATGGAAAGTGAAGTGAATCGTCAGGTGGGCAGAGTCAGCATCCTAAAACGGTGAAATGAAGGTCTTGTCTACCACTTTCTTAGCCAAAAGGAGCTTTAGAAGTCAAGGTGCATGCATGGGGCCGAGGCATGCCTTGTCGTGGGAGAAGCCCCGGTTGAACAGAGCCTTGAAGTGGCGCGGGTCGAGGCGCAGCGCGGCTGTGTACTCCGCGATGGCGCCGGGGAAGTCCCCCGCCTTGCGCAGTGCATAGCCGCGCGCATGGTGCTCATCCGCGCTCAGACCCTCTCCACCCTGCAGAAGCCACAGATTGTGACCTCCGTCAAGTTCCCACAGAGAGCGATGTCCTTGCAATCCCGCAATCTAAAACAGGGTACTGGTGTGCTACGTGTGCCTCAAGAACTTCTCAGCATGTTGCCAGTGAAGCAAAGATGCATCTCATGCGCCAGCTGTATTCTCACTTTGCCCCAGTGTGAAACTCAGCAGCAGAAAGGATCGTCTGCGCACCCGGCCAGGTGGTAGCGCAGGGGCACCGCTGCCGGAGGAGGAGGCGGTGGGCCGGCTATCCTGCTCCTGCCCACTGCGCGCGGTGGCGAGACCGCTGTTCTGGCCGCTGGACTGTGTCAGGCTCGGCGCCAGCACAAAGTGGGACGTCGCCGGCCGCCCCGGGGCCGCCTTCCCTGCCCCGCCCCTCTCGTCCCTTCCACTGGAGCCCACACCAGCGCCATTTGGCTGCCTGGCAGAGAGTGAGCTGCCAGCGTCTGTGCTGAGCTGCGGCTGCCGTTGAAAAGGGTCGAAACTGCTCAGCGGTGGTCTGTGCTGTGGGCTGCCCCCCAGATGCCTCTGCTCTGTCCCTCTGGCATCAGTATTATACTGCCCGACACCCCTGTTAGATGGCGCCGCCTGTGGCATGCGTGACTCTGTGCCATGGGAGGCAGTCCAAGGGGTGCTGATGTCAGCTTCAGCTCTGCTGCTGAACTGCACAGTATCCCCGTTCAGCTCGGTGAAGGCTGTGCGGCTGCCGGGGCCCTGCCTGCGCGGGCTGACTGAGAATCCACTAAGGCGGGCGCTGCTCAAGTCCCCGGTGAGGTTCCTTGAGGTCTCAAGCTCCTTGGGCGTCACAACGGCATCTTCATCCTGGTGATACACAAGTGGCAGTCACAGAAGGGCCTGTGCAGACATTTAGTTGCTTTCTTCCATACAAAGGTTTTATTAGACGCTCTCCAAGTGCTTGATGGTGCACGTGCCTGGTAAGATGCGCTGCTGTGGCCGTTCTGTCGAGCTCGGTCATCGGCAGACGGCTGTGCAGATCCCTGATCCCTTGCAGGCTGCCTGTGCCGCCTGGGGAGCGTCCCTTGCACCTTATCTTTCTCCAGAGCCAATGTGTAGTCCTCTGCAGGAAGGTAACAAAACCATTCAATGACGCTGAATAGACACTTATGAATCTGAAGTGAATATGCCAGGAGTGGGGGCGGAGAAATGAAGAACATACCAACAGCCCTGGCAAAGTCCCCCATGAGGTTCAGGCAAGCTCCTCGTGCATACAGGGCTTTGGCATGGCTGGGGTCCAGCGCTATGACAGATGTGAAGTCCTCCACAGCATTGTCCAACTTCCCAAGTTTCTCAAAGACCGAGCCTCGCTGGAAAAGCGCGTCGGTGTCATTGGGTTCCAGCACTATGACTTGCGTGTAATCTCCCACAGCGCTATCATATGCTCCTGGTCATCAGTGCAAGCATTGATGTAAGCAAGACAATCGGCCCAGTTACGTCTTTGTCAATCGTTGCATTTCATTTAGAACCCAGAATTGGCTACATGTGCCTTGTTGTGCCCGGAATGTCTGGTATATCAAGTCATGAATATAACAAGATTTAGACATGCCACTGACTGTTTGGTACACGAAGAGCCATTGTTTCTCAGGATAAGGTCCAAAAGCCCTGTAGAATAATACTATATTGAACCAAAAAAATATTTTCCGGAAGCTGAAGGCTGCTTTGGGCTCAGAAAACCTCACCCTTTTTGACGTGAGATGTAGCTCGTAGCAGCAAAGCCCGAACATTGTGCGGGTCTTCCTGAAGCTTCCGCGTGCATGCGCTGATAAGACGGTCATTATCGGCATTTCTCCTGTAATAAAGCACTCTGTTGGCTCCTCTGGCCTCTTCCTCTCTGTCCAGGAAATCCTTCCTTTTCGTCAGCGTGGCGCTTGACAAGTAATCTAGCTCGTCCGGTTCAGTCAGGTTGTTGCTGATGTTTTGCAAAGCACTGCTCTGCATGCTACTTTCCATGACAACTTGGGCTCAAAACGGCACCAAGGTAAGTGCTCAGTGGAGGACCATTAGAACTCTGCAGCAAGATAATATGCACTACAGCAGAATTGCCGCAACAAAAATCCGGAAGCTTTCACAATTGTTTAATTAAACGCTATCGTCCGTGGAAATTTTAGATAGGAGTTGGTCGCAAGAACATGCAAGGCAAATCGCTGGGCACATTGTTGCTCATGCCAGGCTGAGGGGACCGTAGACTGGGGGGACCGCCTCCAGACCAAAAATAGCTCCAGCTGGATCTAGTGTGCTTATTAACACGACATGAGCATGTGCTAGCATGCTAGTAGCAGTGTTCAATCATGATTATATGCATTACTGTGATATCAAAGGAAGCATTAGAGGCAAAAGAGAAAGTAGCTGGATGCACGTGCCCAGGCCAAATGCATTAAAAGGGCAGGCCAGTGCTGCCTGGGTCCTGCCTGGCCATGGACGTCAAAGATAATCAGTATTTAAATTTTCAGACGTCTCCTGCTTGACCTGAGGACAGCTGTACTAGAACAACATATGCTGCCAAAGAATCCAGACACTCATGCCCAAGAATGCACACACAGGCGCAGAAACTTGCAACAATCCTCCCAAACAATAACACAAATGCAACACCAACAAACAGTCCTGACACAGCCAAGGCCAGATAATATAGGGACAGAAAGCTAGAATGCAGGTCAGAAGGGCTCCAGCAAACTTGCTGCAACAATACTCAGGCGCAGAGGCCTGCTCAACTTGATGACGGCAGCAACAGGTTTCAATCCTTACTCAGCCAATACATGAGCAACATGCCATCAAAGTACCCATAATCGCTAGATCCCATGAGATAAATTCCAGTGATGTGTTTCATCCATTTGGAGGATTGTGACAGCAGAGATTGAGGGGGTCCCTAAATACAGCTGGTGGCAGGATGTGGTTGAGTGCTCAGCGACGCTGGTAGCTGAGCAGCCTGACAGAGAGCATGGAGCCGGCACGGAAGACAAAGATGTAGGCAACGATGATTGCAGTGCAGTGCCTGCATGTGCACACCTCTTTCAACAATTTGCTTTATTATTGCTCTTAACAAAGCAAGCCATGTTAATGAGCAGCAAAATGTCCCCTAGATATTCAGTCTGCATCTCTGTAGCTCGATATCTAATCCTCCCTGGACCCTGGGCATCAGCGTGATCTCTACAAGGCAGTACATGACATCCAAAGCGAGGGTGGGACAGGACAGGCAGGCTCTTCATGTCCATAAGAAATGCTGAACAATATTTCTAGTACACCATTAAGAGAAGAGGTGAGAGAGGACAGGTAGGATCTCTTCTCCACATGACCTGCTGGACAGGAACAGGGGCCGCACCATCTGAAGCTGTACTCGTAGCCAAAGTAGGAGGCAAGGAAGGCTGACACAGTAGTGCGCTGCCCCTCTGGCGTTATGAGCAGATCCTGGTTCTCCCCCATTTGATCCACTGCCAGGCCGTAGATGATCCATGTGGCCGGGCTGATGCGATTCAGCCACTGCTCGCCAGAACAGGACAAACTCAGCAGCTTACAAGTTCGGTGTAAGCGGTGAGCGTGGTCGGCTAGAATGGCCAGCATGCGCAATGTGTGCACAGGTCTTTGAAATCCCAATTCTGGGCTAGCACGAGGGTATGTCTCTTACTAACTACAATGTCTGAAAGACAGGAATGCCTCAAACAGCTGAAAAGAGGAGCGATCCAGAAAATCTGCAGCATGGCTTCAAAAGTGAAGGGGGAAAGAAGTGATCGATGGACTGCGCACCTTCCAGCCCCTTGGCATCTGCAAAGCACCAAAGCAAGCACTTCAGAGATGGAACATGATTTCAAAGCCATACTCATCGCAGGGAATGAAGCAGTCGCACTGTGTAGACATAAGAATTGGCGCAGTAATCTACCGTCGGATATGGCAGCATGAAGCCATTGAAAATGCTCCACAGGGTTTGCACAGCTGCAGCCATGAGCACACGATTAGAATGACTCATCATGTCCGCATACTTTGTGCCTGTAAAATTTTCCTGAATCAAACCCATTGCCACGAACACATGCAGAAGGCATGTCCAGCATTGAAGCTTACCTGTCGCGAGAATCTGCGCTAGGCCCTGGCTTGGTGTGAGGAATACCAAGAACTGGCCAAAGTAGGTGAAGAGGGCCAGGTCCAGAACGAACATGAAGAAGAAGTAGAAGAAAGCGGAAGCCGTGAGCTTGAACCCTGCAAGCAAACCCCACAGGCAATTCGTTCTCCTGTCTACCTTCAGCATGTTTTTCCTTATACCAGCAGCAGACTTTCATTTCCATATACCTAGCCATAGACATTTCATTCTGTGTCCTACTGAACCCTCTCTCGATGCTACCCAGGGTGATGGGGAACAGAAAACAAAACACCGTGAAGCTGCGAGTGAGAGGGAGGCAGAACGTGGTGCGCACCAATGAGGAAGTAGCAGATCGGCACAAAGACAATGACCTGCGCTAGCAGATATGGCAGCTCCACAAATGCTACAGCCGAGATGTAGGGCAGATTGGCATACATCAGCGCAGCACGCTCCCTGCAGAATTGTCCCAAGTCTGTTACTTTGGGCATCGCTGGATCAAGGCTAGCAAGACTGGCAACCAGCTGTGCTGCATGAGAATGGTCAAGCAGACATTGGGGGCTTGCAATAAAGTCACCTGTAGAAGACCCCACGCTCAAAGCCCACGATTGGCAGCACCTGCAGCAACAAAACACTCCTGCCATCATGCACTTTCACACAGAGAATGCACTTTCTGCATGCATGTTTGAAGGGCATGCAATTGCAACGGAGGGACGGCCGCACGTTCATGAGGTTGAACATGCCCTGGAAGTTGGTGGCAGAGTAGAGCACCCCCATCACATTCTGCACGTCCCCAATCCTGGCGCCTGCGGGAGCACAAACATTTCATCGTCAAACCTCAGGCAAAAATATGCACTCTGGTCTGCAGCGCATGCCACCTCAAATTCACGATGGCGCTGAAGCACCACAGTTCACTTGATCGGCCGGCACAAAAGAAACTAGCATGAGGGAGTTTAAGTTTAAAATGATGCCTAAATTCCGCACTGTGATCCACTTATGTGACCATGCTGCACAGGACAGCAGGCGCGTGGTTTGCTGATGCGGTTTTGATATAAATTTGAATTTGATTTTGATACGGGGATCGGGGGCAATCTCATCGCCGGAGGGCAGGCAGCGCCACAGCATGCAGCAACTGCCTGAATTTCTTGTGCATCTTTGTTTTGAATTTGAGTTTGAATTAGGAATTGAAAAAGGGTTCATCTCACCGGTGGTGGGCAGGCGTCCGCGGCCGTAGAACATGGTGCCGTAGAAGAGGCAGATGAGGAGCGTCATGATCATGCGCGTGAGGTTGTAGGAGGGGCTGCGCCAGTAGCTCAGCCGATACTTCCGCGCAAGCGCCACAAACTGCGTCCCGCGCCGCGTCGCGAACGTTCCCTTCAGGGCCAGCTTGGCGCCCTCCGCCTCTCCCTGCCTCGCCAGCTCCTCTATCAGCGCCTCGTTGTCCCGCCACAGTTGGCTCGCCTGCAGCACCGGCAGCAATGCGGTGAGTGCTGCCCCACATGCTCGATCAAATGATCATGCTGTGCCACTCACAGCGTGCAAACGTCTGTGCAGAAAGCACTCCCGGACCCTTATTGATGACATATTTTCATCCAACTGCCACAGGAAAAGAAAGTTTTCGAGACTCTAAAAGAAGTCACTTGAGGGAACATTACCTCAGATATCCAAGCCTGACGCACCACAGCATCTCAGCAACAGAGCCAGTCAAATCTAGAGGCAGATATCACTGCAGGAAGCGCATGGATCACCTTGTAGTACTCGGCAAAGTCGACGGCGGCGGCGACGGATTTGCCGGTGATGGACGCGCCGCCGGTGACCTCCAGCATCCAGGTGGCCGGATTCTCGCCTGCCCGGATGGGGTGTACGCCCGGCACCGCCTCCAGGTAGCCTATCAGCGCGCTGCTCTCCGCGCCCAGCGGGCCCGAGTATATCAACTGCGCGCACACAGCCATGTCAATTGTCATGCATGCTGCATTGATTAGTCGCGCCGAGCCAGCGCCCAAGGTCAGGGCATCTCGAGATCGGCATCGGTGAGCTGTGCACAGGCAATGTTCAAGGCCAGGGCTTTGGGCGCAACAAGCACTCCCATGCTTTCCATCCAGATCCTTGCACACACCCATAAACGAAATTTTGGAAACAAACGAGCACAAGAATATGTGTTCCTCACTCATGACAGGCAGTCCCAGCTGCTGCGCAACATTTGTTATTCTGAAAGGAAACGAGATACCTGCTGCAAGAGACCGCCAACTGTGGCTCGTGGGACTCAGTGAGCAGTGGTGCGGCAAGGCAGGGCGGGGTATACTGGCAATGTTAATCAAGCAATGAATCCTAGCAGCGCCGGCGCGTGTGGGCGCACCTTGCCACCCCGCTGCAAGAGCACAAGGGCGTCAAAGGCCTCGAAGATGTCGATGGAAGGCTGGTGGATAGTCACCATCACCGTGCGTCCATTCTTGCTCACGTTCTTCACGCTCTGCATTACGATCGCCGCCGCCCGCGCGTCCAGCCCTGCACATAGTGGCGCCACAGCTCAGTCCCGTAGCACAATCAAAGGAGTCCAGCACGCTATGCTGCCATGGAACCGCCAGGCTTGGATGTAGTGGGCTCTGCTTGTGGGTCTGCAACTGTTCCAAGGCATAAATGCCATGTTTGTGAGGAAGTGGGGACCCCGGCACAATGGCTTGCAATGCACGGCGCCTGCCCCAGTGAGGGTCAAGTGTATAGCATACATTGACTTTTAGATCAGTTTATATAAATTGTGTTTCTGCCAACAGAGGCAAGGTGCCTTTGCGGACATGCTGCATTATGGTGCACAACAGTGCCCGCATGCATGCTCAGTGGGATAATCAGGAGCTGACTCGCCCTGGTGCATCTGATAGCGTTTTCAGCAATATCTTGCTCTCAGAGACTTGCCCCCATGGAATCCTCATGCCATGTACCAAAATTTTAGGTTCACTTACATCTCCTAGAGGTGTCAAAGCGAGAAGAGAAAGGGGCACAAGATGTGAACAAGCGCCTCACCGGAGGTGGGCTCGTCCATGAAGATGACTGAGGGGTTGGCGACCAGTTCGACGGCGATGGTCAGGCGCTTGCGCTGCTCCACGGAGAGGCCGCTGACCCCCGGGATGCCCACAAGCTGCCCCCTCAGCGGAGTCAGCTCCACTATGTCCAGCACCTCGTCCACAAACTCCTCTATCTGTGCACACGCCATCACTATTTTTATGGGACTCGCTTCATGCAATGTAATGTTCAGTGCTCCTCTATCTGCGCAGCCGCCAGCCCCGCTGCTATCACATTTGCACGCATTGCAGGTGAGGTTCCTGGAAATCTTATCTGCAAGCATTTGCCTCTGCAAACTTCATGAGAGCATAAAAGGTCGCATTGCGAAGCAGTACTTTCTCCTTACTTCTTGCGCTCGCTCTACTCTGATGTCTGCTTTCCTCTTTCACTTCCCTGTGATCCACTGGACCCTGAGGTGCCAGCTTGATCGCTAGGCATCCGCTTCATGCATGTGCTGCAGAATTGTTTTTTTGGCGCTTACTTTCCGCATGTGCTGGACCCAAAGGTACTATCTAGATGACCCTGTGGCGAGCAATTGATGGGAGGGTTCTGGGTTGGCATGCCATACCCAACTAGGGGCTAGCAAGACTAATTAGAAACACGATACTCAAGTTACTCGTGACGGTGCAGCACCCCCTCTAGGCGGGGGGCCTTCCAACTTGCCGGGCGCTCGTGGGGGGCCAAAAGATGCTGCGCACGCATCACATGTTGCAGGGCAGGCCGCGGGTGGGAAGCGCACCTGCTTGCGGCCGGCCGACTCGGGGATTCGCAGCCGCGCAGAGAACTCCAGCGCCTCCCTCACAATAACCTGCACGCTATGCCCGGCTCAGACTTGCATCCCATGATTGCGATCTTTTATCAGCCAGGACTGATAATGGATATCCCTGTCGAGGATTTCGGAAAATTTCCATGCAGAACATGTTGGTCCCACTCAGCAGTGAAATGCTTCCAGCAGAGACAAATGCTCTGGTCTGGTCCGGTCTGAGCAGAACAATGGTCCAGAAAACAAATGAGTGCAGCAAATGAAATGGTCTTGACAGCAAAAGGTGCAGGACAGGGGCACTGTCTGGCCGGATCTTTCTGGGGTGGATTGGGCAGGCGGCCCAACCTGGGGTGTGTGGATGTCATTCTGCTCCACATAGCCCACGACGCGCGCCCAGCTCCTCTGCTCCTTAGGAAAGCCATTGACAAGGATCTGCCCCTTTATCTCACCCTGCGTCTTGCGCCCAGCTATCACGTCCATTAGCGTTGTCTGCGCAGCACCCCCAGAACACTAATTCTGTCGGCCCCACATCCACTTCCTTGCAAACCTGCCCTTTAGCACCCCAAACGCCCAGGCATGCACCAGGCATATACATGCCGTTCGCCTTGCACAGCCTCTGCTGATGGCTGTGCATGAGAAGTATTGCAAAAAGAACACATGCCGACATTGCCACGCATACAACACACCGGGCTCCCTCGCGCAGACACACAATCCTGTTTACGGCCGGCACACAGCGCTGCTAAGCGTACTTCAAATCTTACTAAATTTTACTAAAAAGCACGGGTCACCATGCCATTATTCTTCACCCACTTAGCTTAGGATATAGGGAAGATAAATTTGGGATTTATGATTTAGGGTGTAGGGTAGGGGCCTTTACAGTAATTAATTTTCACATGGAATGCAATGGTGGATTTAGGGTTTAGAGTCCGTGAAGGGTAAATGTTCCATAACCTAGAAAGTGGGTGAACTTCAAAGTCATCGGGTCCGCGGGTCACCTTGCCGGCGCCAGAGCCGCCCATGAGCGCGGTGAGCTGCCCGGGGACGGCGGAGCCGGAGAGGGGCTTAAGCAGCTGCAGGCGCTGGCGCTTGCCATCCTCCCCAACCACCTTCTTCCCCGGCATTGCCACAAAGTACTGCAGCTCCCGGTACACCTGCTCAGCGCATGCATTACTCCTTTTTTGATTTTTTCAAGGGTCTTATGGTGATCTTTCCATTTCCATTTCAATTCCATGCCCCTTTTTAAATGCAAAGTGCATGCGCGCTCCTCAGCCTCGCACATTCTCTGCCCGGGACCCTTTCCGAGGATGGCCTCACAGTTAAGCGGACACTTTCCTGCTACAAGGCCAGCTCAGCACAAAGTAAAGATGAAGACTGAGATCTCCCCTACAGAACCCCTGAGCTTCTCAGAAATCCATCAGGATTTGATGCATTTGCACACACATGTGCCTGTGCAAGGCATTCGTGTTAGGAGGCATGTTGCCTGTTTTTATGCATCCGAGCAAGGCACTCATAGAATTCAGGAGCGCACGAGGCTGATGCGTGTGAAGGGCAGGCTTGAGGCCAGGTCGCCCGCCCCGTCAGCGCCCATCGCCTCAACGTCCACATGCGCGTGCGCCTTCCGCAGCCGCGCTGCACACAAGATAGCAGTTGTTAGATTTGCGTTTTTCCATCTACTAAGCTCTGCATGTAGTGGTGATTGCCTCACCACGCGCCAGTGATTGCTGTGTCACTAGATGCAGTAAAGGCACAACGAAACGAAAACAATAATATCCTGCAGAGTTGTGCTCTTTGACGGAGAGCAGAGGTGCAGAGCTGCCTGCTCACAGACGGCAATCCACTCAGAAATTTGAGGGACCAAGTGGCAGTTACTCCTTTTGCGTGCAATCATCTTGAAGCTGTGCATGTTTTAATGCCGGCTTTCCCAAGCAACCGTGATTGGTGTATCACAGGCGCCGGTGGAGATCACACCACCACAGCAACAGGATTCTGGATTTGCCCAAATAGAATCCCCAATGTTAGGCGATCATGAGATCTTGAGGCGCATTGGGGAACAACTTTTTGCGCCCAGGCGGCACATTCATGCCTACCATGGCTCTGGAATTGTGCCATTCCATATTTTCATGAAACTGGAGTTCTGTAATCAAACATTTGGAGCTTGCAGGTGGCTCAAAAAAGAAGCTGCGCGCACCGGATTTGATGAAGCGCTCTGTGCGCTTCTTGCGAATTTCCACGGCGGCCGCAGCCGACTTTGCGGCTGACTCATCCGCGGCGGTCGTCGGCCGCATTTTGACCGGGTTGCAGAAAGTCAGAGCGATGCCGGAGCACAGTGTCAGGAGTAGCGCCAGGCCCAGGTTGAACCCGATGCCGATCCAGATCCACATCCTGTCAAATTAGTATATTGCTTTAGGGCCACAAAGCAGAACCCCTATAAATATCGCTGGTCACGAAATAAGGTGCTGGCAAGCCACTTCAAGCCTCCGTATAAGGAATATCTGAAGACCCGCTTCAACCTGGACAGTGCCATCCAATACTCCTAAATGAAGAGACTCCGAGACGTCCAGACAAAACTTCTTCAAGCTTACACGGAGATGCATTTCTGCAGACTGCACTGCTGAGATATTGATAGAGATGATGAGCAATGTCCCCCGCTGGCAGCGGGAGGTACAAATGCTCAACGCCATGCCCACGGCTGATTTGCTCGTGTGTGACTCTGGCGAGTCCAACAAAGGAAAGGATTTTGGCAGCCATTACCTGCAGCTTGTCTGCAGACACAACCTGCCTCTTTGTAGCAATGGCAAGTACGTACTACTTGTAAACAACCGAGCAAAGAGTCTGTTTGACAGGCGCTGGGGCGCGCACCGCTCGGTCTGGAAGCCGAAGCTCTCGAGCGCCTGGATGCCCACAGTGGAGCCGGGCGGCGTGGTGGCATCAGCGTAGCTCCAAGCGGAGGCAGTCATCTCATTGATCACGATCGCGCGGAGGCCGTAGGCAAATGGGGAGATCCAGTACGCCCAGATCCACCAGGGGGGTATGGCCGTGCGAACGATGGCGAAGCCCGACGTCACAATCAGCACCAGCAGCACCACGCCGCCTGCATGCAGGAGATTGTCAGTATGCAAAACCCTTTTACCGTTACCTTCCATTCATCCTTACCCTTCTACTAGATTTTTTTGTAGATTCTATAGATTAGTAATTCACCCCAAACCCTCCCAAATTTACACCCCTGAACCTGATTGCCAAATCGTACACCAATACTGGTGGCCATGAGGGGGACAATAAGATCCTTTTGTTGCTGTATTCTGCCGATCCGGGGTAGGCCGGCTTGCATGCAATGCAGCCAAGAGAGTGCAGTAGCGCGCACTTGCCCGAACAAAAGAGCAGACGCGGTCTAAAGCAATGAACCAGCCCAGGTATGGAGAGGTTGCTCCCAGATGGCTGAAATCTTGGGGCAAAAGAGCTGTGATAGGCGCACCGGCGGCGGTGCCGATGTCGGTGTTGGGGCATGCGGAGGCGAGCAGGCGATAGACAGCGGACATCTGCAGCATGGTCGCGATGGAGATCAGGTAGAACGTGAAGAACGTGCTGGGCGCAGCGTGAAAGCCTGCAGAGCAGCAGCACACCCACTGTCTGTCTCTGACTTTCCCACGCTTCCTTTACCATTACGCCCTTTTCATGGCCAACTTTGGTTCCCCCATAGAACGAGCCAGGACTGCCTTCAAGCGTCCCTGCCTTGCATGTCATGGATTGCCCCACTTAAGGGTCACCTGAGGCTTACGGTTCAGACTCAAAGGGTGAGGGGTTGAGTGAGGTGAGCTGCTTGTCAGCTGTGACAGTGCAGCGCATGAAGGGACTCTGACTGATATACCAGAAGCAAATTGTGGATGAAGGGATTCTCAAGGATACCAGATATAGAGCGTGAACGCACCGACCCAGAAGTAGACCACAAGAGTGAACAGTGCAGCCTCGACGAGCTGGAAGGGGATCCTGACCAGCAGCAGCGACAGGGCATATGCGCTCGGCGGAAAGAACCTGTTGTCCCGCTGCTTGAATATCACCCTGCACCCACAAAAACTACACCCTCACTTGCTACTCCCAATGATGGTACCAGCCAGGACCAAGCCAATTACAAGACACGGACACCACATCCTGCATGCGCACTTTGACATCAAGCTGAGCGACATGTGCTGGAGATTCTCAGTAGGGGAGAAATTTTTTAACCACCATACAATATATAGCAAATGCACGCTCATGCCGACACTTTCCAGCACACATCAGAAAAGAGCCACACAGTAAGACCAAGGAGCTTTGCTTCCTTTTTTGAGGAAGTTGAGTCCAGAAATACCTTTCCTGGCACTATTTTCTCTGGCAATCTTTTCCATGGCAATCTCCGCCTGAAGAGGCACAGTTCTTTCAGTGAGAGGGCAGGGTGCACACGGTTTGGAGGCGAAGGTGATGCCCATCTCGGGCATGGCGCCCATGGACAGAAACATCATGGAGAGGAAGGAGACGCCAAAGTAGTTGCGTGCGTCGGCCGCCGTCGGCTTCTGGCCGCTGAACAGCGAGCCAATGATCAGCGCCATCACCACCACCTGCCAGCACAGAGCAGACTCAGCCTGAGTCACTGATGGATTCTATGGCGCACTTTGGGGTACTTACAGAGTGTAGGACAACTGAACATCTATTGTGGACACCTCTCTCTGTTTGGGCTGGCATGAATTGCTGGAAGCTTGCAAGGGAAGCCCCTATCTCAAGCGGGTGACAAGAGGTCTATTAACATTCACAGCCATAGAGCGCAAGTCCGTCAGAGGGGAATGCACGCTTCACCGTCATAAATTCTGGCAGCAGCCTGCGGAGCGTGCAATAATCACACTTGACCATTGCATGAGTATGGCTGGATGCGACGCCACTGCAGACAGCTAGGTACTGACATCAAACTGATAATAAATGCCATTGTGACTAAGCGCATGCCTGGATGATGCGTCCGCGCACGAGGGCGCTGTCACGTATGGTGAGTTTCCACTGGCGGTCCAGCAGCACGCCCACCGCCTGCCACCACGTCAGCGCGTACGCCTGCTTAGTCAGCGCGCCCGGGTGGCCGTCCTCCCTGCAGCCGACAGCTTAGGACGTAGGTACAATTATCAAATTATCTTGCAATGTCTTGCAATTTTTTGTGTACCCAGCCCAACAAAACAGCCTTTTCAGATGGCTTCATGCAACCGAGAAACCCATGCACGTCCAAGCTTCCTTGTTGGGTCCACTTGGATTCAAGCGGACCGCCTGATACTGCTGATAACAAAATGCGCAGCCCTCCTCAAGAGATGTGGCTGCTGTTGGAGGTTGTGCGAGGTGCTGCATGTCAGCCTCCATGCTGGTTCCAGGAAAACACCCAGCGGCATCACCCAGCAGAACAATTATTCACGACAGGCAGACCTGTCTTTGCACCCCTGCCTTTTTCCATAACGGGACGTCATGCCAGCATGTCAAGCTGGCACCTTCATGTTGCAGTGTATTTGCATTATACGCTTATTATGTCAGAACTTATATTGGAATAAGGGCAGTCTACGGGAGAAAAGAGCGCGCACGGTCTGAAGGGTTTGTTGTCGAGCTCGTCGCGCATGGCGCGACCCCACTTGGTGTCCCAGAAGGCGGCCGACATCTCCTCGCAGCTCACCAGCAGCCGCCCGCTGCCCAGCGCCGCCTTGCCCTTTCGGTCCAGACCCCGCTCCCTGCGCAGCTCCTCCGAAGCATACAGCATCTGCCCTGCTCGCGCCAGGAACAACCCGTCTTAGCAACGTGCACGCCGCGGAGTTCCTTTTTCACACAACAGATATGCAACAATATCAACAGTCAACACTCATGGCGATGAACTTTGTCTCCTGAATCAGGGCCCGGGCTTGGTCATCTATGTCTTATCAATGGAAAACCAACTTCAGGAACTTTCTCTTGCTGGCTTAAACAAACCTTCACGGCTCCCCTGACTCCATGCTTCGCTTCCTGGCGCAAGGACTCTGCTCCTCAGCATGCGCATGCCGTACTTGTGACACAAAGCTGAAAGGGGGAAAGCAGAGGCGTGCCTTTGGGGGTGGTGACCTCCTGCAGGAAGCTGGCAGGGTCCTTGCGCACGGGGCAGTTGAAGCCCAGGCTGGCAAAGAATGGCAGCGCCTCGTGCACCGGGCCGTGGAACATCAGCTGCCTGCACCCCACCACCACCACGCTTCATACATGCTTTTTGCTTTGAGCTGTTGGCCAAGGCAACCCACCTCACAAACGGTTCCTCCCGTCATCATCTATCGTCAAGACCACACTGACGCCCTCACTGCCCACTCCCCCGCCATGTGCCTGCTATATAAAATCATCTCTGACACCCAAAGAGCCGCAAATCAGCAAGCGTGTCGCTGGCCGTCTGATAGTCCGGGATGTAACACCAATCGTGCTGCGCAGTGCAAAGTCAATAAACTTTGGGACATGGTTTATTAAGGGTCGATTTGAAGTTCTGGCTGACGAAGGCTGCAGATGACATGTGCGCACACCCGTCGGTGAGCAGCAGGACATCATCAAACAAGTTGTAGACTTCGGGCGAGGGCTGCAGCAGGGAGACGAGCGTGGTGAGGTTCATGTGGTGCGTGATGTTGCGCAAGTACTCCACCACCGTGTACGTGGTCGCGCTGTCCAGCCCCGTGCTGATCTCGTCCATCAGCAGCACTTTCTGCGCCCCACACTCTTGCTTCAGCACAACGCAACAGCGCCTTGTCTAGGCTCATGGTAGGTAGCACATTCTGCAGCGTACAGTCTTCTCAAACATGCCTCAACAGCGCAGTGAGGCCAGCTGGAGGCGAGTAAAGCCCACACAGCCGTTGGACACTCGCGTGTGCACGCTGAAATCGCGCCAAATGCTAGCGAGGAATGCACGCATTGGAAAGGTGCATAGCTGCTGCGGCTGACACATGGAGTGTCACTGTGAAACGACTGTCACTAGGGCGCGGGACGCACCTTGGGCCCAACGAGCATTTCGGCGCTGGTGACGCGCTTGCGCTCTCCGCCACTGACGCCGCGCACGAGGGCGTTCCCTACCTTGGTGTCTGCCACGCGCGCCAGGCCGAGCGTACGCATAACTATCTCCATGCGCACCCCCGTGCCCCACACCTGCTCGCGCATCAACCCACAGCCTCAATTGCGGTTGCATGCTGTGCATGCAGGCTGGCACGAGTACATCTATGCGCGTGTGAAGATCTAGGTGCAGACGACCAACAATAGAAGTGCATGCAGTGATTTTGTCCACCGCTCGAGGGCAAGGACTGCAATAGAAAGGCGCTTGGCGCAGAGAAAGTGCGCAAAAAAAGTTTCGAAGAGGGATTTCGATCCTCTGACCTGTGGGTATGAGCCCACCACTCTGCCACTGAGCTACTTCGAATGTCTTGGCGACAGACTGGGAATTCAATCCTATCATAGTGCAGAGCAGGACCTCAAGCTGAGGAACTGAAAAATGCTCATCTCTCGAAAATGTTGTGCATTGTCCTGGTTCTGCAGGTTGTGGGCTTGCTGGATGACGCCCTGCCTTGAAGGATTCCATAATGCCACTCAAACGGACACTGGCACATGGGAGTGCTACAGGAGTTGTTGCAAAGGCCGCACCTTTGCCAGCAGCATCTCGAACTCCTCATTGCTGTTCTTGGCCGGCTCATCCTCTTCCGGTAGTGGCGGCGGCGGCAGATTCCGGGGCACATCTTCTGGCAGGCTGTTCAGGGGCGTGCTGGGCATGCTGCTGATGTCTGTGGACGTGTCATCAAAGCCATCCTGGGAACACACGACAGCTCCAGCTTTCAGCTGTCAATTCCAGGACATAGGAGTTGTCTGACGCTAGGCGCGCATTGAAAGCAATGATGTAATGCATTTGCAACCTAGGAACATCTCCTCTTACAATGGCAGACAATGCCGCAGGCATTTTCTTCACGCAGAAGGCAAAGAGAGTTCTGGGAGGGAATTGTCAGCAGCCACAGTGCAGCACACCAAGGAAAGTGTCCGTTATGTGTTCAAGAATCTGTGCCGTGCATGCAGACACAGAAGCAAGAGCACGTCGAGCATGCCAGGGAATGGCCAGGCAACCTGAGCCATGGCTTCCCTGCTTGCATAAAATAGAAATGCATCTCTCCGCCTTAAATTAGGCTGGTATGTTAAGGTTATATTATATCACAGCTGGCCGCACCATGTCGTCGGTGTCTGCGTTGGACATGTCGGTGCGCATGGAGACATGTTCGTCAAGTGCTCGGAGCGCAGCCTCGTGCTCGGCATGCGCGCCCATGATCTTGGCCTTCAGCGCCTCGCCGTGCTCCGTCCGCGCGCGCCGCAGCGCCTCCACCGGGTTGTACTCCGGCGCATTGAAGCCGTTCTGCGCGCGTGCATGGATTTGTCAAGAAGCCGCACCATGACCACTGTTGAGGAGACTCCGGCGTATTAAAGTAATTCTGCGCAAGTGCAACAATGCATGAAAGAAGCATTCAAGGGGGGCTGTTGAAGGGACTCCCATGGCTTGTAGGCACGTGCCGCCCGCCAAAGCCAGTGTTGACACCGCGTCTTTCTTGGAAGGTAGACTGCTGGTTCTGATAATTCGTAGCTCTTAAACGATTGCTACTTAATCGTCTGACCTCCTATTGCGCAGCGTTTGGGACTCACTTGATCCCTCTGTGGGACTTTGACCTTTGAGCCCCAAAGAATATTCCCAAAACATATTTCCACGTCCTGGACACTTGCCTTCGGCGCGGCTTCAGCTTTTCTGAGGCAGTCCAAGTGCACAAAATAGCCAGCCCACTGCTCAAGCAGCTTCATCTACAACGAGCACGACCATCTCCCGGGACACCCATGCATGGATAAGTAGATAGTGTCAGCTATATGAAAATTATACCTGGCAGATGTGGGCAAACTCGAGCGTCTCGCGCACGGTGAGAATGGGGGTGTGCACATCAATCTGGTCGACCATGGCAATTGCGCGCGCCATGTTGAACTCCTTCGGCTGGCGCCCGTTGTACAGCACCGACCCTTTCACTCGCAGGAACTTGGAGCGCTGCAGACGGCCTGTAGTGGCACAGCAAACCTTTGAAGGCCAAGTACTTCAAATTCGAATTCAGAGAATTAATCAGATTAAGTTTTGAGGAAATTCAAAGCTGTCGAGGGCAGAAAGTTTGAGGCGGCCTGAGCAGCACATGACCATACCGCCCTCAAACAGTCATTAAGTGCCTTTGATGGCATGACACCTCCAAAATCGTGGTCATGATCGTTTCCGGTCCGGAATCAGCAGTTTCAAAAACCAAAAAGTGATAGAGTTGTCATCCATAAAGGAGGTCACACCATATGCAGAGGAAAGGGTGCAATGAAAAGGCATCAGGAAACCCTGGCAGAGAGAAAGCGCGCAAAAAGAGAATTTCAAAGAGAGGTTTCGATCCTCTGACCTGTGGGTTATGAGCCCACCACTCTGCCACTGAGCTACTTTGAATGTATTGGTGACACACTGCCCATAGAGTATTATCATATTGCAGAGCAGAGTCTAACGCTGAGGTCAGAAGCCAAACGTGATGTAATTTCTCTTAATTTGATGCCACACGCGCTCCTAAGAGTTGGAAGGTGGCTGCCGGACCTGCCAATAAGTGCATGAAGAGGGACTTGCCGCTCCGGGGTGGGCCCATCAGCAGAGTCAGCCGACCCTGCACAGCCCACACATTGTTCACTCCCTGCACCATCTCACACCATACCCCTCCCTGGCTTAAATTTCCGCTTCTGCAGAACGCAGCAGGAAATGCCAGCGCCACCTATGCAAATTCCAACTTTGGGATGGAAAGTGGACGCGCGCACCGGGCTGAGTTTGCCGCTGATATCGAGGGACCTGAGAGGCGTGGTGCGCATCTCTGTGATCCTCAGCACCTCCTGCATGGCAATCATTTGGAAATCACCACTGCTCAAATCTGACATCCTCAGCGACAATTTTCATTCTGATTGATGCAGGCACGCGCTCATTATTTAAACATGTCATTTCAAGGTCACAAGAGGACAATCTTGTTGTAACTGTGGGGCCAGGATGCAGACCTTGATGAAGCCCCAAGCGGCCTTGGTCAAAGAGGGAACTGCAGCTGTGCCGACCAGGGCATCTGCCTCGATGTGGATGTCCCTGTACTCGACTGTGATGCTGGGCAGCGGGCACCCTGCATGCCAGAATCATCCGTATCTTGCACAGGTACACCTACCCAAGGCAAGAAAATGAGAACACCTACGGCAACGCTGCATAGTCTCTTCCTCTGGTGGGCAGTGTGCATCACAGGGCTGTGGCTCCACTCTGGCCGGGCAGACAATCAGAAAGGAGCATCTCTGCGAAGTGATGCAAAATACCCAAAAGCAGGGGTGCAGGGAAAAAGAGGGGGCGCACCGGCCTCCATGAAGAGGCGGTTCAGCTTCTGCATGAAGCTCTCCCCCTCCTTGTCCAGCTTCATGACCCGCGATGCGTAGCGCAGCAACTCCGGCCGCTTCAGCTTCGACTGCCTCTCCACCACCTTTGCGCAACATTTGGCCGACGAGTAAATTGGAAAGTTAGTTGAAAGAACAAAAATTGTCCTGTGCTTCTCCTGCCTGCTTGTGGCTTGCCGCTCGACGCATGCTTGTTTACCCTCCTCTGAGCAGGTCACATTGTTCATCCCCTCATCCCCATTCTCAAGAGCAAGCTATTGGCAGGCATTCTACAATACGGAACAGCCTTGCCCACACATTTACTTTTTCCTTTCCTTGTATAATATTTTTTCATTTTACCTCTAAGTCAAGCCTCATTGTATATAAATGAAGCCAATGCGGCCAGAAGGCAAGGTAGCTCACCCCCGCCGGCTTGGCTCGGGATGCGATGGCCTGCAGCAGGAAGCCCCCCCTGTCGTACTGAGACATCTCTGCGGCTCGCTGCTCAGATTGCTGCGCTCTCTTCTGGGCCCTCCGCTCCTGCACCCCCAATGAATTGCAGAACCTTTGGCAAGAATTTTCCGTGATTAATACACGCTTTTCATATATTCCGCCGATTCACTCTCCCTGTGTCCTGCAGCGTAGATACTTGCCACTTAAGACATATTACGACACAATTTTCCTGCCAAGAGGCAAGGTGCGTCTGCAGACAAGGTGCAGTCAAAGGCTGTTAAAATCCTACCCCTTGATGCACTCGCCAGATTCAAGCAAGACCCAATTTATCGTGGGCATGGTGCTCAGTATCTGTACCGGCCCCTGCCAGTCGGGGGCTAGATTGCAGGATGACATCATGCAAACTGCAGTCTCTTGTTGATGCTTGTGCCCGGACATTCAAAATTCACACCAATTCAGACAGTGATCCCGTATGAGGTTGCTCAGCTGCTGTGCTTAATGAGGATCAAATGGGTTGATACCTTGCGCTGCTGCCGCTGCGCATTCCTGGCCGCCCTCTTCTTGGCCTTGTCCTCCTGGTTCTGGCACACTGCCATCAGCGCCGCTTCATCGACGGACATAGCCGAAGGCGCCGCTGTGTCGTCCGGCCTGGGACAAGTAACACTCACACTGAGAGGGTCAACGGTATATGACAGCAGCTGCGCAGAATTTTAGCGATCCTTGCTTGCCCAAGAGCAAAGGGCCACTCTTGATAAAAGGTACTGGCAGGATGGACTGTGTCAGGCTGCACAGGCAACATGGTGACCTCCCAGATTGTAGGCAATGCAACTTGCCAGGACTATCACGTGATGGATAAAGCAAGGAAAACAACACAAGACACGAAAGATGTCTAAGAAGTGCAGGCAATCAAATATGAGCTGAGAGCCCCGAACGCATCATCCATTCAGCATTGAGAACTCGGTTAGTCCGACGAGCTGGTTCAAACAAATGTGAACACCGCCTGTGAGAACAACACTCACTCGAAGAGTTTGTTGGAGTGCAGAAAGGCTTCCCCCAAGTTACGCCTGGAGAGAGACTGCTGCACTGCCACAGCACCTTCTGGCTCATGTTCAGCAAACTTGTGACGAAGGCTGTTGGCACCACTCTCGTCAACCTGTAATGTCATTTTGTCAAGAAAACATCGTAACTACATCTCAGGAGAGAAAGACTCAGCTTGCACACTCTATTGACTTTCTAGCAAAGCAATGGCGCGGTCTTTATTAGGCCAAGCGATCGCTTTGGATAGGTGCAAGCACGCCTGTACCGAGAGATAATCATAGTACACATTCTTTGCTGACTTTGAACAATTCTTGTAAAATTCTTGTCTCTTGTGAAGTCAAATGGGATGAGTAAGGGCATACTGCGATGACGATCTGCCAGCTCGCTTTGTCGTGTTTTCAAATGGCCAAGGGCGACAGACTCTAAACTTGAGATTCACAGGAAGGTTGGCATACGTGCTTTGAGTCAAATATACTGGTTAGAGACTACGCACGTTCAAATCCTATCCAACTTTCGGAGGCCTATATGTCGGAGAAGGCTTCATACGTGTCGGTAGCTAGGTAAGTCTGCAGGTCAAGACAAGGGGAGGGATGCAGGCTCTGGCACATCAACCATGAAATGAATGCATTTCCTCTCATAGTCGAGAGGGTAACTTGCGAGGTGGAGATCAAGTGCGCGCGTTGGGAGCCCCGCCATCACAAGTGAAACGCCAGATTAGAGATGCCCGGCCCACCACAGTGCTTGACTGGATGCAATGGGACTTTGGCAACTAGAAGCCGTCCTCGACAGTCACGAGTCTTGTTTACAATTTTCGCAGACTCATACCAAAGCAACCACCTCTTGTGTCCTTGCAAACAGTGAAACTGGCTGCCCTCCACTGCGCCATCAAGCTCTTCACTACAACACATAAACAGAAAGCTACCCAGCCCACTAGCATGCCCCCTGCAAAACATGCTCAGGATGCAGCAGTGGTGCTACAAGCCGCATGTCACCGGCAAGGTTGCTGCAATAGAGACGGGCGCCCTGAGCCAAACAAGATCCCACGCTGAGGTTGCAGCAGCAGTGCCAGGCGCCCATGAGCCAGTCAGGATCAGGATCAGGACTGGATGATTTGGTGGAGGAAGTCGGAGATCTCGTGCTGGTCGGAGCGGGACACAAGCTTCATGGCGACGTTGCGGCCAATGTCGATGCCGAAGCTGATGCGCGCAAGGGCCGGCACATCGCCCACAAAGTGGCCGGCCAGCAGCAGCGTGTGGCTGCGCGCGTTGGGCGGCACCGCGTCGCTGCCGTCGCAGGGCGCCATGCCCAGGATCGACATCACCGCCTCCACTGCATCCTGTGAACCACCAGACACCACGCTCGTCAGAACGCAAGAGAAGGGATGGCTTGGGCAGTTGTGCATGTGGCTGTCACCCCACACACACCGCTCAACAGACCACGACCAAAGGAGCGGTTGTGCAGTTTTGCATGGGGCTCCTGAGCACACACTCTGCCGTGCTCTGTGCATGCGGCTCAGGAGCACAGAGTCTTTCGGAGATACGGAGAGCAATGAGCCTCTGTGCATGCGGCTCCTGAGCATAGACTGTCTCGGCGATAAAGACATCAAACGCACTGAGCAGAGATGCAAGCAAATCCAACACGCTGCCCTTCTCACATGCGATCCATTACATCACATCATCCCTACAAGCCCGAGAATCCCATCAAGACCCGTCATTTCTCCTCCAATTGCCATGCATGCTGGGATCCACATCTCACCCGAGAGCACCTCGCACGTATGATGTGCGCATTACAAAAAGCACTCACAGTGTGAGCCTGGCGGCGTGAGCTTACCTGGAGGCTGTCGCGGACGCCGAGGCCGTAGTCATCGCTGATCTCGGATGCCGGGTCGGTGTCCTCCCAGGCCTTGCGGAAGTTGGAGACGGGCACCGCCTTGATGTAGTTGGCCGCCCCAATGTCTATGTCCTCCAGCTGGTACTCGTCCTCATACCCATCCTCCTCCGCCTCGCCTGCAGCCAACCAAGATATCGTCTCATCAGTTCTGCCAAGATTACCAAGACCTCCAACCTGGAACTTCAGCCTCCTGAGTAAAACAGCACCATAAGAGAGAGATGCAAAAGGCAGCTTGCAGCCTCCGTGGGTGTACAGCACCATGCCAAGCGGCTGGAAAGGCATGTTCAATGTGCATTTTGCGGAGTAACCTCTGAGCTGGAGAAAGATATAAAGAGCGGGAAGAGGGTGCATACCGCTGGAGGGGTCGATTTCCTTGACGGTGAACTGGAGGTTGGCGCCCAGCTTGCCCATGGACAGGGAGTCGGGCGGCCGCTGCAGCAGCACGTAGGTCTGCCCCACGCTCCCGTACTCCATGCGCGCCAGCGGCAGCGACAGCTCCTGCTCAAACTCCTCCTGTGCGCACAACGCCACACCCCTCACACTCAGCCGCCAGTGCCAGAACAACATGCACTCTGCGGCACCCCAGGGAATACACTGAGACCTACGAGTCGCCTTGAAACACTCAGCCGCCGCTGCGAGAAGCAAGGGCATGACATTCTGCACCATCTGAAAAGATGATATTATCCCACAAGCTTGTCGTTGCGTATGAATGACAGGAACTTCTGAGCTTACTCTGGCTGTTGGTGGTATCACCAGCATCGACATCACATGGTGGAAGACCACGTCAGCCGGGTAAGCTTAGGGACATTTGTCTTCCTGATCATATTAAAAATTCTTGAGAATAGGACAATACTGGGCGCTCTTATTGCTAGGCTGAGGATGTCAGGCAGGCAGGAAGGTTGGGTGAGCAGCATCACATATGAAAAAGGGGTCGCACCGCTTCGGAGAGGTCGACCGCGACGCTGACATTTTCGAGGACCTGCTCCTGCACGGTGTTGGTGCAGTTGAATTGCAGCAGCACGTGCGCCGCGAAAATGTGCACCACGACCGCGATGTTGTACTCGGTCTCCTCCTCCGTCAGCAGCAGCGGCTCGGCCGACTTGAAGAGCGGCCCCACATGCGCCAGCTCCGGGATGTCCCTCAGCGCGTCAACATACTGCGACGCCATCACCGGCTCCTGCACAGAACATCCCCAGCGCTTCTTTAAACTTTAAACAGATTGAAACAATTCAAGACGGTTCAGTTTGCTGAGATGCACTTCTACTGCGCCGCAATCCTCAGCTCCTGCCTGGGTTGACACCTGCTGAGCCGCCGCTCCGCTCATGCACCGCTGTGTTGTGAAGCTGCTTGTCTCATACACGAGGAGCTCAACAGAAAGCCGACCCTTTAAGACTGTGTCATCTTGCTCTGGAAGTTGCTCAAGACGTGGAGGCAAAGAGAATGTACCGGCTTGGAGACGGCTGCAGGCCCAGACTTCTTCTTCTGGTCCTTCTGCGGCGCTTGGGGGACGGCTTTGGGCACTGACGCCTGCACAGCAGCGCATGGGGAAGCCGTCAGCACCGCCTTTGCTTCAGTAAGACTCCTTCAACGTCTGCATTACTGACACGAGGGACAGGAAGTGGACATTGGTGCCTCACCAGGTCGAAGGGCTTGTCAGTGCCGTTTTCCAGGTAGGCGCGCAGGCTCTTCTCAAGGTTCTTGGGAGGGATGTTCCACTGCACATCGATGGCCTGGGGACCCCCGGCATTCCCGTCCAGCTCTGCCAGGTACAGCGTGGCCCTGTCTCGCACCTGTTTCAGGACAGCAAAGCATACACTGTCGAGCCAGAGCACGAAATAGTCTCACAAGCCCTGACCATGGTTCTGAGGACGGGTAGTAGATTGAGCCATATCCGTGCTAGGCTATAAAGGGACTCATTCCTTGTTGGGATGACGCCATAAGTCTGAACCCCCTTTTGGGGCATACAGCTATTCTTCCAGGCAAATGAAGGCTGTATTAATGTGCCATTCCTTTTCAAGCGAATGATCGTTGCAAATCAAAAATATTCACACAAAGACTCATGGGCTCCCAGCAAGAAATCAGACCTTGTACGCACCATCATGCGTGCATGCAGCCTGAGCTGCTGTGCATGGCCATCAACATTGCTGCAGTGAGAGAAGAAGAGAACAAACGGCGCACCTCGTCGTCGTTGTCGTGGAGGGCGCGGGAGAGGAGCACGCGAATGCGCGGGCGCAGGTCCTCGACAAGTGCGCCAAACTTGGCGAGGGATGAGACGGCGGCTGCGCGCACGGTGGCGTTCTCCAGGATGATGCGGTTGTAGATGAAGCGGATGTACTTGGCCGGGTCCTTCGTCTTGGGGCCCTCCACGCCCAATAGGTGCAGGATCTGGGTGCTCAGGTACGTGAACTCACAGTCCTGCAACACACCCAACGACTTTAGACAAGGATTGTGAGCCCTAAGGTTTGGAAATGTCATCCACTCCTAGAGCCTAAGCTGCCAACATGACCTGCTAAACATGAAAGCACCTGGTAGGAAAGGCGGGATGCAAAGACGGGCCTGGCAAATTGAGGAGCTGCACGCACGCAATGGGGGCATGGCACAAGGCCAGAGCCTTTTGAAAGCACCAGAGAAGACACCAATGTGCTTGGCAACGACGTGAAGCTGCCACAAGACAATAAAGGCAGGCAGTGCCTATGAAAGCTTCCTTCCAGTTGTGGCCCTGCATGCTGCAGCTATTGGCAGAGGGCTCATGAGCATGCCTCGATGAATTCGCAGAGGTGGCCGAGGCCGGGCTCCTTGGCATCGGGGATGTCTTTGATGAGGATGAGAATGGAGTCCACGATGGCCTTCTTGTACTCGAACCCACCGTCCTCGCGCAGCACGTTGGACAGGAAGTTCATCAGCGCCCGGTACCTGTGCCAGCGCCCCCGGTCAGAAAGGCACTCATCTTGCCTTCGTGATAATCAGATTCAAGACTATTGTACCCTGAAGTGCATGCGTCAGTGGCTGATAGGTTTGGGGGTCGCAGTAAGGGGACAGCACGCTGGCAGTAGATGCAGCGCTACAATCAGCAAGAGCTGATACACCTTCCAAAAGCAAGAACATGCAGTACTGAGTGCCTGACATCATTTGGGTGACGCATGCATGCAACAACGGCAGATGGGGAGTGTGGGCCAAGGGACCGTGTGTGAGGGGTCGCGCACTTCTGGGGGAATTTGAGGCAGAGGGAGCGGATGGCTTCAACGACGACAATCTTGAAGTCATCGGCAATGTCGCTCATGAAGGAGCCGATCTGCTTGAGCAAGCGCTCCACGCTGCCCTCATTGCCCGTCTTGAGCAGCGTGGTGATGGCCAGCGTCGCGATTGTGCGGTTGCTGTCGCTGATCAGCGCCTCCAGATCCAGGTTGGTCGCCGCCACCGCCCCCGGGTGAGTCATCGCCACCTGTCATACACGACATCAGCGCTACTTCCTCAGCCTTGGGGCTTGTATCAGGCTGGCTTGTACCGAGACGCCCACCCTTACAACCTCTGGTCCACATAGCGCCCTGGTACAGCACTGAACCTCCCTTCATCATAAACGACATGGGTAATAAAACCTTGCCTTCCACACGCACCGCAAGTGCAGCCTGCTGCAGCACCACTGCCACAGACTTCATGTTGCATGCTTATAGGCAGGCAGAACGCAGGTGTGTCATCTTCCCAAAGGCGGGTGCAGGGTGAATATAGAGAAGGAAGGCGCACCTTGTTGAGGGTGCGGACGGAGGCGAAGCGCAGGACGGGCTTGGAGGAGGTGAGGAAGAGCTGCAAGACGGTGATGGCGGGCGCCAGCTCGCGGTTGGTTACCTCTGGCATGGCCACGATGGCGCGCGCGGCCTCGAAGATCACCAGCTCCGCCTTGTGCCGCAGGCAGCTCTCCAGGAAGTCATAGAAGGGCCGCTGCCCGCTGCCCGACGCCGTCGACTCCGCGATCACCTGCGCCACATACCTGCAGCCACACCCACAACGACTGTCAGATCAGAGCTCATATACTGTCGCCTGAATTGGCACCAAATCTTTCGATTCACAGGGCAATAGACAGCACTGAATTGCCGCTTATGCACCAGATAACATATGTCCCTTTTTTGCATCACCATTTGAGGGACAACTGTAAGCCGACAATTTACAGGGAGTTTGCGCATAATGGCAAGCACGAGAGCGCAAGGGTGGGGTTTCACCTGACCAGCAGGCACTGCGCGAGGGAGGAGCGGACGTTGCTCTTTGTGAGGGAGGTGACGAGCTTGCTGACAGCCAGGCGGTCGTTGGCGCGCAGCGCGTGCAGCAACGCCACGGCATGGAACTGCACCATGGAGTGCTTGCTCTGCACCGCCTCCTGGATCTCATTCGTCCACCGCTTCACGATCTCTGAGTTGTGGCCCAGCAGGTGCAGCGCGCTCACCAGCACCGCGCTCGCCACCACAGCCGCCTTGTCCACAATCGCCTGTTGGGGTACATGCACTGTCAGTCTGCGAAGTCTCACACGGCACTCCAATCCCTGGCGCCTCAAAAGGGAGAGAAATACATGCGATGACATCGAGGTTATAAGCAGCAGGGAGAGGATTTTTACACTGGGTGCAAGGGCGGGCCGGTCACCTGTTTCAAGTACCGCTCTATTTGCCCCAGCAACTGCGAGTCTGTGATAGAGCAGAGCACCCGGATGGCATTGGACCGGTACAGGTCGGTTTTGCTGTTCATGTCCTTCATCAAGGAGCTTGTGATGATGATGACTTCGTCCGCCCCAGGGCAGACATCTTTGATGACCAGGTACACCATCCTTCTGAGATTTGCATCCTTGCTCTGATACAACTTTGTAACGCTGAAGAAGACCTCCGATGCCTCTTTCTGCATGTCCATGATATATCATTGTTAGAATGCACCCTCATGACATGGTGCATGCAAGGAAAGCGGGTCACCCAAGAAATTTACCAAGACAGGGCTGTGCTCGCACCTTTGTCAAGGTTTCCCCTTGAGTGAGGAGGTACAGAAGCTTTGTAATGACCTGCAAAGAAAAGGAATCCGTTAATTTATGTGTGACAGCAATGCTTGTGCCAATTAGGAGCTAGATACCAGGCACCTCTAACATGCACGTCCTCAAACAGACGAGTTCTTCACCTGCTGGCAGCGCCTTGGGTCAATGTGCGGATCATTAAAGCATCTGGCCTCTTGCAATACAGCCCCCTTCTCGATAGCGTAGAACGGAGAATACTCAGCTGCATCACAGCAATGCCTTGTCAATCAACCAGACTTTAGTCTCTGACAATCTTGTCACCAATGCAACATTATATCAAATGCAACTGCACATCCATTGCAGGCTATTGCAAAACCATAGGACCAGCAAAAAGCGAACAGCTTGGAAGTGTGATGATCTTCGCAGGACTCACTGTCTTCATCTCTATCCTCATCTTTCTTTTCTGGACCTCGCAAGGGTGCTGAAGGATCCTGGGCCGTTGCAGCCATGATTGCTGCCTACAGGCTACCGTTCCTTCCACAGTAGTATGCCGGGTAGAGTGAAAAGTTCAAGGTCCGTGGAGGTCTTTGCAGACCCTGTCCTGTTCTCCCCCGTGTTTCATATGTACAATATTAGAGAATCAACTTTTCAATTGCTGGTGATATTTGCGAAACAACAGCACGTTCCGCACCAAAGTTGGGAAAGAATTCGCAAGCAGCAGAGCGTGGGAAAAGTGGGGGGACCTCGAAAACACGCCGTCGGACAGAGGTCTTTTCCAAATTTTTGTAGCGGCGACAGTTCGAGATCAATCTTGCCTTACTGCAAAGTACTTCGTAAACATCTGCAGTATCAAGGTATTTCATGAGGTTACATAGTTGCTGATCAGATTGTTGCTGTTCACGTTGCTCACTAGCGTTCCTACAAATTTGTCGACGCAACTGGTGTGCAGGGTCTGATCAAAGTGCAGTCCTCTTCTCAATTCTAAAATATTTCGTAACATTGATTTCAAGCGTGGTTATGGTACATGCATAGTTTCCTGGCTGTCCATCTTTCCTAGTCACCAACCCGTGGGCTAGTACTTCAAAAGGAGGTGGGGTTGTTTCGCTGCACTACATCTGGCACAATGGCGGACAATGTGCGGGCAATCATGGAGGAGATGATCCCAGAGATCGAGGATCTCGAGAAAAGGGGGTACTTCTCCAAGTCAGAAATCAGGCAGATCGTGAAGAAGCGCACAGACTTTGAGTACACTCTGAAGCGCCGCGCAGCTGTAAAGGCAGACTTTCTCAGGTACTGTTCCATCACTTGCTGAATAAGAATTGATTGAGAAGACAGCATCTCACTGGCATGCGATTGTTGCGTAGTCATGCAAATGATGGAAGCACTGTCTGATTTATGGGCATTCCAATCTGTGCCTGCAGATACGTGCAGTACGAGAGCAGGCTTGAAGAGCTGAGGAAACTACGAAAGGATGCAATGGGACTGGAGGGCAAGCGGGGCCTGGCTGATCACGGAATGATCCGGCGGATCCACTTCATATATCAGCGTGCCACGCAGAAGTTCAGGGGCGACATGCGCCTCTGGTCATCCTGGCTGCAGTTCTGCAAGGACTCCGGCAGCACACGCAAGCTCTCCCAAGTGCGCTTTTCATCCGCTACATATCACCATGTCTGCCTGTCTAGGGCCGCCTGAGAAGAAATTCTCATCACAGGCAAGCCTGTGCTCAGTGGCCTGCTCACAACAGGCAAGGTCCTAACTTAGCGTGTTGCCGGCAGGTGGTGACCAAGGCGCTGCAGCTGCATCCGCGCGAGGCAAGCCTGTGGATCCATGCGAGCGCATGGGAGTTTGAGCACAACCGCAACGCCGGGGCCGCACGCGCGCTGATGCAGCGGGGGCTGCGCATGTGCCCTGGCAGCGCGGACCTTTGGGCAGAGTACTTTAGGATGGAGCTGCTGTACGCGCACACGCTGCGCACGCGGCGCAAGATCCTGGGCATCGCCTCAGCAGGTGCGGCGAGTCACAAGCTCTTTCGCTACACTCCCAACACACATGTGCTCGTCAATTGTGCTGCGATCTGCACTATAGAAAGCTGTAGTTGAAGGTAACTGATCAGTGAGCTTGTGGAGGGCCGGTGCCCGAGTGGCAGTGCCGTGCATGTGGGGTTGCTGATCTGAGAACCTAACAATGATGACTTGTGCTGTGTAGGTGGCTTGGCTGGGGACGTGGAAGGGGTGCAGGCTGAGACGCCTGCATCTGCTGGAGAGGAGTCAGAGGCAGCCGTGCAAATGGTGCTGAACGGCGCGGTCGCGACGGTCGTATTCAAGCAAGCGACGGCAGAGCTTTCAAAGGAGGCGGCCATTCGCAAGAGGTTCCTGGACATCCTTTCGGGCTTCTCATTCCCGGGTGCAGCATCGATCGCTGAAGTGAGTCCTGAGCTTTGCGAATGTTTGCTGCTGTGGAGTCTGAGGTCTTGAGAAGCCTGAGACAAAAGTAAAAAAGTACAGCAAATGACATAACACCTCAAGAGCTTGAGTGCGTCCATTCTTTGGTGACCTTCTCCCAATGACCATTTTTGAAGGTGGCCTTTGAGGTGATGAGAAGGAGCAGCTCATGTTGATGAAGCTGGCTTGAAAGGCTCACCGGAAACAAACTTGCCATGTGACCAGGCCATCTACAGCAGCTTGGAGGCGGACTTCCCCACCGATGCAGAGGCTTGGGATCTGCGCGCGAGGCGCTGGCTGACTCAGCATCCGCCAGAGCAGCCGTCAGCTTCCACCAGCTCCCCAGAGGAGGCAGCTGTGGCTGTCTACGAGAGCGGGCTGGCAGCCACGCAGGGCGAGCAGATGTATGATCTCTACATGGCCTTCCTGACTGAGCATCTGGACAAGCTGGCGCCTGCTGGAGGGGACTCGAGAATTTCCCTCCCCAAGCTGAAGGGGCGGTCCAAGGAGCTCGCTAAAGCTCTCTTGGAGGTGCGCCGCTCTAGGCTATTGTTGCCATCACACCATTTTGCTGCTTTATCAAGTATCACTGATGCTGCTCTTGTAAGCTGTTAATATAGTGCTTCTGAGAGGCTGTAGCTATAGTGCTTCTGTGAGGCTGTCACTATAGTGTTTCTGAGACGCTGCAGACAAGCAAAAGTGCATTTTGGGGGGAAGTACAGCAAAGACATTCACAATGCTTGGTTATCGCACAGGTCTGCGAGAAGGCGGCTTCAGAAGGCCGGGCTTCCGAGGCGCTGTTGCTAGAGTGGCCCAGGCTCGCGCTGAGATTTGGACGCGTGAAGAAGGCCCTGGAGGCTGCGGCGCGCGCGTGCCAGAGCTGCCCCGGCTCTGCGGCTCTGTGGCAGCAGCGCTTGCTCCTGCAAGCCCAGCAGGCCTCTGCGCAGGTATACAGCTTGGACTGTGTCATAGATGTTCCCTCGCACCTTAGAAAGTATAAGCGTTTCCTGACCTGTAGTGGCGATTCCTTGTGAGCTGCATCAATCTTGCTATGTAATTTGTGGTGGTATTCGCAGGGCGCTGATGGGTAAATGTGTGCTTGAATTTGCAGGGTACTGATGCGAATCGGGAGAGCGCACAAGCGTTGGCGCTGGAGGCGGTCAGGTCACTGCCGTGCTCTCAAGCGGCAGAGCTGTGGATTGTGGGCTTCAGAACTCTGTCCTCCCTGTCCCTGCCGCTGGATGGCCTTGTGAATGAGCTCGTGCGGGTTCTCAGCGGCTCGGCAAAAGGGCGGCTCCGAGTGCGTCCCCTGACTTTTAAGCAGTACAGCTAAGCTGCAGAGGAATCCATAACTTCGGCTATTCGTGGCGGGCAGAAAGGGACCTTTCTGATAGTACACCAATTCGTATAATTGTCTGCACCCTGTATTTGTAAGCAAACAAGTGCTGCATGGCGGTCGCTGAAAGGTATAGGACGAAGATCTGCAATGTGAGCATGATATTTCTTGTGATCGACGGTGATTGGGGCTGTTTGCAGGGAGGGATGGGAGAGGCGGCAGCAGTGGCGGTACAGGCTGTGCGGGACACATCTGGGCTGCCAGCAGCAAGGCAGCTGTATCGGCGACTGCTGAAGATACCGCCGGCTGGCGGCTCGCTGATGCATGCTGTGCTGGATATGGAGCTGGGGGCCTCAGCAGAAGAAGCCCTGAGCGCTGCAGAGCTCGACAGAGTTTTTGAGGTGCGGCACTGACCTCCTATGGGGGTGCACATTCAGGGCTGGCATGCGCACTGCACCTTACTTTTTTTGGTTCTCTCCACGATTGCTGTCGAGGCTGAGGCACGCTATGGCATGCATGTGCTAGCTTAGGTCTGCGCCCTCTGCATGACACTGACTACTGTCTGGGGGTGCATGCAGGCGGCTGTGGATGCCTACGGGTCAGAGGATGAAGATATCTGGTTGAAATATGTGCAGAACAGGATGCAGCAGGCAAAGAATGTGGGAGACTTGCATTGGCGGGCGACGAAAGCCCTGACTGATCCTGAGACCTTCGTACAGAAGTATCATGACTTGCAACATGCTTTTGTGTAGTCTGGCAGCTTTTGATCATGTAATAAGTAGCCTACTCTTTAAAACACAAGCCGCTCTTCTGCATTTCAAATATTGGACGTCACACATGGGCCATGGCTGGGTCAGCAGTACATCTAAGTGGCGCACGTGAGAGCAACACTTTCAAATTGGCGCAATGAAGCTGATTTTCTCGGCATTTCTCCACTGAAAATTGTTTCCCACTTGAGCTATCAATGGTATGACATTATAATCGGTGAGGGGCAACTGTGGCACTGGGTGGTTGGTGCAGCCACTCGTTAACGCCGACCGAATGACGTCTCCCTGGCGATTGTGACATGAGTTGTGGACTCCTCCTTGATGTCAATGAGTGCATCACAAGACCCAGCAAACAGGTTTGAACCACTTAGACCTCACGTTGCTTGCTGCATGTACTGTTGAACTGGAAGAGCGCACTGGCCTTCAGCGAATGCCCCCTTTTGCATTTGTCGATACGCCATTTTAGAGGTGTGCTTTATTTTTGCTTCTCTTTGATTACCGAAAGTAAATGTATGTGTGCAAGCAGGCTCCTCGATAAAGGGGAATTGTTCTTTGAGAACGAACTCGCCCCAAGCCAGGGCAATGCAGGAAATAAGCTTGCCTGAAAACACCCTGGTGATATGGGCTCACCCAGACTTTTGCCGGGATGTCTTAATGCACCTCGGACAACACCAAGTGGTCAGACACATGCCCCCACTCCTTCGTTTTACAGTCTTGCCTTCTGTTGGTTTGCATGACAATGCCAAAGGGTTACAGAGAACACACTCATCCTTCTGTGCTGCAGGTAAAGGACTTGCTATATCCCTGCAGTGAGGCTGGTGAACGGGCGGTGGGCCTAATCCTCGACGCCAATGCAGGTGCTACAGCCAAAAATTTCACCATATCCACACAGTGAACCCACGTCTGGAGTCGTATTCTATTGGGTCTCACTCTGTCAAAACAACCCCTCCGAGAAGTGTCATTTATGCGTTCAGGACGAAGGAGCTGGGAGTCTCTTTTCCTGGGCGCTGAAACTCCCCAGAGGCTGAAGGCAGGGTATGCCGTGAATGCCGAAGGAGACCTGCAATGCCCTGCCTGCCAAGAGACCTCCTTTGGCCAGCACTGTGGCCAGTCCCTGACCGGCAGACCCGCCTGCTGGCGTCTGCCAGACGGTGATTCTACCATGCCTGATATGCTACTGGCCCTATCCCTTGTGGTGTGGCAACAAGTTACTCGTCTCTGAACAGGAGGATCTGCGCATAAGGACTCTGATGGGGTGGTATCGATCCCTCGGGATGGTGTGGCAACCGTGGTTCCCTTGTTATGCAGATAAAGGCCGGCACAGATGGATGTCGGCCAGGGCAATGGAGCAGCTGAAGGCGGCTCAGGAGTGGCAGAAGTCTGCTTCGTGCACACAATGTGAGCTGGCCTGTCATCCTTGGTTGTTGCGATTTATTCAAGATTTACACAAAACGAACAAGAGGCTGACACCAGACACTGTTACAGGTCTGCGCAAGCTCCTGCTCACAGCGCAGAGTCCACATGTGCTCGCTGGGGACACACAGCCTGCCTCCCAGAATGGCTGCGAAGAGGAGCTGAGCCGCATCACTGGGTCCATATTCTGCCTGTCTCCTAACACTGAAGAGGTCTGGCTTCTTCACCTACTATCATATGACGAACGTGAAAAGGTGCTTGTCCAAGCTTTGCCAAAAGCTGCAATGCACTGCTTCAATCCTGTGCCATGATACAATTCTGGCCACAGTTGCCTTCTGGCAGCTGGGTGGGGTTCCAGGTCTTGGATTGACTTGCAACGATGCTTGCAGGTGCTTGCGCGTCTGAAGGCCCAGTATGAAACGCACTGGTACACTGACATCATGGTGGTGCAAGGCAGAAATGCCGCCTGCTCAGCCGTAGGGGAGACACAGGTAAAATTCACATTTTTACTTGAGAACCCAGCTCAATTTCAAGCTTTTCTTGCCCCTCTCCTCCATGGTGTTTTTTTCACTCTGAAAAGCTGAGAGCGGATGTAGTCCGTGCAAGGCTGGAATGAGGTGTGTGTGCCCGGGGTGGGTCAGGCGAGGGCGCAGGCGGCCAAATTGCCTCAGTACAGGGCGCATGTGCTGGTGGCTCAGCCATTTGCACAGCAGGATGCAGGGCAGCCGGGCCCTCCAAAGCAGCCGCGCATGGTTCTGGATGGCGAGGAGCTGGAGTGGGCTATTGTGGACGGCCTCCTAGCAACCGCCAATGCCGGTGCTTTCCATGCAACATGCATGCTGTTTTGATGGGCCCACCTTGATGTTCAACGTCTTCGCAGATGCTGTGCACTTGCCCGGCAAGGGGTGGTCTCTGGTCTCACCTTTATTGCAGGGGCTTCCTATGTGACTGGTCAAGGCTGTGCAGGTAACACACCTCCCAAGAAGGCTCCCACAGCGCGAGCAGGCGGATATGCAGCACCAACCTATCCACCAAAGGCTGCGTCGGCCTCGCAGCCGCGGCAGCCACGCACCGTTGGGGGCGCAACAGCAGGGTCTGTGCAACAGTTGAATGGTGCTGCAGCAAATGGGTCCCAAAGACCCCTGGGAGCGGCGGCACCGCAGGGGGCAGCAGCAAGGCTCCCCCGCACTGCCAACGGAAACCATGCACTGCCCAGAAAGCCTCCACAGCATTCAGAGGTGGTGATCTGACTCCTGCAATGTCTTGCACTAGTGCAGCTCGAAGCAATGGTTGTGCAACACCTGTGTCGCACATCAATGTGGGGTGATGTCATTGGGCTGAAGGGGCGTGAGGTGATCCCGCAGGTGTATCCCAATGGTGCGGTGGCCACACTGATGCAGCCGCTGCAGCCGGCGCGGCAGCCCAGCACGGGATTAATCACCAGCTTGCTATCAGGGAAGCCACTTGCCGCGCCTGCAGAAGTGCCCAGGCTGGCCTCGTCAGCCGCCATGTCAGAGCTTGCCCAGATGGCCTCCCAGCAGCGCCGCTCAGACTTCGCTTCGGCGCCGCGGCCCGCCACCGTCGCCAGACAGCCGCCCGGTGCGCAGCAGGATCCGCAAATGGCAGCGAGCAATGCTCAGAGGCAGCAGCGGCCGAGCCTGGCGGATTTGCGCAGCTCGCTAGCACAGAAGATCGACGGCAGGCAGAGGGACCTGGCAGGCGCTGGCGCGACCGCAGCTCCCGTGCCGTCAGCAACCGCAGCGACGGTTACAGAAGAAGCGCAGCCAATGGCAGCAGCAGATCTGCGCAGCTCCCTGCTGCAGTTGATTGCCGGCGGCACAAGGGACCCAGCCAGTGTCCCGGATGTGGCCGCGAGCTTACAGGCGGCAGGGCACAGGCAGCAGCCTGCTGCTCGAGCGAGGTCTCCCCAGGGACCCTGGAGAGGAGGGCGCGCCTTTGCAGCACCGGTGCGGCTGTCAGCCGGGGTGCACAGGCACGTCCCTAGTGGGTCGCACCTAAAGCACCTGGGCAGCCCCAACAATGCGCGCAGCTCCGACCGCGCTGCCTCGGTGGGCCCCCGCGAAGGCAGCAGCCCTGACAGCGGCAGCCGGGAAGCTTCCCCTGCCGAGGCCGCTGCCGCCGCCGCTCTGGCACTTGTCTCTGCTGCTGGGGCACCCGCCCCTGCCATTCAGCCCGCGGCAAGCGCCGCAAAGTCCGGTGTCGCTGCTGCTCAAGCTGCCGCTGTAGGTGCTTCGTGGGAGCTGCCGGGGCATGAGACGTTTAGGGCACCCACCACCAGTAGCAGCGAGCGCCAGGCGTCCAAACAAGCGAGAGCCGGCAGCGCTCGGCGCGATGCCTCCGGCAGCACGATGCAGAGAGGTGCGCGCGGCGCGAGCACAAGCGCGATCGACTTACCGCCCCGGAGCCGGCGGCGGACATCCCGTGCACTAGCCATGGACGAGGTATCACCACGCATGCAGCATAGCCGGGGACGGCAGCCGCGCCCATCCATCTCAGACGCGGTTCCTCCGCAGCAACGCATATCACACCTAATGATGGAGAGCTCCCTCTCGCTTTCCGTCGTAGCGGAGTCCAGCCGAGGAGAGTCGCCGCCAGCCGCTCGGGGCCGATCGGGCCGGGGGCGGGGGCGCGGCGGCCGGGGGCGCGGCCGCCGGAGGGGCCCCGGACGGCCGCCCAAGGCCGTGCCGTATTCGCCGCCACCGGCGCCGGCGCGGAAGCGGGGACTCGTGGAACAGGAGGCCGCGGCGGCGCCGGACTACTTCCCTGTCAAGCGGGCGCGCACCAGTAGGGTCGTCCTGCGCCCGGAAGGTGCGTCACCTATTTGTGGCACACCTGCTATTTTTCGTCAGATCCTACGGCGTCATGCCTCGGCCTGGCATTAATTATTTTGTTCTACGTGCACATCACCTCAAAATTCTGCGCTGCGTGTGAATGAAAATGGGGGCTTTGTGCTCGGTTGCAGATGTGCAAAAGCCATGGAGCAACCCGGAGAGCTGGCTGGAGTCACTCGTGAGGGCGGCGGAGACAGCAGCTGCGAGGAGTCCAACGCCGCACAAGCAGCCCCCGGCATTGCAATGCGGCGCAAAACAGATCGACGGCATGCCCCGCCCATCCGCCCCCGCAACGCCCTGCTCCGCGGCTGCGGCACCGCTGAGCCACGCCAGCGCCTCCCTCTCGCAGCCGGGCTCCCATGCAGCGCCTGCTGCCGAGTGCAACACGTTGCCTGAGGTTGCCGCGGGTGACAAACCGGCCAAAGTGGCGGATGCAGCCTGCTCGGTGGATGTGTCTCCGGGGGCTGCCGGTGGCGGTGGGCCTGCGCCAGAAGACAGCGGGGTGACTCACTCTGTGGAGAACGCTGCAGCAGCGGCCGGGGCTCGGATGATGAAGAAGCGCAGGAAGCGGATCAAGGTCAACGCTGATTCGTCGCGTCTGTCGCCGCCGGGCGCCTTCGGCCGAGCCGTCTTCGGGCGCAAGAAGCGGGTGAGCAGCCCAGCGATGTGGCCCGGCTCTGAATCTTGCATGCATGCACAAGCCACGCATGCACGCCCCCTCTATCCAAGTGATGTCATCTATTCTGTCAGCCGAGAGGAGGTGACAGGGTGGACAACAGTCTTAGCTCCTAAACTGAGGTGTACAGATGGTTCATGTCTGAAGTGGGAGGATCTGGCGCTGTGGCAGGGGACTGAGGATGTGACGTACAATGAAAAGGTGCTGAGGCAGCAGCAGTGGAAGGCGGAGCAGAAGGTGCTGCAGGACCGGTGCAGGCGTCGCACGCGAGAGGCGGCCGACGAATCCGCGGACACCTGCGGAGATCGCACCCAGCTCCTCATGCGCCTGATGCCCGACCAGGGCCTCGCTGACGGCCAGTGTGGTGAGGCTTTTCCCAAGACTGGCATCACTATCTACGGCATGTCACGCATGTGGCAGGAAAGGCGACAGGCGGACAAGAGTAGGGTCGCCAAATCGAGCACTCGTCCTTCCCTGGAGTTCAAATACAAATTGAGGATTCAATCAGGCCTGCAGGCACTTTCTTATATCTTTCAAGGTGATGGTTACCTCAAAGTGCAGACTGCCAATGTTGTTGAGATGGGCAAAGCCATCCCCTTTTGAGAGACTTGCTCTGCAACAATGTACTGCTCTGAATCTGCAAAATTCTTCCAATATCTAAGTCCATTCGAAGGCGCAAGGGTCCTTTTGCGATGTGCTTGTGCATGGCATGAAATATTCTTTGTGCTTGCATTGTAGGCTTTAGGATGTCGGTCCTCTGCACTGCTGTGCTGGCGGACGCGGGCAACTTTCTGGACCTTGACCTGAGCGCCTGCAGCAGCAGCCTGGCTGCGCTTGCCGTGCAGCCCCGCGCAGAAATGGAAGAGGCTGCCAAAGAGAGCATGGCCGCTCACCAAGGGGAGCTCGAGCGCCTTTCTGCCTACCTCAACTCTCCTAAGGACAGGTGCGGGCAGCAGGGAGTGCATCTTGATAAATGCAGGTTCTTGCCTGACTGTCAAGCTTGTGACGGGTGCCTGTTAACCACATCATTGGCGTTTGCACGAGGTGAAATTTCATATTTGCATTACAAGGCAAAGGCAGAAGTGGTGGATCACAAAATTTGCTGTGGCGGCAGCGGGGTGGCAAGGCGGGGCGGGAGGGGCGGGCGGCTGCGACGCAAGCCGGGGCGGCCGAGGAAGACGCTGCTGCTGTGCGGCTTGGACGACGACGCCCCGGACTCCTCTGCGCCCGGCACCAAGCCGGCGGCGCTGCAGCCTCCCACAGACGTGCCGGCCCTCCTGCGGCCCGGCCGGCCCCGCAAGAAGCCGTTGGCTAAGTTTGCGGACGCCACCATGCTCAGCGTGCCGTCGAGCGACGAGGCCGCTGTTGCCGCCGCGCCGAGCGGCCGCCGTCGCCGCCGCGCGGCCGCCAACATATCGGCGCATGCGTCTGATATCGAAGTGGCGCGCGCGGGCTCCGGCGGCGTGACCTCCGCGCTCAACGCCGTTGCAGAGCTGTGCCGCGATGTCAACCCGGCAGGTGGCGCGTCCAGCGGCTCCCCGGCCGCCCAGGAAGCGCCGCGGCAGGCAGCCAGTCGCAGCCGGCTGCGCGTCATGAGCGGCCGGCTGCGTCCGGAAGCTCCGCCGCAGCTGCCCCGGATGCAGCGCGATGCCCCGGATGAGGAGACCAGGCCGGGTGCAGCCAGCAGGGAACCGAGTCCGGCAGCAGAGGGCGAGCTCGACATGCTTGCGGCGGCGGCGGCGGCGAGCACTGAGCTGGAGACAGAGGTGGAGCCTGTTGCTGTTAACTCCGGCGCAACCGCGTCTCCTCAGCAGGAAGAGCCGGCAGGATTGGACACCCAGCTGCCAACCGCCGAACAGCACACTGAGCAGCGTGGGAAGGAAGCAGCAGCTAGCGAACAGACGCAGCCTCCCTGTGCTGTTGCAGCTGAGGCGCATGAAGCTGGAAAGGAGCTGCAAGGGAACAATGCAGTTGCTCCAGCTTCCAATCCCGGCTTGGGTGTGGGAGAGGGCAGCGCGCAGGAGCACTCTGAGCAGACGCCCATGAAGAGGGGCCGGGGAAGGCCGCGCAAGAGCACGGCGACTCCTGCAGCACAGCCGGCTCCTAGAGCTGCCATTGAGGGGCCAGCGCAGGCAAGGGGGCTGCGCGGGGCCAAGCAGGCACACACGCCTGGAGCGTCCTCGTCAGTTCCTGCAGCACAGGATGCCTCTGGAAAGGACCCGGCCGCCACTGCTGGCGGGTCTGGTGCAGCTACTGGTTCTGCCGCAGCCGCAGTGCCTGCCAAGCAGCCTGACAAGGGCAAGCAGGCCAGCAAGGGGAGCGCGGCTGCTGCTGTGACGCCGCAGCAGCCGAGGGACGCAATCGCTGCCGCCGCCAAGGCTGAGGCAGCGGCTGCTGCTGCCCTGGCAGCAGGCCTCCAGGAAGGACAGGCGGCTGCTGCTGGCACGGAGGGATCTCAAGGGCCGAGCAACAAGCCGGCAGCCGCAGCCCCTACAAAACGAAAAAGGGGTCCCAACGTGGCTGCCTCAAAGGACGCCGAAGAGCAGCAGAACGCGGCTGGACCGAGCACTGGCGCTGCTGCAGCAGGAATGGAGGCTGGAAAGCCTGGGAGGACGGGTGCGGAGCCAGGCAAGCAGAGGGCGCGTGTGTCTGCATCTGGGTGCGCAATGGCTTCAGCTGGCAAGAATGGCCGCGTCAGAGCAGCACCCAATGACTGGAGGTGACCTCTCCACAACTTATGTATGTCAATGCCCACTGTTGTTTCCTGAGCACTTTTTCTGGGGCAGCTCTGCGCTTCTGTCTCTGTTTTTGGTGCATGGCAATTTGCTCTTCCATGCTTGAAAGTGGACCAGGAAATGGTTTAGATCAGGGCGCATGGTTGTATCAGGGCATGTAGGACCTTGTTTTGTTTCCTCTCAGACAGGGGATCCCCAAGCCTGCAATGCATTCCTGCCTTGGGCGCTGAGAAATTGCTTGTGACAATGTCCAGGTTGATGAAGCCCAGGAGGGTGACCACATGGGACGATATTTACGCCAGAGTGGATTCACAGCAGCAGCCGCAGCCAACTCCATAGGCGCTTATCACCGGGGGCACGACAAACGATTGCACAAACGAACCCCACTGATCACAGGGCAGCAACATAGTGACGATTACAGCAATCAAAAAGACTGCGCAAGCACGCAGTCAGAGAGCCTCAAAATGTGTATTCTATACCCGGGCCGAGAAGCCTCACCCACTTATGGAGACCTATACCCAGACCAATGTATGGGTGTCCACTTGGGATACCCATCTCAGACCAGACAATGGGGAACTGGCGGTGCCTCTCAGTCATTCATCCCTGCCTGAGGCATCTCACATCCTGCAGGCAGAAGTCCTCTGGAACATAGAGCATCAGCGCGCCAATGCTCTGGCTCAGGCACTGGAGGTTTGGGCACAACAATCTTGCTGCAGTGCCGTATAACCGCTGTCATGCGGAATGACAAACATGTCTAGACTGATCTGTCAGAACTTTTTTTTTGAACCTTTTCTCAAGTAAACCTGATCACTGTTTAATGTCCACGGTATTCAGCCTTAGCTTCATCAAAGATATACTGTCCTAGGCTGTCTGCTGTTGTGACGGGAATTGAGATTGCATGTGCTTTGAGCGGCTACCGATCAGGCTTGTTCGACTGGGCAGTAAAAGAGACTAACTGAAGCCTGCCAATGGCAATTTTTGTATGAAGTGCTGCATATGAGCATTACAGATCCTGGTTTAGGGTTTAGGTGGGTATCTTGTCGTAGTGAAAGTGGCACGTGCCAAGAGCAGTGTTGTTCTGCAAGGCCTTTATCATGCCAGGAGACTATACATCTCTTTGAAATACAGTGGCTGTACAATGTCATCACTTGATAGGAAGGTCCAAAATGCTGTTGACTGGACATCACTTGTGAAGCGACGTGTCGACTTGATGCTGTAAAGCAGCTTATAAGTGCCAACGTCACATTTTTGAAGCTTGATTGTATTTCATTACACAATACGAGACACACCTTGTCTGGTAGATATTATACATATATGCTTTTGCAAGCTTAAGCTTCAAATTCATGCATCTCGCGACAGCATAATCAACAGGCGTCTTTAGCCAGGTGTCTTTCAAGCAAAAGCACGTTCTTGACAAAAGCAGTGCGCGGATGCAAATTCCTGCAGGCGATGTATCTTTGCATGCGTTGGAAACTTGCTGCTCCTGAGCTAATTTCAGCCACTACTATCTGGACGCTTTGTCAGTCCAAAATACAAAGCCGCTGATGCCAGCAAGTCAGGATGCTTTAGTGCGTCTCTAGAGACGCACCAGATCTGGGCCTCAAGCCAAAGTGGCTCGCTTCCCCTTGCCCTTGGCCGACGGCGTGTTGCCCAGCCCTGGGTCCCTGCTGCTCCTGAACCTGCATTCATCACGCACGCAAGAAAATATCAGCACATAATTCACAGCGCCATTAGGTGGTGCATACTCATACACGCCGTGCAAGGCAGTAATTCGCAAAGACAGGCCTGGCTCGGTCTAGAGTACTCGGGTGCACTTGCAGCCTTGCCTGCCAAGGTCACCTGCCTGCTGATGTTGCGCAACGCGTACTCAAACCTCCAATTGAGAGACAACTTGCGGCTAGGATCAAGAGCATGTACAAGGCTTGAGGGTTGCAAAGACAGAAGATGGGGAGAGGGGGGACCTGCTGTAGATGGCCTCCAGGCGCTCGCGCTCTGTGGGAGGCACGCTGCGCCGCGCCTTCTCCAGCGCTGTTTCTAAGTGGCTGGCCCGCACCAGCGGCACCTGCTGCGCCTGCAAAGCCACCTTCTACACTCAGTGCCACCTCTCCCCCATAGCAAGATACTGCTCATAGCTTTCTGGCTCGATAGCATGCTGGGCATGCCTCTGCCTTCTCAACTAGTCCATAAGCATCAAGCTTGTCCTGAGCCCCTCAAGAGCACCACTCAGATTGATTTTAATGGGGCAGATTCACATGATATGAGTGATGCAATGGTCAATTGAACACACCATCGCATGGCAGCACCATGTGCTCAAGGTCTCATGCTGACAATGAACTCCACTTCAAGGGGCAGGAACGAATGGTCAATCACACACCCCATTTAGGAGCCAACTATATCCGAGCAGGTTGGGACAAGAGCAACATAGGCGAGCAGCTCACCTGAGCGTTGTCTTGCGGCTGCGCCAGGACTTCATGCACGGCTGCCAGCTGTGAGTCGGACAGCAGAGCGCCCAGATCGGCCCCGCTGAAGCCGTCGGTCGCCGCAGCAATGGCCGCCAGATCCACGCCCTCCTCCATCGGCAGCCGCGACGACAGCGCGCGCAGAACCTGCCCCCGGACAAATGCGAATTTGAAATGATCGGCGCTTAGAAATTCAACAAGCAGACATACTCTTGCTTGCCAGAGGCCTCCTGCCTGCTGATGACCCACCGCGCGTCCGCAGACCTTTAATAGAGAGAATTTGTGCAGATCCGGAATTGAGACTGGTTTTAAATCATGCCCGAGCTTGCATGATCGATATGTTCAGCTGTGGCTTCAAGGCAGCATCCAGCGGTGCTGCAGGCTCGCAAGATGCACCTCATCACCGGGCACAGCGGCAGCGTGCCCGATGAACAGACACATGTTGCAGGAGCCGAAGCCATAGCGCATGCTGCACTGAAACCACACCATCCGTTGCACAGTCCACGCAAAGTGGCCAGAGATCTTTGCAAGTCGGTGCATGATTAAAGGGGCTCACCTGGGTGCGCTCTCTGGCGGTGGGGAACCCGCAGTAGAGCAGCCGGTCCAGGCGGCCGGGCCGCAGCAGTGCCGCATCCAGCATGTCCGGCCGCGAAGTCGCGCCGATCACCACGACACCTGCCGCCAAATGCACACCATGGTCACCCTGGTGTATTTCACCCATGACATTCACTCGCGGCAGCCCAGACAATCTGCTGACCATCTGCATCGCAAGAAGCATCCACAGGTGGGTGACTGCTCGCAAATGACCTCACATGAGGCTGTAGATGTTTGTTTCGGGGTTGTGTTATTGTTTACAGTACAGTATTTGTCTGCAGCCTTCATCAAAATGGGGGCCTCTTCAAAGTGAAGCAAGAACCAATGAGGTTTTTGACATGCACAGTGGGGAAACAGTGACATGATGCAAGGATGGGTAAAGAAATAACCATCGCTTGCCTTTGAGGCCCTCAACGCCGTCGAGCTCTGTGAGCAGCTGGTTGACGACACGGTCGGTGACCCCTGTCGAGTCGTGGCCGCGCTGTGGCGCGATGGCGTCAAACTCGTCGAAGAACAGGACGCAGGGCGCCGCCGCGCTGGCTCGCCTGCACAGGCATTAGGTGCTCCTGAAGTGGTCTGTCTTGATATCTTGATTGCCTTGGTCTCGGGGTCTCAGTCGTTTGCATGCAGGCTGTCCATTTTGACTTCTGCACGTTGGCAGTGACTTGAAGAGAAACGAGCCATTCCAACATGGTAGAAACAGCAGAGCGGGCTTACTGTGGTCACCTAAACAGGTCGCGCACGGCGGCCTCGCTGGCGCCAATGTATTTGTTGAGGACTTCAGGCCCCTTGACGCTGACAAAGCGCATGCCGGCCGACGCCACCGCCGCGGCCACCGCGTGCGTCTTGCCGCAGCCGGGCGGCCCGTACAGCAGCACCCCCGTACGTAGCCGTAAAGGCGCCCTGCACTCCGAAGGTTGGTCAGTAGAGAATCTCGTCAAAAGTACCAACGTACCAAAATTGCAAGAAACACCATAGTCTCTCTACTTTAATCCTCAGATCGATAAGAAATACCTTGAAATGGTTATTTCAAGGCTTTTGAGCTGTTGAGCTGGGTTATATATGCTTATTGCCCACAATATCAGCTGCAGCACAGGGAAGCGATGAAAATTGGCTGCTGTACACATTTCAAAGCACAGATATGACAGCCAGCTTACATCTCAACCCTGAAACCCAGCTGAGATTCCACGGCATCTGCTTCCATCTGCCATACGTCCACGGCTAAGGTTGGGAGGGATCGTTGAGCGCACACTTGGCAAGCAGCTCAGCAGAGCGCATGGGCAGCTCGAGGGTGCTTGAAAGATATTGCAGTATTAGACTAGAAGTTTCAGCCAGTCTGTGTTCAGCCCACTGGAGGCCGGCTCATGATAGTGATCAACCCCTGAAAGCTGGAGAATTAGACTGCTTGTACTGCGGGGAAAAATACAGTGGGAGCCGCATCAAAAGGCGGCGCACTTGGCTAGATTTGTTCGGCATAGAGCGTAAGCAGCTCGAGGGTGCATGCAGGTTGTTCGCCCATTGTGAGTTCTCAGCCAGCCTTTTTTGCACGCTGAGACGAGGCAGAAAAGCGGCGCATCTGTCAATGAGCTTGGCATAGCGGGTGAGCAGCTTGAGGGGTCATACAAGATGTTGCACCACAGAATTGTCAGCCAGCCTATCTCTGCGCACTGGACGCCAGCTTTTGTCCTACATGAACAGCCAATTTTTGAATTTGTAAGGACAAGCAAGGGAGCGCACTTGGCGATGAGTTTGGCGTAGCGCGTGGGAAGCTCGAGGGTCTCCTGCAGCGCTTCGCGCACGTCCTCGAGGCCGCCCACGTCCTGCCACCCGCGCGGACCGGGGCCGTCCCCCGCCGACGCGCGGCCCACGCCCCAGCTCGACGCCGGAGAGAAGCCGGCCAGCGCTGCCTTCATGTCCTCTTGTGCCACCTCCAGCCTGCCTGCATAGCACATCAAATGCAACTTTATATTTCACCCTTTTTTGTGCTTTCTGTGTTTTCTGTTCTCAGTATTCGATTTTATTGTATCTGCAAAATGCACAGCACAGCACAGCACTGCACAGCACAGCACAGAGGGGTGCATGATGCATAGCTCTTGCAGGGCTGAGACTCTTGTGATTTTAAGGCCTGTCTGCTGCCCAGACAGCGGGCTTGCATGAAAGCAAGTGCACCTCAAACATCTAACTAGCTACATTAACAAGGAAGAGATGGGAGGGTGAAGAGCGACTTAAAAGTGGCGCACCATTTTGAGGACCTCTGGAGCTCAACCTGCGGCGCAGTGCAGCGTGCAGGGCGCGGTCCAGCAGGACTCGGATGTCCGCCGCGTCATACCCCTCCAGCTTGCCAGCAAACGCCTGAACAAGCCACAAAACAACCGAGCTTCAGCACTACTCAGCTGCTGTATTTGAATCTTGGACTGCTGTGGGCGTCCTTCATAAAGTATGTTTGGGAGGTGTACCAGTTGGCATGCATGGCCATCTGCTCCACAAGCAGAGCAAGGCTTAACTCATGCTGCACATCACCTGCACGAGCGCCGCGTCAAAGGCAACGCCCTTGGACTGCAGGCCTGATGACATCAGCGCGGCGCGGTCCTCGGCCGCCGGTGCGCGCAGCGTCAGCGTGTGGTCCAGGAGGCCGGGCCCTCGCAGTGCAGCCGCCACCTCAGCTGCTGATGTGCACGTTCCGCATACCACCACTGCAAGCAGAAGGAACCATTTTATTGAATAATAAGAGTGCTGGTGGCAGATGATCATCATGTCAGTCAGCTCTCACCATAAATATCTCGACCCTGTTGCGCAAGGGCGCATACTAGTTAAGAAAGGCTGGGCATCAAGAGGACAAGGGTCTTGCCTGACTCAAGCAGCATGCATCCTTGTGCAACAAGCCTACAAATTTTAGAAGGGATGTTCAGCCAGGCAGGCAGCTCGTGCACCAAGGTCACAGCAAGGTTCTGGTTAGCCATTAAGGGGCCGGTCGCTGAGTGGGGGAGGTAAAGTAGTGCAGAGAACTCCGAGAATGCTGACCTGGCAAGGGAGCGCGGCCATCGGGGCGTGCGTGGTACTCGCGCACAGCCGCGCGCAGCCATGCCACGAGCGCGGCCGAGCCGGCGGCGGCCGCTTCCGCGTCGGGCGTGTCGGCCGGAGCCGGGCATAGCATCTCGAGGTCATCGAGTACCAGCAGCGACGGCATGCACTCTGCTGCTTCCCTTAGCTGCGCACACGCGCCCCACAGCTCAGCTCCTGGGATACAGAAAGTATGCATGCATGGCAAGCAGATCACAACATGATTTTGAGAATTCCTGTGTGCTCACGCACTTGAACACAGCAGAATGGAGTATAAAAGCATAATGTGAGGAAAGTAATGGGCATACCAGGGGAAGCAAGGAAGCCTTTGCCTTTGCAAGGGTCGAGGTCTCCACCTCTCGGCAGTTGCCCCACACTATATGCGTGCGGCACAGCGGGTGCACTGCGAGCCCTTCCGCGCACCTCCGTACCAGGGCTGTCTTCCCTGCACACAGGATGACTCCTGGTGAGCACTGTGCCCCTTGCTTACAGGTGTCGCAATGACAGCATGTCCACTTAATGACCAGGATGAGTCAGGACATGTACAATATTTGTCCATAAAAACTAGAGTGCTGCGATGTCTGGAAAGCATTTCTGCGTGGAGCGAAGTGTACACTGCAGCTGACTTGACCGTGACTCACCGCTGCCCGCCGGGCCGCAGATGAGCAGTCCGCCGGGCGGCGGCGCATCAGCCGCGCGCAGCATGCGGCGGCTGGTGTCATGCAGCAGCGGCAGCAGTCGCTCCATCGCTGGCCGCACAAACTCCGCCGCCCACTTCTCCCCGAACCCCACCGCGGCCCCCTTCACCCCCTGCATGCCCCCCTTCTGCATGCTGGCAGCCGCTGCCGGGTGCGCCGTGGACACCAGAGGCAGCTCTACACCCTTGCCCAACTCCACACCAATTCCCAGACGCAGGAACTGCAGCGGCTGCATTGATATTGGCCCGGACGGTCGCGGCGCGCCGGGCGGCCATCGCAGCTCGAGAAAGAAAGCCAAAGGCTGCTGCTCAGCGGGAAACTCCAGCCACATGGCTGTGCCATCCTGCAGCGGCACTGACTGCTCTGCTGCACTGGGTGTGCTGGTCTTGTTCTGTGCCTCCCCGCCGTTTTGGAGGTCATTTGCTGCTGATCCTGCAATGTCTGCTGCATTGGCTGTGCTACTTCCGAGCGAAAGCCCCTCCATGGCACCATTAAAGTCTGCAAGTGGCTTACACCGGACGGACTGCGCCTGCAGCCAGGCGGCAAAGAGCAGCTGCAGCTGGCGGGGGCTGAGCTGCTGCAGGGTTGGCACCTCCGCTTCAGTCAAGCTGGTGACTGGATGAAGCACGATGGCAAGTGGTGGCTGAGCAGGCTGTGATGGAGAGCACGACCGCAGTGCCACCCTCCTGTGCGGCTGCAGTGCCAGCGTTTGAAGTACAGCTTGGCTAACTTGCACATGTGCTGGGCTGATCCTGTCATCCACCTGTACTGCAGCCACTGCGCTGCCTCCCCTGCATGACAAAACAAATCACCCAGAGTGGCTTTCTCAATGCACTATAATCACTTGCCTCCAGGCTATGAGAGAAGTCCCTCTAGCACCCATACATTGAAATTATTGTATTGTCACGAGAGGAATTTCTCTACCTGCATGCAGGCGACAAGGTTTATCTGACATCAGATATGTCATCGGAGGCCTGTTGCATGCGGAAACTTGATTCATGGACATGGCCGCTGGCGAACCTGGACCCAGGGCCGGCATGCAGCCTGACAAAGCTGCCATCAGGAAAGCCGGCAGCCGATGCATTGGCCGACGGCATGCGTACAGTGGTCGTCTGCCAGGTCCTGACACCATCAACCTCATGCGGCAGTGCAGCCCCGTCCTCCTCCAGAACTCCCCTATGCAGCCGCAAGTCCACGCGCAGACTCTCATCCGGCTCCTGCACACACACTCTGTCGCCTTCACCAATGAGACACTCATCATTTCCAAGCAGGACCTCACCAGCAATGTGTAAGATGATGACAATCAGCTCTTGGAAAAACAATATTTTTCATGAAGCCGGCAACACTATGTCTAGCATGTGCAATAAATGCATCGTAGATCCCTGTGCTGATTAATGGACATGTGGTTGCTGACCTGGAGGCGCAGCCAGGTGGCAGGTACAGCCGAGGCGTCTGACGGCGCATCCACAGAGGCGCCGTTCACCTCTGCCTGAGCCTGCGGGCGGACCCGGGGGCATGGCGCGACGCTGACCTCAGCGCCGAGCGCCAGCCGTACTACGGGCTCTGGCCTCGCCGTGGCAACTCGCAGCGTCAGCACCGATTGCCCCCGCACCCAGAATGGGAACGGCTGCCCCATGCTCACCACCCCGACCTGCATGCAGCCACAGCCGCCTCAGCCCTGTCCCAATGCCCACTTTCATCGCCCCATGCGCATGCAAGACACACCTGAGCCTTGCTGCTCTAGCAACAAAGATGCAAGGAGGGCTCGTTGCAAGACACATCTGAGCCTGGCTGATCTAGCAATGATGCTTGGAGGGTGTGTACATGGCAGGCATTGAGAGGGGGCTGCATAGCAGGACTGGAGAGAGAGTGGTGTGGTGTGGATGTGCATCCAGTACCTGGTTGAGGAGCTGCTCCTCCATGTACTCAGCGTTCAGCTCCACCTGCTCCCAGTCGTCCACATTGGCAGGCTCAACGCTAACATCCGTTGCCATCGGCACATCCGGCAGTGCGCGCAGGCTGACCATCATGCCGTCTGCCAGCCCCAGGCAGCGCCCCAAGGCGGCAGGAATGTCCAGTGCATGACTGCTGGCCGCAGCGCCTGCCCACGCCACATAGCACGCTGGCACTCCCATTTGCGCCAAACCTGCTCGCCCATACGCGTCAGGGCTCTGCATGAAGAGCACTTGTGGCAGCAATGATTTTTTGCAGGTGTCTGCATAGACTTGATCAGAAGGTGCACAACAGAAGCATGGTTGCAACTACAGGCCACGGTGAACCTTGGAGGTGTCAAGTGAGGGACACACCGTTTGCTGGGCGCAGCTGCAGGACGAGAGGGATAGGGCTCTGGGCGTCGAGCAACCTTGCAACAAATGCAGGCGGCAGGGCCACCCAGCAGCTCCTCTCTAGGACCAAGCGCACAGGGAGCTGGTTGAGCCTGTGAGACAGTCTGGTAATAAGCCCGCTGTAAGCAAAGCGATAGATAATTTTGCAAGGAAAGCCACGAGATTGTAAGTGAGAATGTGGTACCTTTGGGATTCCTGCGAAGAGACAAAATTGTCAAGAAACTCCATCTGACAGATCTGTCTAGGCAATGATTCCAGACAGCATCTCGCAGGAATTAGTGTTCAACTCTCTAAAAGAATTGTAATAGCGATTTTTTAACGCTCCGATGGCGTGGCAGATTACTAGGTGCTGTAACTAAATCTCATGACTGTTCCATCTGGGCATGACGAGACCAAGTCTCATATAGAAGGTTGAGGGTCAAATCGTCATGATTAAGGTAGACTGTTCTGTCAGCAGACTAGATGCGGAATTCTGGCCCTTTTGGATAAGTATGCGGCATGCAAGACTTCTGGTGCATGTTGACATAAAACAGGGCAGGGTCCAAGAAAAAGTTTGGGATGGAAAATTGCTCATTATCAGGCCTCACTGCAGAGAATTGCACACCAAATTTCTCGCACATCCAGCATCAAAGGTCATTACAGCAAAGGCATCGTTACTTGTACATGAACAGCAAAGGTGCTAATTTCTACACCTGAACAGATGCATCAGGGGACGGTCACCACTTGAAGAATCAAATAGGCTGACAAGAGCACAGCCTTTCAATCTATAGTCACTAGACTTTCATCTCAGATCAATCCAGAGATTAGGCCATCTTTGCCGATCAGGCAACTTACCATCAATATAACACCATGCTGGGTGTCCTACTATTGCCGCTGATCGCTCTGGGAATGGTGCAAGGCATTATTGCTTGTCTACTTCTTGCACCACTCCCAGTCGCTCGCCCTGTGCTCACGCTGTCCAAGAAGACAAGAACTCCAGTTGCTCTGACCATCATCGGCACAGTCAGTGTTGTCCTTCTGGTCTTTCTGCTTGCTTCATTGTACGAGATAGGTGAATTGCACAGCCATATATCGAGAGAGGTGGAGCTTGACGCCCTACACCGCAGGTGCTTCATTCTTCTTGAGATTTAAGTGCTTTGTGCTTTCAGCAGGATATTATCCATGCAGACCGCAGATCATGTGGAATCATGCTGCTTATCCCTTAATTGTCCATGTGCCGCTGCAGGCACTCGGAAACGAGCGCATGGCTCAGTGCTGTGCTGACCAGCGCAAATCTGCTGCTGCTGTTTGTCCTTCAGAAGCTAGCCAGTGTGCTGAGTGACCGTGAGCAGATGCGCGTGAGCCAAGGAGCCCTGCTGAAGCAGGTATGCATCCTGATCTAGGGTCTGTGCATCACGTGGAGTACCTGACAATGGCAAGGGACTGTTGGGCATCTTGTGGTGACAGGTGCAAGGCCTTCACACGGAGTATGAAAGGCTAAGGCTTGAGGCAGATGGGGGCAGCAAATCCTCAAAAGCTACGGGCAGCACTGAGCTGGCAGCCCTGAAGGCATCCCTGCAAGCTTCTGAGAAAAGCAAGCAAGAGTTGGAGGTATGTTGAACACCAAGCATGCAAATAACACCGTCATCAATTCTGCACTTGTTCAGACAGGTACAAAACAGAAAAGATGTGATCAGTACGCACACCTGGCTGTCCTTGTTTTCAGGCTCAGTTACAGCAGGCAGTAAAATTACGGAAAACGGCAGAGTCAAATGTGGAGGCTTTGAAGAGCCAGACAAAGGTGAGTGACCTGGAAGCTCACAGTCCTCGGTCCATGTTCTGGAGGCACTAGAAAGTCACTTGCAATCTGTGCGAAGGCATTTGTGAGTTTATGATGGTGCACAGGGGCTAGGAAATGAGTATGACCGGCTGCTGTCGGAGAACGACAAGCTGAAGCGGCGCCTTGCTCAGCTTGACCCTGCCTTTGCTTCTTTGGGCGGCAAGAAGGGGATCTGATCTGCAAGTTGGGAGCATGGCCAGGTTGTTGAATTAGGAATCTCTACCAGCACTTGACATTGTGGGACGCTGAAAGGACTGGGTTGACCTGGCATAAATATGTTTTGGTACCAGAGGCGTTGAGAACAAGTAGATTCAAGCTTGGGTTCATACCGAGGTGCTGCTGTGTATACGTTTCAACTCAGCCGTCACTGAAAGCAGTTGAGCGCTGCTAAACTGTTTAGTTGAGCTCGAACATCATTACAGCACGTGCATCAGCTCCAGTGGAGCCTAATGTCGAGAAATTATAATCTGTAAATAATGTTTGACAACTTGGAGCGCTCGCAACATGTGTACACCTTGCATCTCTAGAACACTTTCTTGTCCTTTTGAAGGAGTCCTCTGCAGATCATGGCATCATTACCTTAGCTTTGTCGTGATGTAGCCAAGTTTATGCATATAGGATGGACCACAGAGCAGCACAACATCTGGTTACTAAAGGCCAGAGCATTACACATTTGCCGAAATGCATCCACCCTTGGCAAGATTAATCTTGCACACAGCCCTGGAAATCCGCCTTCGAGTGAGTCACAGGCCAGCATATTCCCTTTCCATGCGGTTCCGCTTGTTTTTACCCCTTGCCTTGTTCTTTTCTCCTTTGCCTCTTATTGGTATTCCGCTCTTGTTGCACAGACATCCTTGAGCATGACAGGTCGCTTGATCCAGGACTCTGACACTCTTGTTCAGCTTGAACATGCCCAGTTTGTACCAGCCCGGTTTCTCTTTGTCTGGCAGGTTCAGAATTTTATGCTCACCATTGAGAAGAGCCCAGCCGTGCTGCTTCGTGCGCCTCATGACGAGCTCGTTCTTTTTGACACGGAAATTCCTGTCGTCCTCAATACAATAACGTGGCTTCTAGAAGAGATCTTTTGCCTCCAAAGCCCAGTGCAATTCCTGCAGGGGCACTCATTCCTCTAAATGTGGATCCATGTTGCGGTATTCTGCATTTTTCAAATACATTGATCTATGATCCTGATCAGTCTTGAACGGCAGGTCCAGTGAGGTTTGCTATAAACACCTGCAAAGAAGTCAGTCGGTCGTCTCTTGTCCAGTAATTGTCTTGCTGCTGTCGACTTGTGCCTTTAATGAGGCGGATACGTCTTCCAGGCTACGCCGCTGAAGTGATAGCCTGATAAAATTGGATTTCAACTGTTTCTCAAAGGATGATATGGCACAGAGATGAAGCTTCCTAAGGGCTGACTGTGAATGACTAACAGTGCCCAGATGTCGGCGACAGAGCTACTTTTCCATCCCTAGCTTTAAGCTGATCTGAATTGTTGTTGATGAGACTCGGTCGATCATTTGGCTCTCTATTCCAGTTGCACAAATCACCCGAGAGAAGACGCTTTGGTCTGTATGCAAAACACGGTCGAGTGAGGAACTTGAGAAGCTCCGACCTGGGACAGCCAAGGGGTAGATGAAACGATATCTACGCCACACTTCCAGGTTCGATCCCCATGAAAAACACTAAGACTTTTTTCGGATCGGGTTTTGGGTACATTCGGCGATGCGGCCGCTCCTGCTGAGGGGCCATCCCTAGCAAACCGCTCGAAAATTCGGGACGGATTTCGACAGCGACGATGCGGGTATCACTATAACGTTGTGATTAACAGGTGCGTGATCAGTAAACCAGCGTTTCAAGAAATCTGCTGAACAGGTGCTTTAAACTGCAACGTTGTACCCCGATGGGGTTTCATCAATAGATGATTATTGAGGTGCATATTTTTCCCCATCTCGTCCCCTTCAGTGTTTTCACATCCATGTTTACGCAACTGATCGAGCTCGACAAGAGCTCGAAGGAGGTGCTGTCTGCCATGGCGTCTTGACTTTGGCGCTCCCTCACGGTGCAGCGGTCTGTATGATTTGGATTCAGGGACATGGATTTGTTGCAGGTTACTCATGCATAAAGTACTCGAAGAGCATTTGAGGTGAGTCGTGAAGCTTGCAGAGTAAGCAAGATTTAGGCGTACATTCCTTCTCCTCGAACGCTGATCTATTTCGAGCAGTCTCAGAGAGGAACAGAGAGCAATATCACGCTGCGGTTTACAACATAAGTTCCGAAATCAAAGAAAGAGCTTATTCTTTGTTGCAACAAAGAAGCAGCATGACAAGCGACTTTCTGTTCCACCTGTGATACTTCACGAGATTTCTTCACGGAAGAAGTGCAAGACCTGCCAACACAGGTGTGATTATGAAAGGCCTGACACCAGCACTCATTGCTATGCCTGCATTCCCAATAGCCCGCTTCCTTCATGGAAAGTCAATCACAGGACCTCAGCAAGTTGCAGCAATAAGGTACTTGATTCGTCTCTATGCAAATGGCAGGCAATATACTCCACTGGGCACCACAAGGCAAAAGGGATAAATCTTGCAGAGGCGATGGCGCATGTGGGCAGTGAAGGACACTATTCCACCGCAGCAGCCCAGAGGTTAGACTCACCGTTGGTGCTCGGACCCAAAGTTGGGGCTTTGACGAGACTGCTGCGGAAGAGAAGGAGGCCAAGTCCACCCCGCAGATCGTACTCTGCCGCATCGCAATGCCATTGGTGCTCGGACCCAAAGTTGGGGCTTTGGCAAGACTGCTGCGGAAGAGAAGGACGCAAAGTCCACCCCGCAGATCGTACTCTGCCGCTTCGCAATGCGGCAGCCACAATCCTGGACGGCCGCGCAAGCGGCTCTATTCACGCAAGATTGCCCCCTGCCGGCCTGGTCCTGATGCTGCCAAGGCATGCGGCTTACATTTGCAAGATTACTGTGGGCGCTTGTCAGAAGACAATCACAATGGAATCGGGACAACACTTGGATCACAGACAGCAACACTTATTACTCATCCAATCCACAATTTCCATGCCTTGCAAAAAAATTCCAAGGATGTGCTTGGTATTACCAATTATTTCCTCCTGAATCAGATGGCTCCACAGCTGTTTGTGCACGCTATGGCATCCAGACCTGGCACATCTAGATCTATGCCATGGCCCTGTGTTCCAGAGCCTTCTGCCGCAGGTCTTCCTCAAAAGCCTTTTTCTCCTCCTCTTCTGACAGGGCTCCATCGCCGCTGCCCTCCCTGACCCGCTCTCTCTTCTCCTTCTTCTCCTTCTTTTCCTTCTTCTCCTTTTTCTCTTTCTTCTCTTTTTTCTCCTTCTTTCCCTTCTTCTCCTTCTTTGCCTTTTTCCTCTCTCCCTCCAGAGCCCCATTTGGAGCCTCGCCATCCCTGCCTGCCAACCCCTGTCCTTCCATGCTCATGTCGCCTGCCTCAATCTGCTGCGGCTGCACAGCAGCCTCCCCACCCTCTGCCCTCTCCGCTGCCTTCACGCCCTGCAAGGCATCACTACATCAGCATCTGACTATAGTATTCTCCGGGCACTGCCTTGACATCCCTCACCACTCATCTGCCTTCTAGGGCATAGCTGCCTGAGCGCTTGAGTGCCATACTTTCTGAGAGCTGTCCCCAAACTTGCCTAGTCAATGGCACTCATGTCCAAGAGGCAAGCCGGCGCTGTGTAGCCGAGCAAGACAGCATCACAGCATTATAAAGGTGGGCCTCACATCTCCGGTTCTGGCGTCCAGAAGCGCGTCCTCCACAGCCGGAGATCTCGACACGCTCCGCTGCGGCCGCTGCGGCCGCTGCTCCCGCTGCTCCGTGTCCCCATGCCGGCTGCGTTTGGGCGGCGATGACCGGTCCTACTCACACAACTTTCTTCTTCACCTCCCACACGGGGGGCAGGATTGCATGCACAGTAGTAAGTCGACCATGCCAGGAATGGCCAGTAGAATTGGTATGTGCTCTCAAGGGAACCCACCCTGCCACGCCTGTCATGATCCCTCTCTCTGCCCCGAACTCTATCCCTGTCCAAGCGATCCCTGTCCCGCTGCCTGTCTCTGTCTCTCAGCCGCTCCCTCTCCTTCTCACGCTCCCTGCAACCAACATCAGACCCCTCTAAAAGCTGACCATGTGATGGTGCCAGAATTTGTCCCACATAGTCTCTACAAGCCTGTAAGCCTGGAAAGCCTAGATGCCGATTGCAAAATTCTCAGCATGCTGGGATGCCCATCTTCACAAAATGACTTGGCCTCATATATGGAGGTCCCAGGTAGAGGTGCGTTCAGACAACCAACTGGCCTTTGTGATCACGCCCATAAGGAGACTTTTTACTACCTGCAGGGCAACCAGAGCTTCATTTGACACTGGAATGCACAAGCCTGGCCAGGACGGTCGCTCTTCACGCAAGTCTTGACGTGCTGGCAAGCAGGGTTGTCGGTACAAACCTCAACACGCTGGCGCACCCACATGCATTAAGGATCTTATAGAAGTGATACAGCAAGACAAAGCAAATTTTCCTCAACTCTCCTTGCAAAAGCTTAACGGGGAAGTCAAAGCTTCAGGGCACTCACTCCATGCGGCGCTTGTGGGCGGCGTCTTGGTCGGCGCGCTCCTTGCGTTCGCGATCGATGCGGATGTTCCTCTCCTTACGCTCCCTGTCCTCGCGCTCGCGTCTCCGCTTGTCTCGCTCGGTCCGCTCCCTCTTCTCCGCATCGCGCGCCTCCGCTCGTCGCTTCTCCTTATCCTTCTCCAGCTTCTCCTACAGCGCGCAAAATGCCATGTCTACACATGCCCTTGCGCCTGCATCCCTGACTCTTTACTCAGGGCGCCCTTGCACATGCATTCCACCACCGCGCATGCCATTACAGAAAACATAGCTGTGGCAGCCTGATCAAGCTTCTGCACTTCATGAGCCCGGGCCTATGGTTGCCTTCTGTGACGGATTACCACATGCCAAGAAACAGAGCCAGAGGGAACACAGTGATAGCAATAGAGAGTTTCCTACTGTATTTGTAGTATTTCTGCAGAGCCCTAGAAATCAATGCATCATGCAGGCATCAAAGGGAGATGCTGATGAGATTGGAAGCGCACATTTATGGCGTCCTGCACTTCCTTCTTCTTCCTGAGCTCCTCCGCCTTCTCATCCAGAATCTGCTGGGGGATGCCGCTTTGGTTCTGGTTTGCGCTGTTCAGAAGCACCCACAGCTCCTGGCAAGCAGTTTGAAACCTATCTCAGCCACCACGCAGCTCGTTAGAAATATGCAACGTGCTTAGCAAGTAAGGCAATCATCTGTGGCACGAATTATGGCAGTGCAACTCAAAGGACCGGGAAGACAGATCTTCAAGCATTGTCGCTGCAAGTCTGGCTCACCTTCACAAACAGGCTTGTGTTCTTTTCCAGGAATCCAGTCAAGTTGATCTGCAGGATCCTGGGGTCTACCGCCTGCACTCATCACCCCGAAGACTTAGAACAGCAATGTGAAATTAAACAATGGCAGTGTATCACAAAAGGTGAACTTGCACATGATCACATTTGACCATGGGTTAATCTCTCACCTCTCCACTCTCGAATTGTTCATAGATGTAGCCTATAACGACCTCATCCTCAAGCCCCAGCAACTCGGTCACCCTCTTGGCGATCCAGGCCTTCATCACTTCCCAATTGATTTTCTTGAATTCAACCTTCAACTCGAATTCCTTTGGGAATTTCAGGGTCCTCAGGAGCTTCTTCTCCTTGCTGCAATCACCCACCAGATCAGTTAAACGTCCACTGGTTAGACGGTGGGCACACCACACAATGGGGCTCAAAAACCTTGTTCTCAGAAGCGTACTCTGAGAATCGAATGTCTGATGCAGCAGCGACTCCACGAAAACTCGTCATTCTTTAAGGCTGCACTTTTCCACGATGCTAAGCTTTATTCTCGGCCAACAGTGAGCAACGGCACAAGACGACCTGAGTAAGCAACATATACTCAAGTCACGTTGACAAGATGGATGATGACTTCCTTAGTGTATTGAATTTGACTGAAGTTAGATTGACCTCAAAGCCGCAGCCCTCGAGGGTAATGAGCAGATGGAGCATTCAGGGCTTTACTGCCGAACAAGAAAATCAGATGAACAAATGGATCCCCTGAGTGACTGCCCATGCATGGATTGTACCTCAGCTATGTGTGTGCAGCTTGACTTGTATCAGTATTGGAACCGTTCGCGCCTTGAAGAATGCGAATCTGTGTGCACATCGACACAGTGAGTACGTGTCTTTCATCAGAAAGATGTCCCTTCGGAGATTCGAATTCGTTCTGTATTACAACACTCACCCGTTCCTCTCGATCCTTCTCGGGATAGCCATCGTCCTCTGTTCGTCTGGTCTGGCCCGTAGTAGATTACCGGTGTATTGAGAGCCAGATTTAAAGAGTGCACTATATTGACAAGTTCGAGTTTGCAAGAGAGAGGAAAAAACGCCATGCAGAGATGGGACCCGGCTGCTTTCTCCAGGGTTTGAACATCTCTAGGAAGCTTCCCTAAAAACCCTTAACCGTAGGATTGCACACCACAGTGGAACTCAGAGAAATTTCCTTCTCCTCAATGAAGATATCATTTGTCATATATTCTTTCTTAGCTACAGCTGTACTTTCCTCCCCTGTTCAAAGTGCAACGCTTTCGTGTTACATCCTTGGCGACTTTCTTTGGCCAAATGCATATGCAAAAAGTCACTCCGAGCGAGTCACTGCATGTCCATGACGTTATTCTGCAGGGTCACAGCAATCCTGCCACACTTCCACTAGGCAATCAAACCTAGATGTAATCCAAAAGCGCCTGCCCAGGACGCCACCAGTCATTCATGGGCATGCCATATGGTAGAGCATGCACAACATGTCAAATTTGGCAAAAGAGTCCGCATGATTTTGAACCAATGAACCGTGACATCATTATTAGCCTCCAAGGTCATTTAGGCTGGGCTCAGCAGAGCGTTAGGCTAAGCTAAAAACTGTATTCCTATTAGAATTGTAACAATTCTGCCTCAATGGAAGACATGGAATGCTGAAAGCACTAGCAACCTCACTGAGCACAATGCAAAGGTGATCAGCTCCTGACATGAGTACACTATTGTACAGCAGGGCTTCAGACTGATCAGGATCGGCCCCCAATATTCAGGAAAGCCATGAAGTCGTTGTATGAAGACTCGAGCTCAAACAGCAGCTGCCGCACATCAGCCTCCTCCAGTTCCTTGCTGGCTGGCATGTTGTGCAGTTTTGTGATCCAGGCCTTCACCTTCACCTTCCCAGCAAAGTCTCCTGGCAACTGCACCACCTGCACACCAATGCATTGCGTTCAGCGCTATCTGGAACTTTCTGCTGGGCAGAAACAATCCATTTCTGACCTGACAAGACATTTGCTCATGAAGGTGAGTATGAAGGGTGACAAGGGGCGCACCTTGTTCATGCTCTGCATCAGATCATTGAGCACAGGGTACAGCTGCATCACGCAGCACAAAGTAAATCAGTTCAGCTCATTATAAATTGGAACGAGTTGCACTTGCACATACTGGTAACGATAAAAATCTTGCACAGAAAAACAATCAATCGTGGGCGTTGGTGTGACAATGGCACATGCTCTTGTAAAACGGAGATCAGGCGCATACCTGATCAACAGCAACCATGTTGAGTTTCAGGGAATCCATGGCTGTGATGAAATGCTGCACTGTCTCAGCCACCGCCACTGCTGAGTTTGATTGTACACTGCAGCAAGCACACAGGAATAAAGCCCCCACCCTGCAGCGAAACAAAAAGGCACAGAACCAGAAGTCAGCATGACATGAAGGGTGAGAGGGGCACCTGGGCTTCCCATGCTCAACAGTAGCTGGCATGCCAGAGTATATGAGCCTCTTGGCAGCCATTGGACACTGCATGTTATAGTCTGCCATGAATTTCTCAACATCAGGTACCTGCAAGAGGGAGTCCACAAAGTCAGTGTGCAAAAGTTAGTGCTATGATTTAAGGGCATATTAAATATGGTGTTAATGCAGCAGTAGCACGAGAAAGATGCAAGAATAGTTCTATAAGGCTACTTGAGATGCAGGAAGCAACTTACTGTATCCTTCAGTGTTTCCCACAGCGTCCTGAACTGGGCTATGAGTTTTGCACAGAGGGGTTCATAGTCCTTTGCGCTGATTGCATCCCGCACATATGCCCTCTCCAGCTTCTCAGTGGTCTTCACAATTGCGAAGAGGTCTGGACAAACATGCGTTTAGTACCAACCTGACTCAGAGTATGCAGCTACAGGCAACACTGTTGAGCCAACAAATTGCTTATCTCGCAGCGCACAGCATGTCACCCACCAGCAAAGTTCTCGTACATTTCCTGTTCCTTCTTACTACTGTACAGCTTGATCGCTGGTGCATCATCAGCACCGGCCATCCTATTGGTGCAGATGTTAAGACTCGAATTCACATGTTCAGGGCGCGTCGCATAATAGTTCGAGACTGCCGGAAACTATATAGACATGCTAATTTCACGCAATACCTGGCCTCTACTTGATGAGGGAAACTTGCAAATGAGCTCTGCAAGGTCGAAGGTAGGCACTTGCAACCTACAGCTGATGCGTCCCTTTCCGAAATGCACCCGTAAAGCGCGCCTATATATACTATGAGATTAGAACGCTACTTGGATCAACATATGGATTCTTATTGTCTGAATGAATGGGAGCAGGTGCCTAACGGGTTAAACCCCCGCAGCTTCTAAACCTAAGCAGGGTCACACTGAAATAGGCATCCTTGGACTGTGGAGCCGTCCTTGCTTGCAACAGGAGAAGTAAATGGAAACTCATGCTTTCCAGTCTTTCGAACGTTCACTGAGTCATTGATTCTGTAGCAAGGATCTGATGGACGGGTCCTGGTTCATGCCCCAGGTGCACTTTTCTATTTCTCTTCCCTGGGATGCATAGCCATATGTAATAGACGTGAAATCCACGATCACAGCCACCTATAGTCTCCAAGTTAAATATCATTATGCCTTTGCAAGTCGCCGTTGGGTGTGTGAGCCAAGTTTACAGTCCGAGGTACAATACTTCTGTTGGCATGCCTTGTATAAACTTGGCGAAGTCTGTGCAGGTACACGCTGCAGGGCCCACCCCAGCCCCTCGTGGCGGCCATGCAGCCGTTTCTGTTGGAACCAGGGTCCTTCTATACGGTGGCACGGATCGCCAGGCAACACCCTACACAGACTTGTGGATGCTGGAAACTGGTGAGCCTCCTCTACTCTTGCACCTGACATGATTTGGAAGACAAATAAGTGTATCCTGACGCAACTTTCTTCTGCAACATAAATCCTTAAGGCTAATTTCCTTGATGCAGCTGGAGGCCACTATTTGTGGACCCCTATCAACTCCACTTCAACTTCCGGGTGAGGAACCATTCCTTCTTTGCCGCAGTAACATCCCTGGTAATCCTAAAGAGGTCTACCGTGTCGGTCTTCTCCTTCACGCGCACGCCAAGGCCGTGTTCACTTTGTTGGATTGTAGGGTCCAGCTTCAACCGCGGTCAGGAGCCACAATGACGGCCATTGGGACAAAAGTATACCTGTACGGGGGACAGGTGAAATTGTACAATAAAAGCGGCGTCCCCTTTGTAGTTTTGACATCCGTTAAAACATGTCTTTTGTGCGGGTCCTGGAGCAGCGCAGGTCTGTAACACTCTAACGCTCAAATTCCTGTCCTCTGCAGGACCCAGTGACGGGGATCTGCTACGATGATATCCTCATGCTTGACACGTTGACGTGGGACTGGAGCTTTGTAGAGGTGATGCCTTCTCATTGTCTTGTTGTATCTTGAACAATTGCATGCCACCTGCATGCAAGGTGATCTTCGACGAGCTGGTGTTCTACTGTGGCTTGACACGACCTGTGTTGGGAGGCAGGTGGAAAGTGGGCGGCCTCCTGCGAGGCATTCTCACTGCACAGGCCTTTTCCAAGACCATTGCTTGGTGCGCCCCACACATGTCTGCCTGCAATCAATTCTGCAGTGCCTCGAGTAGGCTTGCCATATCTGCCTAGGAGGAGAATGCCCGGAAATGGACTCTCACAAACGCCAGAAAGCCCACTTTTTACAGGGGATCTGCCGGGGCTGAAGCTCGGCGTCTCTTTCTGCCGAAAAGGTGCCAGGCCTCAAGTGCACCTGAGGTACTAAAATTAGCTGGGAGGTGAAATGTGTTGATCTGCTGCATGCAGTTGGTCTTTGGGGGAGCGGGCATGCATGGCACGCTGGGCGATCTGTGGCTTTTCAACACAAAGACCGGAACTTGGGTCACGCCCATGGCAGAGGGGCAGGCGCCCTGTCAGAGGGAGATGCACTCTGGTGTCATGCTCACTGACAGCCGCATGCTCATCTGCGGCGGCCGCAGCGCTGCAGGGCAGGTGTGCCTCATCATGGCTGTGCTTGCAGGGACTTTTCTGTACTCTACATTCCTGATGTGCATGTGCCGATCTGCACATGTTTGCTTTCATCCGCACCATGTGATTAGCAAGATGAATGACATCAGTAAACTGGGTCTCTTCTGGACATTAAGGACGTCCTGGGATTAGGGGTGGTGTTATTGTCTGCATGTGCGTGCAGGTGCTGTGCGATGTTTCCATCTTTGATGGGAATGAGATGAAGTGGACCAGTTCCATTGCGACCCAGTACTTCTTCTGCGCGCATTCAGCCGTCATCATGCCACTCACAATGCCCTCCCTGCCTCATTTGGGTGCGTTGTGTAGCTTCACTTCAATGTGTGGAGTGCTATGCCATTCATTGACCCCTGCGTCCCAAATTTTACTTGTCCAGCCAAAACAAAGGCATGCTCTAAACATCATGCTTGTGAACTCTTCATGGCTCGTGTCTTGCATGGCTTGATTGGGTGTATGACAGAGGCTTGCTTGCCCTGCAGAGGCCACAGCCAGCTCGACGCTGGACACCGCCCTGAACAGAGATGCAGCCAATGGCAGCGCCGGTGGATCCCCCAATGAAGCCACATCCTCACAGACGCCGCCTGCTGACAGTGCTGCTATGGCCTCGCCGCAGAGCTCCCGAGTGATTCTCTATGGCGGCTTCAGCGGCGAGGGCATCACTGGCTTAGTTCTATCGCTGGATCCAGGTACTGACTCGCTGTGCTCGAAGCATGAAGTCCAAGTGATCTGGATGCTTTACCAAGCTGCCAAAGAAGGCTGCATGCGACCATGTGTGCTTCATTGCTGTGCTGACGGTGCATTTGTCTTGCAATGCCGCAGACTTTAGTCTAACGTATTGTTGTGTGCTGGGCTGCAGTGACACTGCGAGCAGAGATAGTGGATTATGGGCCAGGGTCAAATGGGCTGAAAAAACCTGTGACCCGCTTTGCTCAGAGCGCAGTGACTGTGCCTGCCAGTGCACCCTGCAGCTCTTCCTTGGTGAGCCTACACTGCAATTGTGCTTGCAAGTTTGAATGTGTTCAAGTCATGTTTATTTTTGATGAATCCTCGTCAGGTATTGAGAACTTTGTTGATTGCGCAGGAAATGGTCGTTGTTGCAGGGGTTCATCCTGAAATGGACTTGAATGATCTTGCCATTTGGCGGCCACATGTCTTGGGCAGCTGAGTGCAGATGATTCATGATTTGTAGAGGGCTGTATGAGCGTTGACTGATGGCATTTCGGCCAATCTCATCATTCAGTGAATGCCTGTGTTGAGAGAAATCCCATTCCGGTTAAAAGATTGCTGTCATGCCTGAGGCTGAACCGTTGTGCAAAAGTTTTGCCATGACGGCCAGATTAGAACAGATCATCATATTGTACTGTATTCTGGGATGATGATTATAACTTGCCCAAAATCATTCAACGGCCTCTTTCATATGTACAGTAGTCAAAGGAACCTTAAACAATGGTAAAGGTGAACATTCGGCAATGGGTGCATGCCTGTCATTTTGTTGCCACCAACACACCCATGAGACTGAAACCAATCTCGTAATGCACTGCTTTGCCAAATCCTGCCTCCTTTGCAAGCCTCACTTGTTCCCTGCCAGTTGGAAAACGTTTGATGGAAGGCCGCAAATACTCGTACTCTTCCCCCAAGCCATACGACCGCGCCATGGGCACCACAACATTTTCCAATGCCCACCCCTGCATGACAGCAATGATTAAGCAAAGCTGTGATAGGTTCAAGAAATCATATTGCAAGATATAGTCCGCAAAGCAATGGCGCGTTCCTTTCAGGCGCAGCTGCCTCACCATGTGCACGAAAAGGATTGCTGCAAAGGGGAAAGCATGCTGACCTGGAAGGCATCAACCGCAGGGTTTGTCGAGTTGTTGAAATCCAGCACAGCAACTTTTGCTCCAGATTTCAATACGCGCTGCAGCTCTCCCAGAGCTTTAGGTATGCTTGCCACATTGCGCAGACCGTAGCCCATGGTCGCTGCATCAAAGGAGTTGTCAGGGAATGGAAGCTTCTGCGCGTCTCCTTGTATCCACCTGCATTTCAAGACCTAGTTGGCTCACATCAGAACACTGAACCATCTTTTGTATGGAAGCAGCAAAGACACTGCAGGGATAAAGTGCAATCGAGGCTAGGTAAGATAGGGACGCCGGCCTACCTAACACGCGGTTGCCGACTCCTTGATGTGACTGGGAGTGACATTTGTCGCTGCTCCGCGTCCTGGAGCATCTCCTTTGCAAAGTCGAGTCCTGTCACCTTCACATGGTGCACATCGCTGTTTGCTCATGGTGAGAAGAAGCGCTTTGCATGACTTCGAGCACAGATGCCTGTGATGCGCCACACATGCGAAGAAGGCTTTCATGAATACAGCTGGTGGGAGGCCCTTGTAATGGTGTAGTCAGGATGCATCCAGAGTAACAAATTGGCTGAGGACTTCGTGAGCTCTTTTGAAAACCTCTGTGCACCAAGAAATGGCTCACTTATGAATTGAAAGCTGAGAGACATGGACATGCATGGCACTAGAGCAGGGCTCGATATTTTGACAGCCTAAGAGTAGTAAGCACCTGTCCTGAAGAGCCAACTGCTTCGGCAAGGTTGAATGCCAGATCCCCGCTGCCGCAGCACAAGTCCACAGCGGCATGCCCGGGCTGGGCCCCACTCCATTTAATGGCCATTCGTTTCCAGACTCTGTGCTGTCCCAAACTCAGCATGTTGTTCAGCTGCAGGACACAGATCAGATCAGTGATCACTTGCTGCCAGCGCTTGAGTGGGAAAAAAGCAGTCACCGAGGCACAGGTGGAAGCACTTATCACCTGGTCATACACCGGTGCTATCTTCCCAAACAGTTGCTGCCGAGCTTCTGACTCTTGGCCTTCCACGAACGCTCCAGCTGGCCCACGAATCTCTGCAAACGAACCTGCAGAAACGAACTTGAAAATGACTTCTTGCAAATTTATGGATGAGAAAGATACAGTCAGATTCCGGTAATCAGTCACCTCCCTCACCTGAAGATAAACTCTCGTCTGTAAGGGTGTCTACAGCAGAGATGCGAGGCCTAGTGGCGTTGATCTGCAGACGTTTCAGCCTATGATCTGCGTGACATAAGCGGCCAGTGAATGGCCTTTGCTGATGAAGTGCTTCCATTGCAACAGTACTAATTGTAGGTGCACGATAGTCTCAAGTTTTATGGAAAGTTTGAATGAATTACATTGGAGATGAGGATTGCGGAAGAGGAAGGCATGCCAATGGCATCTGTCTGCAGGCGTTTCTTGCCCCTGAAGGCAATTTGCCATGCAAGCTTTTGGGGCCTTCATTTAGAGCAATATTACACAACATTGTGCAGAGGGACACAGTGTTTTGTCCTTCATAAAGGATACAGCGATGCTGAGTACGTGAGTCATCTGACAAGGTACCGTTCATACGGTTGAATCGGTCAGAGCTGCATTAGCTGATGCGCTCTTAGGATACGTATAGTGCTGAGACAGGTTGATCAAACGGACATGAACAATCTCGGTAACTTGGCCAAAAAGACTGGCCCAACGTGGAGTAGAGAGTTCGATCTGCTTATTCGATCAATTGGAGAGTGCAAGTCAAAGGCAGAGGAGGATGCCATAATAGCTCGTGAAGTAGATTTGCTGAAGCCTAGGCTGAAAGATGCAAAGATCGATAAGCGTTCTCTCAAGGAAGTCCTGGTCAGACTCACCTATGTTGAAATGCTGGGACACGATGCTTCCTGGGGTCATGTCAAGGCTCTTCAAGCGTGCAGCGATACCAATCTTCTCACAAAGAAGGTAAATTTCTAATAACATCTGTCCAAAGCACCCTGTCGGGCACCCATGTATTGTTCTTGAAAGGTCTGATTGGGCATGTGTCCACTCCTTTCATAATACTTCTCATGCGTGCAATTTGATGTGCAGGTTGCCTATCTTGCTTCCGGACTTTTCCTCGATTTCAGGAGTGACCTGATCATTCTGGTGGTCAACACACTGACTCAGGACCTCAAGTCTGACAACTACCTTGTAGGTGAGCAAAGGCTTTTCATCTCCCAATCAATCCCAGCGGTCAAGCTGTTCAGGGGAATTTTCTCCCCTTCTATAAACCTCAATTTAATCTCCTTTGCATGACAGTGGTGTGCTGTGGGTGTTGGCAGTCTGCACAGCGCTGGCTGCAGCTGGGAAGCTTATCGGCCCAGACCTCATCAATGCAGTGCTGCCAGCTGTGACTGGGCTGACGAACCACCCCAAAGACCTTGTGAGGAAGAAAGCTGTGATGGCATTGCATCGCTTTCAGCAGTTGGATCCGCACCATGAAGGGCCGCTGGCTGGTGCTGACCTTGACAAGTACTACAGACAGGCCCTCTGCGACAAGGTGCGTCATACGCTGTTGTGCTGCTTTTCATAAGCAGGCCATTGATGTGAGCCAGACCCGAGTGATGGAGAGCCCGCTTATGTGATGAGCTTAAATGTCACCCGCCTGCCTGGTGTTATATCAAGTCAATGTGTCTCAATGCTTCAGGACCCTTCTGTCATGAGCGCTGCTCTTTGCGCCCTGCTTGAAGTTGTTGCACTGGATCCCAAGCCTTACAAGAATCTCATCCCCAGCTTCATCAGCATACTGAAACAGGTGATGATCCCTGACAGTGTCTGCCACTTGTTTTGCATTTCTTCGGTACAGCGGTGCTCGTGCATACCGCAAAGATGTTGCAACTCCTCCCACTGAAAAGAATTGTCTGCAGGTGGCAGAGCACAGGCTTCCAAAGTCCTATGACTACCACAGGACGCCAGCTCCATTTCTTCAGGTGCCACAGCTCTGAACTTGCATTTCAAATGCAGAAAGGAAAGCGTGCAATTTCTAACTGAAAAATATGAAGTTATTTAGTAGCCAATGCTTGCATGCTGCAGATAAAGCTGCTCAAAATCCTGTCCTATCTGGGAGCGGGAGACAAGACTGCCAGTGACAACATGTACGCCATTCTCGGCGACATTCTGCGCAGAGCAAACACCGGCCACACAATCGGCAACGCCATAGTGGCCGAGTGCGTGCGCACCATCACAGCCATCTACCCCAATCCAGCCCTGCTGCAAGCTGGTGCGATTTCCCACCCGACATTGTATGGAAACCGTGAGTTCAATAGCTACTGGGACCTGACATGACAGGTTTCTTGGCAGGCGAGACACTTCACAATCCCCTATTCTGGATGCATGCAATCTGTCGCATGCCATCTACTCATCTCACATTAGACATCACCTTGCTGCCACAAAATCTCATAGGATGCTTCATCTGCCGTCTGCGTGTTTGAAAAACAGTTGCTATTCATGTTCTCTCAACACATGACTTGCATGCCATAAGTAAATGACCGGCGTGCAGCTGCGGAGATGGTGTCCGGCTTCCTCAAATCCACCAGCCACAACCTGAGATATGTGGGCATTGACTCCCTGGCGCGCATAGTGCGCATAAATGCCAAGTACGCTGTGGAACACCAACTGGCTGTTATCGACTGCCTAGAAGACCCCGATGACACCCTCAAGAAGAAGACCCTCGAGCTGCTCTACAAGATGACCAAGCCCGGCAACGTGGAGGTGACTGCACCCCTGCATGCTTTCTGCTGACATTTGCCAGCCTGAAAACTGTATCAGCAGTCAGTCAGTGACTACTCACTTCCACGCCAAGGCAGGGCTGATCCGATGCCTGACTGTCATTATAAAAGCCAGCGCCCAGCATGACACTTAAAACTTCAAAATGTTGTTGGCAACCCCAACGAGATCATCCTGCCAGAAGAACTGCATCATAGTACAACACCGGCATAAGGAAATCACCTGTCCAATGTGCACAACAGGGGGTACTTAGGTAATATCTTGTGCACCCTGTGCACATGCATGTCATCCATGATCTGAGAACACCTGGCAGCCTTTTATAATCATTTATGGGACTGCGCGCAGGTGATTGCCGAGAAGCTTCTGGATTACTTGCGCACGACAACCGACGAGGGGCAGAAGGCTGAGGTGGCAAAGCGCATCGGGGAGCTGGCCGAGCGTTTTGCTCCAGACACCCAGTGGTTCATCGACACCATGAACAAGGTCTGCTCTTTTCATCCCACCACGTGTTGCAGTGACTTGACTTGATGCAACAGGTGCATGCATCATACCACCCATGTGGCAGCATCATGTGTCATGTTGGAATGGAGTCTTTAGAAGGCTGTGACAGACACGTTCCTGCAAACCACCTGAGACCTGGCAAACGCACTGTGTACCCTACGTTATTATTATTACTACACGCCTTTCCTGCCAAGAGGCAAGGTGTGTCCTGCAGACAAGCTGCAATTAAAGGCTGCCACAATCCTACCCCTGGTTGGACTCTCCAGATCCAAGCTAATAGACCCAACCAACCGTGGGCACCGTACCCTCATGGATTTGAAAAATCACGACAAAATGTTGATACCTCTGGAAAATGATTGATGGGTACATTGCAGGTGTTTGAGTTGGGCGGCGATGTGGTGGCGCCGTCGTTGGCGCATGGGCTGATGCGGCTGATAGCGGAGGGCGCCGGCGAGGGTGACGAGGCGGCAGATGCCGAGCTGCGGGCGCAGGCGGCCGCCGCCTACATGCAGCTGCTCAGCAAGCCAAAGCTGCCGAACATCCTGCTCAAGGTATGATGAATCCCCATCTTGGGTGTCATGGGACCGTACCAGAGCTTCTTTGACTAGCACTCCCGCGTCCAGAGTGCTTCTGATTCAGCCAGGCTCTCGGGTGCACCAAAACTGCCTGAGTCTTCGCAAGTGCAAATTGCTCATCAGCTTTATCCGCTATCTCAGGATCAGCATGCCTTCCTGTACTGCAGCCCATCCAAACAGGCAGGCATGGGGCCCCCAGCAGGCTCCATTTTTCGTGAGGGGCAGAGATGGCTTCAAATAAATTACTAATATTAGGTGGCTGATGACATCGTGCGCATGGCGCCGCGCAGGTGATCTGCTGGGTGCTGGGGGAGTACGGGGGACTGGCGCCGGGTGGACCGGCAGCGGTGGTGGAGCGGCTGGTGGACCTGGCGGAGGGAACAGCTCTTCCGGAGGAGGTGCGCGGCTACCTGCTGGCCGCGCTTGCCAAGCTCCACGCGCAGGGCGGCCTCCCGCTGGCGCCCCCGGCCACGCAGCTGCTGCACGACGCCGCCTCCTCCCACAACGTTGACCTGCAGCTGCGCGCTTTGCAGACCCAGGCGCTCCTCGAGTGCGGCCTCTCTTCTTTGCACAATGTCCGCATCTCCATGGAATTGAAATGTGCCTGAAATCTGGAAAATATAACAAGCACTGGTAATCGGCCTGCTGGGCATTCCCGCACCTACCATTTTCTCGTTGTGAAGGGGGCAATATAGCTGTCTATGTGTCTGGTGGAGGCAACTAAATGCAAGAGCATGGCATTATGATTCAGAAATCATACTGAGCTATGCACAAGAGAATGTTTCTTTGGCCAGCACTTCTGTTGTGATGTGCACTGCACAACTCACTGCATGTAGAAATTGAATGACTTGGGTCAGGACAATGGGTCAAGCCATTGCAGAAATTATGGAGAAGTTGCACTGGGTGACATACTATGTTTGCAACAACAACAGGGGCCCGGCGTCGACCAGGCAGGGCGCGCTGCCAGCAGATGCATCGTGCGAGGACGTGGACGTGGACCCGTCGCTGCCCTTCCTGGACGGCTTCGTGGCGGCTGCGCTGGCCAACGGCGCTGCTCCCTACATCTCCGAGCAGGAACGCTTTGCCATGGGCGTCGTGCGGCCCTCCCACCACGATGAGGTGAGCCCTGCATCTTACCCTCTTGTTGGGAACTCCGCATCTGCATGGAGATTTCAAATTCACTGAGCCCATGTTGGGGACAGCTGGGCAGTCGTGACGCCATTCATGCAGGTCAGAATCTGCCTGACAAGGAAGCTACCTTAGGACCGTTGAGGTTACGGCCGGCGTGTACTGGACGTTCAATTCAGAATTCTCGTGAGATCCTTTTTTAGGATGACGCCTGTTTCGTTTTTCTTTTTTCTACTTTCCTGTGGCTGCATGCGCGTGCAGAGCCCGTTCCTGCATTGAAATTGCTGCCAAATAAGTGTGGATATGCCTCCATGTGCCTGCGGTTCAGCCTATTCGTGCATAAAAATTGCTTTCACATCAACTTCTGGACGTTATGCAGTAGGGGAAAAATTTGTCAAGGTGATTTCTGTGGGTGCAGGTGGCGGAACACACCCATGCTCTGCGCTTCACGGCCTATGAGAAGGCGGCCCCTCCCAGCCAGGCAGCCACGCAGAGCAGAGAGCACAGCCCTCTCCGAGGTGCGCCAACACCTTTTTACTCGCCCTAGCGACCATCTCCAGCAATCGAGCTCTTCATCATGCTGATCTGGCCTGCTTATGTTCTTCTGCCAAAGTCATGATCGCCATTGGCTGCGAGCTTCTTTAAAGAGATCCATCTTCTGGAAATCCCTTTTCATACTCTATTATATCATCATGCGTGTCCACTGCAAAGTATATGCATAGACAGGAGTGATGTCCCATGATCCGTCCTGAAATACAAATATATCATTCCAGGGCCACAAGATGGCGGCCTGCTGCTGGACAGCGGCAGCGCTGCACCGGCCTCGTCAGCCGCCGCGGCTGTGTCCTCGGAGCCGCAGCTGGCGCTCCGCAGCTCCGGCGCACGCAAGTGGGGCCCAGCCCAATTCGCGCCCCAGCCGCAGCCGGCCTCAGTCGCCGCCACTGCCGCCCCCACCTCCACTACTGGTGAGTTATTCAGAGACCTTTCACAAGGTCTCAAGAATCATCAACAAAGATGTTTGGCCGTTGTTCCTGGCTATTATTATGTTATGCTGGGATGACGTCTTCTCATCATGCCTCTGGAGGGAGTGCCTTCTGATTTGCCTCCTGATTCAGACGATTTCAGCTGTGTATTTGCTTTGACTGGGCGAGGAGTGTTCGTCTCGAGAGGCCACTGATGTGCTATTGCCGAGATGCTGACAAGGGATAAAAGGTGTTGCAGGAGCGGCGTCGGTGAGGGCGGCGCGGGCGCAGGACCCCGAGCCGGTGGAGATTTCCAAGGACAAGGCGCGGCTGGCGGCCTCGCTGTTTGGCGACGACAGCGCCCCCTCCCGGCCCGCCAATCGCAGAACGCCCCAGAAACAGGTGTTCCACTCGTCCACACTCATGATCCTGTCCCAGGAGCTTTCTCGCATGCGCAGGTCTCACGGGCGCCAGTCATTATCTGGCCTCAGTTCTGTGCCGCATGTTCCTGCGTCCAGGCAATTTGGATGCCTTTAATCATAGATTTATGCTTGACAAACTACGTATGCCACTATTCGTTATCACTCTCGTGTGGCAACATCGCTGATTTATACAGCAGTCTGAAGGGTGCTTCTGCCGAACGCAGGCAGCAGCAAGTAGCAGGACCGCTGCAGCGGTGCCCAGCCTACTGGAGTTTGACTTGGACACACCCTCAGGCCCTGCACAGCCTGCTCCATCCGCAGCCCCATCATCTCAAGGCGAGAATCCCTCCAATGTTTGCCATGGGAACGTATTATTGAATTATTATACAAGCATATAAGTATTGGCCCCGGCTGGCGGGGGGCGGTATAAATACTGAACACCATGCCCACGGTTGATTGGGTCTTGCTTGGGGCTGGCAAGTCTAACAAGGGGTAGGATTGTGGCAGCTTTCAAGTGCAGCTTGTCTGCAGGACGCTCCTTGCCTCTTGGCAGGAAAAGCGTTTAAAAATATAAATACTAAGATTGTTCATACCTGCACTCCTGCACCTCGCTATCGCTGAAGCCCTTGTGTTTTCATCACCTGCATGCCTGCCCATGTGTTCATGGGAGTGGGCTGCTCTGCGCAGACCCTTTTGCAGCACTTGAGGGCCTCTCGCACCCCACGGATACAGCACCTGCACCCTCAGCGGGCGGCATTGATCTGGACGCTCTGTACGGCGGAGTCACAGACCCGCAAGCCAAACCCGCCCCCACGCCCGGAGACAGCTTTGGCGCCATGCAGGGCCTGCAGCCACAGGCCGACCCTTTTGCTGACCCCTTTGCGCCTCCGCCGTACCAGACAACCACCAACCTGATGGGTGCGCACCAAATCGAAGTACTGTACCACTTCTTGGTGTGGCTTTGTTGCTTAGAGGGCTTTTTGTACATATCGGCGGCTGCATTTCACTGCGGGTTGAGAAGCATATGTACAGAGACAAAGGGGTAGGATAAGTAGTAATCTTCATCTGCAGTTTGTCTGTCTTCCGGCGCACCTTGATTGTAATGATAGCAACATAAGAAACTGTCTGTCTTGATGTCTGCCTTCTCTTTCATGCCTAAAAGTCACTCGTTCTGCTGTTGACTGCAGGGAATTTGGCACTTGGTGGCAGTTCTGCGGCCCCTGCGCCAGCAAGCTTGCTGGGAGGTGGCCGCCCAGCTCCTGTGGCATCAGGTTCTGTTCCTGCACCAATGGCGGCCAGGGGCAATGCTGCTGTAGAAAAGAAGAGCGCAAAGAGTGATCCTTTCGCAGACTTGCTAGGTTGAGTAGCGCAAACCCTCTAGGACTTTCTATTGTGAGAAGATTTGTGTATCAGGGGTGTGGGTATGTCGGATTGAGAATTGTCATGCAAGCCAATCTAGTCACTAGACATGCAGGTGTGGCACCATGAAGAGAATTATTTGGTACTGTAATGGTCTGTCCTTGCATTCCGCTTTCCATCGACACATAAGTCTGCTATTACACATATACTTGGACGTGATAGCATCCGCAGCTGCCCAGCACTATCTCTGTGACAGCCCAGCCTGGGACATTGTCAAAATATGACGGATCAGTCTTACATATACAAATGCCCTGCAAATGCTTCAGAACTGCTCCGAGCCACCTTACCACAACAAGATTCAACCCTCAACATCTTTATCCCTGGACCCTCTGTCTATAGACTAGCTAGAGCAGCTCCTCAATTGAGTTGCAGCCATGCCATGGCTAACAAGGCGGCTACAATAGCGAGGCAGCCCTTCCTCCTTCATTGGCGCTCGCTCTGTCTTCATGTCTGCATTCTCTCTTGGCCTGATAGCATCACTCGGGCTTTATTGAACCATAGCGATCTTCGGCATATTGCGCAGCGTCTTCTATAATTTCCCTTACTTCAGCCAGTTTCTGCTTTTCTGCTGCATTCTTTATTGCCTTTGACATCTCTGCAGGTGTGGCCTGGCGGTATACGCATGTCTCTGCAATGCGGCCATCGTCAAATGTGAGCAGGCTAATGCCGCTCGAAGTGTGAGCCCTGCTTCCGAAAGTGCCGCTCATTTTCCAGTGCACAAACACCTGCACGTATGCACTCGAAGGCTCCCTGATGTGTCTGACAACTTCTGGAACAAAAAATCATTCACCGCAGATATGAGTTCTGAGAAGTCTGCAGCAGTCATGTGTGTCCCTGAGCATGTGCCCACCTTGCTGCTGTCTGGACATGCGCACGCCTCTGTCACCTGAAATTTAATGTCAGGATATATTTCCTTGAAACGCTGGATGCCTCCAACAAGCTTCTCACGTCCCACTCCAGGGTTTTCCTGGAACCGTTTGCTGTCATTTGAAGAGAATACATTATCTCTGGGCCTCAAGATATTGTGGAATAAAAATACATAGTAGTTACCTGCCAGACTATATCACGCTGGATGTGCTCCTCGGCCACAAGGCTCTCCAAGAGCGCGACGTCCCCTCCCCATGCCACCTCGTAAAACTACAGATGAAATCCGTCAGCTTGAGCAGTATTAGTGTGAAAATATTGATATATAACGTACTATCAAGCAATACCTTGGAAGTAGCAGGCTCACCTGAATAGATTTCGAAAGCATTTCATTCCTGCATCACACCTTGTCTTTAGCGTCCAGAGGTGGTGAAATCCTACTTTGGTCCAGGAAACTCTGCATTTCATTTTTTACCTTTTCAAGGCTGCAGAAAGTTTGCCAACGTGCCGACTGCGCCTGTGATGGTGACACTTTTGTTGGATCGGAGGTGGCCAGATCGCATTGTAGGGAGGACTCCATAGAGAAGAGAATGTGCTGATCAGTTGCTTCTGCATTCTCTTATCGACCTTGTGAGCATGATTTCCACGATGTAAGTAGGACCATCAAGAGAGCTGTTGTGCAATTGGCTTGGACATTTTGAGCCAGCTTAAGCCTAAACAGGTTCCGGAAGTTACGACTGTGAAAGCACAGCTGTCGAAAGGGATGAAGGTTGCCGCGATCTGGCTTTGCATCTAAATTTCAGCTCTTCGGGTCCGTTTAAAAGGAGAGCCGGTGTTGGAAATATCTGATTCCGCAACAAAGACACTCCTGGACGCCTTCTTGTTCGGGTACATCGCCCCTGCTTTCGGAATAGCCCTTTTCATCAGCCTTCTACATAGACAATTATTGCTTGGATGTAAGAAATCTCATATGTTGAGATCTGGAAGCTCAGCATGTAGGAAGAAACATAAACTTTGCCACGATGCCTCGTCAGATATGTGATGATAATACAAAATTCTTCAAAATCACAGTGATCTCAATTGCAGGTTTGGAGAGGATTCAATTGATTTAATACAGTATAATATATTAAGCAATGGCACCGAAAAGGCAGAGAAAAGAAGTCCACAAAGCAACGGAGGAGGCTCTTATTCCTGTAGATCAAGCTCTCCAAGCTCACCGTATCACTCTTCAGGGAGGAGGCCAGGGCATACTTCTTGGATTTCGAGTGCCCAAGGTACTATGTGAACCATAGTTGATGAACAAATTGCCGGCAGCAGCGTTTTGCATTATTTCTCATGGACCTGATCAAGATTCTTGTGCAGGATTACTTTCTAGCTACTGGCGCGGGTGATACCAACGAGGTGAGCTGTAGCTCATATGAATTAAATTTTTCTTACTATGCCCTAGCGCAGCATGTAGCCCCTTGCTTCATTAAAAAATTAACATACTCTGTGCAAACCAGGGTGGGGGTACTGATCCCTGGGAGACTGGCTCTTATGATTTGGCCCTTGAGGAGGCAGGCATTGAGAACTTCAATGTGGTGGCATACACCTCTGTCATACCCGCAGGCACGTTCAAGCAGCCAATGTTGCATGCTTCTGTCTGCAATGTCTTCTGGTGGTTTGGTCTGATTGAAGTAGCATGCAACTTCAATGGGTATGTGATACCAAATGTGACAATGAGAAATCTTGCCGTTTACAGAGGCCACAGAAGTGAAGTACCAGGATGTAAAGAAGACGTTTCACCATGGTAGGAATCTCCTCCAAAAGATATCTGAACCGACACTTGACATCATCATTTTGTGCGAATGAAGAGGTCAGGCTTCCGCTGGTCCTCCTTGCCTGATGAGTCCCTCTGCTGTGGTGCAGGCGCAGTGCTCGAGACAATCATGGCCAAGATGGATGGCGTGCAAGGGGACAGAATCTCTGCAGGCGATACCCCTGTAGATCACCTGTTCTCATGTCCTCAAGATTGCTATATCTCTGATTGATGTTGGATGGCATTCAGTTTCACCATCTCTGAACTCCAAGTCAAGCACTGTTGTGTCTGTGCCTGCAGGTGTTGCTCTGATGAAGGTTCGCAGGCTGTCTGATGGCTATGTGATTGGAGGCTGGGCTGCAGGTAAACTTGTTTCTCTGTTCTGTTCAACCTGGCTTGTCCTGCTGCACATGTTTACGGTTTGTAATGGTTGGAGGTTGGGCTGCAAGTAACCTTGTCTCTCTGTTCTGTTCAACCTGGCGTGTCCTGTTGCACAAGTTTACGGTATGTTCTTGTTCAAAGTGAGAGGAAGATGATGGTGTTCTGCAGAGTACAAAGGCCATGCCGATGAGGAGGGCGTGAAGAAAGTTCTCAAGAGCGACCTTGATGGAATGTTCAAGAGGTGCGCGTTTACAGCATGCAGCAGAAGTCAATGCATGGACCTGACTCGCTGGCAGGAAATTGCTGACATTTGTTTGCCTTCCTGGCAGACGATTCCCAAAGGACGATCACGAGATGTTTGAATTGAAGTACATTGTGAGGGTAAGCCCTCTTCCCGGTGCAATGCTGAAGTTTCCACAACCTCACAGTATTACTATACTTGTGGCCCAATACTGGCATTATCACTGCTTAAGCTGGAGAGATTTGCTGTCCAGCACTGGCTCTAGGCAGACTGAACAGGAACGTACAAGTGACTCCCATGTGCTCATGTGGGAGCCATGCCTTCTGCAGGTGCATGAGGTGGAGAACAGCTATGGCACGGTCCTTTCCTCCATCTGCTTCTGCTCCTTCATCTACCCGATCGCGACTCCATCTGTGCCGTCTGAGCAGTCCTGATCATGCGCAGCCATGTTCGCTGGTCCTGCGAGCGCTGAAATGATGAAACAAACAGAGCTGCGGCAGCAAATTGCACTGATTCATTGCAGTGAGTCTGTGCAAGTGACCTCAATCAGCACACAAGCCTGGCCTACATTTTCAGTGGTGCCATGGCCGCCGTTCAGATTGGACTGAGCAAGACCATGGCGGAATTGCAGCCTGGTTAGACATGGTAGTCTTTGCACCTCCAAGCTCTCAGCTATGGAAAGCGCGCATATCCAAAGATTCTGTATTGAGATATCTGGATGTTTGCGAAGCGTGAGATACTGTGGGTATACTATGAGCTACGTAGAGCATGTAGAAAGGTTCTGTCTTGAGGTCCTGCATATTCCAGATCAACTGACATTCTCAATCAATCAATGACCTGGCCCACTCCTTTGAGGATTGGGGGGATGACTGCATTTGGCTCTTACTCACCCCTCACATGTGCGATGCATGCATGCATGCGATCCAGCGAATGCCTGAAGGGAACTTCGGTGCGCTCACGCTCGTCTTGCATTTCTTCGTTTGAGTGCCTTGTGCCTCTCAAAATATTGGAAAGCTTATACACGGCTTGAAACTGTTTTGCAGAGGACTTGTGGGAGCTCTGTCAAAAAAGGTCGAAAATACAAGCCAAACATTCACGCCACGGTCGCAATAGCACTTGGCTCAAACTTCCTTTCCATCCTTCGGACAGCACAGATTGCTCGACAGCCTGCAAATGACCGACGAGGATTCCGCTTTGCTTCCGAACAATCCGTGGGATGACCTTCCGCAGGAGCTCTTGGGGCAGGTACAGGCGTCACTTGGTGGTTTGCTAAAAAATTTGAAATTTCTCAGTCCTTGCTTTTGGCAAACGCGTTGCATGCAAGGATTGCATTTCTTCATGACAGGACCATGGGTGCACCAGACTTGTGCATCCCTGCATAATCAGCATGACCAGGCTACCTGTCGTACAGGATTTGAACACAGTTCTCCAGGGACAGGACTGGTGCCTCCCTCTGGGTCAAGAATACATACAAGAACAGCCCCCTGCAGCAGACGCCATTGACCTTGAAGAGCCTGTGACCCAGCAAGAGGATGCACGTATTGAAGTGCTGAGATCCTACATATCATCTAAAGGTGATGCCCACTGCTTCCTTGAAACTCGCATGTACATGCTCATTACTCCCCCCTTGCTTTCATGGTGCACCGTCTTGTAAATGCCAATGTCCCTGTCAATAGAGTGCCAGATGTTGGTGCGAACAGAAGCTGAATTTAAGATGTACCGGAGTGGCATTTCTGGCAGGTGGCTACCTGACAAGAGGCTGGTCAGAGAAAGTCTGTGTGGGGAATAAGAACAGGCGCTCGCGTTATTGGATACCACCAGATGTAAGTCTCCAGTCAAGTGCTGCTCCGAGCACATGCATGTTGTGAAATGAACCACCCCATGCTTCCTGATCCATGACAGCTGCTGTGTGACGTCGTCCAGGACTTTTCGCCCCTAAATGGAGGGCACCGAAAGTCCGCTTATGCGTCTAAGACAGACGTGGCCCGCGCAATGGGGCTATTGATCGAAGGCAGCCAGCTACCAAATGGAGGGGTAAAAAAGAAGCGGCTGCGCAAACCCCGTGCCAACAGAACACGCAAAAATCCTGGTGCATCCCATCTACCTTACAAGAAATGCATGCTGCAAAGCTTTCATGCAACTCGCGGTCGCAGCTAAATAGGCATTACTCCTTGCCCATCCATAGCTAATGCGTGTGTCCCTATCCATGCTCTTACAGCATCAGAATTGCCACTGCACACTGCTGTATAAGGGAGAAAAGAAATTGTTTGACGCTATTCCAAAGAGGTGTTCAAGAGAGCGTGTCATGGACTGACTATACATCTATTCAGTCTCTCAAAGCACAGATGCTTGACTGCAGATGCTGCGTCTCTGGCGATGTGCAATGTGAGCCGCCAGAGGGCCCCTGCAGGGCCTGACAGTGCAGGCAATCCCCTAGCAGCAGACCCACCGCAGCTGCCGGCAGCTGCTTGCCAGACAGAAGTCATGCATGCTTCACCCGCTGCGCTGACTGCAGCACCGGCACTGCTGGGAAATTGCTTTGGCTGCAAGGACAGCACGAGGGCAATCATTGAGGAGCTGCTGCAGAAGGACAGGGACCTTGAAGCAGCGCAGTCCCAGATCCAGTCCATGCATGAGCACGTCAGGGTGGTTACTGCAAAATCAGAGGCCCAAGAAGCCACAAATGGCCAGCTCACAACACAGGTGCTCATCACTTTCCCAGTATCGCAGTCACATTTTCATGCTGATGGCTTGCGACGATAAAGTCAGGTGCTGCCATGCGATTCTGTCTCTGTGTCTGCTCAGAAGGCTGATCGCCAGTCCCATTCACGTAAACTGGGTTTGTATCTTCTTCGGATTCCACAGTTTTGATCTCTACCATTCACAATGACACAATGGGCGCTTTGGGTCGCCATCGGAGTTTCTCAAGGCATGCATGTCTATCGCATATACAGCAGGCATCAGCATGTGTGTGGGTTTGGCAGGTGGGCAAGCTTAAGGAGGCCCTGGCGCAGAAGGAGGAGGAGCTGGCAGAGCTGCAGGTGCTGCACATGCAGGCACCGGACCTGGAAGATCTGCACAGCCAGCTGGCAGACCTGCAAAGAGATGTGGACAGAATGGACGAGGTATCATTCTGAAGCTCCAGAACCGATAGTTGGCACTGCATGCTACTTCAAACATGGGTATACATGTGCAATTATGTTACCCCTAACATTGTCTTCTGAACTTGCTGAAGGAAACTTTAACTGCACTTTTTCTGGTCAGCTGCCAAGCATGTCTTGTGAGCTTGTGCAAGTTACAGGGCAGCGACCGCTCCAGACATGACGCCTTGTGTTTGTGTGCTGCATAAGGATCAGTTATTGCCGAGATGTTCACATCTGTGCTGTTTTTATGGCAGGAAATGCAACAAATGGTACAGGAGGGTGAGGCGCGCACGGCAGAGAAAGTGCAGCTGCAGGCAGAGGATATGGACTTGAAATCAGAGAATGGCAAGCTGCAAGCCGAAAATGAGCAACTGCGAGCCAAGCTGAATGACATGGAGGAGCAGGCAGCAGCCAAGTGCAATGCGCAAGATGAGGAGAGTGAAATGCTGGCAGCAGTGTTTAGGGTCATCAGTGCATCAGTCAAGAAGGCGCCCCAGCTGAAGGACACGCTGATGAGCGCCCTGGCCTTGTAATCACTACTATCGGTAGTTTACTGGTACCAGAAAAGGGGAGCGCAGGGAAGCCTCTGTCCAGCATGCAGGATAGGATTTGTACGGTGAGCATCTGCAAGAAAAAAGGGCAAGTAATGTTCTGCAGCCGCGGACAGGCATCAAGGAGGCAGGGGAGTTGTGAGAGTGCAGAGCAAGAACAATTTCCTCCAAGTGCTTCTGCTGCTGCACACCTTTGATGGTTCCAGTACGTGTAATTTGATTCATTGCGAGAGCTCCAGCAGATGAGATGGTCGACTTGTAGCTGCATTGCCAATACGGCTGTGCTTCTACATTACCTTCTGGAATTTCCTGTTTGATCAGCTCATCAGGTAGCAAATACTTGTGCGCGAGGAAACCTCGTTTCCTTGTACTTTATCCCTCCATACTAAATTGAGGGCAGTTGGGATTGAGCAAGCCCTAGATTTTCCTGCCTAGTTGTTTCAATTGCAGCCTGTTTGGAACTAGCCTAGGATTTGCGCTGAAGCATTTTCAAGGCCTAGTCTGAGATTGGAACAAGGTCCTTGAGCGTACCTCCAAGGACTGCTTGGAAGATTCTTAGAGATGGACCTGCACATCTGGCCCAGTATGCCGCTGGTAAGATTGATGTATGCTTCATTGAAATGAGGACCATGATCATTGTTTGTGCACTTCTGTAATGGCATGAACGGCACTTTTAGCAACTCAACATGCATATGATAGTGCTGAATTGAGGACGCTTGAACCACGTTGACGTCAGTGCATGCAATGTGGGGTCTGCAAGGCAATCCCTTTTTTTTTGACGCTTGCACTGCCTTAAGGCTAGGTAAGGCAAGCCAGTATGTGAGTGCATGCTCTCTAGTTCCTTCCAGACACCCGAATATCTGGCATGACTGACGCTTTGATGGAAATTATGTGAGGGCCTGATAAGGCCCTGGAGTGGTCCAAGAAAAAGGGTACTTGCATCAATGCATCGAGATATCTATTCTGCTCCTACACGATGCAAGGGATCCTGTCCTGTTTGACAATAAAAACTCAATCCGAGATCACGTTCTAAATTCGGAAAGGCAACCCGCTTGAGCTTGTACGTTCTCCCGACCTTCTAATAGCACCTATCTTGCCATCAAACATCGTCTAGAAAAAACACAAAATCTATGATTCGTGGATTCGTGGGTTTCGTTGCCTCGACTGAACAAAAGGTTAGCGATTTCACAATTTACCCAACGCGTTGGCCTCCAATTTTCAGCAAATGTCTCAGGTGCTGCTTCGTCAATGCCATTGCAGGCAAGATTTTAGCAGTTATTCAAAGCTCACCCACAAATAAGCTTTGGATAATGTCTCCTCCGGACCTCCTTCGGCAATCTGTGCCAGCAGCAGGGCAGCTGTCTTCAGGCAGAAAGCGTCGCAGCAGCCTGGAGAAACTGAATGACTTTATCAAAGGGCTTGGTGTGTCACCTACTTCCCTTAGAAATGTGCTGCATGCATCAACACACAAATATTGAGCTTACTTTTCGATTGTAGCCCTTATGGCTACCCAGGCACCTTCATCTGCATCTGAAGAGCCGTGTCCTCTGGAAAATTAGTCAGGAAGTTTACAGACATCCCTACTCCGGCGCAGGTGGTCAGCTCGCGGATGGTTGGGTTAGGGATAAGCAGAGACTGCCAAACGGACATTGCTTTGTCCCTCCCAAGGTAACACTACTATGCATATGCATGCATGCATGCATTATGAGAAAATGCGCCTACATTTTTTAAGGCATGGAACGAGATACGCTTCCTAAACTGCTGGCTACTTTGTGCTGAGTCGTTGTCTCGCTTTTTCAGGAATTCATTTCACCAAGTGGACAGCCCTCTGCGTCGTATTACCTGACCAGGGGTGACGTTGCGCGTGCAATGGGATTTGCAAAGGCTGATATTGCCAAGGCACTGGGACTTGACCTTCAGCAGATCACTGCCACAGCGCCCACTCTGCAGCGCAGGATTTCAGATATTGTCAAGGACAAGTCGGCAGGTGAACATATGGTCTTCTCCTTCATCTCTGTTATTCGACATGACTTTGAAGATCCTGCATTGCAGGCTGTGGCCCATGTACGGAGGGTTACACATCATGGCCTTACTTATAAAGAGGTCCAACCAAACGGTGTTTTGACAGATGCAGGCATGCTTGAGGATGATCCAATGCTTGGCAGTCCTGGCAAAGTTCCTCCAGGGGACAAGAAGGGAAAGCCCACTGCACTGTCCGAAGAGGCGCAGCTTGTCAAGCTGCAGCAGTACATTCAGAAGAAGGGTGCTGCACCGACCTTCCCAAGCAGAGATCCAACATCCTTCCTTTCTGTCTTGGGTGCTTGAGTGTGTTGATGGATGCTGACCATCAAGCCTAATACATTAAGCAGATAAGTTGAAGATGAAGACCACTTCGTGTTTGTCTGCCCCCAAATTATGACGATTACCAGAAAGTGCTCAGAGCTATTTTGGTTCTGCACCACCTTGTTTCTATGCATTTCTGGGCCAGAACAGTATACTGATTGCCAATTCTTTGATGGAATGCAGACACATGAGAAATTTGTGACATGAAGATGGGCAGTGACAGACTGCCTACAAGACAAGTGAGCCTCAGGTGGCTCTCACATGTCTCTGAAATGAAACTACAATAAACTCATTACTGGAATGAGCAGGAGAAGAAGCTGGTGAGGCTGTGGTGCTAGAGCCCGGCTGGAAAGTGAGCCGCACCCAGCGCACTTCAGGCAAGACCGCTGTGCAGTACGACTACTACTACAATCCCCCGGAGGTGTGCTTCCCACCATCTCCTTCCAACTTGCTTGCACAGACATCATCTGTTCTAATCATAAGTAGTGCACGGTTTTCCTGCCAGAGGCAAGATGCGTCTGCAGGCAAACAGCAGGTACAGGCTGCCACCTATCCTTGATGGACCTGCCAGATCCAAGCAAGAATCAATCAACCAGGGGCAAGGCGCTCAGTACTTTCCCTGCCCCGCTATCAAATTGAGCTTGATGCCGGCAATATGTGTCCAATGGTCGCTGAGTCATGACATTCCCTTTGCAGGAATTTGTGGCCGTGGGCAAGTACCAGGGCAGGTACAGGTCACTGAAAGAGGTCGCGCGCGCGTACGGCCTGGAAAAACATGATGATGCGCCCGAGCTGCCGGCCAGAACCGTCCAGGCAAAGCGCCGCTGCAGCTCAGTCTATGCAGCGCCTCCCCTGCCCAATTGGGACCGCTCCAAACGCCGCTCAGCCGGCCGCTGCGAGCGGAGCACTCCCTGGACATCTCATGTCCTCGTGACTAACGATGACATGAGCTGCGGACGTGGCACCTTTGGAGAGGAGGGCAGGGCCGCTGAGCAGCCTGATCAGGCCCTGGGCCAGGGAAGCGGGGTGGCTGAGCAGCCTGATCAGGCTGCTGGAGTCAAGCTGGAGCCCTCAGAGAATGCAGATGCAGGTGCCCTGAAGCAAGAAGCTGCTGCAGAGGCTCAGACTGGGCAGCAGGATTCCAAGGATGCAGAAGCTAGCGCAGAACTAGCGGTCATAGATCTCGTCACTTCTGCTGCACCAGAGAAACAGTATGCACAGCCAGTTGATCCAGATGCAGTGCCAGCAGCGGAGATCGTCAGTCTGCTGTCTGACTCAGAGCAAGAGATTGAGCAGGCGCACATTCTTGACAAAGACATGCCAGCCAACGAGTGCCAGCTTGGCAGTCCAGAAACTAAACCATCCAGTCTGTCCAGCTCCGCTCTGCAGCAGAATGGAGTGCACAGCGACCTTGCAACAGACAGCAAGCACATGCAGAGCAGCGGGAAGCATGCAGTGCTGAGCCCCAGAGATCCCCGCCGCAGGTTCTTTGGCATGCCAGCAGCCCTGGATGACAGTGAGAAGCACAACCAGGAGGCTCTGAGGGAGCAGGTAGGGTTCCTCACAAGGGTGACTGAGGGAATGGCGAGAGATCTAGAGGAGTACAGGAGCCAGCTCAGGGATGTGAGTTCAAAGCTACCAGAGTGCTCTTAGCTGCTCTGTCTGCACCAGGAGACACACATTGTTTCAGATATGCCAGACATCTGTTCCTCGTCACATGTGAGACCTGTTTGCCCTCTGGTGAACATTGAACTCGCAAATAAAAATATCAGGCGAACCCCAACATGTGTGCACCTTGGGATCATGATCATATCCTGTGAGCTTGCGTTACAGGATATGAACTCCTTGGTATGAGAAGCACCGAACAGCAAGATCATCTTCCCACTTGCCAGCTTTTTTAAGCGTGCTGCAAACCTCGTTATTCTACATGCAATGTTTGTGTTGGTGGCATTGCCACTTTGCTTTCAAGTTTATTGCCTTCTGTGTACTGGGATGAAGCAACAAGCGTGCCCACCAACCCTTACCATCCCTTAGAAGTGGTAAAAGGCATGACTTTTGCAGGAAATTGATGCTTTGTTCTTGCAGTGGCATGTGCCCAATTCTTGAAAGATGTGCAGCTGGTTGCATGATTGCCTTGATTCTAAATACGACCCTGCATTTGCTGGACTGTAATGTTAATGCAGTCACGCCTGCCTTCTGGCAGAGTTTACCAGACAGGTAACCTTGTCAATGTACCAGCATGAGGTAGGAGACAGCTTGCAACTGTTTGCATGCATGGTGGCCGTGTGGTGGCCATCAATGGCAACCATCCATGGAATGCTTGCCGCACATAAAGCTCTTGTGAGCGGTGAGCTTCGTGCACTAAACGTTGAGCTCGAGCCAGTGTGTCGTTATAAAAAGATATTAAATATGTCAAAGGTGTACAGCATGGCATGCATGCATCCTGAGAGTTTGAATCTGAAATGTGGCAGGCGACTCCAAATTTGGCACACCGTCTCCCTTCCTCTTCTCAAACGGCTTGAAGCTCGGACAGACTCATTTGGGCTGGAGCGCACGGTCGGGAAAGCGCAAAGCCAATTAGCATTATATCGGCTTATTCACTGAGCACTTCAACACCTCTGCATGCTCTGAAGGAATCTCCAAAGGTGCGCTGCACTTGTTGGGTTCTTTACAGCGATAAGCAACCTAGTGCATCCCAGGGCAGGATCTCACACAAAAGCCATTGATTAGAATCCGTCTGCTGGCATCGCAGCTATTTTCTAATAGAAATCAAGGTCCCCAATAGCCTGTTGAGAGTTTCGATACTATCATTAGGATCCAAGACGGCTTCGTCAGGAATGATGTGACATCGCAAGAGGAAAGGTTGGGCGATGGCAAGCGAGCTGCAGCACTCGCCTGCAATACCAGGCGGACAACGGGGAACAATATTCAACCCCAACGCAAAGCTGCTGAGTATTCACGAAGAGCTCAAGAAAGCTGGTGCGATCGCATTGAGTAGGATCCCAGGAAATTTGACTACAGTGCTTCTGATTGATCGGCTCCAAGAAGCCACCCTTGTGTCCAACTTTGCATAAGTGCAGGCAAGTCTGCAATCTTGCAGGGCTTCACCTGGCAGCTGGATGGAAGTGTGTTGGCAGACAGCGCAGCAATGGCAAAGCCTGGGATAAGAAGTACTACCCTCCAAATGTGAGCTTGCTTCCCCCATCCACCTGACAAACAGCCCCACAGCAGGACATCGCACTACAGATTTTACTGGCTACACAATAAACACGGCAGTAGGATTTCAAGCTGCCCGTGAGGGCCCCTTGTCTTCTGGGAACAACCTTCACATGCATGTGATGACATGTTGCGTTGCAGGGGTTTGTGCCTGCTTCCGGACAGCCACAGAGCTCCTACCGGTCGATCGCAGGAGTGCTGCGAGCGCATGGCCTGGATGTCAAGACCTGCGAAACACCATCACCGCCAGAAAAAGCAAAAGAAGCGGCCGAATGGTCATCTCCAGACCAGATGCCCTTCCTGAATGTCCCCAGGCAGAAGCGCGGCCGAGCGCCCAGGTGTGGCCCGGCACATTTCATCTACCCCGTTTGCCGCCAGGAAAAATCTTCCTTCCATGCATGTGAGCAACGCTGGATACATGAGTTTGTCACTGTCAAGGTCCACCAGGCAGGCTTCCAGATGCTTGGCCAGCATGACATGCAGCGGGGCTTCTAATCATCACAGCACGGCCCTTAGAACAGCTAATGTTGGTATGGTATGCAGGCACAAACGGCTTGCTGACATTCTCAGCGAGGACTCAGTGCAAGAGGATGCCGGGAATCCTGCAAAGAAGCAGCGCAGACGGCCGCACAAGGCAGAAGCAGACTCGGTGTCTGGCGTCAAAAGGGGCGGCCAGCCCGCCAATGGACAGGAGCCAAAGCGGCGGAAGAATGCTCGAACAAAAGCAACGCAATACTCTCAGGTGCCTGACGTCGCACCCAAGCCCAAGAGCATCAGCACATGGCGCCAGCTGACCATGCATCTCAGCGAGGCAGGCCAGCAGGCAGCAGACTCCAAGGGGCACGACGACGGGGAGGAGTCCTCAGAGAGCGATGGGGAGCCGCCTGAGCCACGGCCGAAGCGGCGGGACCGTCGCAAGCAGAAGAGCCAAAGCCCCCTGCAGCAGCAGGAAGTGCAGCCCAGCGTTGTGGCGCACTGTGCGGTAGGCCCGATCTGTACAGACTCTGCCGCGCATAATTTGCACTAGGGTCAACCAATCAAGCTTGAGCCCCTTACATTAGGCTTGTAAAAAGCACGGCTGTCGCCAGCCGTTGAAACTCCGCATCTAGCCACTCGGCTGCTCATGGATGATTCGTTAATTACTTCCCGCATTCATTCAGCAATTTACTAGAAGCGCTTGGCATGCAGGGGTATGCGGCAGAGGAGGAGTCCAGCAGCGATGATGACTTGGATATCTGCGGCGACCTTGAAGGCTACGGACTGGCCGGCAGCATGAGCACACAGGCGGAGTCTCTGCTGGCCAGCGGCTGCCTGGCGCCTGATCATCCTGCGCAGCCCGCTGTGTCCGAGCCTGAAATGATATCTCCTCAGCCGGCGTCTGGTCCCGTTTCTGCCAGGCAGTGGAGTGATCTGTAAGGGGTCGTTGTGTGATCATGAAGCCTGGACGACGAGCAAAGTGGGAAGCAGCCACGGGCCCAGGCTCCTTCACGCCACCTAGCAATTTTTCCAATGGGACGCTACTGGCAGTGAACAGACGCATCTGCCGCTAGCGTAGTCGGACCTGCATGCGTCCTTTCTCTTTCTGTCACCATCATCTCTCAGGAAGAGTACTGCGCAATGAATTTGGGCAGTCTTTGGGGTTCCAGCAGGAAAGGCTTTGACTAGCAGCACATAAGCAAAGCGCAGGCCTGACGCCACAAATATGCGACAAACTTGCAGATGTCTGCTATCTTCCTAATTCATAATGCTCGGCATGATTAATCATGTGCCGGCCTACCTACAAGTGTCATACCAACTTGAAGAATTACGATTTTGTGTCTAATTCTCAGCTGTGAGTGTCACAGTGCCACTGTGGCTGTATTTGGTGTGGATTTTGTTTGAGTGCTGCATGTATTGCTGGCGCACAGCCGGTTCGTCTTTCCCCAAGCACCAGAACATAGAAATGTATAAGATTTGTAATCACCAACAATGCTTAGACGTGACTGGTGATAAACAAGCGTTGCCTGTGCTGCTTAATCTTGGACTGAATTGCATAGGCCTAGGGAAAAGGAGGTAAAGAAGGGGCCTGGGCTCTAGAGATGCCCAGAGGCATTGACTTGTGCCCGAAGACGATATACTGCATGACGAGTGCCTTTGTGTGTAATTTACTGTTCCAACACTTCAGGAGGACTTCTCATGCATGCAATTGAAGCAGCGCAGCTAGCCTGTATATGGAGCTGACCTATCGGCTAGCCTAGGCTTGAATGCCTGCTCCACTTTGCAACAATTTTATCATTCAAGCCAGACGTGTGTACTAAATTAATGGAAGTTTCTAGCAGGATCTTCCAAGCACATCAGAAGGCACTCCCTAAATAAAATTTGTACCAGCAGCTTCAGTGTCTACTCCCGGAGGGGTCATGAAACAAAAAGACCATGTGTGTCGACACCAGATCGCATCCATAAGATCCGTCTTGCACACACGAAACATTGGCCATTCTGTGGATACGATCGAGGAAGTGGTTCCTGATGTCTCTGGATGACAGGCGCATATTCTTGGGATCCTGTGAGGTGCGTCTGCGGTTCCGACAGCCACCTGTTTGTTGCTGCTGCTCGTGCTTGTCATGACAAGCCAAGACACTGTTCAGCGAGTTTGCGTAATGGGTTTTTGCGAGGAGTAGGGTGCGTGCCAAAGAAATTAGATAATATAATCGCTTGCACGCGTGCAGAGAACCACGGATACGGAGACGTCAGCAGACACGAGCAGTGCAAAGCCTACGTATACAATGTCATTCTTGACAGCGGCTGCAGATTCCAAGAGCACTACTGGCGATGCGTTGCCTAGGCTGCAGGAATACATCCAATCTGTGGGTAAGCCTGGTCATATTCTGACCTGTCAGGTCACCTCCCACAGAATCATCAGGTGCATTCGGAAGAGCTTGAATGCTTTCGTGAGCTCTGGAGCATCTGCAGGGGGTGACTTGGGGCCTGGTTGGAGCTGCACAGTCACAAGATCTTCAAGAGGAACGATCTACAGGGCCATTCCTCCAGAGGTATGTCTTCTTTCACAGAGATTGTGGAGCCCATTGCTTTGAAATAAAGGAGGCACAGCATGCGTGCTGCGCAGAATCAACAGTACCACATGTTGTGCCTGCAGGGCTTCATATCAGCTGATGGAAAGCAGCCTTCAGTCATTATGGGTCTGATCAATGTTGCACGAGCACTGGGCTTGGAAGTAGAGGGTGGTCGTGGCGGTTGGCAATCTCGAACCAAACCAATGCCAAGCACAGGAGAAGGTAGGCAGGAGAATTTGGACACAGGTGACAATAATTGCCTCCCACACCAGTGAGCTAGCTGATGCTGTCCGGTATTCAATTTGACATCTGTTGTTACATGCTTAAGAATTGTTTTTGACCTTTTCAGGAGCTGGCGTGCCCACTGTGCAGCATGCACCTGCACGGCGCAAACGCAAATACACAAAGCGGCAGCACGAAACTGTGGCATACCAGCAAACGACACCGGTGCATGCATCACCAGACTGGGGGATCAGTCAGCCGCAGGCGGCTGCGCTGCCAAGCAGCGTTGAAGAAGAGACCAGCCAGGACCATGTGGGTGGGTCTGCGCTAGACACAGCAGCACTTCAACTTGCAGTGGAAAGGATCCAGGGCCTGGAAGCAGAGCTTGCCGCAGCAAAGGCCGAGCTGGCTGCAGCCAAGGCTCAGCTGGCTGACAAGGAGACGCAGCTGACAGCCATGAGCATGCTGGTCAGGGAGAGGGTGTCTGGGCGTGCAGCAGCACCCTGATGCAGAATTGAGCGGGATGCGGAGACAGGTGCAGTCAGCTTAAATAAGAGAGACGGAGGTTTCAGTGATGATGCTTTTGCAAAGAGGGACTCCTTGAACAGCCGGCAAGAATGTCGCATATGAATATTAATTACACACACACGCACAGGCATTCGTCATGGCGCACGTAGGCCCCGGCTACAATACAAAGCGTCTGGACACCCCTAGAGAGCCCTGCCCCATATTACCCAACCTCCCTCTATATTCAAATAGTACAACCATGGTGTACCACGTTCAGAGCTCAGCAATGTGGCCTGTTTGACCAGTGGCCAGGGCAACAAAAAGCAAGCTGTCGAAACCTCATCATCTGCATTGCGTGGTACTAGTCAAGCTGCATGTCTCTGGCCATCATCATGATGGCCATGATGGAATCAAAGTCGATCAAAAACGGCGATACTGGGGCTAGCTTGCGCATGCATGCATATGCTAGCATGGAAGTTTTTTCAACCAGAATACCGATTGGCTGAGCACATCGAGAAGCCTTCAAGCCAACCCAGAAGCATGGACCATCAGCATGACAGTATTTTGTGGCTTAAAAGAGAAATTTCGAAGGTTTGCATCAGCTTGGGCCTTCCAAAGGACCCTGTGACTATGAGATTGTAGAGGGCACGTGCCTTGACATCAGATCTCCCAAAAACATCGTGCATACGCAATTTGATAATTGTCCTGTCAAAAAGTGTTTGAGAACGATCTTTCTGATGTCTTTGGATGACAGGCGCATGAAATTGGCGTCCTGGGAGGTGAGCCGTCAGTTTTGACAGCGGGTCGTTTCTAGCAGCTGAGTCTGCTTGTCAAAGCAAGGCAAGCTGATCATCGGCGATCAGTCATGATGTATTTACACCGAGCATGTTGCGTAGTGGACAAGGATGAAGTCATATGCGTGCATGCGTGCAGAGAACCACGGAGACGGATACGTCAGCAGACACGAGCGGTTCAGAGCCTATGCATTTGACAGTTGCTGCAGGATCCGGAAGCACTACTCGTGAGGGATTGCCGAGACTGCAGGAATACATCCAATCCATTGGTAAAAACCTGGTCGTCCTCTGCATTTTTGGGGTCACCTCCTAGGCCTACACGTATCTAATTTTATTTTTGAGAGCTATGATATCGAAAGGGGATTTTCAAGATCTCTAGAGCACCAGCAGGTGGTGACTTGGGGCCTGGCTGGAGCTGCACGGCTGTGAAATCTGCTCATGGGACGACCTACAGGTCCATTCCTCCAGAGGTAAGTGCTCATCGGCCTGTAGCTTGTTGATGTCAACAGCTGTGTACATACTCACACGCACGAATCAGCAGCGCCAAGCTGTGCCCTGCAGGGCTTCGTGTCAGCTGATGGGAAGCAGCCCACAAAAATAATGGGTCTGATCAATGTTGGACGGGCATTGGGCCTGAAAGTGGTGGATGGGCGTGGCGCTTGGAATCGATCTCGTAATGCCACCATCCCAAGCACAGGAGAAGGACAGCAGGACAACTTGGACACAGGGGACCTGCTGTCTCCCACTCTCCCACGCAGCTCGCATGCCGATGCTATCCAATTCCCAAACTTTGGTCTGCTGTTTCTGTGCACCCCAGATGATAGTGTTTTCATTTGACTCTATGCAGAAGCTGGCCTGCCCACTGTGCAGCATGCACCTGCACAGCGCAAACGCAAGTACACAAAGCGGCAGCACGAACCTGTGGCATTGCACTCAGCCTCACAGGCGCATGCAGCATTGGATTGGGGGATCAATCAGCCTCAGGCAGCTGCACTGCCAAGCAGCTTTGAAGCAGATACCAGCCAGGACCAAGACACAGCAGCACTTCAGCTCGCAGTGGAAAGGATTCAGGGCCTGGAAGCAGAGCTCGCCGCAGCAAAGGCCGAGCTGGCTGCAGCCAAGGCTCAGGTGGCTGACAAGGAGACACAGCTGACAGCCATTAGCATGCTGGTCAGGGAGAGGGTGTCTGGGCGTGCAGCAGCACCCTGATGCAGAACTGAGCGGGATGCGGAGACAGGTGCAGTCAGCGTGGATAAGAGAGGCTGAGATTTTAGTGATGGTGCTATGCTTTTGCAGAAAGAGACTCCTTGAACAATTGGCAGCACATTGATGCAAATTTGAACGGGATGCAAAGACACGTGCAGTCACCTTGGATAAGGGTGACTGAGGAGCTCATGACGCGGCATTGCCGGAGAGATCTTCTGCCAACACAAAGATGTTTTTATCGTCTCTGATGCAATACAGGTGTCTGCCATTGGCATACAACATGAATGTTACCATCCAAGAAGACTAGGGGGCTGTGAACTGTTTGGAGTGGGTTGCACTGGCCAATGTCAAATGGGCCACATACATCATCACTGTACAATTTGCATGTAGAAAGATATTGGGTAAGAGGAGGCAGGGCTCTCTAGGGATGTCCAGATGCTTTGAGTTTGTGCCTGTGTGCGGCATGATGAATGCCTGTGTGTGCAAATACCTAATATCATGCGCCATGGAAACAGTTTCTCATGGTTGGAGGAATGCTGCGGAGCAACGGTGATATAGAGGCTAGCATGCGCATGGTAGCATGCCTCCCTTTCAACCAGAACACCGATTGGCTGTGCACATCAACAAGTCTACAAGTCAATTGCAATTCGAATGAGGACCATCAGGATGCCAGGAAGCTGAGAAATTCTATGTTGAAGGATGAAAATTGATCCAAAATGGAATCATTGACTATGAGATTATAGAAGCCACGTGCATTGACACCAGATCTCCCAAAACGTCGTGCATACACAATATGATCATTGCCCTGCCGATTAATCGTTTGAGAAAGACCTTGCTGATGTCTGTGGGGGACAGGCGCATGATATTGGGGTCCTGGGAGGTGCGCCGCCAGTTCTGGCAGCGAGTCGTTTCTTGGTCTGGTTCTGCTTGTTATGACGAGCCGAAGTGATCACCAGCGAGCTTGCATATTGGTATATGCGATGAGTAAGATGTACCTTGAAGGAGGACGATGATTGCACTGCTTGCATGCGTGCAGAGAACCACAGAGACGGAGACGTCAGCAGACACGGGCAGTGCAGAGCCCACAATATCGATGTCAAGAGCTGCTGCAGGATCCGGACGGTTTGTCCGGTATACTGGCGATGGGTTGCCTAGGCTGCAAGAATACATCCAATCTGTAGGTATGTGCCCGAGCGTTCTCTGCATTTTGGACCTGGTTTCCAAATATCTTGAGTATTAAGTATGTATTTGAATCTGAATGAAAAAAGTTGAGATCTTTAGTGCGCCAGCAGGGGGTGACCTGGGGCCTGGCTGGAGCTGCATACTCGTGAAATATGACAATGGGACAATCTACAAGGCCATTCCTCCAGAGGTGTATATTCCTATGTGGAGCCCGGTGCTGTTGAGCACATGTACAAACATGCAGACACATGAATCAGCAGCACCAAGGTCAGCACCAAGCTGTGCTCTGCAGGGCTTCCAGTCAGCTGATGGGATCCAGCACACAGTGATCACCGGTCTGGTTAATGTTGCACGAGCGCTGGGCTTGACAGTGATGGGTGGGCGTGGCAGCTGGGGGCGGGCTCGAGATGCTGCCATCCCAAACACAGGAGAAGGACAGCAGGACAACCTAGACACAGGTGACCTGCTGTCTCCCACACTCCAATACAGCCCGCATGCCGATGCTATCCAATTTCCAATTGTCCACGCTGTTTCTGTGCACCGTAGGTGATGATCATTTCGTTTGACATGTTGCAGGAGATGGCCTGGCTCCTCCGCAGCTTGGACGTGGACAGCGCAAGCGCAGGCGCAAACGAGCGCAGCAACAGTTTGAACCTGCAGCATTCCAGCACATCTCACCTGTGCATGCATCACCGGAGTGGGGCACCGGCCAGCCTCAGCTGATTCCACTGCCCAGCAGCTTTGAAGCAGAGACCAGCCAGGGTGATGTTGGAGGGGCTGTAGCAGACACAGCAGCAGTTCTTGAGTTTGCACAGGCGAGGATTGAAGGCCTGGAAGCAGAGCTCGCCGCAGCAAAGGCCGAGCTGGCTGCAGCCAAGGCTCAGGTGGCTGACAAGGAGACACAGCTGACAGCCATGAGCATGCTGGTCAGGGAGAGGGTGTCTGGGCGTGCAGCAGCACCCTGATGCAGAACTGAGCGGGATGCGAAGACAGGTGCAGTCAGCGTAAATAAGAAAAACTAAGATTCTAGTGATGGTGCTCTTTCAGAGAAGATTTTTTTCAAGAGGCGGCAGCATGTCTTGATTGTGTCTGATTACATGATGACCACAGACATGCACGATGGACAGTACCATACGATGAAGATGATGGAGCTTTGACAATTTGCGGTGGGTTCCACTGGGCAATGTCAAATGTCTGATCTTCAAATGTGGGAAATCATGGCTGCTCTTTTTGCACACAAGGCTCGAATTGGCTTTCATACATGTAAACAGCAACAAAAAGGTACTGTAGCCTTATCAGGTGCTGGTGATTGCTTATAAGTAAACCAGAGGAATGGCGCCCACAACCACCCGCAGGAAGCCTATTTTTATCTCCGTCTTACAAGGGCTCGGGCTCACGAGTGCTACCCATTCTGGCATGTGATGTTCCGCCAGTCAGTCAAGGGCATCTTGATGCACATTTGTCACGACGGCATTTTCTTAAGAAGATATGCCTCAGCATCTTCAAGGGCCTTGGCAAACGTTATTCTCGCCTCCTTCAAGTCATCATGTCGGACCTGCGTCATGACAGGCAAAGTGGCACAAGTGAGCATGTTGTCAGCCATTTTGCTGCAATTACCCCCGCAATCCTCTCACTGCCGTGCTACTACTATTGCAGGCATGCAGGCATTTCTGATCAGAGGCATTTAAGTTTCAAAGTTCTACGCTTGCATATCGGTGCCAGCACATGGTCAGGAAGTGTCACCTGGTCTGCCATTGGCGCTCTCTGCTCATGCTCTGCCAACAAGCTGTAGAGCTCATCAACATGTACAGCCTGGATCAGAACAGCAGCATACTCCTCTTGCTGCAATCTGCACACCTCCTGTTGGTAGCAACACACATAAATTTAGCGAGCAGCAGGTTCTGCATGCATGATAAGAGAGCATTGCCTTGTCATAGGATGCTGTTATGATGCTGCTGCCAGGGTGATGTAGAGTCTGAGGTGCACGGTCGCTATACCTGGAAAGAACCAAACGAATCTGTATCCTCAGGCCTGGCCAAAAGGCGGGTAGTCCTGGTACGGATCTCTGAGAGGCTCTCAACACATGCTGAGTGAGCCAGCACAACTGCATGTGCTTTCACTGCCTCTATTGCCCTTGTTACAGCAGGCATGACTAATGCCTTCATGGGCGCTATGTCAACAAACAGGCAACCTGCTCCAAAACCCTCGCTGAGCCCTGAAAAGCCTCTATGCCAGCCAACGAGTCGCTGCAGTTGGTTGTGTACATCATCTCTTGTCCTGCAGCACAATCATGCTTTGGCATGGTTGCCATGAATGAAAGGTCGACACTCAAGAAGTCCTGGCTCCTCTGTGACTGCAAGATCGTCTCATAACATGATCACCTTAATTTCTGTTGATCACCGTGCCAGACCCAATTTCAATCCTAAAGATTGCAGCAGGATACCTGATCGTTCTCAGTTCCTCATCAATAGCACAGCAGGTATCAAAGATCGTTCTTTTGTCCTCAAGTGATGCTGCGCATTCAAGCGCTGCTGCAAAGTCCCTTGATATGACTCCCTCAATGCTGAGACAAGCTCCTTTATACTCTGGCATGTCCCTAGGAAGCGCGCCGAAAAGATCATGTCAGCCATGCAGACACTGAAACATTCGACAAATGGAAGAGGTAAGAGGTATATTTTGCGCGGCCAAAAAGAAATGTCACCTGATGACATGGGAGACACTGAGTAGGCTTGGTTGCATGTCATAAAAGGGGACGAAGCTACGTGTCATTAGTAAGCGAGGACAGCTGGCAATCAGCGCAATGGCGCCCTCCACAGCATTTGTCATGATTGTGTCAGAGACGCTGAAGCCGTCAGGGCTGCATCGCATGCCCTTGTCAGGTGCAAAAGATACAGTCGTGATAAACATCCCCTGCAAACAGCGCATGCCTCAATTAGAGTGAGATAACTTGACATTTCTGCTCATCAAGGAGAACTGCAGCACTGCCTTTGAGAACGATAGATGCATGCCATCATGCTCATGGCCGATGCAAGCAGCTACCTTGGCAGCATCTACTGGCACATTGTCAGATGCCTGCAGCACTTCCAGGAGCTCTTTGACTGTGTCTACAACATGCAAAAGCAATGCCTCGGCAAGCATCATGTCTGCCAGCCGCACAAAGTTCCCCATCAGTCCCGCCTCATCCATGACACGCTTGAACGACCTGCAAAGGCATCACGCCATACTTTTAGCATGCACCCTATCCTGTTGCATGCGCACCAAGGGCCATCAATATCCTGCACCGCTGGATTGGCACAAGATGCAGCAGGTTTCAACCTGCATGCATGTACATAGGAAAGGATGCTACCTTGCTCTTTCCTGTTTTTCTGCTTTGATTGTGACCATGGCCCGAAGACTGCCCCTGAGAACATCCACCCCAGTGTCATCCGCCAGCTCAGCCATGCTGCGCACACTTTGAGCCCACTCCTTCGCCCTCTTCCCAATCACTCTGCAGATACCCTCCACCTCCTGGAAATCATTTTCAATTTGATGCCACTCCTTGAAATTGCTCAGGCTGACTGCAGCAGACGCGCATGTGATGGTGTGGCGCCAACAGTTGCACAAGCCATCACTTCCAAATTCCCTTCCAAAGTAGAGAGAGCAAAGCAAAGTCAGCGCCATTGCTGTGACGAAGGGCTGTCATTGGATTGTTGAAAAAGGGTGCCGTGCATGTACCTGTTGTGCGGTATCAATGACAGCATCCAGAGCCGGTTTCACATGCTGCTCACGGCTGGAGATCTGAAGGTCTGCCCAACGATCCACCTCGTACTGCTTGCCTAGACTTGGCAATGTTATCAATGGTACTGCCTGTCCGAGCACACAATCTTTTCAGAAGCAAAGGGACAGACCAATTATACGGACGGGGTCAGGAGTGCTCCAAGGCAACAGCTTGGCAGGGAGCTACACCTGGAGTTTCATTGAAGCTTCTGCAATGTTTTGGAGTCCCCTCAAATACTCTGGCTTGCTGACGAACGCCCGCTCTGCAATGCGGCGCCTCAATTGCTCAAACTTCAGTCTTCGAATTGCCTGCGCTTCGCCTCCACAGAGACAGGTCAAACAACTGCCAAATGCATGGGGAGCACGCCATGCGTGAACAAACAGTTGCTGAATATCAGCGTCCTCAGATACCCAAAGAGCTAATGGAAGGCTCACTTTGCGCCATTTCTGCAAGGATCTGCCAAGAACGAAGTTGCGGAAGAAGCCAAGCTGGCAGAGCCTGTCAAACTGCTTGCTTTCTCTGTCCCAGACATCAAGCGGCACGTGGTCTGACCAGCGTCCGGCAAGGATGTGGGTGACACCTAATTCTGATATATGGAAGTGCTCGTGACGGTCCAGATCCCCATCATCAGCCACAATGAGGTCATATGGCCTATAGCTCTTAGAGGCATGGGCCCTGTCCAGCCAGGACACCAAATTTCCCCTCACCATGTCAGACATGACACAAGACAGGTCTGTGCTTATGGGGAATATCCTGGAAAGCTTTACGAAGCGTCGAAGGCCTACCTATTGCACTGAAAGAAGTGTGTGGAACTGGTGCCTCCGCACTGCCTGAAGAAAGCGATCGCATCTGCGCCAGCTCTTATCGGTGACTGACTCTGCCCTTGTTGAGAGCAGAGATCTGAAGCTGGTGAGAGCTGATTGTTCAAGTGATGGGCGCTCTCACACCTGACAGGGCTCGTCATGGTGATCTATGCTGCTGCTCTATATGGGACTTTAGGACCAGTGTTAATCTTAATGGGCTACCTATGTCTAGTCTTATAATTTAATACCAAATCCCCCATTCATTTTCAGACACAGTTGGTTTGCAAAGAGGTCCAGACTCGAGATGCTCGAGAAGGCCTTAATGAGTGCATTCATGTTGATCACTGAATCCATGATGATTTAAAGATTTCTCATGCATCTTGTGCGCTTATTGTGGAGGTATAACGCCACGAACAAGTCCTTGTGATCAGAGAAGGTTTCAACGGCATCTCAAAACGGAAAAGTCGTAGGCGAACGAAAGCATCTCAATAGCAACAAATAGCACATCAAACGTCTCAGAAATTTTTTTAATTGTTTGAGATATGACGACATGGGACCATCTGACCCTGAGTATAATTTTAGCTTCGCTTCGCGAATCCGTTTGGCCTGCCCGCCTGCCCAAATCTAGGGCAAACATGCCACACTGTCAAAATGTGGAATTTCTTGTGAGAGTGTTTGAAAGAAACTGCTTGCGTCTTTCCTGAACATGCCGGATATACTGAGACTCCATAATGCGCTGAAGATGCATGTTAGGACCCTCACTCTGATTGCCTGAAATATTACGATCCCCTCAAGAGATCAATGGACAATTCTGCTGTCCGAGGCCTCAGCGAGGCGTTCCTTCAAACCTTGAGCAGCCAACAGGTATTTGTAGACTCATCACATTCAAATTTTGCAGCTTTCGGCATCGATGTGTATCTAAATGGCCCTGATGACAATTCCAGGACGTCAGGAAGAAAGCGGAAGAAAACATCAAGACAGCCTCGACACAAGATGGATTTGCTCTTGCAGTCTTACAGGTGTGTCTAACGCATGAACATATACATTTGTGTTCTCTTTTGTCATGTATTGCAGCTTTTTTGTGGACGCATCATCAGACAGCGTGCAAATCGCAGCAATTGACGACAGCATTTGAGAGAAACATGCTTGTTAAAAATGCATGCAGGTCGTTTCCACCGATGCGCCGATAGAGATACGTCAGGCGGCGGCTGTCAACTTCAAGAACTTTGTCAAGTACAGATGGGTGAGGACGAGTTTTCCCTTCCCATCGAATATATAGCATCATCCGATCGACTCACGCTGACCAGAATTCTTGCCACGCACAGGCACCAACAGAATCGGTACAACAACTCATGAAAGACGCAGAAAAGGTAAGCGGGCTTCTCTTCATGCTGTGCCAATCCTGTTGTGAGGCCTCAGCTCTTGCTTTAAAACATGCAATGTATTGATGAACACTAACAGATATTGTTGTAATCTTTCAATGCAACAGGAGCAGATCAAGAGCCTGCTGACAGGCTTGATGGTGTCCACCCCGCCGTTGGTGCGAGCACAGCTGAGCGAGGCGCTGTCAGTCATCTCAAGCTTTGAGTTCCCGGCCAAGTGGCCAACGCTGCTACCGGAGCTCATAAGCAGGCTGGACTCTGGGAATGCCAGCACTGTCCATGGAGTCCTTGAGACAGCCAACTCCATCTACAAACGATACCGCAACCAGTTCATGAGCACTGCCCTGTCGGATGAGCTCAGTTACTCGCAGCAGTTTGTGCAGCCCCTTTTGAAAAGCTTCCAGGTGACGCCTGCATGCCTGGATATTACAAAATACCAGCTTTTTGTTGTGCATGCACTGCAACTTTCAGCAGCCGAAGCTGCGCTCTAGGAGGTTTTTGTGCATTGCAGGGCATCTCAGCTCAGATCAAGGCGTCATCAGGTGACCTGGAGCAGCTTCGGCTGGCGCTGTCTAGTGCACGTCTTGTGCTGCGAATCTTCTTCTCTCTGAACTCACCTGGCTTGACGGAGGTAAGGAAGAACCTGAGTACGCATCTATTATTATACACCTTTTTCCTCAGCTCGTACAATGACAATGCGGTGGCCCTGCAGGACTTTGAGAACGTCTTGGACACTTGGATGGAGGAGTTTCACTTCTTTCTCACCTATGATAACCCAGCTCTTGCCGAGAAAGACCCCGACAAGGAGAGCATTGTGGACGCTGTCAAGGCGGCTGTCTGCCAGAACATCAACCTGTTCATGGAGATGAATGAGGAGGAGTTTGCAAAGTACCTCGGCACATTCGCCCAGGATGTCTGGACGCAGCTCACCCGAATGACTCTCAACCCTGGACAGGTCTGCTGTTCAATTTCTCTGCTGGACGCTCTTGCTGATGTTATTCTGGTATTCGTACTCATCTAATCTTATTTGATTGCGAATTTTGCACCCATGCAGGACAATTTGGCCATGAGCGCTATCAGGTTCCTGACCACGCTGGTCAAGGGAGTCCATCATGGCCTCTTCCAGGATGAGAAGGTCCTCCAGCAGGCGTGGCTTCCACCCAATCCCATTCAAAGAACGCCCCAACTTCCTGAAAGTTTCTGCAGGGTGTCCAGCTTGATTGCGGGACATAAATGTTATTGTATGAATCCAAACAGTGAGCAATCACTGAGGGCCATGTGGGTGCGTGCAGGTGTGCGAGCAGATAGTGATTCCCAACATCCGGCTGCGGGATGACCTGGAGGAGATGTTTGACATGAACTGGGTGGAGTATGTGAGGAGGGACACCGAAGGCAGTGACATGGACACCAGGCGGCGCGCAGCCACTGACCTCGTCAAGGCTCTGACATCCAAGTTTGAAGCCAAGGCAAATAGTTCTCTCACCTCCTTAGAAAAGAAAAGTCAATATGCAGCAAAGCGGTACGAAATTTCAAATGCATGCATGTGAGGCTGATGACATGCAGGTGACGGAGCTGTTTACTGGATACGTGGGGGCTCTTCTGGCAGAGCATGCGCAGAATCCCACCGCCAATTGGAAGGCCAAAGACTGCGCCATCTACTTGGTAGTGGCCCTGACAGTGCGCGGCCGCACTGCTGCCCAGGGTGCCACCACCACTAACCAGCTTGTGAACATCGGAGACTTCTATAGCCAGCAGGTGTGCAGCTTTGGACTCATTCCTAAAACTGATTAAGATAGGGGACAACCCAGTATTCAATTTATTTGTGAGAGCGCCAAATATTACAAGTCTGACTCAGCCTTTGTCTTGGCCTGCCAGATTGCACCCGAGCTGACATCCTCGGCTGTGGATGATCTGACGATCCTGAAGGCAGATGCCCTGAAGTTCTTGACCATCCTGCGAGGCCAGCTGCCAACTCCAGTGATCATGGCAGCCTTTGGCAATCTGGTTGCGCTGCTGGGGTCGGACTCTAATGTCGTGCACTCATACGCAGCCATCGCTATTGAGAGGCTCTTGGCATCGAAGGTAGGTCCTTTTGTGATCTTGCATTCACTTCCCGTCATTCAAATAGAGAGATGCCATCACCATTTCAATGCAACAGCTGAGGCACTGCACATGCAATGCAAAATCAGTTTCTGATTTTGTGTGGCTGCACCTCAGGAGAATGGCCGCCAGCGTTTCTCGGTCAGCGACCTGCAAGCGCAGCTGATGCCCTTGCTGAACAACCTCTTTGGGGCCTTCCAAAAGCCCGAATCTGGCGAGAACGAGTATCTCATGAAGACCGTCATGCGTGTCATCACGTTTGTGGGTCCAGAGGTGCTTGATCTCTCAACTCTCCCAGATTCAAAAATGTGCAACACAGCTTTATACCACAACAATGTGATTTTAGTATTGATATTTAGAATTGATTGGGTTTTGTGGGAGCTGTGCAGATTGCTCCAGTGGCTGCGCTGTGCTTAGAGCGGATAGCCGCAATGCTGCTGCAAGTGTGCCAGAATCCAACGCAGCCAGGCTTTAATCATTACCTCTTTGAGTCCGTGGCAGCGCTTATCCGGTACTCAGCTGCTGCAGACATCAGCAAAGTGGCTGACCTGGAAAGCAACCTGTTCCCAGCTTTCAATGTTGTCCTCCAGCAAGATGTGCAGGCAAGCTCTCTTCCTCCTTTCATCCCAACCACACATTTTTTCTTACAGTTGGAAATTCTGCGATTATACATCCAGAATTTAGAGATTCTGCGCATGCATTGCAGGAGTTCCACCCCTATGTCTTCCAGATCTTTGCGCAGCTGATAGAGCTGCGCACAGCGCCTCTGCCGGAGCTCTACATGACCATCTTCAAGCCGCTGCTGGCCCCTCTGTTCTGGGAGCGGCCAGGCAACGTGCCTGCGCTCACGCGGCTGCTGCAGGCCTACCTGGTCAAGGCTGGGGCCCAGATCGCGCAACAGGGCTTGCTGCAGGTATGCCCATACCTTGTTGAATGCTCCCAGAACATAGACGCACATAAAACACTCAACAAAAGACATGTGCTGTTGCTATTTTTGAGTATTTTGTTGGCGTCTATTTACACTGCACGTGAGCACTGGATGTCATGCAGGGGGTGCTGGGGATCTTCCAGAAGCTGGTGGCCAGCAAGGCGCATGACCAGGAAGGGTTCAGGATCCTGGAGGGGCTCATCACGCACATGCCCCCGGAGAGCCTGCAGCAGTACATGCCCACGGTGCACTCCTCTCACTACAGACATACCCCAAGATTCCCCTGAACACCTTATTGTCCTTTTGCACACCACCCTCTCTGCCTCCATTGTGAGCCCTAATCCTGTCTAAACCCCTGCCCAGCTCTCTAACTTGGAATCGTTAGAGAACTCTCTGACCGCACTGACGCTGAGGTGCAAAAGCGTGGGGATCAAAGGGGGTAGGGAAAAAATCGTTTTCTTATGGAACAGAGATTTACCAATTAAGTCCAAATCAGGCTGTTTAAGATTTTGATTTTACCCCCCTTACTTATTTTGAGGAAGCCGTAAAGGAAGTGTGGCGTGCTGTGTGGGCAGGTGTGGTCGTTGCTGTTCCAGCGGCTGCAGGCGGCCAAGACGTCGCGCTTTGTGCGGGGCTTTTTGGTTTTCCTGTCGCACTACATCGTGCAGCGGGGCCCGGGCGCGCTGGCCGCCAGCGTGGACGCGGTGCAGCCGGGCATCCTGCTGGTGCTGCTGCAGCAGGTGTGGCTGCCCAACATGGCCTCCGTGCGCGGCGAGACCGAGGAGAAGCTCATGGCCGTCGCCACCACCAAGGTGTGACTCTTGATGATGACACCTCTGCCCTTGCCAGCTTCTTTACTTACCCCTGCTCAGTAACTGGCGCCCTGCAGGGTATTGGTGTTACGTGATAGAATGATGGAATAATATTAAACCATGTTGTTCCACTGATTACCGCATACAGGGGCCCACCCAGATGCGCAGGCTGCAGTGTGCTTTGTCATGTGTGACTGTGTCCTTGGACTGCACTGGGCGACCCAATTTCAATGCTAGATAGCTGAGGGCATGACGGGAATGCTTGCGATCGTGAAGTAATGTTAAACAAGTAAGGATGGGTGTTCACTTCATGTGTATCTGGAAATGCAGCTCGTGTGCGAGTTGCCAGCCCTACAGACGGCGGAGGGTGCTGCGCTGTGGGGCCAGCTGCTAGGCGGCCTGCTGAAGGCTCTGGAGCAGCGGAGACTGGAGCAGGAGAATGGGGTGGGCGAGGCACCTGAAAACCACGAGGACGTAGCCGAGGAGAACCAGGTCATTTGCATTTTTCTGTTGTGCTCATGCATGCCTGGACCTACTGCGGCAATCGCCAATTTTTGCTTGACGGATTGCAAAAATTCTGCTCACAGAAGTATGCTGCTTTCCTGTTTTCGCTCTTTCTGATGGACATGTTATTGCGCTCAGGGCTATGCGGCATCTTTTGCACAGCTCCACAACGCTGCCCCAGTTGAGCGCGATCCAGTGTCGGATGTGGCAGACGCCAAAACAAACTTAGCAGCCTCACTGTCACGGCTCTCCCAGGTGAACCTGGTTCTCTGTCTGCATCTCCATGGAAGTTGGTTGCACTTCTGAGAGACAGCAGCAAGATCAACCTGATGATCTGGTCCTCTGTACGCAGGTGCAACCTGGCAGGATAGCGCCATTACTGCAGACTAGCCTATCGGCAGAATTGCAGCAGAGATTGCAGCACTATTGCCAAAGCGCTGGAGTAGTTATTACATGATACCTGTGGTGCCTTTTAGACTTCAAGTTTGTACTTTGCGGACTTTGAGTGTCCTTGCAAGCGTGGCCGATGCTTTTAGAGACTGCATGACTGGAAGTCTCAATATTGTGTGGTTTGTGCTGCACACTCTCAGAGTAATTGTGTGGCTTGCACAAACCCTCAAATGTAGTACTAGTCTACGATCTTGAGCAGTTCACGCACCGTGCACGTTGCACACATGACTTTTAGGGAAGTTACACGATGCAAAAAGTACATTAATTGTCATGTTGGTAGAAAATTGCTATATGCAACGCTGGGGAATGATTGCATCAATCTTGGAAAGTAGTGCATGCATGATGCCAAGGTTACTAATCCATGATCCCGTGTCCTTTCCATGGCTCTCATCGTCTCTGACTATCCCCAAAACAATATTCATCCAGTGCAAAGGAACAATTGTGCAAATATCAGGGGTTCTTTGGTGTTACTGTTCCAGGCGGTGGGACGCATAACAATGCAGGGCACCGGTCGTCGCTCATTGCAGCAGGCTTTGCAACTCGCAAGACTCCTTTCTAACAGCTCCGCAAGCACAGCCCATCCTTCAAATGTGAGTGAAAATGGAAGAAATTTCTCTGGAAAGGCCGTCGAAGCTTTGCGCCAGAAGCTTGCGGCAGGTACAGACACCCTTATGATGGTCACCTCTGACTCCTCGTAATTTTTCAACTTCACGGATCTGTCTCTGTGAAGTAGAAACGATCAAAACTACCTTTCGTGACGAGACTGCCAAAATGGGCAAGTCCGTAGTGGTGCTTGTTGGCCGTGCTCCTGCTGTACAAGCAACAACATCTTCATATGTGTGCCCCAGGTCCCGATCTTGGAGAGTTCATCAGCAGCAACGGCGATCTTTCCACCATTGACTACTCCGTCAATGCACCCCACTGGAAGGTGTGCTCCGAATTCGTTCAGAAGGGCATATGCACCCCTTTACCCTAGACATCCTGTTGCGCAATAGAGCTGCAAATCGTAAATTCGCTTGATGCAAGAGTTCTTGGATGGTGCACAGGAGAAGGCACGCAAGCCAGACTGGCTGAAGCGGACCGTGCCGGGCGGGGACAAGTACACAGAGATCAAGGCAAAGCTGCGTGAGCTCAAGCTGCACACGGTGTGCGAGGAGGCGCGCTGCCCCAACATCGGCGAGTGCTGGGGCGGCGGCGACGGCCACACAGCGACGGCCACCATCATGCTGATGGGGGACACCTGCACCCGCGGCTGCCGCTTCTGCGCCGTGAAAACCTCCAAGGCGCCTCCGCCCCTCGACCCAGACGAGCCAGAGAATACCGCCAAGGTGGGGCATTTCTGGGCCTACACCTCTGCACAGGGGTTGCTCAATATCACATTTTGTACTACGGTACATCATACTAGGTGCAGACTGTCCTGCAGCACAGCATCTCAGCTCTTTCAGTGCTACCGGAAGAACACAGGAGATAAAGCGAAGCATGCACAAGCTGCTGCTACCAGCGCTGGTGCAATGTTTGTTTAATGTGTTTTATGTGGTCTTTCGCAAGTGGCGGCGTTGACAGGGCTGCCGCATCGTGTGTCTCAGGCTGTGGCGGCGTGGGGCATCGACTACGTCGTCCTGACGAGCGTGGACAGAGATGATCTGCCGGACGGGGGCGCAGCGCACATCACGGCGACCATCCGAGGCCTCAAGGAGAAGACGCAAGGGCGGCTGCTGGTAGAGGCCCTTGTGCCCGACTTCCAGGGCGACCTCGACAGCGTCAGCATGGTGGCGCAATCCGGCCTTGATGTCTACGCCCACAACGTCGAGACGGTGAGTCCTCCCCCTCCTGCCACTTCAGCTTCCCCTGCAACAAATATAACACCGGAGTCTAATTTTAGCAGCTGTGAAATGCCAGAAATTGGCTGCACGTGTCGTTACCTAAGGTGCAATATTTCTTGTGGAAGAGAGGACGTGCGAGGAGACTGGCCCTGGCTGGCTCAGTATCTTGATTGTCTTGCTTGGAATCCTTCAAGAAGGACAAGTTGGGTGGAAGAGAGGATTGGCGCTCAGACGGGGCTAGAGACACAATTGATCAAGGTCGACATACTTTATATGGCGGTGCAGGTAGAGCGGCTGCAGGGAGTGGTGCGCGACCGGCGCGCGAACTGGGCGCAGAGTCTGGCGACGCTGCGAGCGGCCAAGGCGGCCGGCGCGCGCATCACGAAGACCTCCATCATGCTCGGCTGCGGCGAGCAGCCCGCCGAAGTCGTGGACGCCCTCCAGGAGCTGCGCGACAACGGTGCGTTGCCCCTTTTGCTTTGTCAGGGGTGACTCACCCCGCCAGTCTGGCATTCAAGCTCCTCATGAACAGCATCATTGCATGGTCCCCCTCCTAGCTGTTGATTTGGCAGTGACAAAGTCTTTCTTTGCAGCATAGTCCAGCTCCAGCATCTGTGCAGTCCCGATTGTCAAAGGACCGGTGCAGAGGATTGGAATCCGGCGGAAAAACGGACATCTGGGACCCAATCTTTCCAATTATCTGATTCTGTAACAAGGGACTCATACGTCAGTGGGTGCTGCTGCAGGGGTGGATGTGGTGACTTTGGGGCAGTACATGCGTCCAACCAAGCGCCACATGGCTGTGGCCGAGTATGTGACGCCAGAGGCATTCGCGGGTTTTGAGACGGCCGCCAAGAACATGGGCTTCATGTACGTTGCTGCAGGGCCCATGGTGCGGTCGTCGTACCGCGCCGGCGAGTTCTACCTGACAAATGTGCTGCGAGAACAAGCTGATGCGAAGGAGGCCGCTTCTGTGTGATCTTTGTGAACTATCAGTCGCTTACTTTCTGGTGCCACGCACTTTAGGAACTGTGGGCTGGGCAAAGATGCACCTGGCAGATGTGCGTTGCAAGATGTGCACAATCATTGAATTTGAAATAGCGACATTTGGCTGTTGAGTTTTCAATCGGCCATACTGGGTTGGGTACTGTACCGTAGGGAAGATCACGATGATTGGAGACTTTGGCTGCAAACTGCTGGTGTCACAGTGCATGGATGCTGTTTTAGATCATTCAGTGAGGATCCTAACCATTGCAATTGCAAATTTCTTTTTAGATTTTTCCTGCAGAAGTTATTCTCAAATGAGCGACCATGGCCCTTTTGCATGCATGCGTACAGAGTCTGTAATTCAGAGGATGGTGCCAGCACCATCCTGAGCTCAAGCTACAGTTGCTCGATCGACAAATGCTTACATGTTGCCCTGGCGTGCAAATGGGCATTTGATCTAACATTCTAGCAGGGCTGCCAATCAGGTCACTGAAGAAACCTCTCTCTATAATCAGCATGCGTTTGAAGGATCCATTACAAACATGTATTCTCTCTATTCATCTTCTTCTCAAACAATCAATGGCAGTAACGATGGTGTGCTGGTAGGCCAAGAAAGCCTTTTGGCTTGCAATTGCACCCCTGACAGGCTGCAACATTGCACTCTTGCATGCAAGCTCTTACACAGACTCCTCGAAGGATTTCCAAGGATTTCAACCAATCTTTTGGAACAGGTATATGGGCCGGTCAAAGCCCTTGGCGTTCTCTGGCGCTCGCAGCTGCCGAACAAACGAGAACTTGAACTGCTGCGTGGCGTAGTGGGGCAAGTCTTCCGGCCGCAGATAGAGGCTGCTCAGGGGGTGCAGCCGCTCCCGCATCCCCTGCACCAACACCACTCCACCGATCATTTGTTTTGCAGAAGAAGAGTGTGCATCTTGGGACAGAGTCATAGAAATTTATGGGAACAGGACAGTGGAAGCAGCCTGGCATGGAGTCATTCTGACACGACTCCCTTGTGACTGACAGCACCATTCTGGTCCCATGCACCACTCAGCAAAACAAGCATCGCAAGAGTTCCCACACTTGCCACAGCAATCACTCCGTGGCTAAACAGAACAGGCACACAGCATGCCCTCACGCAGCAAGGTACTTGTGCGGACTTACGGGTGCGCACCGGCTTGTGGACGGCCGCCTGGTAGGAGCTCCAGGCCTGAGGCTCCAGGATAAGGCGGCCGCCGGGCACGAGCAGCTCACAGATGCGCTTCAGCAACGCATGCAGCGCAGCATCGCCGCCGTTCAAGTGCACCCACTTGGTCACGCTGAGGCACAGTATTGTGTCGTACGTGCCTCGCTGCAACTCCTCCTGCGCCATGTGCAAGCATGCTCATTCTTCTTCTGCAAGCTCAATACCAATTCTCTTTATTGCCTCGCTGTGACTGTCAGCTTGCATCAAGGTGAGCAAAGATAGAGGAGCAATGCGGTGAAGGGGGGGGGGGTGCTGCCAGGCTCACCAGCTCTAGGAAGTTTCCCTGTTGGAAGCGGGTGCCGATGAGGCCCTGGAGCGCGGCGCTGGCGGCTTTGCGCTCGGCGTTGTGGGACGTCTGCGCGCTCTCGGCATCCGGCGCGGCGCTCAGGACGTGCCTGCGCGTGTGGGACAGCCGCGCCAACTCCGCTGTGGCCCTTGTGTGCTCCTCCCTCAAGCTCCTGCAGCAAGCCGGTCCAGTAATGAGCATGTGTGAGCATTAAAAAATTGTGAATTGTCTCTGGAGGGGTGACTCATTTGTGCCATGCACGGATTATGCAGGATTACTCACAGCTCATTCCTTGGACTCTCTTGCGTGGGAAGAGGCAGAGGGGTCCAAACCTGTGTGTGTAATGGACAAAGGACAAGGCAGCGGGGGGCACACATGTATTGCTCTGGTCATTCCTACCCAGATGACCTCCACCCTATCACAGCATGCATAGCAGGGCTGCGGGAAAGGCAGGTCTGGCTCAGGTAAAAAGTGCGTCTTTGTAGAGGGCAGCAGAGGATGCAGGGCTGACCTGCAGGCTTTGCTGATAAGGACGTGGTCGATGTCCACGCCCAGCATGCTGCCGGTGCCAAAGCGCGTGACTAAGCCCAGCGTGACCATGCCCTCGTTGCACCCCACGTCCAAACACTTCCTATTCTGGAACCAGGGCTTCTCCATCACCTGCGCACCAGCCATCACTTCACAAGACCGCTGCAAACCTCAGAACGGCACCATCTCACACTCAGAGGCTTAAAAGACACCGATACTGGGATCTGAAAAGTGACCAGCAGATATATTAAGGGCAATGGTGTATCCCTTGCTTGTCATGACAGATATGTGGCAGAGGTAGATGTGGGCAGACAGAGGGGCTATTGAGTGCAGGTGGATTGCAGCTCACCTTGAGGCGAGGGTCCTCTTCGAAGGCTTGACCAATGCGGTACCCATAGTAGCGGCGGTAGTTGCCGTGCACCGGCACAAATTGCTGGCGCTTTATCTCGCGCTTGCTCACCGAATTTGCTGCCTCTCCTGGCCCCTGCTGCCCCGCTGGGCTGCCCTTGAATCCCCCCGGCAGCACTGAGCTGATGACTGCGGCTGCCTGGGACATGTCTGTGCGCAGTGAAATATTGGCTGCATCGTGCAAGCTGCTTTCCTCAGTACCTGTCACAGGTGCACTGCCAGGCTCCTCTGCTCTATGACTGCTATTGGCAGTGCCTTTCCGCCGAGTGTGGGACGGGTGCGCTGCCAGATCGCTGCCTTTGGAATGTGTGACACCTGATGGTGCCAGCTTGTCTGCAAATGCTGCAGCGCACGATTTTGGTGCAGCAGCACTTGGGACACTGCTGCGCCCAGACATGTGGCAAGGCTCCACTGCCGTGTCTTGGCACTGAGAATCGGACGATGCTGCTGGCAAGTCAACAGCACCAGCCTGGACTGTAGATCTCTGTGGCAGAGGCTGCAGCTCCGAGTGTTCAGCTGACAATGCATCAGTCTGCAGGATGGCTGTTGGATAGGGATCGATGCGCTGGCGCTTTGGAGGTCGAGCACCCTGATGTCCAAGTGATGCTGAGAAGTGCTGCAGAGGCTGCTGTGACTGCGGTGCTGTGCAGACTTGCATGTTCGAGATGGACGATCTGTCAGATTCTGCTGTCATTAATGAGGACTCCTCCGCCCCATGGGCTTGTAGGCCTGCCCTGTCTCGCCCTCTTGCTACCTGTTCAAGAGCAGAAGACCCCGAATTATCTGCCCTTGTTCCCCTCGGTTCAGGTGAGAAAGCACTTCTTTGCGTCTTAGTAAGACAAATCTGCGCTTCAGACGCAATATTAACATCTTTCCAGAAAATGGAGGAACTAGCAGCAACAGCACGTTTTGTGCTTGTTCACGTTCATACGAAATTTACCTGCAGCAGTCTTTTCTTCTTTGCACGCTTTTGTCTGAGCTTCTTTTTCTGGTTTTCGGTTAATGATTTGTTTGCAATCAAGCCTTCTTTGCTATCGATGTTGGGCGCAGTCACAGAGCACTCCTCCTTTGCAGCGCCGCTCATAGTCGCTGGTGCGTGCCTCTCACCATGCAATCTCTTTCTAATTTGACCTTAACTGCATCCATATTTTGCAATTCCAATTCACAGCGACCATCGAGGCTCTTGCATGGCTTGTTTGGGGCCCAGCCTATTCAGGACTTCGTGGACTTGGAAGCTGCAGAGAGCTGCAACTGACAGCTGAGCCGAAAGAAAGCCAATTTGACCTGTTCTTCTATGACCTACAAGATGTCACTTTGTCACGTCTCATGAGCAACAATCATCAGGACAGCTTATCACTACCTTATTACTTGCTGGATAGTAAATCTGGTAGTTGCGCTGTGGAATCCTAGAGCAGACCACAATGTCTGGGGAAGTGATAATAAAGTGGAGCTCAAAAGAGATGATGTTCAAAATAAATGACAGCGAAACGGTGGGATGCTTGAAAAGGAAGATCGAGGAGGAGACAAGGGTGCAACCAAAAAGACAAAAACTATTAGGTCTCAAAGCAAAGGGGGGAAAACTTGCAACCGATGACATGATGCTCACAGACCTGGCTTTGAAGCCGGGACAGAAGATCATGTTGATCGGGCACGTTCCCATTCCACATCACTTGCTTTGGTGGGTGACAACGAAAGAACTCTATATGGGTCACTTCTTCGGGATGGATCTGTGTAATAAATTATAGGAACGTGCAGGACACCTGAGGAGGTGACAAACGAGCTGGACGCTCAAGCCGATGTCGCCCCACATGTCCAGGATGACTTTGATTTGGAGGAAGGGGTGCTGCAAGAGCTCGATGTGAAGGACAATCCTGATTTCCAGGTAATCCAAATCCACGCAAGCCTCTGGAGGAACCATGACGAGCGTGCAGGCTTCAACGCAACATCTGCCCTGCAGGAAAAGCTGCATAGGCGGATAGCAAATGCACCAATCAAGGTGCTAAACCCACCGCGGCCTGGCAAGAAATGCTTAGTATTGGACATTGACTACACGATCTTTGACCTGAATTCCACGGCAGGTAACATTCACCACTTCCCACTGCCGCAATGCTTCATTTGTTCTCATGATCAGAAAAGAACATGTCCCAAGCATCAGCACGGCTGTGCTTTGACAGAGAGGCCAGAGGAGCTCGCGAGGCCGCATCTGCATGAGTTCATGACAGCAGTGTACGAGCACTATGACCTGATCATCTGGAGTGCGACGGGCATGAAGTGGATTGAGGTGAAGATGCGGGAGCTTGGGGTGTCTACCAACCCTGCCTACAAGCTCACAGCCTTCATGGACCACAAGAGCATGGTCACCATCCAGACAGCCAAATACGGTGAGTTGCACAGGACAGTTTGAGCTCCCCTTCTCAGACGATCCTTGGCATCGTCTTCTTTCGTGCATGACTCGGTTGCTCTTTGCTGGCACAGTTGCTTATTATGTACCTAGGGAAGTCTTGGCTGAGCTGTGCCTGCCAGCTGCAGGCAAACTTCATCTTCAATGTGTCGTTTGCAGGAGTCTTTGACTGCAAACCTCTGCCTGTGCTGTGGGCAAAGATGCCAGAGTACACGCCTGAGAACACCATTATGTTCGACGACCTCCGCAGAAATTATGCCTTCAACCCACAGAATGGTCTGGTCATCAGGCCGTACAAGTGAGGCCCTCCTGATCCTGATTGTGGGAAAATTGACTATCCAGCTTTGCCATGCCGGATTCTCCGTGTGCACTGTACAGTCTAAGGGGTATGTTGGCTTGCATGCTGCCAAATCTGAGGGTCTTGTTCATCTAGCATGGCAGCACGAACCACGGATTAGTGATTCCTTGCCTCTGCTGCAGGAGGGCGCACTTGAATCGCAGCACTGATCGGGAGCTGGTGTATCTAAAGATCTATCTTCTGAAAATTGCCAGCCTGGAGAGCTTGGCGTCACTGAAACACAAGAAATGGGAGCGGTACATTGCCAATGAATTGAAGAGCATGGACTGATCAAACAGCAAGATGTATTCATAGGCCATCAAATTCCAAGCATTACATGAGCACCTGCATATGGGCTGGCTCTAATACACCCAGCACGTTGCTACTGCCAATGTTATGGCAAAATGTCGAGGCGCTTGGCACACACATGGACATTCTTGTACAAGGGGCGCAACAGTAGCCAAACAATCATGATTGAGCACACAATCTGTAATCAAGGAATGCATGCTTCAAGTTTCCACTTCATCATTGGCGTTCTATAAACCTAGCCAGAGAAACTGGGAGCACCCATTGTTGACCAGATGCTTAAGAATCCAGATCTTACCCAGTCTGCAGAGTCCTCTCGACTCTCCTTGACTGCCTATAAACCTGCCCAAACTGTCCTTTGACAGACCTACACTATCCAGGGCGCATGCACTTCAAGTGCAGACAACTAGACATAAAACATGTGGGAAGCTGACACAGCCGATAGCCATGCAGGTCTTAAGGTTCGTGGTCCCTTTGGTATCACGCCAAGTCTACCCGAAAGGCGCCTAGGCTACTTGCACAAAGTGCAAGCTCAGCCATAGGCCATGGAAAGGAAAAGACAGAAAGACGAGGAATGCCAGTTTCATGTTGCATCGATGACGGTGCACCAACCATACTTTGGCTGAGTGAAGCCTCACTTCATGTGAAGATGCAAACTGCTCTGCAAAATGCTGTAGGATGTTTATTTATGGGCCCCCTGCCTATACATTCATGGGGTCAACTAATTGCAAATGCCAATTGTAGTAATCCTGAGGTGTGGCCCCATCAGCCAACAAGCACTTCACGCTTCAATTCAGTGCATGCTCAAGGTGTATTCTGTAATTTGGGCGCCATCAAAGACCAAACGGAAGAATTATGGCAGTACCGACTCTCAAATTGGTAGGGGCCAAGATCCCGGCCCAAAAATCTGTTCACGCAGCTATCACGCATTTTCATTAGCTAGCGGCCAAAGGGCCAGCATCCACAGCCCTGTGCTTTGTCTTCGTGATCCTTTGGAGACACCACAGAACTGCTCTGCTCCATGGGCACGGCATGGCTGGTGGTGGCTGTGCCTGTTGAGGCACTGGACCCTATGGCTGATGAGCGGACCGTTGGCAGCGCGGTCGCTGAGGGAGAGAACACCTTCTCTTGCGCCCGGCGCGGCACAAACTCGCTGTACATTGTGCCGCCAGCTGCCCTGCGCACCACTCTGAGGAATCAACAGTTGCATCATTGATGGGCCCAGCCCAGCATTCCCAACACCCACAAGAGCTTGTCCCGGAGCCACATGTAATGCCTTGAGATTGCAGTTCAATTTGAGGATTGGAAGATAGTAGGTTAACAATGCTGCGGCAATGCAGCGCATATACAGCCTGTACGAGGAGATCATTTTGGGTCAGGGCACGCCGCTGTATACTAGGCATCGTCAATAGCAAGGGGTCGAGGGCAACGACTCACCCTGAGGCCAGCGACAGGAATTCTTTGTCGATTGCTGAAGCGCCGGAGTCGGCCGGCAGCATGGGCGCGTTCCTCATGCCTTCATTGCCGGCCTGCTGCCCCTGTCCTTGCGCGCCAGCCGCCCGGATCGTGGCCTGCCGGCTCAGCTCCTCCGCAGCTTCATGGAAGGTGGGGTAGGTCATGCTGTCAATCCCCCCCAGCGGCATGGGTGCGCTGGTTGGGCAGCAGCAAAAGTCTATCTTCCATCCCTGGCCAGTAGAGCATCTCGTCAATCTCCATTGAACCTCTAAGTGTCAAATCGTTCAGCCTGAAAGGTGCACTCGTTGTACGCTTCTGTGCGGCAAGGGTTGCCATTAGTCAACATGCCACGCCATGTACACATGCAAGTCTGCAGACACAACCCAAAAGAGTCCAAGAGCATTTAGTCAACAACTAAAATGCCAGGGTGAACTGCGCGCTACCACACTGCTCACCTTTTGGTTGCTGAATGGGTTGAACTTGCCATAATCATGGCTGATCTGCAGGCTTGTGATCTGTGCTGGCGCGGCGGCGCCCTTCAGGAGCCGTTTGCCGGATGATGATGACGTCCGTGACTTGAGTTTCGGGGCTGTTTCTGACTGCTTCCTGCTGGTAAGAGCATCACAACTCAATGTACTGTGTTCCATTTCCGAAGAGAGGCCTTTGAAAACAGTTTAGACATGTGTGAACCACAGGGAGTTGTTTTGTGTACAGGAGGCTGCAAAAGGAAAGGATGGAATAGTCAAGAGGTTGGTCTTGCAGCAGTGAGATTGATTAGAAAGGTTACCTGTTGTCTTTCCCGCCTTCATTCTGCTGGTTGCGTTCTGAACTCCTCTTTCTGATCTTATCTGCCACATCAGATGTCGCTGAGGACGCCTTCTCTGACGATGACCCAGTCCTCGATGATTTTCGGGTCGGATCACTTGTTCCTTTATGCCTCTTTTCCCTTGACGCCTGCAAACCCGGAGAATTCCCTTCATCAGCTTCCATGCTCAAACTGATCCCAAAAAGACTGATCCGTTTTGGCTGCCACAAACTCTCAAGAAAGACCCCAGACCTGCCGCAAAGGACTGACATGCTCCGGTGATGAACCTCTCGATCTGTTGGACATGCCTGGTACGGTTATGCGCCTTGCCAGGAAATTTAACCTCTGCCAGACATTGTGGATAACAAGCTTGTGGTATCCATGGGAAGTCAAGCAGCTCAGACGTGTGCAGCCTTTCAGGTGGATGTCTTGCATATAATTTTTTTTTGCCATGACAAGCGCTCAACAAACACTTCCTCAGCCTCGGTTGCAGTGGCGCAGCGTTGCTCACCGTTGCAGACTCCCCAGAGCTCCGCCTCGAGTCCCTGCTGGCCCTCCTCCCCTCCTCCTGCAGATATGCCGGCCCGCCGCTCTCCGCAGGCGCCGCCGGCGCCCGTGCAGGCGTCCCTGAAAACCGCTCCTGCACCTCCTGCGAGCGCCTCCCGCCCTCCACCGCTCTGCCGCTGCTGCTGGGCTCCGAGCCCGCCAGGCTGCTGCCGTCACCGGACCCCATCGCGTCCAGGAACACGGTGCCCTGCGCGGCCGACGCCAGATCCGCCGCGTCGCCGACGTGCGAGAGCAGGTCCTCCCGCGCCATGCCCAGGCTGCCCTGCCGCCGTTTGGCCGGCAGCGGCCGCGCGATCGATGTGGCAGCCACCGCGTCGGTGGCGCGTGCGGCCGCAAACGGGTTTGGCGCGGCTCCGGCCTCGCCGCCGTCGTTCACCGAGGCCACCCTGAACTCCAGTTCCGCGCCGGGAGCCTCGTCATCAGCGGCCGCTCCCGCCAGCATTGCCTGATCGGCGATCTCCTCGGAGCGCGCGCGAGCTTTCAGCGCCGGCGGCATGGCGGCGGCAAATGGCGCCTCGCTGCTGCTTTCGTGCACCACGACCTCCCTGACGGTGCCCCCCGGAGTGGTCACCTCCTCAACCATGAACTCCATCTCGTCCTCCTCAATGGCCTCAACGCTCATTCCGTCCTCGCTGCGCGCCAGGTCGAAGGGATTGAGGCTTGGCGGCCGCCGGCTGCTCTGCCGGCCGCCGGAGCCGGTCCGCTGCTGCGGCAGCGGCTGCTGCTGTGCCTGCGCATGCCTGGGCACCACCACTCGCGTGCTGAGCCGCGAGTCCAGGCTGAGGCGGGAGATCGCGGCCGGTCCGCTGCCGGGGCGCGAGTGTGCGGGGGAGAGCTCGCTGGGGCCTGTGCCCTGGCTGTGGGTCTCCTCCGAGCCGGAGGAAAGTGGATCCGAGGGCACTGTCGGCAGCCTTGCCACCAGCCTCTGACAGCGTTCCTGCAGCTCCTTTTGTGCCCTGCACCGACAAGGTGCAAAATATGCTGACGACCACTTCTGGGCATTGGCAGCGAGTTGGTGGCCGTCAATAGAGCGAGCATGTGCAGCACAGAGAGCGATCATGGGCTGTGAAGGGCGCGCACTCATGCGCCAGGTGCGGGTTGACAACTCTGAGCTGCGAGGCCATCGACACAAGCTGTGACACCTCGTGCATGGCATCTCCGCTGGCACCTGTGGGCACAATTCCCTCCATCACTGCACTCATGCCAGTACCGTATAGAAGACGGCAACATGCATGTTTCAGATTGCCTCAAACAGAGGATAATGGATGGAGATTAAGGCTGGTAGTCACCTTGCCGCGAGCCCCTTGTCAAGGAGTAAATAGCGCCAAACAGCAGCTTGTCCAGCGCGTCATTTTCAAGACGGACGTTTGAGGTGTCCTGCATTCCTAGTGAGGTGGCTCGGCTGTCAGCTGACTCGCTAAGAGGGGGTCTCGGCCTGCAGTACAAACAGCACTGAATGCTGTGAGTCCCAGGTGACCTTGTCTGGCTGCACAGAGGGGTACTTCCAAGCTCTGATATGAAATGCAGTCGCTCACCGCAAGGACAATAAAACCAATACTGAGAAGCTATTTCTGTGTCAATAACACCAGGGATACGTCCAGAACATTGAGGGTGAAGCCCCCGAGTTCTTAGTATTGCAAATTTCAAGATAGATCATGGTGGCAAATTTACTCAAACCCACTTTTCTCGGCTGTTTGAGGGCGTGGGTGTCTCCAAAACGCCTTCATTACCCGGCATTTGCGTTAAAAGCGCAGGTATGGCCCCTTTGGCGCTTTCTTGTAGTTTCCCACTGCCACCCTCTTGCATGAGGTGCACTCTGTACTACAGATAAGTCTTTACGTCTGACACCGCACGACCCTTCGCGCTCACAGACCTAATGTAAGAGCTTGCACCCATAATTTCCTTCCAGGCAATAATATACGTCACGATGCTATCCACCGTGCCCTTCTGAAGGGCGGGCTAACGTCGATTGCAATCGACCCGCTGAAAGCTTCAACCGAGCATGCAAATAAATGCACACACATTGTGTGCAATTCATTCAAATCAAGGAAGTCCACCTCTTATGCAAGATCGCTGGATCAAATGCGTCGCAGTTTCAGAACATGAGCACAAGATGCGCCACCAGGAGCGAGCGTACTTCATAGGTTAGGCGTATCCCTTGTAACGAGGGGAGTTAAGAAAGCTATGGAAAGTACAAACTTCTTGACAGAAGGAATGACCAAATCATTATGCATGTGTGCGCTGCAGCGGTTTACAGTGGTCACAATTCTAGTGATGACCAAGCGCGTCCATATATACTTGTAATTCACTGCAGTCGCTGATGCCGGCCAGCCCGCGGGTGCCCAGCGCCACGTGGCGCCGCGCATGTATATCTCTCGTGATCATTGCCAGTTTCATCACCATATATACGGTATATTATGTACTTAAAGACGCCAATGAAACTCACAGCCTCTCTTTGATGTGCAATGCCAGCTGCATGTTTGTTTCATACATTACCGGCAGTCTTGCATGCCATTGTTCTGGACAAGTAAAAACGCTGTTTATTCCCCAGTTCTCACACTCCGGTGTCCTCTCAGGTGGCAACATGCAAGCACTGAATGCTGCTCATCTATACTCCGACTTCGCGACTCAGTGTACAGCAGGGGCTGTCGTGGCATTCTGAAGAGTGGCCTGCGGCCGGGCCTGCTTGAAGAAGCGGCTGAGCGTGCTCTCCTGCTGCGCCTGAGCTTGCTGCGCCGCCACCACCTCTGCAAGAATCTGCATGGGCACACCTTTGCAGGTCGAGAAGAATCCTGTAAACAAGCCCTTACACTCGCACGACTGGGGATGGTCAGATTGGGAAGATTTTGAAAATTGCAGAAATCCGCTACCTTTAACCGTGCTTGGAAGTGGGTCAACAATGCCCTCTTCCTTCCATCAATATTGCCAAACACTGCACATCTGCAATGCTCAGAAGGAAGATATGGTAACATATGGAAGGCCTGCGCTGCTCACCTTTCGCATGTGGTGCACGATGAGGGCAAAGGAGGGCCGGTTCTCAGGCTCGGGGTTGTAGCAGGCCAGGGCAACATTCAGAAGCGGCTCTGGCGTGTCTGAGGGCAGCGTCGGCCGCAGCTCATTGTCCCCGACCGCCAAAGCCACCTGCACCCATTGCAAGCCATAGCGCAGGGATTTAGGCAGAGCAGGCTCCTAGAACATGCAATGGAATGGCTCGGAAGCACAATCTCACGCTGCTCCTCGCTACTGTGCATATCCAGAATCACGCCAACAGCACTGGGGCCTCACTTCTTCAGACCAGAAGACCAATCAAGGCCGCTGGCAGAGGAAGCACGTCAGACGCTTGCTGTTAAGCAGTTCCTCAGCATGTAAATAGGCATGCCCGCTTGTACGCCCTTGGCTGCTTGCAAAAGCGAATTCTGGAAAAATTACGAAGTGCGCATATGCTGGAGGAGCACGGGAGGACCTGCAGACCCCTTAATTCGCTGCAGATGCAAATCTTACAATAAATTGAGGGGTGCCTGAATAAGAGGAGCAATGGCACACCTGCACAGGGGTCATGTAGAGGCCCTCATAGGGCGGCCGCTGAGAGAGGACCTCTGCCAGCAGCACGCCCCAGCTGAACACATCCGCCTTGCTGGTGTACAGCTCGTGCCGGATCATCTCGGGCGCCATGTACACATATGTGCCTGTCTCCCCTGTCAGGCACGCCGCGCTGCAGCAAAAGACAACACCCACTTCAGCAAAGTGTCAACCATGGCTCTTAAAGACGTGGCAATACCGTGCCTGCCATTTCCTGCGCAAAGGAAGTCTGGAAAAGATTGGCGTCTTGAGGAAGACTGCCACCAAAAAAAATGGGCACCATAAGAGCACAATCCAACCTTCACAATTTTTTGGGACAACATAAATCTTGGCAATGAGGAGCACATATATCTCTGAATTTCAGCATGGCTACCTGTGTTGGGACACCACTTGCATGCTCTCCCTATTGGGGATGGGGTGGATCTGGGGTGTCACCTGGCGGGCGTGAGGCGGCGCGCGAGGCCCATGTCGGCGACGCAGGGGCGGCCGGAGACGTCCAGGAACACGTTGGAGGGCTTGAGGTCGCGGTGCAGGATTGGCGGCTCCGCTGCCTCCAGCGCCTGCATCCCCTGAGCCACTCCCAGCGCCATTCGCACCCTCTCCTCCAGGCTGCGCCGCACCTGGCCTCTGCTTGGACCACAAACGCACCCCTTTCAGTGTCACTTAGTATGCCTCTCTTTCGCGTGGCATGATGGGCCAACGACCTACGGACGGTGGATGCAGCGAAGACAGTGGTTGGGCATACTAACACAACTTTGTGCACAGGAGGTTTCAGTCAGTACAGCAGCCCCGGCAACTCTGCATTTGCTTTTGCCTGTTGATACCATTTCCCTTCGAAATTGTCCACCCATGCAGTGCTCTTTCACAAGGATATTTCAATGTGAAGTATTGGGATATTAATTGCAGAAAACCCGCGGTGCATTGGATTAGTTTGCTGACAAGGAGAGGGAGAACAATCCGCACCTGCCACCCTGCTTGCGGTCACCGTGCAGCCACTGGGTGAGGTTGCCGCCGGGCAGGTACTCGCACAGAAGCCAGCACTGCTCCGGCGGCTGCAGGCACGCCCCTGCAGGCACACCCCCACCACCTCAGCCATGCCTCCTCATATATTGATTTCGGCAACACTCTTCAAACATTTCAATCCACCGACTCTTGTCAGCCAATCTACCTGACAAAGAATTATTTGACAGCTCTGCAGCGCTCACATTCATGGTGCAGAGAAAGAAAGCCTCACCAAAGAATTGCATGACATTAGGATGCCGGATGGCAGCCAGGCTGGCGACTTCGCGCAGGAAGGAGGAGGCCTCGCTCTCCTTGCCCACGCGCACAGTCTTCACCGCAACATCGCCCCCTCTCCACATCCCCAGAAAGGTCCTCCCAAACATTCCCTCCCCCAGAAGCTGCCCCAGAGACACCTGGTAATGCAGGTCGGACCTCATCTCACGTTGAATCCTCATGTGTTGCACTGAGACAGTGGCCACTGCAAGTATTGGCGGGATTGGAAGCTTCAGAGACACACCTCTCTGGGGTCGACGAGCCAGCCAGCCGACTGTCCTATTCTGCATAGTGATGCCCATCTCTCATCCGCCAAGTAGTTCCCATTGGAGACTCCGTCTTCTGTGGAAAGACCCAGAGAACATTATCAGCAGCAGGCACAGGCTGGTGCTCATGGCCAAGACGCTTCAGCCAGTCAGGTGGCGCGCACCTATATCTTCTGGTGTGCAGCCATTGTCCAAGCTGTTCAGAGGAAGCTGTTCATGCCCGTTTTCAAGGTTCACCTGCTCACAAGGGCCGATCAAAACACTGGTGATGCATAAATACGCAGGCATCAAGAGAGTGGAAAGAGATGCTCACCTCAGATGCTGCACTGGCCCCTTTACGCTTTTCATTTGTTAGTCTCTCAGTGAGTTCATCAGTGTGCCTTTTGTGGGCTTCATTTTCCTTCTGGAGCTCATCCACTTGCAGGACGAGGGACTCAACCTCCCCATTCAAGTGGCGATTTACTTCGTGGGAGGTCTGGAGCTGTATTGTCAACTCTTCGATCCTGCTCAAGATTCAGATGTCAGGGCTACTGCGTGTCACCGACAGACAGAAGGCTCGTTTGTGCTGTGCCTGAAGAATTTAGGCATGCTAGGATGTTATCAACAATTGGTCATTTGCAGGAGCTGAGGGCGTACTTGGTCAGTAACTTCTTCTGGTCCAGGGTGAGGGGAGGAGGGGGCGGGGCAGCTGGAGGTGGATCTGGCTGTCTCACAAACCTGGCAGACTGTCTCTGCAGTCTTTTGGTAAACGCCTCCATAGCAAGGCGATCCCTACTCTATCGCAAGGTATGAATATCTCTGAAAACCAATGAAACGAGCTATCTTAATGCCCCCACTGATCGAGTGGCGCTAGTTGCGACTGGGCATCGCCCCAAACTAGCGTTGGGCGGGAACGCTAGTCAAGGCACAATGGATCACTATTCGATGCAAAGCCAGAACGTCGGAAATTGATATCTCTATAGCTTGTACTCGTGTAAATTTGAAATGGCAAGTAAAGTAGCAGTGTAGATTTTCTTCTGATCCTCGTTGATGCACATAATTAAAGCAGGATCTGGCAGCATTGGCCGGAAAATTAACCAAGATGTGCTGATCGTGCAATTTTGCAATGCAGTATAAATGCCTCACAGAGATCTGCATCGACTCCAGTTCCAAAGTAGATGGTGATGACTGTGCAAGGGTGTATATTCCAGCATGTCATGGAAGCCAGTCAGAGAGCCTTGTGCCTGGAAGGAGCAAATCTTGTCGTCGCAATACATATATTCAGTTTTCTGTGATTTCCCAGACAGGACCACCCTTTCTTTGTCTCCAGAATTATCGAGGATCTGGGGATGTCATTGAGCAACGCAGCCATTGATAGGAGATTTGGACTGCAAGGTCAGAAAGCTCTTGTAACAGGAGGAACGAAGGGTATTGGCAAGGCGATAGTGGAAGAATTAGCAAGTCTCGGTGCTGAGGTGTTGACACCAACTCCGACCTGATCAGTCGTGATTATTGCTTAGTGAGTGATGCATGCAAACCTGGATGGCGTCGAAGTGGGATGCTGCTTCTCAGGTACTCACATGCGCGAGAAATGCGAGTGACATTGAGCAAGCAACGAGGGCATGGCAGGATAAAGGCTGGAAAGCTCAGGTACTGTCATTCGTGCTGTGGATAGAAAATATAGTCAGAATTTGTTTGTCACAGATATAAAGATCACAAGCATCTGTGCAGGGCGTTCAAGCTGACCTATCATCTGCTGATGGCAGACAGAAGCTAATAGAGGATGTCAACAATTTGTTTGGAGGCTCTCTCCACATACTAGGTCGACAATTCTGTCCACCTTGCTGGCCCCTTATACATGTGGTTCTCTTGGGAATTCTTGCAGTAAGCATGCTGTGCATGACCGGTTCTGTGGTCATGCAGTGAACAATGTAGGCTGCAATGTCCGCAAACCCACGGTAGAATACTCATCTGATGATTTCTCTTATATCACAAAGACAAATCTGGAGTCGGCCTACAATCTTACACAGGTGATGGCCCTTTCACATTTTTGTCAATATGGTTTGCATTGCAGCAGGCCTTTTTGAAAGTGGTTTGCAAGTGCAGCTCGCCCATCCGCTCTTGAAAGCAGCAGGCCGGTCCTCTGTGATCATGATGTCTTCAGTAGCAGGAGGGCCGACCACGGTTCAGAGTGGCACCATCTACGCTATGACCAAAGGTGTGCAAGCTGTGTCCGGACGAACTGTGTGGGTTATCATGGCGAATTTGTGCACTAAGTATCTACTAGGGCGGAAATACATGGGGATGATCCCTTCATGCCTTGCAGCTGCTATGGATCAGCTGAGCAGGAACTTGTCATGCGAATGGGCATCAGATGGCATCCGTATCAATAGTGTCAAGGTAAGTGTGCAGTGTCCAAGCCTTGAGCCATAGTTTGAAAGATGGGTCACTGTGGTTCACTCTGCGTAAGGTTCACACTGCATTTCAGCGGTTCAGAATTTGTTGCCCTGCAGCCCTGGTATATAGACACTCCATTGGCAGCGCCTGTAATCAATGACCCAGTCAAACTCGCCGAAGTTGAATCGAGAACTCCCATGAAGCGCGTCGGGCAACCAGAGGAAGTTTCAGGTGATAATCCCCTTGTCTTCAACAAATAAGAGACGGTGAAGTTAGTCTGTTCAACAAATGCTAGATTAAAGCACAGCCTAGTGTGGTGAACAGGGGGGTACTGAGCTAAATGCTCACGTCTGCCATGATGTGCAGGTCTTGTTGCGTTCCTCTGCAGCCCTGCTGCTAGCTACATTACAGGACAGTGCATTGCTGTAGACGGCGGCTTCAGCGTCATGGGGTGAGGTCCACTTTATAGCTAAAACTTCATCGACTGCGCACATATCCTCAGCTCTGCATGTGCACATGTGAGCACTATGCATTGGGGTGTGCAAGTGGTGCTCACACACCAAGAACATGGGAAAATAATGCTGAAGAGTTCGGCTGATCGTCTCTGCAGGTGGTATTGAAGCGACAATTGGTTTGGCGAGGAGACTCTCCTAGACCGTGAGAGCAGTGCACTGTACTACATATAATGACTCGTTAAGACACCTGATAATTTTATAAGAGATGGAACAGATCATCTGCCAAAGCTGAATTTCAAGTTTTGAAAAGGACAGGTTACATTTGACTTCTTGTCTGAGCATCAGACACACTGATGAGTATTACATGGTCACGTAACAGAACCAGAGAAATTAAGCACTGCCTCTGTTACAACAAATTCGAAGCAATGCTTCAAAGCATTCTGTTGACATCAGGATATTTTGTTGCTGGGGTTTGAACACTAGCACCAGGACGTGTATGCTAAGTCAAAATCTCCACATTGCAATTTTCTCCTCATGTGAGTGCACTTAAAATGACGATCAATGCCAAATGCAAGGCCCATCGATTAACCACCACCCATGAAGCATGACCCCATGAAGCTACAGTCTGCTTAGATTGGCACTGCCCCCTTTTTTGCCGCCTCAAAGTTGGCATTGACCTGCTCCCAGTTGACAACGTTCCACCATGCAGAGATGTAAGCAGGCCTCAGATTGCGGTACCTGTCCACATGCACATGGGAATCATTACTGGCACGAGACAATGCGCAGGACATGCTGCTGATTGCCTTTGTCCACAACATGCTATAAGGGATTCAGAGCCGCAGTCATCACATCAAAAGCCTTAGATGTGCAGAAGTTCTCACTTGAGGTAGTATGCATGCTCCCAGACATCAAGGCCCAGGATTGGGATGCCCTTGTCCTCCACAATTGCCTGCACAAGCTCGCACTGCAATCGTTAGCCGCTGCTGCTGTCACGTTCTCTGTGGCACAATAATATCACATCACACAAAATCTCTTCTTGAGTATAGGCCAGTGCTGACCTGCAAAGGGTTGTCCTGGTTGGCAGTGGATGTGATCTCCAGGCCACCGCCATTCTTGGAGATGAGCCAGGCCCATCCGCTGCCAAAGCGCCCGGCAGCCGCTGCATTGAACTTGCTCTTCATCTCGTCCAGGGACCCAAAGGAGCTGTCGATGGCAGCCTTGAGGTCAGCAGAAGGGCCGTTGTTGTCGCCCGGCTTGCCCATGACCTTCCAAAAGAAGCTGTGGTTGTAGTGACCGCCACCATTGTTGCTACAGACGTCAAAGACACAACAATGTTCAGAAAGCCATCTTGACTTTGAGAATACACGTACTGGAAAAAGCAGATCGAAGTATCTAGCCTTTCCACTCCCACTTTCAGAAACTTCTCATACATGCAAGATCTCATCTTTAAAGAACGAATTTGGAATTCGTGATAGTAAAGTGTCTAGCAAGACGGTCATTTTTACATTGGGCGCCTAAGAGATCACAGTGCCACTCGCCAGTGGAATTACCGGATCACGGTGGCAACTTCCTTGGGGATCTTCTCGGTGCCCACAGCCTTGTTCAGATCCACCAGTCCCAGGTCCTTGAGCTCAGGGAACTTCTCCAATGCACCCTTGACGTTGTTCACGTAGGTCGCATGGTGCTTGGTGTGATGAATGGTCATCGTCTCCGCATCTATGTACGGCTCCAACGCACTGTAGTCATAGGGCAGCGGGGGCAGCTCGGTGAGAGACATGGTGGAAGTTGGGAATGTATGAGCGTTTCAGATCTGGCAAGTTTCAGGAGAATTTTGGAGACCTCGATGATTTTTACGTGATGATCCTCGGCAGATTGGGGCTACCGAGGGGGTCTGCCCCTGCTGCGCCCTGCTTTGTCCCACTTTCGACACTTTGTGTCGGAAATCGGCAAGCTCGACACCAGATTATGGATTATAGGTGTTTGGACGTATATTAACATCGGAAATTTTGTTGCAACTTCGCATTCTGGGAATGAAGTATGGTTTTTGAGATCCAATACTGTGTCTAGATATACTCTGATCAGTATGATGCTAAAAACAGTTCGTCATGGAATCAGCATGGAACAGAATTCACCTGGAAAATCAGCCACAAATGTCCAGCGGAGATCAAGAAGAGACCTTCGTTGTAAGAATTGTGAGCTTGGATTATTACATGGCCAAGCCGATCCCTGGCTTGGACATGTGTCACTCTCAGCTCGAAGGCACGGCGATAGAACGTGTCCCTGTTGTGCAAATACACGGGGCCACGCCAGGCGGGCAGAAGACGTGCTTGCACCTGCACAAGGTGGGACGAGAGTGCCAAGGCTTTCTGGTTGTGAGCTTCTCGATCTAACTCACATGCGCAATTCAACCAAGCATTGCTCATGACTAAGTGTGATACAGGCTTTTCCGTACTTCTATGTGCCCTATGAAGACGCATTCCCCTGTGAACCTGCAGAAGGTGCGCAAGCCACTTGTGCAAAAACATTCCCTTACGTCCAGAATACCTCACTGTCCTGCTGAACAATGATACAGTAACATGCTTCTGTGGACTGGTGTCCATTGAGACTGTGAACTATTTGCCTAAGAATGATCCTGCCGGTGCTGCCCACAGCCCAAGCCTTTCTGCGGCACATTGCGCGCACGCTGGAGGCAGCAATGCATGCTGGCCAGGAGTCAGGGGCACAGCGCCACCAGCGTGTGTTCTCTGTACAGCTTGTGCGCGGCTGTCCATTCTATGGATACCACCCCGGGGAGCGCCTGTTCATGAAGGTCATAATGTGGGTGTACATCTGCCCAGCATTGCTTCAACGTGTGGCGTCATCGTGCTGATTCTTTGCGCACATTGAAATGATTGTCATGTTGCTTGCCATTTTATAAATGAGGCCTATTTTTTCTCAAATTTTTGGGTGACATGCAGGTACAATCCAATAGATGTGAAGAAGGCAGCGCAGCTCATGCAGGTGTGCAAATGGCAACATGTTTGCATAATCGTCGCAGTAGAGATCCACAGGGTGATGATTGTGCTCTGTTGCAGGGTGGTGTGGTGTCAGGGAGGCGGATGCAGCCCTATGAGGCACACCTGCCGTTCCTGCTGCAGATAAAGATTGATATGAATCTGGCCGGCATGGGGTGGCTGCGCTTGTCTCAAGTGCACTGCCGAGTCCCCCTGCCAGATCGACACACAGGCCGGCGCTCTGGCTGGCGTGACACCCCCACACTAGTCCAATACGAGCAAGAGGTCCCAGGTAATTGATCCCCATACGCTCATTCTGCTTTTCGGCATGCAAAGCGCTGCGCCAAGAGGGCCTTTGGAAGGTTCAAAGGTCTGAGCCGTCACTGCAGGTGACACATCAGCAGCGTCCGGCGATACGCATGGGTCCCAGGATAAGGTGTGGACATCGGCGAGCATGCCCACGCAGTGGATGGTGCCGCCAGTCACGCATGGCGTGGTGTCGAGAACTCTTGAGAAGAGGAGCTGCTGCGAGCTGGAGGTGGATGCCTGTGTGGAGCATGTCCTCAATCGGAACGAGGTACATCAATTCAGAGAAGTGGCACTACTGCTCAAACTAGAAATGGGTCTCGGACCTGTGTGAAGTGTGAGACGTTCATGGGAAGTGTTCATGATTGCATGCACCAAGTATCAAGCTGGGTGAGTATGAGGCTGGTGGCATGCATGCAGATCACATCATTGAGGCCACCAGTGAGATTTGATGTGAAAACAAGACTTCTTGCGTGCTGCAGCTGGTGAGGGAGAACCTGGAGAGCGTAGGGCCGGACAAACGGATGGTAGAGTCTCTGGCGCCCATGTGGGAGGAGGAGCGGCAGCGCTGTGGGGGAACTGGGCCACCACCTCCCCCACCAGACCCCCCTCGAGACCCTCAGGAGCTATGCCCCACCGTGGCTGCCATCAGGGCAGAGTTTCAGGCATGCCACTCTACCACATTTCTCTCGGCCACTGCTTTCATGCTCACCAATGCAAAATGCTGCAAAGGAGTTGTGGTGCTACATGTTGAAGGACGGCAGGGTCTCAGTCGAGCATTGTGTATGCAACAGGCCATTGCAGACGCGCACTCTCAAGACTCGCAGGCAGCCCCCAGAAGCAGCGCACAGCCTCCTCTTCCATCACAGCCTTCTCCTGAGAAGCAGCCTTCAGCAGATGCCAGAGTTTGCAGCGCTGGCCCTTCTTCGCAGGACAGCCTGCTGCGCCAGACGCAGGCAGCTAACCGCATCCTTCCTGTGGAGGGGTCAAATAGCCCAGGCTCAGACTTCGGTCCAGGGCCTGCTCCGCAGAGTTTTGGCAACGCGGCAGCTTCATTTCCCGGGCTCCCAGAGGCTCTGGGCGGAGAAGCCAACACCACTGTGATGCCCAGTCTCCCCCTAGTAAATTCATCTTTGATATCAGGTCATAACAATCTACCTTTATAGCATTGCAATTACTAATTTCTGTTTGAGCTGCCTAGGATGCAAAAGAAGACGTAATTATTTATATGTGCAGGATGGCGATGCAGACTTGCGAGAGCTGTTGCACATGCTGCAAGGAGAGGAGAGCTGCAGCGATGAGGAGGGGGACGGCCATTCAAGGCTGATGGAGCTGGCAGCTGCAGTGGCATCACAACCTAATGCACATGCGCGCCTGTCTGAAGCTCTCAGCCAGATGGTGCGCCTTTCACCCCGGACTTTCGTACCTCTTGCAAATCAAACACAACAATGATTGACAGGAATGGAATGTCAAGTGTCCGCTGCTGACGTCTTTGAACTATGATGTGACTTTATTGTTGCTTGCAATCAGGAGGGTACTCCCAGGGCAGAGCGCGCAGCCTCCCAGGCACAGGAGGAGGTGGAGGGCATATTGGAGTGCGCTGACACTCCCCCAAGACCTCTTACCACTCGCAGCGACTCCCCTGGGGCCGCCAATGAGGGCCTGCTGCCAGGCAAGCGGCAGCGGTTGGGTGATGAGGACAGGGAGACAGGCCACGGCTGGAGGATGGCTGACATGGAGGACCTGGGGGGCAATCCCCACGGCCCCATGGGCCCCTACCACGGCCGAAGTGCAGTGTGGGATGGCGGGGGGCCTTTAGTGGCGGCTGGGGGGACTGCGGTGGCAGCCAGGGGATTGTATCGTGCGTCCCCGGAGCGCTATGCGGACATTGGCACGCCCGGCGGCCAGCTGGGGGTGTTTGCGGGCATCAGCCAGGAGAGCAATTTTGACTGGGGAGCTATCAGCAGCGTGCCTAGGGGAGGTGCTAACAGCCTTACACAGCATGGTGGAGACATTTACCGAACACCAGATGTGCTGCCCGGCGGTGCAGCCACAGAGGATGTGGTGATGGACTCGGGGTCTGAGCCAGATCTGCAGGAAGGGCCGCCATACCTGCCTCAGGTGGATGGAGCAGATGATGTGTCGTCAGATGAGGAGCAGGAGATGCAGCCTACAGTCTCCCTGGGGCAGCATGCCAGCGAGCTCGCAGCCACCTCCCAGGAGCACATGCAGCCGAGGCAGAGAGCAGGAGCCTCTGGTTCCCAGGGCAGCTCCCAGCGCTACGGCTTCATTCCCCTGCTCAGAGCCTCGCCGTCCACTGCCAGCGCTCCTGCCGCGGTGCCCACTTCTTCACACGCCAATAACAGCAGAGGTGCCGCTTCATGTAATATCTCTTTACATATCATATATTGTATCCCTCTTAACCTCGTCCCAGTGCTCTTGAGACCGCTTCTTATCTGTGCCTCACCCACCTCTTGATTGGTATGCAATAGCAAAGGCATCTGATGTGCATGCATAATGCCGCCATGTGCAGGGAGGCGGCTCACCAGCCGCAGCCGCAGCGTGGCTACCGGGTCAGCACAGGAGCGCAGCACCGCACCGCGGGCGGCCAGGTCGCTGCAGCTGGACGCCTCCAAGCACAGCGCCCGGCGCGGCGGCAGCGCGGCTTTCAGGCCGGGGGCTTACCGGCAGCCGCTTGGAGCCGATGCAGGCACCTCCCGTGCGCCCTTTCGACCGCCTCGCCGCTTGGACGAGCCCGCGCCCATGCCGGGCTTTCCCAACGCAGCTGCAGCCACCGCCTCGGGCCGGCTGGCCGTCGTGCCGCGCGGCCTTGGACAGGCAGCTCCTGGGGCAGCCCACCCTGCAGCAGCCGGCGTCCAGCCGCAGGTTCCTGAGCCACATGAGGCGCTGCTCCATGCTTCTCATAGGAGGAAGGATTCCGATCACATGCTGGCGGGCTCTCAAGCCAGCCTTGACGTGTTGGACGAGCCAGGGGAGGAAGCAGCGTCAGCCGAGAATTCTGTAGCTGGTGCCAGCGCTGGCAGAGGCCGTGCCGCGGTGCTGCCGCAGAGGAAAGCGGTGGCGATGCGTGCCAGGCGCAGGCCGATAGCAAGTATGGCCGCCGCACCACTGCATCATGCGGGTTCAAGCAGCACACAACCGGCTGACAACGTCTCTCAGCCGCTGTCGCACCCAGCAGCCACACACCCCTCACTTCCTGCAGTGGCGTCCAGCGCCCCAGCAGCAGCAAGTGAGCCACAGCCAAGTGCAGGCGGCAATCACCTGGGCGCAGCAGTCAGCAGCGCAGATGGCACCGCGGCGGAACGCGAGAGCAGGCGGCGAGATTCCAGGGAGTGGTTGATGCGGGTGGCCCATGAGTCAGCCGGGATTCAGCGCGCCATCCTGGGCAGCACTTCTTCCAGCGACCAGACGCCGCAGTCCCCTCACACTGAGCCGGCAGAGCCCCATGCCTTGTCCCCAGCAGACCTGGTCGGCAGCAGGCAGCCTTTGGGAGCGCTTCAGCCTGCATCAGCAGTTGGAGCAGCCGCAATGCCGGGGAGAGGGGGCGTAGGGAGCCATGAGTCTGAGGGAGTCATCAGTCCAGCCACAAAGCGGCGAGAGTCGCGCGAGTGGCTGATGCAGGTGGCGCAGCAGTCCGCTAGCTTGCGGGAGGCTCTGGCGCAGTCCAGCTCGTCTGAAGAGGATGTCTGCCCCGAACCGACACCTCAGGTCACCCCTGGTCGTGCTCAAGCCAGCACTGCTCAGGCTCTTGGATCTTTGGAGGCAGCCCCAGCGCTGGATGCTGCTGCAGGAATATCTTCTTTGCAGCCTTTTGGGAGCATTGTTGGGGGCGGTGGCCTGGCAATGAGTGGGGAAGGGGGAGCAGGTCTTGCGATGGGGGAGGATGCAGCCACTGACAGAGTGGAAGTGGCGAGGGATGACAAGAATGCAGACGCCGAACAGGAGCAGTCAGACGGCCCTCTGGCAGCATGGTATGCGCTGCAAGAGGCACACTGGTGCTTTGACGCAGACCCGCCGTCCTCTACCACCGACAAGAGCATCGACGTTGTGGGAATTGGCAGCCAGGAGATGACTAGCCAGCACAGGTTGGCACTTCTAGCAGCTCCGCCTGCTGACACTGAGTCGTCCCATCCTACCGGCTTGGATCTGCATGTGTCAGCAAAGGATGCAGCGGCTGCAGAGGAAGTCAGTCAGTCGCAGAGCGGCCAAGAAGACATTGAGATTGACTTTGGGAGCCAGTCCTTGCAAAGGGAAGGTGAGGGGCGAGAAGCCAGAGGCGATCCTGACACGGTCACCAAGCCGTCGCAGACAGCCTCTGCTGAGGGCGCAGAGGAGCAAGGCCAAATTGCACAGCCGGGCGTCTCCAACAGCCAAGCAGAAGGCAGGAGCACCCATGACTCTGGCGGCACGCCAGAGCTGCAGCTATGTCTGGACCTGTCTCTTGGATCCAAGCACACTGATGCCAGCGCCAGCCTGCAGCCCCAAGACCTCTTCGCGTCAGCCAATGCGCCGCAGAGCCCCGAACGACCGCCGTCTGCACACCAATCTCCAGATGACCATGCCGGGAGTCAGGTGAATGTCAGACAGGACCGGGGCGGCCTTTGGCAGCAGTCTCAGAGCACGCCATTGGATGTGATGGCCATGCGGCCTCGAGTGCGGCCGCCCTCTCAGCAAGAGTTGGAGGAGAGCATGCTGCCTCTGGGTGTGCCGGCCGTCGTGCATCAGCCTGCTTTCTATGGCAAGCCTGAAGACGTCCCCCACCGCCCGACAGGCATGCCGCTGTTTGCCTTAGAAGTGCATTCCTTTTGTTCCATTGCAGTTGGATCTGTCTCGTTGAGAGCAGTGAACAACCTTTGGGAGCAATCAGCAACCAGCGTTCGCCCATGTCACAGAATAATAAAGTAGAACAGTGTTTTAAGGATGTTAGTGTCTCTTGCTGCAGTCTGGGCCGGGCTGGAGTTCAGAGTGCCGTCAGGCGCAACCAGTGCGCTGCCGCCATTCAGAGCGGGCAGCCGTCAAACAGGCCAATCGGCGGCGATTGCCAAGCTCCACAAGAGGCAGCAGCCCTCGCGCATGTATGGCATGACACCCGTGCAGCTGCCGCCCACTCGCGCGGAGACGGATGAATGGCTAGCCGAGGAGAGGGAGGCTCTGCTGGCATCCCAGCACAGCCATGGGTCAGCTTCAAAGGGCAAATCAGGCACGCATGCATACCACGTCCTACAATATTCCAGTCTTGTCGAGGCATTGCAAGAGTATCGTTGTGCATCTGTGCCTTTTGCTCAGGAAAGGAAAATTTTAAAAATCGAGGGCTTCATTGTTGCAAACGGCAACATGCCCACACTACTCTTTATTTGTATCAATGTTGGACAGGGATTTGATAAGGCTGACCAGACAAGGACTGGACAGGTTCGGCGGGTTCTAACAAGGAGCAGGCAGGCAGGGCGTTTGGAATGGATGCCAACACCGGCCGGCTGCTGCCTGGGGGCCCGGGCGGCAGCGGCAGCCAGGAGAGCGGCGGCAGCGACTTGCTGGAGACGCCTGCTCTGTGCAGCATGCCCAGCCAGAACCGGCGCGCCCATGGGCCGTCCCGCCTGCGCATCGCCACACAGCAATCCACGGATGCTGCTGGCGAAGAACAGGAGGTACTCAGATACCATGACGTCTCAGTGCTTGTCTCTATTTCTTGCTAGTATTTCAAGCAGTGCAGTGTGTGAGAAAATTAGGCTTTTGGCATTCATAGAGGGATGTCCAATGCACCTAGCCAAGACCTAGAAGAGTAGTGGAAACTAATGACTCCATTCACAGCCTGATGCAGTTGTGTGGGGCAATGCCAGGAGGAGATACGGCCAGCGTCGCCCAAATATGACGAGCGCTCGTTCTTCTACACCACTCCCAAGCTCAACCCTGCGAGGCCGGCCTTCCCGCAGTCCACAACACCATGGGCGACCCCTCTCCTGCTGCCCCATCCCCAGCTAGCCGCCAGCCCCTCAGGCGCTGCTTCTGCTGCTAGCCCTGCCATCCATCCCAGGCATGTCCCCGCACCACTCGCAGTATTCCTACAAATATTGTGAAGCATCCTTTGACAACAATGGTGGTTCTTTGTATTGTCCAGAAAGCGGTGTAAAATAACGAAGTCTCTGTTGCTGCAATGCAGGCAGCAGGTTCCCGACACACCGGCAACCCCGGCAGCCAACATCAGGCGCACCCTGATGCCGCCGCCTGACTTCAGCGGGACGAGAGCGCCTATCCCTGGGCCGGCGCCAGGCAGCGCAGACAGCGCATCTCACCGTGCAGCCGCCTTACCAGCCACTGACATCCGGCCACTGATCCCAGATGCACAACCTCCGATGGCGCCTGCTGTCGCCAACCCTGCCGAGGTCCTGCAGCCACCAATTCTAATAATTTTTGTGTTTGCAGCACTCGTGTGTCTCTCTCACATGCACTGTCTTGCCATGTCATTGCGCAGCTTATTGCTGCCAATCCTGACACAAGCGTGCATGCTGTCTCAGGCGGCGGGTGTCAAGGAACCGTTCCAAGGGCAGAAGGGGCGTGCTGTGAACCCGTGGACGTCCCAGATCACTGCACCGTCACCCGCAGCCGGTTCGGCGGGCGCCACGCCACTGAGCCAGGCCGGCTTCCGGCGCCTCGTGGCCGGGAAGGGGCAGAACCTGACGCTGCTCAGCATCGAGGTTCATGCAGACACCAGGTTTGCATGTGTATCACACTTCACACACTGTCATGGGTGTGAAGATTCGGCTTGCTTGTCATACAGTAGTACAGGCTGCCGCGACTGAGCTGTGGCTGTCTCGCATTATACTGGCATGCAGAGGCTGAGAGAGGGTGAGAACAGTTGAATGGCGGACAAAGTGGCAATTTGTGGAGTCACCTGGCAATGTGTGGGACAGGGGAACGTTGCTGCCGGATCCCCGCTACGACGCGGTGCGGTGCATCGTGCTGGCGGCGGCCGATGACGCGGAGGACATGTCGAGCGGCACATGCGCCACGCGCGTGCTGCTCCTGGACGACAAGGGCCGTGGGGCCATGGATGGCCTCTCAAACGTGCAGGCAAGCGCTGCAGCCCCTCCTCTCCATCCCTACCATGTGGCAATCCTAATGTGAAACCCCTTCTCTTCATTCCCATCCCTCTGGTAGACTCTCGCTTTCTCAGCAGGCAGCTGCCCTGTCAATCATGTAAGCATCCATCACTATAGAGTACCTTTGGAATGGCAGGCCTTTCCTCCAGAGCACAGTCAAAGCTACCTTGATTTTCACTCAAATTGTGGCCTCCTGAGCCCTTCTTAAGCTAGTGTTAGTGGGGAGAGCCTACTCCAACCGCGATCATGCAAATTTCTTATACAGTCTAAGTCTAATGTTGAGAGCCTATCCGGACCGCAATCTTCCGATACTCTCACAGTCCAAATCATGCGCGCACTGTGAGAGGGGTTCTGCGTATGCGCAGATGGAGGTGCATGGGAGCGAGGAGGCCCTGCTGGATGCGCTGGTGGGCGCGGTGCGGGCGCTGGACCCGGACATCCTGGTGGGCTACGAGGTGCAGCAGGGGTCGCTGGGCTACCTCAACGACCGCGCCACCACCCTCGCACGCCCCGAGCCCCTCCTGCGCCAGCTGTCGCGCACGCCCACGGTGACTGCGCCCCCAAATATCTGCTACTTCATGATGGCAATTTGCGTGCATGCAGTGCTCTTGGCTGATGCATGGCTTTTGGGTCCTCTCAAAGCACTGTCACTGATATTTGATGGCGTTTTGAACCAAGGAAGCGATGTTGCTAGGATTTCATGCCTGCTGATCTGGATGCACTTTTAGGCATCGGATCACGGCTTTGCTGGGCAAGACAAGAGTGGGTCTCTCCTGCTCCATGAGCAACTTCGCACCTAAGCGGAAGCTGCCTGCTGCTTTTGCAGTATTGCAGGGTACTATTAGTAATCAGCAATGGTCCAGCAGTGTCAGCTGAAGCTGTACTTGTGAGATGGGCGCAGGTGTCGAGCATGGTGGAGCGGAGGAATGACGAGTACGGAGTGCTGCACGCGTCGGGCATCCACGTGGCCGGCCGCATCGTGCTCAACCTGTGGCGGCTGCTGCGCTCGGAGCTGAAGCTGCGCATCTACACCTTTGAGGCGTGCGTGGCCGCCGTTCTGCAGCTGCGCACGCCCCACATCCCCGCATGGGTCCTCTCCCAATGGTTCCAGGGCGGCCCTGGGGGTGAGGCAGCCTAGCCTAGTTCACCTGCTGCAGTTCTCGTGCTCATGTGCACACTGCTTAGCCATCACTTTTAGAATAACAATCCTCCCAAGAAAACGCACTCCATGTCTTTTGCAAGAGATCAAGACTATCGAAAGATTATGGGCGATTGCCCCATGCCAGGGCAAGATGTGCTGCCAGTTGCCGCACTTGGATAGTAAATAAGATTACTGAGATTATATCCTGATTAGTCAACATTCTCAGATCCCCCCTTGTATGCTGCAGGTGGCCGGTGGCGGTGCGTACAGTATATTGTGCGGCGCGCGCGGCTGAGCCTGGCAATGATGGAGCAGCTGGACATCACGGGGCGCACGGGGGAGATGGCGCGCACGTTCGGCATCGACTTCTTCTCCGTGCTCACGCGCGGGTCGCAGTATCGCGTCGAGGCCATGATGGCCCGCCTCGCCCACACCCAAAACTACCTCCTCCCCGCGCCCTCCACCGAGCAGGTCGCCGCCCTAACATGCCGTTTACTGTTTCTAGAAAGTCTTTGAGAAGTTCTGTTTCTTGCAATCTGATAAGAAGCAAGCTTGCCAATATTGACAAGCCGGCATTGCCTGGATCTATACAAATCAGAATTCTGCATGTGGCACGCTGGAGGTCTGGTGATGTCTGCTGGGTGGTCCATGGATTTGTCAATTGTCATTGATTTGAATACTACATCATGGATGAAACGTTTTCCTCCTTGCATGGATGGCATCTGTACCTTTTAAGTGATGTGATGTGGTGCGATGCGCAGACGAAGAACCAGCCGGCGATGGAGGCGATTCCACTGGTGATGGAGCCCGAGTCGCGCCTGTACGTGGATCCGGTCGTCGTGCTGGACTTCCAGTCGCTCTACCCCAGCCAGATCATCGCCTACAACCTCTGCTTCTCCACCTGCCTCGGCCGCCCCGCCCACGCTGCCGCCGCCGCCACTCCCCTCCGCCTCGGCGCGCAAGTCTTCGGCCTCCCCAAGGGCTCCCTCTCCGGCGCCGTCGCCCCCGACAAGTGTGCATTCTCTCGTCTCCTCTCTCTGTCTGTGGTCTACCACCGCAAAACTAGGAGATTCATTATGCTGTGTGAGCAGCAGATTCAATCTAGATATGAATGCAGTAATGCATCATCTAGATGCTGAGTGCTCCTGCAATGGTTTATGGCTAAGTGTTCTACAATGGCTAACGGCAAGTCTTTATGGGAAGTTGTCTGCAGTACAACAGTTTTTATAATTTGGTTATGTGCAGGCTGATAGTGGCACCGAATGGGGTGGCGTACGCGCCGCCCGAGGCGAGGCAGGGCGTGCTGCCGCGGCTGCTGAACGAGATCTTGGCCACGCGCATCATGGTCAAGGCCGCCATGAAGCGCGCACCCAAGACTGCCAAGGTGACCCTTGCTTGCAACTAGCATCATTTGCCACTCAAAACACCTCGCACTGCAGCATCTGCTGGTATCCCTTGACGCCGTGCCACGTACCGCGCATGCCGTACTCCCTGCAGGGAACAAATTGGAGAAAGAGGTTTCTTGTTGGTGCAGGTGCTGCAGCGCATCCTGAACGCAAGGCAGTTCAGTCTGAAGCTGATAGCCAACGTGACCTACGGATACACGGCGGCGGGCTTCTCTGGCCGCATGCCCTGCGCTGAGCTAGCAGACTCCATCGTCCAGGTAAGCTCTAATTACTTTGCCTATACTCTGGCGTCCAGAAAGCCACTATCCTACACTAGCAACTGTGCATGTTTTGATTCGGGGGATGCAGGGGACTCTGTAATACTTAAGGCATTTTGAAGAGCTGCATCAGGATGTTACAGTGAATCAATTGGTGAGTGCTGCTGTGACTGTGAACGCAGTCTGGGCGCGAGACACTGGAGAACACGATTCGAATGGTGGAGGCGCACCCGGAGTGGCGGGCGCGGGTGGTCTATGGGGACACGGATTCCCTCTTCGTGCTGCTGGAGGGCCGCTCGCGCAACGAGGCCTTCCGGATCGGCGCGGAGATTGCCGCTGCAGCCACCGCCGCCAACCCGCCCCCCGTCACCCTAAAAATGGAGAAGGTGCAGCGCCTCCTCCTCCTTAAGCACATCTCTAGCATAAACAGCACGGCGTCTTCTTGGCATGTCTAGATTGCAAGACCCTGACCCTCATCAGAAGACATGTGCTGTGACAGTGAGCTCTAGTGCGGCAAATGCCTAATTAGAGATACTCGACGCTGTTCCAAAATTGCATCAAGTAGTGGCATGCATGTAGAGTTACAGGAGAGAGATGCATGTGTGTGTCTGGCCCAGGTGTACCACCCGTGCGTGCTGCTGACAAAGAAGCGCTACGTGGGGTACATGTATGAGACTCCCAAGCAGGCGGCCCCGGTGTTTGACGCCAAGGGCATTGAGACGGTGCGACGCGACACCTGCAGCGCCGTCGCCAAGATGCTTGAGCGCAGCCTGCGCATCCTCTTTTCCTCCAAGGACGTCTCCCAGGTATCTCTACCCTCGACCTCCCCTTTTGCACCGTGCCTAAAAATACTTAGGAGGTGCTGCCCCACCTGAAGGAGCATCTGGTGAAGAAGTAGCAGGGCTCTCTGCTGGGGCTTTGCCCCTTGTGTGGTTAAAAACTGGCCCAGAAGCCAGTGACTCTGCTGTACCGTAGTGGTTAGGTAAACCCCGCACTTCAACAACATGTGAGGCCTTTAAAAGGTTCCCGCAGGGCTTTCCTGCACGATCAAATCTAATTTCACAGTGTGTTCAGCATGGGCCGCCGCTTAGAGAGCGCAATGGGGTGTTCAGGTGAAGGAGTATGTGGAGCGGCAGTGGACGAAAATTCTGTCGGGGCGGGTGTCGCTGGCGGATTTCGTGTTTGCCAAGGAGGTGCGCCTGGGCACGTACCGAGCGGCCCATGGCCTGGTTCCCCCGGCCGCGCAGGTCGCCAGCCGGGCGATGGCCACTGACCCCCGCGCAGAGCCCCGCTACGGGGAACGGGTCCCCTATGTTGTCGTCCACGGCGAGCCCGGTGCGCAGTCTCCAGCTCCTCTGCTACCGCACCCACCTTACTCAATCATGTCGGTCTTGGTCACAGACATTGCTTGGCTGATTCTACGCTTTTTCTGCGGCGCACGGAACTGGCATGTCGGCAATCCAGATAGAGGATTATCTGCCCTGTCAGGAGATGCCAAGGATTCCAGGTATGCAGAGGTGAAGGCAGCTGTCAGTTGGGTGCAGAGAGATCCTGGGCTTCAGAATGTATGACGTCAAATGCATTGCAATGATTGTTGATTTTTGTGCATGATTTACTGGTTTGCAGGGGCGCGGCTGGTGGACATGGCGGTGGCGCCGCACGCGCTTATAGAGTCGGGCGGCAGGCTGCGGCTGCACGCGCACTACTACATCATCAAGCAGATCGTGCCGGCGCTGGAGCGCGTTTTCAGCCTGCTGGGAGTCGACGTGCGAGGCTGGTACGCCGCCCTGCCGCGCCCGCAGCGCCTGCTGCCGCAGAAGCGCCCCGCCGCCGCGCTCGGCCTGGGCGGCCGCGGATCCGCCGCCGGCACCATCGACGCCTACTACCTCTCCCGCCACTGCGCGGTATGCGCCCCTTTCTCCCCCTGTCCCTACGCAGTATCTCAGTCCCCTTTGTATTGCCAGCAATGTTTCTTTCCCTTTCCCCAACGCTGTTCGTTACTCACCTCCACACTGTCAGCAAATTCTGCCTTGCATTGTGCAGCTTTAGGGAGCTGCTTCCTGGTCACACTGACAGCAATCTGAGAGCTGCCCACCCTCAGCACTCGCTCTGTATTTGCAAAGTGAGAACCTTCTGGGGTGTTGAGAGCTCAGAGTGCCATACAAAGGTCAAAATGGGCGTGCAGGTGTGCGATGGGCTGACGCATGCGCAGAGGCCGATCTGCGAGGAGTGCCGGGGGGAGCCGCAGGGGGCGGCGGTGGTTCTTTCGGCGCGTGCGGCGCGGCTGACCGAGGCGCAGGCGCTGCTGGTGCGCGTGTGCCTGCAGTGCGGCGGCGGCGGCGGCCGCAGGGGCACCTTGGAGGCCGGCATCGTGTGTGACTCGCTCGACTGCGGCGTCTTCTTCGAGCGCAAAAAAGCCACCGGAGAGGCCGCCGCTGCGCGCGTCCTGTGCGACCTGGCGCTGCAGGACTTTGAGTGATGGGAAAGCGTTGAATCTTGACAGCTTTTGCACAGTCGGCACTTTATAAGTGCAGTACAGCCTTCTAGAGAATACATAGGCGCCCTGCATTAGAATCGCCGATTGACGTTCTGCGTTGTACGTGTAGGGATACAGTCCTGATTATTTGTTGTTTTGAAGCACTGTTGTACACTAGACACGATAGGATTGACTGTAAGAATTTGACCAGCTAGCCAATGCTGCTGAATCCACCGTGTGCACAGCACCCTGCTTGGTACTGTATTCCCTGACATTTGTGTGTTAGATGACTGCAGAGATGTATATGCATCTTGGTGTATTGGAAACATGGGGGCATTGAGCTGAAACGTGTACTTGTGCGTAGCTGACTCGCAGCATGCTGACAGAATTGGGGAATATCTTGCTGTTACAAGCAAGTCACCATTAAATGAGTATGTACAAAGAAGTAAACGTGATATCCTTCGAATCCTTCTCGTCCTTCTTGCTTCAATCTAGGTACCTACTCGTCATAGGGACCTCCAAGGATAATCTGCAATGAGCCCAGGGTGAAAAGAAATCAGAAATCCTACACAAGTATACCTTGCATGCGTTTGTTGTTCCCAACCTGATCCTGACCTTCTGCCTAAAACCCCTGCAGCTGCCTACCACCCAATGAAGCGTGCAATACAAAACAATTTCACATCAGCATACACACCTATCTTACAGGCCTTTGCCACCGGGCCATCATGTTGTACATACACAGGTGGCAACCTTCTTATGTGTACAAAAGCGTGCATTTACCCTCCCATCGTCTCCTCAAACAATCGACGTTGTTCCAAGTGCCAAAGTACGCTGCAGAACTACTAAAAGAGCTCAGAAAGCATGTGATAAATCAGAAAACGGGCGCCAAACTAGTGTACGGGCTGCCACACACACAATCTACCTCAACTCTGGATCTTAAAGACCCCCCCGAAGTTACCAACCAGACACCATTCTGGCCCAACAGCTGTACTACAACACCAACAGCGATGGTACATCGTCGTGAGTCACAGCCCAGATGTGCAAATCTTTGTCTGCTCTACATTCCTACAACAAGGTGTACATTGAGGACCAGGAACATGTCACAGTGATTTACAGCAGTTCTCTCTCCCAGACTTTGTCAATCAACAACAGGCTCCTCGTATTGCTCTTGGTACAATCTACATTTAGCCGCTCCCAGGAAGCTTGCTTCCCCCTGAAAAAGTCTAAATGCCCAACTCCCCTTCCCTGTTTCACCATTTGATATTCGCGCTGCCTGGCCGTCAGGCATTGATGATGATGTCGGCCCTCTTCTTGAGCAGGCTGGAGTCGACGATCTCGCTCTTGAGGATGCGCACGTCGCCCGGCTGCGCGGCCGACACGGTGACGGCGCCGGCCGCGTCCACGTCCATGCATGCCACGTCACCCTCCGCCAGCTGGCCGCCCAGGATGGCGTCCGACAACGCATCGTCCACCAGCCGCGTTATCGCGCGCCGCAGCGGCCGCGCACCATACTCCTGCACCACAGCGGCCCGCTATCAGCAAAACTTGAGCAGACGCTCTGAAAAATGCATGCACAAAGCTGTGACAGTCACCGCTGTGGTTGTGAGGTTGCCCCGTGCTGAAAGCCAATCATGCCTTGGTTCTCAGGCGGCAGTCATGCTTTGCTCTGCTTGGCAGAAGGGACGGCAAGCTCTTCATCTGAAGTCAGTGTCTGCCACAAGAGGCATGATTTGTCAAAGACCTCCGGACAGTTGGAGAGGGCATGGGAGGGGGAGGCAGACCTGATTATAGCCCTCCTGGCAGATGAGGCGCATGAGGGGCGCGGTGACCTGCAGCCCGATGCCGCGGGTCGCCATGCGCTGGCGCGTCTCGTTGAGCAGCAGCTCCGCGATGGTGCGCGCGTCGCGCGTGCTCAGCTGTTTGAACACCACAATCTCGTCCAGCCTGTTCAGCAGCTCCGGCCGGAAGTACGCCTGCGCGCAACCCAACCAGAAAATGACACACAATCCTCCCAACCTTCTGAACAATCTCTGATCGCCCCATGCCTTGACACATGAAGACATCCAGACATGCACAGTGAAGGAGGCACCAAGCAAGTATGACTGCGATGCCAGCCTGGACCACAGATGAGACTGCCCGTTTGATCCATTGCACCACTCTCATTGCATGCTCATGCAGTGTCATCTGTGCTGGGCGGGCAGGCCTAAGCAATGCTTTATTTTGGTTCTATGTTTCCAGGGAAAGCGCCATCTGCCTTTTCTGGCAGTGTGAATGTAGTAAGAGCGGCGCACCTTGAGCTCTTCGAGGACGAGGGTGCGGATACGGGCGTAGCGGTCGGCCTCGGCGCCGTCCTCGCTGGGCAGCGCAAAGCCGAGCTGGCCGCCGCCCTTGGCGATGACGCTGCTGCCCACGTTGGAGGTCATCACGATCAGCGTGTTCTTAAACGAAACCACCCGCCCGCTGCTGTCGCTTAGCCGCCCGTCCTCCAATATCTGCACCCATGCTAAACGCTTCATTAATTTTATACTCGTTACTACATTAAAAGACCTGTCGGGAGCCACTTTGATTCTGTAAGCAGTCTCTCACTGCCCATCTTCGTATCACCAGTATCTGATGTGCCTGCATTTCATGAAAGATTCGGCAATCCTAGCACTGTTCAAATGCATGTGCTGGGTGCCACATGCAGCGGATCGCCTATGGTCTGCGGTGACTGCTAGGGATGAGCATGACAGCGCAGGTAAAAGAAGGGCACCTGCAGGAGGATGTTGAAGACATCTGGGTGCGCCTTCTCAATCTCATCCATCAGCACCACTGAGAACGGCCGCCGCCTGCAGAACAACACATCTGCATTTACAATTTAGACGCTTCCTCGCAATGCCTATTTATCTGTGGGAGCACAAGAGTAGTGGCTATCAAGGTAACCCTGTCCAAACGGAGGTAGCAGCCCCACCTGACGGCTTCGGTGAGCTTGCCGCCCTCGCTGTACCCGACGTAGCCGGGGGGCGCGCCGATGAGCTTGGCCACCGTGTGGCGCTCCATGTACTCGCTCATGTCCAGCCGGATCATCGCCGCCTCGTCCCCAAAGTACTGGTCCGCCAACACCTGCGCGCACCCATTGATGTCTGCTCAGCCTTGCATGTGTAATTTGACAGCAGCCACCAGCCATCGACCCCTCAACCCATGAACCCAGCCTCACACACCCTCCGAGAGCAGCAGTTGCTTTTTCAGAGCGGTTGACGGACAGGAGGTTGAAGGCCATGACAAAAAAGGCAGAGCAATAGGAAGGAATGAAGGTGAAAAGGGTGGTGTGGGCGCACTTTGGTGAGCTCGGTCTTGCCGACACCGGTGGGGCCCGCGAAGAGCATGGCCGCAATGGGGCGCGCAGGGTCCTTGAGGCCGGAGCGTGCCCGCCGCATCGCGCGCGCCACTGCGCCCACTGCATCCGCCTGCCCAATCACCTTCTCCTGCGCGACACACGTTCCCAAACATTCAATATTCTAGCAGCGAGAGCATCTGGGCTTCGTTTCTTCAAGATAGATTTGACCTGAACTTCCATATGTAGCAAGCGTATTCAGTCATTCAGAGTAATCGGCGCCACACCTGTGAGCACAAGCGACCAAGTAATGCCCTGATGAGGTCCAGACATCACACGACCAGCAGAAATTGTGAGCCCCAGCTTGAGAGAACAGTCTGGCCTACTTCTGCTCGAAATGCAACGATGCTCACACTGAGGGACTGGGCTCATGGACAGATTCAGGCGAGGCAGGGCACCTTGAGGGCGGGCTCCATGCGGGACAAACGCTCGCGGTCGTCCTGGGTCATGCGCTGCACGGGAATGCCGGTCCACGCAGACACCACCGCCTCCACGTCAGCGGTGGTGACGGTTACGACGGTGGGCGCCTCCTCCGGCAGGCCCGACAGCCGCACCTTCATGTCCACCTCGCGCTCCCGCAGCAGCCCCGCCTCCTCAAACAGGCCCTCCTGCGCACCAGCAGCATTTTCTTTTATACTTTCTGCTTCATCCTACTGTACAACTTTTCTCCCATCTGCCTAGAAGAATTTGGAGACGTTATCGCATTCTGCTTTATCCCAGTATACAACTGTTCTGTCATTTGCCCAGAGGAGACCATCAGCAAGGCTCTGCAGGCACTGTTATTGGTGCAAGATTTGCAGTTTCCATCTTGTGCCGCTCGTAGGCTGAGGCACAAGAGGATGATCCGGAAGACAAAAGGAAGACAGAGAAAGCAAAGGAGGGAATTTCTGCAGCTCAATTTGAGGAAGAGGTCCTCTGCTTTTGGGCACACACCTTGATGGCCTCGTCCTTGGCCTCAAGGACCTGCTGCAGCTCCAGCCAGGGAGCGACGATGTCGGCAACTGGGCGGCCGCCGGAGAGGGCGTCGCGGCGCGCCACATGGGCGGCGATGCGCGCACGGCTGCCGGCCTCGTCCAGCAGATCGATGGCCTTGTCCGGCAGCTGCCTGTCCGCTATGTAGCGCGCCGACAGCGTCACTGCCGCCTCCACTGCGTCCGGCGTGTACAGGCAGTGGTGGTGCTTCTCGTACGAATCCTGCTCAGCAAACATAAATAGTTGTAAGATAGCGAGACAAAACTAATCCCGTTGAACTGCACTTGCCTTGACAAACTTTGCTTGTCACACCACGACAGCAACGTAAGGTACCTTGCGACACCGTGATGCTCAACCACCAACTTCCAGATGCACAAATGCAATAGGCTTTTCTCTACAGAAGTTAACATAAGCAAGCTGGTCATGTGGAAGGGGCAAATCGAGGGAATGCTGACCTGGAGGCCGTGCAGGATCTGGAGGGCTTCGGTGACGGTGGGCTCGGCCACATGGACGGGCTGGAATCGGCGCTCAAGGGCGGCGTCGCGCTCAATGTACTTGCGGTGGTCGTCGAGGGTGGTCGCGCCGATGCACTGCAGCTCCCCACGCGCCAGGGGCGGCTTGAGCAGGTTGCTGATATCCAGGCCGCTGCCGCCTGAGCGGCTGACTGACCCCGCGCCCACCAGCATGTGCACCTCGTCGATCCTGCACAGAACCCAATGAACATCACTCACACCTCTGCATGCATTGCCACCGCAGAACGCAAAGCGTTAGCGAGATTCCACAGAGCACTACAGACTGGCAACGTCTGTGTCGATCGCTGAATCATATTGCACCCAACTGTTGCACTCCCTGGGCCCATCTGGCGACACAAAATGTGCGCTGGACTGCACGCTTGAGGGCAGTGTCACCCAGGATCACCATCAGCTTGTCACTGTAGAACATCAGGTTCTAAGGCCCATAAGAGCGAGAATCAGAGGAAGATGGGGACTGACATGAGGACAATGTTGCCGGCGGCGCGGATCTCTGCGATGATGTTGGTGACGCGCGACTCAAGCTCGCCGCGCTCCTTGGCGCCGGCAATGAGCAGGCCCAGGTCCAGCGCCATCACACGCTTGCCCTCCAGAAACGCCGGCAGCGCGCTACCGTCCGGCAGAGAGCCTGCACACAGGTATCAATCTTTTTAGGGTTCAGCCTTATTCTGACTTACAGGACACCCTGCTCTGTCCCTGCAGCAAACTCCGCATCTCCCTTAGGCCACATGTTGGGACCTTACTGCGCATGGCAGCAATGGCAGCAGATGGGATCGTCCACCCCCACCACACAGAGCCCCATTCACCACCTTCTAGAGATCGAATGGACTGATGTCTAAGTGGATGCAAGCATTGTCACAGGATGCCATTGCAGCAGAGAGTGCATGGTGAGGGAGGATTTTCACCAGAGACGATGGCGCGGGCGAGGCCCTCGGCGATGGCGGTCTTGCCGACGCCGGGCTCCCCCAGCAGGACGGGGTTGTTCTTCCTCTTCCTGGCCAGCACTTGCACCACGCGCGCAACCTCCTTGTCCCTCCCAATCACCTGCTCGGCCCACACAAACTTGAAATGACGCCATTCTGCAAGTGATGCATGCAGCAGCTGCAGCCCTAGCCAAACACCACTTGTTTACATGTCAAAGGAAGAAAGGCAGGAGTCAGGTTGAAAGGAATCGCACCGGATCCATGCCCTTCTTGCGAGCCTGCTCGCAGAGGTCCCTGCAGAACTCGTCCAGCGCCTTGGTGGTCACCTCCTTTCCAGACACCGTCTGCGCAACAAAAGATGTACTTCAGCATGAACAGAACAGCAATGGAGGGTAAGCGATTGCGCATGCAGTTATAGCATGAGAGGGGGGCCAGTGACTCACTGTGACCTTCTTGCGCTGCTCCTTTACCTCTCCCTCACCCTTGAGCCGCTCACGCGCATTGTCTTTGATGGCCTTGCCCCCGTCCGTCAGCCCCAGCCTGCATCAGGAAGGCCGTCATGGATATGGTCTCTCACACTTCATGTGGCTGATATTCAAGCAGAAGTATGACCAGTTAGAATATTTATGGATGTGGCAGTGCTCTCACTTCTCAATGACCTGCTTGGCGCCCACATTGCCAACTGAGAAGAGCGCCAGCACCACATGCTCTGGGCTGATGTAGTTATGGCCCAGCTTCCGTGCTTCCTGAACATCACATGCAAGATTCCTCGGCATGCTTCCCGTGTATTGTCTACCTTTGCTTGCCAATAAGCTATTGCATTTGACTCTGGGATGCAACATGTACCAACATCTATTCTTCAAGGCACAAAGAATGCCAGGGCACGGCACCTCTGCAGCGGTTTCAAAGACGCGCTTGGCGTCCCGGCTGAAGGGCAGCTCTGGGGCAGGCGATGACAGGCTAGAGCCATCTGCCTGCCGGCTGCGCTCCTGCAGAGCTTCTACAGCAGTGCGGGCCCTGTCGATGGTAATGCCAGAGTTGTAGAAGCCCGTCTTGGAGGCTGGCTCCTCAGAAATGAGTCCCATGAGCAAGAACTCGGTGGAAACCTGCACACATTACGAACTTGGTGGGGATGCTTTCAATCAAATTGCACGTGTGGGTGTTAACAAAAATTGCCCTTGGGGTTGCTGGAACCATCCCAGACTGTTTGATGGAAGTGGATGGCAACAGCAACAGACGCTAAAAGCTGTAGGAACTTATCAAGAATGTCAAATCGAACAATTTTCTGCAAAGACAGTGACATGCAAGGGCTGACGCACACCAACTCACTAGGGCAAATCAGCTTCCGTTCAGAATTCCAAGGACCACTTGGCCCCAAGAGCGACATTTTGCTTGAAAAACTCTGCATGTAACGCAACATTGGCGCAGCGCACCACTTGACATGCCTCGGGAGATGAAAGTACGGTGCAATTAGCTCACCTCACTAGCATGCATACGTGTTGCAAAGTTCTGCGCTCGCATCACGGCCTTGATTGCCTTCTCTGTGAATTTTTCAAAGATGCCAGCCACAATTCCAACAGAAGTCCTGCTCTTCCTCCTTCGTCCAAGGCGGGATATCCTGAGTGACTGTGCAGGCGTTGTGAAACTCTCGCTTACTCGGACGCGTGCCCACAATGAGCTAGGCAATTGGCTGCGTGCTTCGATTCGTGCCAAACTTCTGCTAAAAGCGTGTGAAGGTAGCACTGCAGCGTGGGCCGACAGGCCCGTGCTGCGCAGCTTTGTATTTAATACCATCAGGCTCACGTCAGCAAAAGAGTGATTGTGGAGGGCACGTCTTCCACTGTCCTTTGAGACTTCCTAGAAAGTTGTGATATTTAATTGAAGGACTATTCTAGATGTGCATCTCTACGGTTTCCACTCTTGCAGCGCAACTCCTCTTCCCTCTCGTCAGTTTTTTCGACACAAAGAAGGCGCGCTCGGAATGTTTCGCCGCCTTAGACAGAACACGCCTAATTTGGTCTTATTTGCCGCTGGCTTGGCCCAGCAAATGCAGCAATTCACAGAGAAATTCAATCACAGCAATATCATCTTTACTGACATCACCTCTCTTTTGCTGGCCTGAATTCCTGCCGCCACCAGTATGGAAGTCCAAGACAACCAAGGCAAGGAAAATTTGGCCATCCAGGTGAAGTGCTTTTGTCCCTGGGAATACACATTTGCATGAAATTTGGACGAAATACCACTGTTTTATGTTCTTGCAGTGTTTTTTAAGTGGCCGCTGGACTTGGGCATTGTGGATCAAACCTTTCCCTGCGTACACATGTATCATGGCAAAATTCAGAAGCCTCAGCTGATATCGCTGAATGGCTGCTGCAGACTCTGAACACGCGGCAAGGAAAACCGACGAAGTACAAGACCATCGAGCCGACACTGGTCAGCTTTTCTCGATCTTGCACCTCTCATAGCACACCCATTCAAGCGCAGCACTGATTGCCTCTTGAACCCTGCAGAGCTTCTCGTCAAGGGTGAAAAGCTCCTGGATTGATTCTTCAGAAAATAAAATATCTTGTGTGCGATCAGGCTGAGGACCTGAGCAAACACAACCCGTATCTCTATAGCGCAATTCCTGATCACTCCGAGCTGGATCTGCTGGGCGAGGACGATCTGATCAAAATTGCACTCATCAACAGAGAGGACATCTGGTGGGCATGATAACACGCTGCCTCTGCCTGTCATCCCTTGATGTCGATGCACAGAGCAGCAGACTGACACATCTTCCTTGCACAGGCTGTTTGTGGAAAGGGTGGAAGAGGACACTGACATCATCTATGCCAAGGTGACATGCGCTTCCAACTCCTCTTCTGTAACAGGATGATCAATGATGCCATTCTTACTGTCTCAGTCTGCTAGCCTATATAATCAAGTGGGTAAAACCCATGCGACCTCATTATATCTGAATACAAGGGCACTATTCGAGGGGCACTGTACAAGGAACTTGCCTGAATCAGGAAGAGGCAGGAGAGTGAATTAGCCAGAGATTGTGCAGCCATAGGTTGGAGCTGTGATCGAATCAAGAGATTCAGCCGAGGTGCAGAGTGCAGAAGTTGGTCTCAGTTGACTGTCTGGCCTGCAGGTAGCGCAGCGAGTAAAGAGGGCACATGAACTGCAGGTGATGATTGCTGAGGTCTCTCTTTGCATCTCTACGAGGAAGCACTGATACTTTGGGTCCAGTATCTGGTGGTCTAATTTACCATGCATTCTGTGTTGTATGCATTCCTTGCTCTTCTTGACTACACCATGGAATCTGCAGCTGCCTGATTGCACTCATGATGACCCTTGTGTTTTGTTGCAGGAGGGTCAGCGCGTGGCAGTGAAGAAGGAGCACGTGTGTGAGATCAAATACCATGATGCTCATGACGATTCTGACTAGCACTCCTGGCGCTCCCAGCATCAGTCACGAGTGTGCTTGTGGAAAGGTCATCTTTACTATACTTTACTATATTTCCTCAAAGGTACAAGTCGAATGCAATTTTGGTGACTATGGCGGCATCGGCGGTTACTCTGTGAGCACAAGGTCAGGATATTGCTAGGCCACACCAAATATACACGTTACTGGTGACCAGTATCGTGCCTTGATGACGTTGTGAGGGATCTGTCCGAAAGTAGCATAGCTGTGACTTGGAAGTGCAGGTCGCCAGATCTGCATAGGAAGAATGATGGCTCCGAATGTTACATGGAATGATGGTGCGTATTTTATGTGTGTATGCTATCATTTGATTGAGTTTTAGCTCTTTAGGCATCTGTTGTATTCATGCAGTCTAATATGAGGTGGGCAGTATGTGTATGTGGCGGAGTTTGAATATGAATGCTCTGTCAAAACATTCTCTAAAAGTGTGATGGCAGAGGCAGTGGTGGTAATTTACACAAAGTTCTGGCTCCCATTCCCTGAGGCCATATAGATGGGCCTAACTTTGGCCAATACCTGGATTCAGTAAACAGGCACTGATTTGGCATGCAATCGCGCAATTGAAAAGCATACACACAAGAAGCGCCTCGCGCCTTATAAAAGATTTCCTGACTCCTCAGTGCTCATCTCATTTCAGTTTGAGCACTTCCAAAAGAAGCTATGGCATGCATTTTCAAGCTAGGAAATCTTTGAATACCAAGCAATCATGGTCTCAGCGCGGCATAACACACTAGAGTAAATCTGAGGTAAGCACAATTTGTCGCTTTGAAGCAAATGACACGCCGCCAGTCACACAACAGCAGTAACGCAGCAGACGTCCAGGCAAAAAAGATTCAGCCAGATACACCCTCTGTGCTTAGTTCAAGTTCACTTCAGAGTTCACACACAGTCGGTTGTGAAGAAACAGCCTCCTGCCCAGCGCACATTCACAGCTGAGCATCCCTCTTATACTGTTCACATGAGGACTCCCGGTCAAAGTCCAGAGACGCATTGATATGCACACGGACGCTCACTGGCCGAGAGGCGGCCGCGCCGGCCCAGGGCCATTCGCACGCCACAGGCTGGGGTCCTGAGCCCATGCAGCCTTGGGGGCTTTGCAGGGGGACGGCGAGTCCACCAGCAGGCTGCCCCACAGCTCTGCCTCATCCGCCTCCGCTTCAGGCGCGGCAGCCGGCGCGACAGCGGCCGCGGCGGGGCCGACGGACACAGGGTCGATCAGGCCCTGCGGCGCCGCCTTGGGAGTGCCATTGGCCGGGGAAATATGGCCGTTGCTGAGGGCTGTTGTGGGGTCGAAGAGGCGCTGCTGCGCCTTGGGCCTCTGCAGCAGCGGTGGCGATGCATCCGCGAGCGGCCGGACGGCAGGCGGCTCGCTGCTCCGCTCAGCCTCAGTTGCTGCGCTGCTGGAAGGCTGCCCGCCTGCGTCTGCCTCGGCAGCACCGGCGTCTGCTGCCTTGGAGGGCAGAACATATGTATCTGCATCCACGGTAGGTGCTTGTGGAGGCTCCTCGCCGCCTGTGGTGGCCTGCTGGACGTTGCCGACAAGCGCGGCGCCGGCATCTGCGGCGAGCTGCGACTGCTCCTTGCTCTCCTCCAAGGCGGCGTTGCCGGGAGTGCCAGTTGCCTCCTCCCTCACGCTGCCTATCAGGGCCGCGCCGGCCTCCGCTGCAAGCTGGGACTGGTTGTCAGGACTCTTCTGCACTTCTTCCTCACCTGGTAGCGCAGGCGGTATGTCATGCGGTGCATCCGCATCTGCAGCCGCCTGTGCCGGCGCCTCGCTGTCTGCAGCGGTTGCAGCGTCTGTGGCTGGCTCGGCAGTTGGCACGGCTGAGCCTGTGTCAGCCTGCGAGGGGGCCGCAGCGCAGTCATCGACAGCCATAAGCACAGCATGGCCGTCTGCGCTGGTGTCCTCCTGAGACTCTGCATGCTTTGGCTGCTCCTCCTCCACAGCAGAGGCTTGCTCCGCCATGGCTGCCTCTGCTGCCGACGCCTCTGATGAGTCATGTAGGCCTTCCGCCTCGGTAGCGCTGGCTGGCTCCTGTACAGCTGGCTGCTCTGCGGCAGGTGACGGAGCGCTATCAGCCTGCGGCGATGGATCCACTGGGGCTGCTGCTGGCGCATCTGCTACATCTGGTTCCTTTGCGGGCCCAGCCGCTTCTGGCGCTGCGCCTTCGCTAGAAAACTGATGCTTGGCTGCCGCCGCGGCCACCGCTGCGGCAAAGAGGGCGTCTTGCTCTGCCTCCAGTGCAGCAGCCGACGCTGCACCGTCCAGACTGCTCTGCTCTGCTGGCTCCGACGCTGCCACTGTGGAGCCGCCAGCATGTTCTAACGCCGTAGCGGGTGCTGTGACCTCTTTTGCATCGCCGTTCGGCAGCTGCGCGCGCGCGCCGACTGATGCAGGAGCGACTGCAGCGGACTGCGGCAGCGGCGCAGCACTCGGGCCAGCTGAGTCGCTCACGGGCGGCCACGCGGGGGGCATCTGCGGTGCATAGCCGGGGGGCATGGCGCCCCAGAGGTTGGGGGTCATGGGGACCGATGGCGGCTGCGCCGGCCCGCTGGCAGCGCCGGCCGGCGTCAGCGGCCCCAGCTGCAGCGGAGCCACCTGTGGCAGCATCTGGGATCCTGGCGGGACCTGTCCAGCAACACCTGAACAAAGAAAAATCACCTGTTCGGATCTTGTACCTGAAAAGGACAGCAATATCCCCTACATAAAACACTTATCTTCACTACGTCACTTTACAGTGCAGCTGCGACATGATGAGGTATTGTAGCAGATGTGAGGTTCAAATTGATGCAACTTTAGTGAGATATATTCATGCACGACTTGCAGATGACAATGTGTACCGCAGAGAGGAGGGTGCCGCTCTGACCTGGGAGCCAGGGAGCCAGAGGAGGCACCAGGGCCGGTGCAGAGGCTGCCGCGGCGGCATTGGCAAAGGTGGCGAACATCTGGTGCAGGGATGCCATGGGCATGTGGGGCGAAGGCAGGCTGCCCCCGAGAGTCTTGTGGGCCTGCGCCAGCTGCGGGTTGCTCATCAGCAGCATCTGGTACATGGCCACCTGCAGCACAACCGCTACAACTCAGGTGTAAGCCCAACTTCACAGGGTCAGCTGAAGCCATGCCAAATGAGGCAATGCCAGAAGCTCTACTTCCCTCCCAGAGCTCTGTGAGCAACCCTTTCACATTGGACAGAAGGAACAAAATTTGGGGAAGGAAATCCGCACCTGGAGGGCGTTTTGGCCTGGCAGGCCGGGGGGCATGGACGGCAGGGGGAAGGGAGGCATGGCGAAGGGAGGGGCGTTGAAGGGCGCTGGCAGCTGCGGAGGGGCCCCAGCGTTCGCTGTCAGCTGCGCGGCAGCTGCCGGGTCTGGCACGGCCCAGCTCAGGGCAGCAGGCGCCAGCTGTGGCTGTAATGCAGGCCCGGCTGGAGGTGCCTCCTGCTCCTGAGAGTCGCGCTGGCAGCGCTTGAGCCACATCTTGTGCTTCGGCACATGCGCACCCTGCAAAAAGATAGCGAAAATATCAGTGCTGCAGCAAGCAAATGTCAGTCTTCAAAAATTAACTGACAAAATTCTCAAGAACCACACAGCAGAGCTCAATCAGCAAACCAATACCAAAGCAGTCTGTGGGCGTGCCTGAGCGGCCAAGGCATCCTCGTCGTCTTTGAGAGCCTCTGCAATCTCTTCCTCCGTGGCCCCTTCGGCCTGCATCATGGCAACCAGACAAAGGGCTCAGCACGACTGACCATTTCCAAACCACTTGAGGCTTAGACGTGGTGGAGATCACTGCATTTGTCAAAAAATAGACAGCAGCCACGAAAGCTTCAGTGCGCACCTGTTTCCTCTTGAGGCCGCGCCCGGCGGACGCAGCCCTGCTCTTCCTAACCGGCCTTGCAGGCGCGGCAGCTGCCGTACTCAACTCCCCATTAGCTGCAGGCGGTGGCACCACAAACGCAACAGCCAGTGCAGCCTCCTCCACTGCTGGTGGTTCTGCAGGAATCTGTGCCTCCACCTCAGGCTGCACTTGTGCTACCTCCATGGGCTGTGCCTCTTCCGCCGCGGCCTGGGGGATCTCAGGCTGCACCTGTGCCGCCGCCTTGGGCTGTGGCTCTTCCATCGCGGCCTGGGGAATCTCTGGTTCGGGGCCGGCGTTGAGGTCCAGGGGCTCGGGGCCCAGCAGGCCGCTCTGCGCGACCAGCGCGGCATGCAGCGGCGACATCTTCATTGGCGCGCTCTCGTCCAGCCACCTGTGCTTCACCGTCTGCAGGCGCAGCAACCAGCGATGTCAGTCTCCTTTATTCTCTCAAAGCCTTTTTGAAGAAGAAGGAAGTCTGACCCTCCGGCGAGTCAAATGAATGCATGAAGAGGTCGTAAAGTGCTTTTGCAACCGGGGCAAAATGGGGGTCTCGAGCATTTGCTAAGCTGGACATGCATTCCTGTGGACCCCCAGGCTTCAGATGACCTCCAGGTGAGGCATCCTCTTATTTGTCATGCAAAGCAGGAATGGCACATGCATGTGCATGTGCATGCGGAATCATCAAAGCAGGAATGACACACACATACGCATGTGTGGGATAATCGAGGATGGTGCACTGACGTTGCCAGGCATAAGGCGAGCGGCGATGGCATGAACACAGGTTTGGCGCGCACCTTGAGGCAGACGCGCTCGACGTCGTTGTCGTCGTAGAGGATGGTGTGCTTGCCGCTGGTTGTGGAGTAGGCGGTGACGGTGCCGCGGTAGAAGACGCTGTCCCCGTCCCAGAACACCTCCACGCGCTTGCCAAAGTCCTTGAAGCGCTCCGGCTGCGTGTCCATCGTGCCCCGGCAGTTTGGCGCCCCGCACATGCACCTGCGCCGCGACGCCCCGTGTCTTTAGTCCTCTTATCTCTCCTAGAGGAACAATACCTCTTCTCCTAGATGCCAGGGCTGGCCCTTGCTTTTATCCTGCTTAAAACTGACAGCAGTGGGGCATCCCTCAAAGCACCAGTAGAAACTGCTGCTCCTGCATCCACGCAACAACAAGTTGGCCAGCCCGTCCCATGACAAATGGTAAAGCACTGGCCTGAATGAGCAAGCCAGCAGCAGCCGTCATGACACCTTAAATGACAGCAGAGGGCATGACAAAAACCACAGGAACCTTGAATAGCACAGAAAAGGTGCTCCAGGAGAAGAAGAGAGAGTTGCTTCAAGAGCACAGGGCAGGAACCGGAATGTGGCATGGGGCTCACCTGTAGGCACCAGCATCCTGGGCCAGGCCAGCATGCTGGAATTGGTAGTCATAAGCCAGCTCAGTGCCGGGCTCAATGTCGTCAGCAGCGAAGATCCCGATGCGGATCTCGCCCGTCGCGGCGTCATGCCATTTCTGCGACTCGCAGTTGGGCGCGCAGGATGAATTGATGAATCTCGCCATGTTGCCCCTGCACCCAGCAGATGCATTTCGGCGTCCCACAATGCGCAGATCACCAACTGCCAAAGAAGCTTACCTTGCCAACATGCAAGCATGGATATCACACTGGCCTCTGCCTACTTGCTGCATGCAAGACAGGAGGTAGGCAGATGCACGCACTTGACACGCGCATCGATGATGAGGCCAGGAGCCAACTCCATCATGTAGAAGTGCTGCAGGCCAGTCACCTTGGCCTGTGCCATCCTCCGCCGGCACTCATGCTCCTCTATGACCTCGCCTGCAGCACACCGATCGTATCAACATTTGCACAATCATCAGTAGTTAGTAGTAGTAGTAGTAGTGGTAGTAGTAGTAGTAGTAGTACATTACGCTTTCATTGCCAAGAGGCAAGGTGCGTCCTGCAGACAAGCTGCAGTTGCACATACTCATTGGAAAGTACAGTATGCCCCATGACACCCTTGCATGCATGCACGTCTTCAGTGTGAAAGCTAGCTGGTCAGGCAGTGGTCACCTGCATACTCTACGATGAAGGTACCCCTGGGTATGTGCTCTGTCGCCTTGACACCCCAGCCCCGGTCCTCTGTCAAGAACAGCTCCGTCTTGGGCTGGGGCAGCAGATGGAACGGCCTGCACAAGACAGATGCGCTCAGCCTTGGCTGCCAAGCATCTCACTGTCAATCCGGTCAACAGAACCCCCAGCAGAGTATGATTGTGACAGGGAAAGTATGACAGACCTGTTGCTGCAGTAGTCGCCGCAGGGGCACTGCTTGGGATCGCAGTGGATGTACGAGAGCCTGTTCAGGCAGTTCTCCCCACACCCAGTGCGCTCGGGCATGGCCGCCTTGGCTGCGTTCGCCACGGCTGCCGGCGGCACGAGCATGGCTGACGGCCTCGGCACCGCTATCGGCGCATGCGCCTCTGCGGCAAGCGCCTCCTCGGCCCCGGCCAGCGCTGCAACGCCGTTGGCCAACGGCTGCAGCGCTCGGAAAGTCATGGGTGCATCCGCGTCCCCAGAGGCGGGCGCATCCGCATGCTCATCTGCGTCTCCATGCGGCGCCGTTGCGAGCTCTGCTGGCGGTGTGCTGCCGGGCACGCCGGCATCAGCAGGCGCGGGGGCTGCGTCGCCGGGCTGATGCTGGAGAGGCAATACAGCGGGTGGAGCGGCTGAGGAGCTGGGCGGAAGCTGCGGGGCGGCTGCTGCCGGTGGCCGCGGCGGCGGCGTGCAACCGCACACCGGGATGTCGTCCTTTGGCAGCCGCTTCGGCCGCGAACGGGACGTCCACAGATTGCGCCGTACCTGCGACAAGACTTATCAACTCAGATACAGCCCTGCCTGGCCGAACCAAAACTCCTTTCTCTGGAGCCTGGAATCCAGATGCGCTCAAGTGCTATTACATGGCATGAAACATACAGAAACACAGATAAGCCAGGGTCATATTGCAGGGCTATTCTGAGCTTGTGTTTTCATATTACGTTATTGAGGAATGGGTGAGGGCAATAAAGAAAGGTGTCCGTGTTTTCATATTACGTTATTGAGGAATGGGTGAGGGCAATAAAGAAAGGTGTCCAACCGCTTCATAGTGCGGTGGCTTGGGCGCTGAGAAGTCCGGCCGCCTGCCTGCCGAGGGCTTCCGCTTGGGGGCAGCTGCCAGGTCTGCCTCGCCCTCATCTCCCAGCAGCTCCTTGAGATCATCCTCGTCAGCTCCATCAATCCTCTTCACCGGCCGCTGGACGCGCTTGACCACTTTGCTGTTGGTGTGCACTCCCAGGCCATTCCCAGCCCTGCAATGGACAGAAGTTTCATGACAGAGTGGTTTGCTGGATATTAACATTGGAACACTGCAGGTTCCCGGCACAGGTTACGGAAAGAAGGAGGTGGAAGTCTTCATGGAGGCATTGCTGGCACGCACTTGCTGGCCCCCTTTGCGCCCTTGGTGGCGCCTGCCTTTGCCGCCTGTGTGTGGTTGGCAGCTGCACCTATCTCGAGGACCGTCTCTTTTGATTTGGGCTTGGGGGGATTAATGGCTTTCTTCCACCAGCCTTCTGGTGCCTTGCGCCGCTGCGGTCCAGGAGCCAGGAACAAGTGCACCTGCAAGAGCAAATAAGGAGGATCACTTCTCTGCCGACGCAGTGCTGTCAATGACAAAGTCATCTTCAAGCAGTAATTACAAAACCCCCAGCTGACAAGGCGACAGAAAAACACACAGAGAAGCACTTTGGCTTGCAAAGCAACAAATCGGAATGCACTCAATGGACCAACAGGAGAGGATGTGTTCAGGACGGAACAAACCTCTTCCACAGATTTGAGGAACTTCCTGCGAGCCTTGTTCTTCTTCAGAAAGTTGGCCTCGACACCCTCTGCCCAAGACACCACCTCAGCGGGTGCCATCCAAGCTATCTCGAGGGTGCCAAAGAACATGACCGGCAGGGAAAGGGGGCTCGGCCGAAAGACATGCTCCATCCTCACAGCCGCCTCCTTTTCTGTCATGATCTGGGCCTGTGGCAGGGCGGGCTTCCCTCAGATATTGACCAATATCACTGTCCCTTTCAACTGAACACAGAGTTACTGTGCGTTTCCATTGCTGCTAAGTAGGATGTGAAGTGTCTGTCGCATACAGTCTGGACAAGTTTCTCACCGGCCAGTGAGGGAAGCCTTTCACTCGCGCCCATACAACCCGCTGAGAGTCCGCAGCTTTGATGAAGTCTGCACCACCAATGGCCACTTCCAGAGGCTGGTCTGCAGGTCCAGCTCCAGCCTGCTCTGGTGCATCTGCCGTGTCACCCTCTTGATCGACCTGAGCTGCTTTCTCATGGTCACTGGTGTGCTGCTCAGCACCTTCCTTCTTTGACTGTTGAGCTGCCTCTGCTGCTGCGTCCGCCTGTTCAACAGCATAATGTGATAAGAGGAGAATTGACAGCCTCATGTGACTTTACCGGTGCTTCCAAGATTATCTTATCGTCCTGTACGTTGGGTGACATCCTTGATACAGAGGATTGACAAGAAGCAAACAGGGGAGAGATGTCCACCTTTTCAACTTCTAAAATCGAAACTTGTCCTGTAGCAGGGTTGTCTGTGGCCGTCACCATCTGCTCATCGTCTGGTTCTGCAGGCGTAGCCAACTCTGCTGCATCCGTGTTGGAGACAGGCCTACAGGAAACAAGGTCTTTGTAAAAATTGGTAGAGCTTGCGTTTGTGCAGCGCACACATGCAGTCAGGTGCATAAAAAAATGCAGTCTACGCATTCTGGACGTGTGAGGCTAAAATGGATGGTCTTGTTCTCGTCTTGACGTCAGCTCGACGGTTCTGCAAAGGAGCCCCTTTTCCTGCTGCCTTGGTGCTCTTTCTTGAAGAATGAAAAGAGAACATCCTGAGTGAGGAATCAGAGGTAGAGCAGGAAAGCACATGCATGTCAGGTTGGCAGATAGTGATGTACCTGACAGCATCAGTTCCTTCCGCCCCTGAAGCTACAGGATCCCCTTCTTCAGCACCCATCAAACCACCTTGACGGAGAGATGCTTTGCAGGCACCATAAGTGTACCGATTTGATTGTCTTTCTTCACCACGCAAGGACAGCCCTGGACAGCTTTTAAGATGCTTCAGGTAATAAGCAACGGTCGCGATGGCGGATCCGTCACCGTACTTCGATGCCAGCAAGACAGTAGAACACTCTCAGCAGAGTCTTCAGCGCAGCTGACGGGCACGACAGGTTGTCTTCAACAACTTCATGCAGGTTTCAAAGCAAAGCAGCGGGAGGCAACGCCTCACAACAAAACCTCAACGGTGACATCAATGATGACACTTCAAGAGCATTCTGCTTTTGGGATTCAGGAAACAATTGACGATGTTCATGCTGAACAGATTGGCACAATGCAGTCTTTCAGCACTCTGCTGTGGATTTGTGGTCACGGCAGTCACTGCGCAGTAGAAATGCCAGACTGCATGCGTACAATTATTTCTTTTTCGAGTGCAAAGTCAACCACTCGGCATGTGGCCAGAGGTTGCAGACATGTAGGACAGGTTCAGCGCCACACTACTTCTTCGCATGCAGCCTATTACAACTCGTGGCTCGAAGTGCCTGTCAATAGGCCAATTGCACAACAAGCCGAGCTTCCTAGAAAGCGGCACCAACATGTGCACCCCACTCAGATCCAGACAGGCAGAATGCCCCAGAGCCAGACGTTCACTTTAGTCTTCTCAACATTGACCCTGTTCAGTGCTGTTCAACACCAGATTGCATCAATCAATGGCGGTCCAAATTTTCAACCTTCGATCACTCATTGTTGCAGCAACCAAAACAGCCCTCCCAGAATATAAATCTCGGCAAGGACCTGTTGCCGCTGGCCCGCTTGCACTTCCGAAGAGGGAGAGGGCAGCTCCTGACCAGCGATGCAGTCTCAGGCGTGATCAGCAGCACTGCGCCACACATAGATGTGCGCAGAAGCGGCTGGCTTGTCCTGGAGACATCACAGTGGGTAGATCTAGAGGGTGGGCACGCGGTCCTCTGCGCCGATGATGGTGAGCAGGTTGTAGCCGAATGGGTCGGCCACGTGCTTGCTCCAGTTGGCGTACGGGCCCTCGCCCGTCACGTAGCTCTGCACGGCAAAGCCCTGCGCAAACAGTGTTCCCTTCATTAGCGCCTTGCACAGATCCAACATGCCCCGTATTCTTTCACTCGGCTTCCCTTTAGCATGACATGGAGTGAAACTTTGGCCTTTTCTTTCTAGCAACAGGCTACAGGGCTGCAGGAAAGCCAGGGTGCAGGCTTCCACCGCATGATTGGATGTGATTATTCAAAGGGTGGAACAAGTGAAGTGCTTCCTGGATTCCTGGAAGGGAGAGGAGAGTGGTACCAGGACTGAGATGAGGGCGAGGCGGCCGTTCTTGATCTCCTTGACCTTGAGCTCAGCGAAGGTCTCTGGGTCGTCAGCCAGACCCAGGGGGTCGAAGGGACCGCCTGCACTCCAGTAACACAAATCAGAAAGCCCCCCAGCACAGGATATAAAGGACTGAGCACATGCAGGTGACTGCCAGCATACAGCAGAGAAGACCTCAGTGCCTCCAAGCATGAGCCTTCAGGTGAACATCAAGGATATTTCATATGCACTTTTCAGGTTGAACTTTACGCAATTGATTGAACGCTACTGCAAGGCTGAATATAAGGACAGCATGCCCGGGCCATGGAGCCGAATGGTCAAATTCATGAGCTTCGCCCGTGCAAGTATTCGCTGGTTTATCTAAATAGCTGCTGATCTCTATGAAGAAACCTTCTGAGATGTGTTGGCATACATTGTGCCCGATTCAACGCTAAGGCCACTTTTTGCTGAGACACTTGAGCCAACAATGTCTTCAATGATCAAGCTGAGAAGCTGTTGATAGAAGCGATACGATATCGGGCTGCTATAGAATTGTCGCAGCCCCATTAAGAATGTGCTCTGCAAGAGGGAGGACGGATGGTGCACGCACCGGGGTAGAGGTTGTCGAGGCCGCTGAATATGGAGGAGTCGAACTTGCCGACGCCGGGGGAGTAGCCCGGGGGGCCCTCGCCGGACTGCCTGTAGCGCTCCACAGCTCCCAGCAGTGCCACCTCAATGACCACCACCAGGAAAAGGGGCAGGGGGTTGTTGATGATGCCCCAGGGGACCGCAAAGTAGTTCAGCGTGCCGCCGTTCAGCATCTCCGCGCCCGTCTCGAACCAGGTCCCGCCCTTGATCGCTGCGCCGTTGGCCTGCAGCAGTAGGGAATGGAGCAGTCAGGCGCATGCCTCACACCATTTTGATCATCACCAGCACAGATGGCACACAAGCGCATGCCTCACACACTTCGAGCGAAACACCAGATGACCATTCGAGCGCCAAGTGTCAAACACCGTTTGGGGGTGCATGCACTGCATGGTTGACCTCATGCGGATCTCCGCGTGCAGTGTGTGATGTTGCATGCTGCAGGGAGTACCAAATGCACTGTTTACATCTCAGGGACATGCAGTGGAGCGCAGTTGGAGGCGCAGGAGGTGCAGACAAAGGAGGATCTGTGGGGGATGGCAGGCTAGCGCACCTGGAGGCCCTCGGGGATGATGATGCCGGCAGCGGCCAGCATAGCCCACCTGGCGTGGATGAGCTCGTATGCGCGGTACTTCTCCACGGTGGCGGTGTCCTTGCCCAGACCCAGAGGGTCATAGCCGTAGCTGCACCAGCATGAGCTGTCAGTGGGTGAATTACATCCTACAGCCAAATGGATGCAGGAATGCAGGGGTCGAAAGCCAAGTTATAATGCAAGATTATCCAAAACCAATAAAGTCGCTGCAGAAAAGCATCCCATGCCACCACATCGATCTGGAGAATACACTGATCTCAGAAGCTAAGCTCTAAGACATAAAAATCATGAACCAGTACTATGCATGATTAGGGATCAGGCGGAGGGGACTCACTCTCCAGCCAGGGTACCGTTCAGGTAGGTGGGCACATCAGATGGGTCGAGAAGGCCGCCCGGGAGGAACAGGGCGCGTGAAGGGCCTGCACGCCGGACGAGTGATGTAATTCACCATTTTATTAATAAAATTATTGCAAAGAGGTGCTTGACGGATCGTGAGACAACTCACCGTACCACTTGTCGAGGCCCTGGGCACCTCCTGCCTCGCCGAACCATCCCTTGGTGCGCTTGCCACTGGCTGCCTTCTTCACCTGCTTGGTAGCCTTGCTCGCGGTCTTGCTGGCAGTCTTTTGAACCTTGGCGACCTTCTTCTCGACCTTCTTCTCGACCTTCTTCGCGGTCTTCTTGTTGAAAAAGGCCTGAACCTGCACCCTCTCTGCGCCCTTGGTCTGGCTGATCTCCGTGCGCTTCAGGGTAGCACCCAGAAACTCGCTGCGCAGGGCGTTCGCCATCTTGACAGGAGGTGCAGAACACTAATGTGGTGCAGAGACCGATTGAAAGACAACAAGGAGCAGCACCTCAGCTGGGATAAGATGATGATACGATTCTAGGGTTATCGACCCTGAGGTTCGCAAGAATAGGGGTCGACCCTCCAACAAACGTTCATGCTGGTGGAAGCTGTGGAAGCTGTGTGCATGCTGCAGATGCTGCAATAATAATAATCATCACGAGTGGCGAACCCAGAGCCCAGAGGGCCATAGGGCATACACAGGTCCCAAGTATTGCAGTGCAATGCCAAGATGAAATGCTTAAATACGAGGGGTACAGCATCAAGCAATTGCTTGTAAGTCCTGCATGGAATACTATTAGTATCCGATTAAGCTCATGAGCAGTACACGGACACCGAGTGACTTAGTCAACAACAAATTTCACAATGTCAGCAATTTGAAGCCTCTGAGAGCTCCAAGTCAACCTCACAACAGGGCAGCTTGCAGAGTTCTGTACAATTATGCAACGGCAACTCAGGCAGCCAATGAAGGGCGTCTGTTTTAAATATTAGGTCACAAGCGAAATTCATTTATTGCCTTGCAACTCAGCAACAGAAGCCACAAGCTTAATTGGATCATCGAGTTGCTTTGAATGGTAATGAGCAGGCCATGCACGCTGTGCTGACAGTCGTGGAGTAGCAGGACATCGCCCATTTATATACACATCCAGATGCTTCTGCAGCAGGGCAGCTCTTGAGTCAGGCACCAAGCTGTGCATTGGCAGCGCCACTTGCAGCTGACCTTACTCGCGAAGCCCCCAGGGTTGCACAGACTTGGCGCCTACAGGCATGTACCAGCCAACAGGGCAGCCTTGAAAGGAGCCTCATCAGGAGGCGAGCAGTTTGGGGCGGGCCGTAATGCTGATGTTGCCGTAGGGCGCGGGCTGCTCCATGTCAACATAGTTGCGAGTTTTGAGCACGAGCAGCTCAAAGAACCAGCGGCAGGCGTCCAGGCGGCTGTGCCCGTCCACCAGATCATCCAGCATGACCTGCCCACCGGTGGCCGCCGCCGCGCCGCTCGCCAGCCGCCTCTTCTTCTTCCCTGCCGCTCCCGACAGCTCCGCCTGGGCACAGTGAAGATACACTCACCACAGGTTCATGTGGTCCTGATCTGCACCCAGACTCGGCTCTGTTGCCAGCAATGCCATAGCAGGTGATCATTGATGCCTGACATACTGTCAGAGAGCCTTGTAGCAAGACGTTGAAGCTGCGAAAAATGGAGTGTTCAGGGCTGCAGCTTGAAGAGGGTGCGCACCTTGAGGCGAGCAGCTACATGCTGGGTGCGGGCGGTGAAGGACGTCTTGTCGATATCGGGCTCATCCTCGCCCCCTTCCAAGTCGCCAAGGGTGTCCAGGCTGTCCAAGCTGGCCTTCCCAATTGTGCTGGGAGAGTTGCCGAAGCCCTGGTCCCCATCCATGGTCAACCTGGCAAAAAATAGAACCCCCATTTTCTTAAGTCTCGTCTTTTTCAAGTCTTTGAGAACGTTTGTTTCATGTCCATGTAGCGACTCACATCTCCGCTGGGAATGAAGGCAGCCAACAAATTCGTAAGAGAACCGCTCCATTACTGTGTGTAGGAAATTAAAAAAAGCGTCAATAAGTGGGCGTGAGAAGAGTTGAAGCGCACCTGCGAGAAGCGCGGGATGGAGAGGTGGCCTGCTGCAGAGCGTCATCATGCTCCGGCATGACATCTGCGCCCATTGCTGCATCGTATCCCCTTTCCTCCTCAAAGTGCATTGGCTCCTCATCTGATAGGCACAAGAGAGTTCAGTTGTGCGTTACCATGCCTGCAGCCTTTTACCCGCCCACATGGCGATCATGTTGCAGAAAAATTCAGGTGATTCCCTTTACAAATGCACGATTCGTGGAATGCAACTGGCAGCTGCAGCATACCCATTGGCGGTTGATGAAAGTCAGCAGGCGCTGCATCTCCCATTGGGCTCTGAGGCGGCGCGTCGGCAGCTTCTTCCGCCGCGGCAGCTTCCTGGGCCGGGGCAGCTTCCTCTACATCTTTCTGCACGCCAGCGCGCCTCCGCCGCCGCGCACGGCCAACGCCGGCCTCGGTCGCGCCGGTGGCAAAACGGCGCGAGTATACCTCGTACAGCGGGCGAGCCATGGCCATGGACAGCGCTGGCCGCAGCAGGGCATTCTCCGCACCCTCCTCATTGTACTGAGCCTGCAAGAACAATCACTCTTGGATCAGCCAGACAGCCTTATAATGTCTACCATCAGCGCTTCACACCAGTAAAGCATCACACCTCCTTGTTCGCATTAGTTGCGCTTATAGAGTGCATGCTATTGGCCTAAGCCTCGCAGTCCATATAGAGCGCACTGTGGAGCCTACCACATGGAAGGTGTCGTGAGCGACGGGAAGAGGCTGCTCCGCCAGGGCGCGCCGCGGCCGCAGCAGCGGAGCGCGGTTGACCAGCAGCGCGCGAATGGCCGGCCCGTCCAGCTGGGTAGCCGGCTGTGCAGAGGCGTTGATGTCCAGCTGCGCCCTACGCTTCTTCTCCCTCTGGCCGCCGCCAGCCGCCCGCTGTGGCGCAGGGACCGGGGTCTCCGCAGCACCTCCCAGGTCAGGGCTGCAGCACAGCAGCGGCTTTACTTAGGGAGAAATTTGTTGACCAGGCGGGATAATTTAAGAAGAACATGAAAGAGGAGCCAAGCGCAAGGGTGAGAGGGCTCACATGAAGTCATCCTCGGGCACTGGTAGCATGTCCAGCTCTGCCAGACCATCGTTCATGTGTTCAGGAGTAGGAGGCTGGTCGTTGAAGTCCTGCATGGCAGACAACACTAGTGCAATTAATCATTGTGGGCCGCCAGAGGAGTGCGCTGCGTGATCATAGCATGATAAACCGGAGGACTAGGTTTCAGCATACCTCTCTGGAAGGCGGGGCTGCATCAAAGTCCGGCATGGTTGCCATGTTGTCAAACATGCCGTCAGGGGGTGGCTCCATGCGCTCGTCAGCATTCGCATCATAGCTGCCAGGGGTCTCGTCCCCGGCAAAGCCCGCTGCATCCGCGGCAGGCATCTCTCTCCGCAACAACTCTGGCTCGTCCAGGGAGAGGGACATGTGGCGCTCCATCTCATCTCCAGACACCTCGAAGCGTTCCTCTGCACCAGACAAAATAAGTGAAGTCACAATTGGAACCATATTTCCATTACAGTAATAAGTAGGAGTTGAGCAGCTTTATCAAGATGGAGTGCAAGAGGCCAGACCAATACCTCCATCTAGGGATGTCTGTGAACCCAACAGCATGGAGATATCGTCCGCAAGGAGAAAAGATTCACGCTTGCCCAGCGTAAATGATGAGGAACGATCCGAATCGATAGAGTATGACCTGCAAGCAGACAGGGGGCATCAACCACTTCTGGCAGCATATTGAAAAGATATGGAGCAGTAACAGCATGCATGCTTTGCTGCAAGTGCCATGTGTAGTGCCAGTGCTTACTCATCGTTGAAGGAATCTCCCAGAAACTCAATGTCATTGTAGTTGTCTGGCAGCGTGATGGCGTTGTGAGGCGCCACAATGCCATCATTCGGCAAGTCTACATCACCAGGCTTGAATGCCTGCACAATACCAAAGAAAGGGTTAGATTGTGACAATATGGGCAGCAACCACTGGATGCTTCCAGTACATGGTAAGGAAGTGAACAGACTTCACTTTGTCAGTTGCAAGGTAGCAGCAGCTGTGAGAGCTTACCAGTTTGATCTTGACGAGAGCATCATTGCAGTCCTGGAAAAGGTAGCCAACCTTCTTCTGGTGCACTTTGACCACACCAAGAAGTAGCTGTCCCGACAGGCGCAGTGCTAAAGGGGCCTCAGGATTGATGATGGAGTCTGCGGTTAACCACAATATAAGGCACAAGGGCATTCCAATATTCAAGAAAAGTGTTCCCCAACATTATTAAGACACATTCAGCGAGTCTTCTGTTGAATCTCAAAGTATCAGAAATGACTCCAACAGTCGTAACATCCTCAAATGAGTTGTTGTTACATACCTACTGTCACCGCGATGTTTGTATCGAAGACTTGATTGCGCTTCAATCTCCGGTCAAGATGGGAAGCAATCCAAATGGTTCCCAAAGGCCCCTTCTTGGCCAGAATCTGTGTCGAGTAAAACATCTTCCGAAAGAATGTCAATCACTCAAACAGTTGTAAAGGTTCCGAAAATACCGCTGTGTCCAGCGCGTCTTGTCCGTTACAGCATGCATTTAAGTCATGCTTCCTCAATGTGTCTACGTGAAAGAACGGCTCCGTTTGCATTGCAATTTGGAACGCATGCCGTGCTGTGCTTCGCCTCCAATACACCAAACACCCTGCTGCAGGTACAAACTCGCGAATGATGGACAAGTCCTGGCCTGTATCGATACGTAAGCACATTTGCTTTGTCTTGATGAGAAGGATCGTAACTGTCTCTTCTTCTGTGGGGAAGTTCTAGGAAGGGTTATAGCCTAAAGCCTTGAATCAGGATCACCACCTTGATGTCAATGAGATGAGGGTAACTGTACCATTCTGAAAGAAGAGGTCCTTCAGCAAGATAGAAACTGCATCTTAGGGAGTACTCGCATCCTGTCTCGCTAAGAAAGGTAGGTAACTTATCATATGACGACAGCGATGGACTTGGAAGGGCCCTTAAGGTATGCAATTCACGGCCACTTACAATTATCACTAACCTTCTTGGACAATCAATTGGTTCACTGCGTCATCGCGAATGGTAGTAAGCACTGAAAGGAGCAAGCAGTGAAAAGCCTTTCTCATGTGCAGGCAAGCTGTAGCCCTTGATGACATGATGTTGGGAACAAGCGATGATGATGGAAGCGTTCGATTGCAACGAGCAACTGCAACTTACATCAACAAGGTGGATCCTCAGTGATGGAAGACGCTGCTGGTCACACTGCCAACTGCCAATGTTTATAGAACTACGTCAGTCCACTTACACCAGTGATTTGACAAATGTTCACAGGATGAGAGATTCAGGATCGAGAAGCGAACTTACGACAATCAATACGCCCAGCTGTACTACTGCCGCTTGCTGAAAATGGCACCCAGGCTGAAGCAACGAGTGGAACAGCAGTGGCCAGGAGTTCCAGGTGGGCACCTGTCCGGAGAGTAGTCTTCATAGTGTCTTTCCTGAAAGGTGGAACAGTCATGCGAACAATCCTCTATCCAATCTTATCATGAACTTGTTTATGTGCCTCGCAGTCACCAAAATCCTGGACTTGCCTGAGAACCAAGAGGTTGCTGTCCTTGGGACGCTCTACAAGGAAATGAAGCTGAAGCCTTCAATCCTAAACGAATACAACAAGGTGCCTCTTGTTCTATACCTCCTCAATCATGTGGAATTTGGTCCCTACCTGTGCAGCCACCGTTATGCTCTGCAGGTCTCCTGTGAAATGTTTAAAGTTTAGAGTGGTAAATCTGAAATCCTCACAGCTCAAATCACCTTTCATCAACTGAATGTGGTGCAGGAGCGGGGGATAGAGACGCTGACAGGGCATACAGGCTTTGTCAGCGATGATGACAGCTTGGTGTTGGAGGATGAGAGCGCACGCATGGCGCTGCGTGGCATCGATGCCGGCCCGCTCGTCACCGGCGTGATTGCCGCCGTGCGCGGTGTCTCAGCGGCCAACGGCGAGTTCCATGTCAAGGTGCGCAGCTTGTCCCTCCTGCAGGGGCCCTGAATTTGATGCATGAGCGTAGGAGACATTGTGGTCCAAACTATAGTCCAAGCACTAGTTGACGACACTGCTGCAACCGCGTTACAGCTTGTATAGTCAAGGTTTGCGTCTTTGCCAGTAGAACAACTTTCTCCTTCTTGGCGACTCTTGAAGTTGCTGCGGTGGGAGAACTGTGTTCACTGATTGCACCAACGGCACCCCTGCATGGCCGACGTACGCGATGTGAATACATGCGCAATGGAGGAAGAGCTGCGATCGCAAGGCGTAGTGTGCGGCGCAGGACATGCTGTTCATAGGGCCGCAGCCGCAGCAGCCGCTGCCCGAGGCGACCGGCGACAAGTATGTGGCGCTTGTCAGCGGCCTGAGCGTGGGGGGCGAGGCCGGGGAGCCTGCGCGCGTGGCGCTCCTTGTGGACTACCTCGCCGGCCTCCTGGGTGGCCTTCCAGAGCAGGAGCAGGTCGCGAAGGTGTGCTCATCTTTATTACTGAAGTGCTTGAACACGATTGCTTTCGAGAGTCCTTGTACTTCACGCATGTTGTACGCGCTTGATGGGCCCTGGACGAGTGACTTCATTCTGGTGTGGCTTTGCTTGCCTTCCAACATGGCGTCTATTGAGGCGTTTGCTTCTCGTTGCTGCGTTGCCAACCAAGAGGCATGGGATGAGTGACACCCATCTACGTTGCTTGCTGGCCAAAGGAATGTGTCCTTTTCACATTTTTCCAGAGGAAGTTTTCTTTCAAACTGGTCCAGTCGTGTGGTTGCAGGTGGTGCGGACTGTGATAGCAGGCGGCCTGCTGCAGAGCATGGAGGCCCTGGTGCAGGCTGCTCCCCAGGCCAAGCAGCGCCAGCAGACAGCCGCCCTTGTCCCCATCAAGTAAGCCCACATCCCAGCAACATGTCAACGCTACATTAGCTCGTCCAGTGAGCCCTTCCTTGGCAGCTCTGCAGATGCGTGGGTGTGCAGTGAGCGGCAAGAGTATCAATTTCAACAAGAACGAGAAATATCTTGCTTAGGCATTAGCAGGCATTGTGCTTGCCTAATCCCAGCTGAGAGAACACAGCTGGTTATACCTATTTACAAGTCTGCATAAGCCATGCACAACAGGCTGGTAGTGACTGTCAGCAGGCATGCTTGCTGCTCTACGGTCGCACCCCTGAGGTGTGTCTGCTCAGTTGTCCAGCTTAACAATTACCAAGCCTAATAGAAGAGTTCTTCCTTGGCGTGTCTGCAGACGTGTGGGTGTGCAAAAGCGGGGGGTGAGAGAATGGTGACTGTGCAGGGACATGGACATGTGCTTGACACAGCTGGTAGGCGCCATGGATGTGGATGTGATGGCTGGGGCTACGGACCCTGCCAACCATGCCCTGCCTCAACAGGCGCTCCATCCCTGCCTGCTGCCGGGCGCCGTCACCTTCCCCACCCTGCACAGGCAAGCTCTGCTGTGCTTCTCAAACTGAATCACCCATCTCTTAATTAAGCGGCCATCTTCAGACGTCTGGACAAACAGCTCCCATCAAGTCCTGTAGAAACAGTAGTGCATAGCTGACTTGCGGATGAAAGATCCCGCAGATGTTGCAGTACCACTCGCCTGCCTCTCATACTTCAATCTTGTGCATACACCTGCACCGCCAGTTTGGGTGGATCTGGTCTGGGTAGCCGCAGAGCTGAGCAGTGGGCTTGTGCAGGCCTCTCCTTCGATGGAAGTTTTACAGCCAATCTGGTCCGCTCTGATCTGTGGGGCTGCGCAGCTCAAGGTGCTGCTGGGGTGCAGGGTGACGAACCCGCACGAGTTTGAGGTGGACGGAGTGACATTCCTGGGCACGAGCGGGCAGAACCTGGAGGATATAGACCGCTACTCCACAGAGACTGAGCGGCTGCCTGTATTGGAGCGCCTGCTGGAGTGGGGCCATCTGGTGCCCACAGCCCCTGACACCCTAACAGCCTATTCCTTCCCCGACCGCGACCCCTTTGTTATTGACGCCGCGCCCCACGTGCTCTTCGCCGGCAACCAGCCCGCCTTCGCCACCCGCCTCGTTGAAGGTGCGTGCATTTTTCGGTGCTTGAAAACACAGCTTTACCCAGTTGTTAGTCAACCCCTACCCTTGTCCAGCAAGCACTGCACTGTTGCAGCGGGCAAAGCTTTTCACGACCTGTTTTGCTGATGTCGACATCAGATCGGGCTTCCGTGAGGGTGAAAGTGTATCTAAACGGCAGCGCAGGGGACCATCATTGTCCAAATAACATGCCGTTCTGAATTACCGTCTCACCCGTTGCTTTACGTCAGGGCCTTATTGGCAGGAGGTCAGACCTGCATGCGATGGCTTTAATGTTGGGGAGGTACATCTGTGGTATTCTGAGTAGCAGGGTAATTTGGGGTGGGTCAGCATGAAAGAGGCATTGTGTGATGGATTCAGGGTTGGAGGGACAGAAGACACGCGTGGTGTGCATTCCCAAGTTCTCCAGCAGTGGCACGCTGGTGCTAGTCAATCTGAGGACTCTCAAGGTGCAGCCGATCACCTTTGACACCCGCATGGACGTCTGATGGGTCAGCGGAGCTGCCAATAAGGAATAGACATGGAAGGGCAGAATGAAATGCAATGCAGAAGGCAGAAGGCAGAAAAGAAAGGCAGGGAGATGAAATTGAAAGGATATGTGACCTATTGCAAACAAATCTGCTGCACCTGTGGATGTGAGGCTCAGACACACATCTTCAATTGTAAGTTTGCCGAATACTTGTAACTTCCAGATCGTTATTATGACGTTCGTGAACTAGAGTTCTCCCAGCTCTGCAGATCGAATTCATATGATGCATGATGCATGCATGATCAGTCCTAGCTTCCTTATGCACCATGGCGACACGCATGCGCCATTCTTTAGTGAATCAATGGAATTTCTGCAATAAAACTCACGAAAGACCTTCGTCAGGAAACCTTGAGGAATTGAAAGTACTACCAATGTTTATCTTCAGATGAGCTTCTCTGGTTGAGACCACGCAGCTGCCCAGGATCCGAATTTCCTGGTGGAATCTTTCAAAATGGAATCTGAGCATCACAGGCACCTGATGCCTCTGTTTTGGGAGAGTGCTAGCAGATCGCCTACTTCGATACAGCCATCGGACAGTTGAAAGCAAAAGCATCGTGGCCAGCCGGTGATTCGACGGCAACACGGGAGCAAAACCATGCGGGTGCAACCATCCAGTGTGCAAGATCCTGTATCTTTTGGAGTGTGGCGAGCGCAAAGGATTTCCTGGCAGGGTCAGATTGAGCAAAATCGATCATTTATTTGATTTTGCAACATGCTTTCAGCGTCGCTTCCCTGGTCACCCGACGCTCAGTATGGCCTTGATAAAGGTGGACACTCGTTCGCTTCTTATTTTCCCAGCCATAAGAATTCTGGTATCTTTCCTGCTCCCATGGCCAACCCCGCATTTTTGTCTGATGCATCCCCAGAGGATTCGAGAAATCAAATTACCTGGACGATTGGATGTGGTGCAGAAGAGATCCAGATTGGGCAAATGAGGGAGGAATGTGCCAACGAAGCAGCTTGGCTCAAAGAACGATGCAGTCAAGTCATCAGGATGATCATGAGAAAGTTCTGTCGTCAAAAGGATGCACCGCCTGCTCACAACCGTTGCCCACTTCTCATCGAAATGCCCCGAATTTTCCAAGAAATATCCACTGTTGTAACCACTGCCAGCTGCTAATCTGGGAGTTGGCCACCTGCAGAGTTGCTGGGTGATTCAAGTGGTAGCCTGTAAGAAACAGCTCTCCCAGCAGATGTGAAGGAGTTCCTCGTGCGCGCATTCCGCCACGCTCTCCAGAAGAGGGCTTTCAGGAAACTGGAGGCTTGCGAAGAAGTGCTGGAGGATAACTCACAGGATGTAGGTTTGACCTCTTACCCCCATGCCCTGCGAATGACATTCTGTTACACCTGCGAGGCAGCCCTTCCTCCCTTCCTTGGCGCTCACTCTATCTTGATGTCGGCGTTCTCTAGTAGCTTGATTAGATTCCGTCGTATTGAGGATCTGCCTGCTTAGAGTGATGCAGACATATTTGTGTAAAACATGCCACTGGCAGAAGCGCTGAACTCTGAGAGCTGCAGCTGCATGGATGTGCAGGACAGCGCTGGAGGCTCCGCTTCATTCTATAAATGATCTCTACTGCAGTGTTCAGCTGAACACCAAACAGGCGCTGAGTTCCGCTAAAGTTCTCTGCAGCAGGCATGGGCTGCAATGCTTGCATAAGGATGCCTATTAGAACATAATAGGAGGCACTTGTGTACTGTGCTACTGGCATGTACGTGTGAGAGGGCTCGCGGGGAAAATTTGCGGTGCTTTTCACTCGTTGTCTAGACAGATCTGTGCCTTCAAGTTGAACGGGAAGTGCAACTTTTTAAAAAGGCTTTAAGATGGGAACAATGCCAGAGATTCTGGGATGATGAGCAATCCATTAAACAGTAATAGGCAGAACATGGCACACTCCTACAATCGCCCTAAGATGCGGTTACTCCCCTGTGCTATAATGCAGCCCTGCATGATCATACTCTTTTCTTGGACAAGTCGACATCACTGATCATTGATGTCATCCCCCTCACCCTGCTCATGCATCTTGAACCTCATCACCTCAGCTTGCGAGGAACACGTAGAAGCCGTAGCTCATCACGTCGTGCAGTCTTTGCAGAGAGAATTGTGAAAATATTGGAAGCTATAGAGATCTTGCACCAGTACTAGAGTCGAGATTGGTCGCCAGCTGTAGCCTCAATGGAGCGATGGATCCGATTGCATATGCAACCTTAGTCTCCTCTGTCGTCCAGCAGCTACGAGATGCCTCTCGAAGTCCCGGGCCTAGATGCCTGAAGGACCCAGATTTGCTGAGAACAATCGCCAATAGAGCACGATGCGCAATGTCAACAGATCCCACAAGACAGGTGCTTGCTTACGCTGCGCAGCAGTGTAGTCCCAACTTCACCGAGCTAGTGTTCGACAATGCGTCGTTAATCCTTGAAAGTGGCACTGCAAGCTTTGATAACCACAAAGATATCACCATTTCACAGCAAAAACAAATCTTAATAATATGTGGGCCTGATGGGCAGGGTCAAGAACTTCTTGAAGGACCCTTCACGTTGCCACTTACAAGCCATTTCAAGGCCTTGAATGGTGCGGAACTTTGATCATTGCAGTCATGCAGCAGTATATTACCCCAACACACTCTTGATGTAAAAGTCTCGTCCTGCTCCAGAGTTGTTTGCATTTAAGATGAGAACTCGCGTTATTACAAAGCGCAGACATGATCGGAGAGGAGGCCGGTGCAGGCAGTGGTGAGCTTGAGGGAATGCCAAAAGGCATTCACAAGCCTGGCAGTGTTTACTGTGGAGCAGCTGAGTCTGAACCAGTCCTTGCCAGACTCCAGAAAGACCTCCACGAAAATGGTGGGTGCAGTGCAGCCAAACTGACACCCTTGCAAAATTTTCCAGGTTCATGATCGCGTTCAAGCAATGTTGATGTGACAGGTGCTGCCAACTTTTCAGTGGATGGCTGGCAAATGATTGCAACACCAAAACCTGGCCGTGAATCAGGCAGAAACTTCTCGTACATTCCACCCCAGGTGAACATGAATGCTGCATGCATACTCGTGAACCAACTGTGCTGAGCAGGCGGGTTACGTGCTAAATCGGCGGCTTGAGATCTTAGAATTGGTCAGAAGCGTTTCCACTTCATTCCTGTGCAGGAGTGGGCCGCCGAGCACGGTGTACGCGAAGGCGCAGACCTGACCAGAGTCCAGATCAAGGATATCCTGGGGCTGATACCTCCTCGTCAGAGCAGAGCCCGACTGCCTTCAGACTTGGTTGCAGCAGACCAACTTGGCGAGGTCAGTGTGCTTGGAACTTGAGTTCTGCAGCTGGGTCCTGCACAACAGAGAGATCAGTGCACACTCCATTTTGAATCGGCAGTGCAGAGCCCAGCTGACGGGCGGTGTAAATGCTGAGCACCGTGCCCACGATTGACTGGGTCTTGCTTGGATCCGTCCAGCCCATCAAAGGATAGGTTTATGGCTTCTTTTACTTGCAGCTTATCTACAGATGCACCTTGGCTGCTGGCAAAAACAGCGTATAACATGACAAAGTGCGCAGCAAGGATCCACAAGGCAGCAACACATGCTATTTTGCAGGTGAAGCGCCGGAAGGAGCTTCCAGAAAGGGCTGCCATGAAGAGGGTAGCAGGACACAGACATGCAGATGTGGAGGCCGCCGAAGCAGCAGTTACCAAACTGAAGGATGACACAAGTGCCCAGCAGAAATCTTCAGAGGAGATGCAGGATGTGCAGCAGCTGCTCGGCAGCTACCGAGAAAAGTTTGCTGGCTTTGAGGACGCAGGGCTGAAGGATGCAAAAGCAAAGCGCGAGCTCAAAGCAAAGCTGCAGGAAACCGAGACGAAGCTGCAGGAAATTGAGAGGAAGCTGCAGGACGGCGAGGGGCAGCTGCAGGAAGGTGAGAGGCAGCTGGAAGAGGAGAGGGCAAAGGCTGCTGTGCTGCAAATGAAGTTGGATGAGGCTGAGGCAGCTTCAGCCAGCTTCCAACCCCTGTCAGACGATAAGATAATGCTGGCAGCCATCGAGCTGATGCACAAGTCCCCGGCCCAGAGGCAGCGTCTGATGGAGATCGGCGGTGCATTCTCCAATTGAGGGCTCACAAGAAAAACATGATGCTGCTGCAATGACGGGCAATTGATTGCCTTGGAAAGACATACTTACTGTAGTTTATGGGGCTTGACGCTGCACCCCTCTGTTGGCCTGGCCACGAAATGCGAGGCGCAATCAAACGATTGCAGCCTATTTATGCTGCCCAGAATTGGACTTGCAAGCGTGTGAGAATTTATGTCAATGAATGCCATGGCCCAATGCTAATTTGCCTTGACTTCATTATACAGCATCATGTCTGGATTCTAGGTTCATGAACGGTGATGATGGAATCTTGACTGACGCTAGTGCTGCTATTTTGGCTTATCCTCAATATTTGGTGGGTTACCTGATAAGGTGATATTGTTTTGATCAGTGCCTAGAATGGCGTGTGCTGCTGCTGCGGCATCTATTTGTGAGTATTGCTGAAACGGAAGCGCTGAGAGCGCCAGTGACCCTTAAACGTTGCAGGATGTAAGCATAGAAATACGGTATGTGGAGCATTAGTGGTACAGTATTCGTTTCCAAATGGAATTGATCATGGCATTGGTGAGAGCTCTGTCATGCCTCTTCCCCATGGGGATTTTCTTGGACACATCGATTTTTACCCCTCAAGCTTCTCATGCATCTCGAACCTCATCACCCCAGCAGAGGCTCATTGTGGATATCCAGCAGTCCTGTTCGACAGGACAACTCCAGACAGGTTCATGGGAATACAGAAGCACCTGCAATGTATCAGAGCTGAGGCTGAATGCGAGCTAGAGCCTGCACACAGAACATTAGTGTCCGTCTTCTTTCTGCCGAAGCCAAGCTCAAGTCCTCTTCGGGGCTTCCTCATCTAAAGGAGCCTGTACACAGTTGCAATTGCAGGAACCATCGGCGACAAACTTCGGAGCGCAGCAATGACAGACCCACCAAGACAGGTGCTGGGCGCAGCAATCAATTTAAATTTACTACCAGCAGTCTTGATCGACAGTGCTTCAGCGTCACCCTTTCACCAATTGTTTCTCCCAAAATATACCTACTGAAAAATATGTGGGCCTGATGCGCAGGTTAAAAAGGGACCCTTCACTGTGCCTCTCGCTAGGAAGGCCAAGGCCCTGACTGGTGCGCTGGACAGTGTATTAAATTTTTTGCTTCTGCAGCATATGTACCACAGAACTACTTGACTGTCATGGGCTCATCCTGTAACACTACAGTGTTGGTACCACCAGTGCATCAGAGCAGAGACATGCATGTTTGTGTGCAGATGCGATTGGAGCGGAGGCATACGCAGGCCTTGACGCAATGCCTCAAGACATTCCAATGCAAGCGGCAAATGCTCAAAACGTCACAAGCGGCCTTGACTCAGCCCTTGCCAGACTCGGGAACCACCTGCACGCAAACGGTGGGTCTTATCCTGCCCTTCTTCTGAGCATTACATGCCTGCCCATGTGCTCTGCATGTGGTCTGTACAAGCAAATTCACTTCAGGAAAATCTGCAGCACTTTGGCAGGTGCCCCCAACTTCTCCATGGACGGCTGGCAAGCCATCGCAACACCAGTAGTGAGCCGCAATAAAGACTATGCTTTCACATACCTTCCACCCCAGGTGAGCCTTCTCATTGGATGCAAGTACCCCAATATCTTCTTACCTTTGCATGCATTTCAATTGCCGGAGTCTGTGCTTGGCTTTGCTTGTCTGCCTTGCATCCTCTCCTGGTTCTGATCAGCACAGTAGCTTATGATGGGCTGAAAGAACGGAGCTATGTAGAACACTCTGGGTGTTAGAAGAATCTCTCAAGTGCATAATTTTGTCTGTGCAGGAGTGGGCCACGGAGCACAGTGTGCGCGCAGGCGCAGACCTGACCAGAATCCAGATCAAGGAGTGCCTGAAGCTGGTGCCGCCTCCCCACCAGCGGAAAAGCCAGCAAAGACGCCAAAGTTTCCTCCGAAGTCCTCTGGAAGACCCAGGCCTTCTCAGCAAGGTCAGTTGGCCTGTGGCTGCGCATTTCATATCATTAATGTTATCACACCATTTTCCTGCCAAAAGGCAAGGCACGTCCTGCAGACAGCTTGAAGCTGCAGTTTAAGGCTGCCACAAACAAATCCCTCTCGCCAGATCCAAGCAAGACCCGATCAACCGTGGGCACGGTGCTCAGTATTTATACCGGCCCCCGCCAGCCGGAGCACTTAATATTGAGTCCTGTATTATGAAGGTGTCTCTACAAAGAAACTGTAGGGTGCATTCCCTTCTGAGCTGTCTTGCATGCTGTGTGGTCAGGTGAAGCGCAAGAGGAAACTTCCAGAAAGGGCCGCCAAGAAGAGTGCAGCAGCAGCAGCAGCAGTGGACCATGCAGATGCGCAGGCGGGCGATGAGCAAGCAGAGATTCCCAAAGAATGTGCTGCAAGGAAGCAGGCATCTACAGAGGAGATGCAGGATCTGCAGCAGCTGCCCGGAAGATACCGAGACGGGCTTGCTGGCCTTGAGAATGCAGGCATGAAGCATGCTGCAGCGACGGAGAAGCTGAAGGCGAAGGTGCAGGTAGCCGAGGGGAGGCTGCAGAAAGCGGAACGGCAGCTGAAGGAGCAGAGGGCAAGGGCTGCTGCGCTGCAAGTGGCGCAAAATGATGCTCAGGCAGCTTCATCTAAGTCCCAGCCCCTGTCAGAGGACAAGATCGTGCTGGCAGCCATCGAGCTGATGCACAAGTCACCGGCCCACAGGCAGCGGCTGCTGAAGATTGGCGGTGCATTCTCCAAGTGAGGACTGATAAGGCCACACGAGACCACATGTGGCTGCAATAACGGGCAGCAAATCAAGTAAGTTTGGCAGATATCCAAGTGCTGTCGGAAAATGATAATAACAGCTCCTTATGAAGCTTGGGGCTGCAGCCCCCTGGTGGCCTGCAGTGCAAAACTCCAGCGAGTGCAGCATATGCGATGGTGGTCATATTTTGGACTTGCAAGTATGCATGTGCTTACATCACCGACTGCCAGGGCCCGGTATTAACATGCTAAGTTGCTTTCATATGGTATCGCATGTTGAATGCTGATCTCAACGCTGATGATGGACTTGTGACTGGCGGCGTGTTCAATTGATCTTACCATTTGTGTAAATACATGAAAAGTGTGCATGCATGATTGCACTATTGTTGGTATTAATGTAATGATGCTGACCTTGTGACCCATCTAGTGCTTGCATGCTTGTGAGCTCTTTGATGACTTCTCTCTTCCTTGGACGCTGCCCTGAACGCCATTACATCAGAGTGCTTTCACGGAGCTGGAAAAGAGAATTTGTGCTTGTCGAGAAACCTTGAGTGCTTTTATCAGCGTAAATTGCCTTGATATGACTACCGATCGATAGAAAGGGACAAGAGAGCTTCAAGGAAATCTTGACTCCAAGAGGAAGTCTCGCCGACAGCCAGACGAGCAGCAGCGCAGGGTGAGTCACAGAGTACATATCGCTTAAGCAGGTCAGTGGCAACCATATGCTACACTATCGTCATGTTTGGAAGAGAAAGCTGAGAAGCAGAGAAGTCGTCCGGATCGATAATACCTGATGTCAACACGTAGGTTCTGTCCTTCTCATCCGGGCACTCATGATTAGCTAAGGCCCGACCTGCTTGTCATGTGTGCACACTCAATGACAAAAGTTCTGTTGTCTTGCACCTCTGACAAATTTCCTCTCCAATAGGTAAGCACAGATTGCATCTCCTTGCTTTGCATAATCCATCAGAATGCCGGCCAGGATAGACAATGAATTGATTCCAAGCAACGCTGTATTGAACAGGGGCCATCTAATGGAATTCACCTTTGGGCAACGCCAGTCAGGAGCACAGACTAGACGCTTTCCTTCCGCTGCTCATCAAGTCCAGGTGTGCCTTCTGACCTTTGTCTCGGCATTCTGCCTTGAAATTAACATGCAGCCATGGTGAGAGATTTTGATGCGGGCGCACAGGCATGCAGAAACAGCACCGCCCGTGTCACTCCTGCCGCAGCACTATATGGACTCTGCATGGCACCAATTACAGTCGGTAAAGCACCCACAGGCCTAGGCGCCGCAGAAAGGTGGATCACAACAGAAGCCGGCACAGATAACCAAGGGGTACTGGCCCACAGCCCAAGAGAGCTGTGCTTTCCAAAAATGATCAAGCGGTCCATGGAATGGCCATCAAAAGCATGCCCCAGCAGAAGAGCTTGGAGCCGGGTCTTGGGATTGAATCGTCCCCCATGGCCGCACACCAGCAGGCACCTTATAAGCATCAGCTCAGGACAAAAGGTGCGCACCATCTCACAAGTCTTATATCTGCTCAGAAAAGCTATTGCCTCCGATGCAAGTGCTAGGCTTTCAGCTTCTGCATGCTATATGTAATTGCCTGTGGTCTTGAGTTGTGACAGGGCGCTAGAAGGCACGGACGCAGTTTTTTCTACTCGTGCTGCTTTGAGTTTATGTTTATTTTTGTTTTACTGGATGTCATGGAAATTGCACCCAATTCATTTGTCTCAGCCATTGCTTCTCTCTCCGAAGTGCAGGTAGCCGACAGGATGCCTTTGGACCATCCAAGGAAATTTTTGAGGGCCTAGACAAGCTGCGCAAAGCAGCATCGGCTGCTTGACCCCCGCAAAAGGGTGAACACAGGGCAATGCCAAGGGAGGTCCTTAAATTGACGCCGGCCTTTGCATGGACAGTCATGCGCGAGACACAAAACGAGGCCAAACTCAGGGCCATTGCAGACAGTTCAATGCCCTTCAAGAGGCCCTTTACAACCAAGGCAAACTTCCTGGCTCGCATCAAATATGAATGGGAACGAGAGAGCAGTCATTGGCACTTGAGCAAAGCGCAAGCGCAACTGATCTGACAAATCTGCAAGGTGAGACATGTACCTAGATGCCAAGTTGTCGACAACCGCACATCAAGATTGATTACTCTGCAGCGTGATGCTCAACCCAGGCTTTGCTGTGCAGGTCTTGCAGAGGGGTCAAGCGTCGCCCTGACTGGCTCCCCCTGTCAGGTATCAAGTCCTCCATGACAGTGTTTATGATGGAGTTGCAGATTGTGACTGAATTCCTTCTTCATAGATCATGCTTCTCATGAGGGCACTGTATTCCTGACCTGCACAGCCTGCATGCACAGGCTGGAACGTTGGGCCATGGCGCCGCAATTGGACACGTGTCAGCAAAAATTTGCAGCTGGAGGCAACACCTGGCATGCCAAGCGGAGCCACATCAGCACTACAGAAGCAGCTCAAAATAAGACAGGCAGCACTGACACAGAGAAGAAGGCCATCAAGAAGGCACTGCAATTTGCCGAGGCAGCCACAGCGTGGCAAAGGCAGAGAGTGCAGCAAGAGGCACTCAAGGCTTTAGCCGCACCTCACATCACAGACATCCCATCAGGAGACCTTCTGCCGTCCATCACAGAGGCGCGGCTGCCCTCCTTGTCAGGGCAGGAGCAGCAGCAGGAGGAGCAGAAGGGCGCTGATGCAGGTGTGGAGCTGCAGTAACTGCGTTCTGCATATCGGGACAGGATTGCATGTGCTAGAGACGCAACTGCCAGAAAGACCGCAGCTATGAGGGATGAGCTGAGCGCTCAGCATGCAGCGGCAGAGCGAGAGTGGGCACAGGAGAAACAGGACCTGCAGAAGCTGCTGAATGAGCAAACAGAGAAGACCCGTGAGCTGCAATCAGCGCTGCAAGATGTGCAGGAAACCGGCAAAGAGCTAGCGCAGCAGAGAGCGCGGGCCGACAATCTCCAGGCTGCACTGGAGAGGGCTCAAGCAGCTGCAGTGCAGGCATCGGCATTGCATCAGCCAGCAGTTGCAGCCCATGCAGTGCTTTCAGATCTGCACACGGTGCTGAGTGCTTTCAGCATCCGCCAAAGGTCTCCGTGGTTCAAGCAGTTGCTGCGGTCTGCTTTGAGAGAGAGAGACATTACTATGCGAACATGTGAGGCTGCGAGCAGCTAGGGGTAGTTAAAGAACAAAGTTTGTTCTCTTAATACCCCTAGAGCAGCATGGTGCAATGATGAGAAGAAGCACTGGCTTGAAATTTCTGAGATTGTGGAGATCCACAAGGCAGAAAGATGTCTGACATCTTTTGCAGGAGTTTTCGTGGCGTGTAGTCACAGCACTGATATACAATAAGGGTTTTTGTGTCTTTGCGCACATGCATGGCGTACTGATCCGCAAGATATGACTTCCAGCTGTTGGTGAGCATGAAAACATAGTGAGAGTAGTTCATGCACGTTGCTGCCCACAGTGTGCGGCCATGCCTGATTGCCGCTGCGGCAGCAAGTCATCTTCACCTCGTGGTGACAAAAGAGAACAAATTGCAACGAGCCTGTTCTTTAAAAGGTACGCTGCAACAATGCCAGTATATAATGGTGAGTTGAGCTGGTCATGTCTGTTCTTTTTGATACATTTTTTCGGTGAGTCTTACAAATCTCGTGGATTACAAAATTGAATTCATGATGGACTCCACAACATGAGGTAATGACGTATTTCGAATCTTAACCAATGATCAGGTCGGTGCGACCGCTTTTGCATCCAATTAAGAGAACACTGGTGAGCAAACAACAATATTAGCTTGTGGACTGTGGCCGTCCAAGGGCTCGAAGGGGCTCTATATATCTGATCAGGACTTTGGGACTTCAGACTCTGCATTCCGTCTGTACGACTGTCAAAGCGCGTGTTTAGTACGGAGATTGTCTATTCTGCCATTCGAAATAATTTAAGAATTTTAAGTCAGACAGCCAATAGATGCACTGTTCGTCCTCCTGCCCAGGTGCTCAAGATTCAGATCTTCCTAGGGCTTACAACGTATGCTTAACTTATACCTCAAACTCAGCGCAGTAACATCATGGCAGATCTGTGTATTATATGTGGTAAATATTTTTCCAGTTCACCAGAGCTCGTGACGTCTTCGAATCTATATGCACTTCCTTGTTCCATCGAACGATTTGATAATCCCTTTCAGCTGCATGCTGACTCGTGATGTTTTCCTGGACATCAGGCCTTCATCTAGCTGAAGACATGCTTAAGCTTAGAAAGGACGGCAGGCCTGACTTGCGCACTGCCAGGGTTGGGGACCTTGACCATGCACTGGAACGCCTACAGAAGGGAGTACAAGCGGCAGGTAAGGCTCTGCATTTCTAGAGCCTCATTTAGGCCAATTCTGTCTTCCAATCTAGGTCCAACTGCAGCACCAAGGAGACAGCAACATGTGCAGCATTGCTTGTAGGTGGAGAGGGCTTCAGTTCCCACGGCTGGCAAGCAGACACGGTAATCTATGGGTCTCAGCGGCTCTACAGATATCTGCCTCCAGATGTGAGCCTCTATTCTTGCCTGGAATGGTTGCAAAATGCAATGCATAACACCTAAAGCACATATCTTGAGCATGCTTTCTAGCTGTGTCAAATTGAATCTGGCCCTCCTATTGCCCTGAAGCCTCTGCAATTTCTGGCAACTCAGGACTGGGCTGCCAAACATGGCGTGAAAGCTGGCAAGAAACTGCTGCGAAAAGATATCTTCAAGCGGCTGGGTCTGGTGGCTGCAAAGTCAAAGAAGAGCCAGAAGCTCAAGCGGCCCATTGGCAGACCCAGGGGCAGCGCAAAAGCTAGCTCAATCAGTGCTGCAAATTCCTGTGAGGATGTTGACAGGACCAGCAATGGCGCTGATGGTGAGCAAAGCACAGAGCCGCCACAAGAGCTATGTAATGGAAAGGAGCAGCAGCTAGAGGGCTATGACCAGCTTCCCAGCGGGACAGCCCAGCTTGGACCGCCGTCACCAATTGCAAGGTCCCGCCAGCAATCTCAGATCGCTGTGCCGGAGGAAGGGTTCCCATGGCTTCAACAGCCCGCCACAGAAGAAGGTTTGTGCTTTTGGACAGAACTGCATGCATGCATGCCAATGGTGCTTTGCTGCAAACCTGCATGACAGCAGTGTTGGCACCGGTGGTTCAATGACAACAGCATGCAAGTGGATTTTGTCGTAGTCCTTTGTTTTACAACACACAGATATGCGGTCATGAAGCTCTGCTGAGCTGCTTGGCCTGAGAAAAGGGGCATGCGTTGCCAGGAAGTAGTGCAGATGTCTTCAAGATAGGGGCATGGCGGGCTTTGCATTTCTGACCGGGCATCGAATCAGGCATGCAAGTCCTGCATGAGGGTTGCCGCTGCAATAAGAAGAGTGATTGACCGTTGCTTATTATGCTCCTCTTTCATGGGTTTGTCCCGAAGCAGGTATTCTCGAGTGCTGGTGGTTTTATAGCGTGGGTGTGAGGCATGGTGGGTAGTATCTGTGAGAGCAGAGCTGGGTTGGTATTTTTCTATTCCCACTTGCTTGAGCTGTTGTGTTAAATAGGCCTATTTCTTTGGCAGGTGAGGGAGAATTTTGCCTCGGCCGTCAGGCATCCACAGTAGAACACGACCGGGCCCTTGCGCGCCTGCAGAGAAGGATTTATAATTCAGGCAAGAGCTCACTGCCCTGACCGACTGAGGCACTTGTCTGGCAGGATGAAGTAACATGGCATTGCAGGATGGTCAGTTGATGAGTGCGCACTGTCCTGACTGAATGCAACAATCGGGCAGGATGAGGAAACATGGGTTTGCAGTATGATCAGCTGATGTGGGTGCTGATTTTTGAAATGGCATGTTGCTGCAGGAGGCGGGGGTTTTCCTGTGGATGGTTGGAAGGCAGTGGGTACACCTCGGCCTGGGCAACCTGAGAAGCTCAACTACCTGTACAAACCCCCTCAGGTGATTTTTCATCCCATTAAACTGACGTCTCCCATGGTCCAGCTATGTGCCATTTCAAATTGAGGCCCTCATCAGCACCTTTGCTTCGCAGAACCGAGGCAATGCATTACTTAATTGATCAGCCACAACGGACTGCGTGTATGCAATGTGGTCTATCGCGCTCTTGGGCCGGAGGTGTCTTGTGTGTTGAACGCATTGCATGAAAACTGCAATGCAGACCTTTCTGCTTACATTGGTGCTCGCACTGCCTTGTGTGTCTTGCATTCACTCTGGACTTACTGTACTGAAAAAACTCGACTGAAAAAAAGTTCATTTAAAAAAAAAAGAAAGGAAGAATCTCATTCATACTATTGGTGGGCTGCGTTGCGCAGGATTGGCACGTGGCCAAGGTGGACCGTCCCCTGAGAATGGTGGAGATCGAGCGCCTGCTAGGTCTCAAGTGCACCTTCAAGCCCGCGTGGAGACACCCTGCCAAGAAGCGCATCAACTTCAATGAGGCCAGCACAGCAGCACAGAGCTATGCCACTGCCAGTGATGCAGATGCAGATGCTGATGGCCATGCTTCTGAGCAGCCATCCAAGAGGCCCAGGCAGCCTGACAGCAGCGAAAAACCCCCAGAGGAGCCCGCCATGGAGCCTGCACTAGCATGTGAAGCAGAGCCGCCGGTCATGGACAGTGCAGCTGCATGCGCATCACCCAGCACTGAGTTGGAAGAGGGAGTTGAAGCAGCGGGCACTCCAGAGATGCCAACAGAATCCTTGCCAGGGGCGCTGCAGCCACAGCAGGAGGAGCAGCCACAGCAAGAGGATGCAGATGACGTGTGTACCATGTTTGTCACTGTGAGCAAAGAGCTCAGCCAGCAGCGTGCAGCGGCTGAGAGGGACTGGACACGCAGGCTGAAGGGCCTGCAGGAGCAGCTCAAGGAGCAGGCAGAGAGTGCAGACGGGCTGCAGTCGGCACTGCAGGATGCGCGCGCGGCAGAGGGACAGTGGGATTTGGAGAAACAGGACCTGCAGTCTCAGCTGCAGGGGGCTCAGGCAGAGTGCAGCAGGCTGACTGTGCTGGCAGAAAGAGCTGGCGAGGTGCATGAAGCGGCAGAGGGGCAGTGGAATCGGGACAGGGAAGTTCTTCAGAAGCAGCTGAGGGAGGCAACAGAGAGGGGTGATGCACTGCAGTCAGCGCTGCAGGAGGCTCAGGCAGCTGCAGGCAATGGGGAGATGTGTGACCTGCACATCATGCTGAGGGCCATCAAGATCATCAACGAGTCCCCATCCCTCAAGGGGGATTTCCTGTCCGCTCTGAACCTGTAAGGTGCCAACTGCAACGACAGAGGTGTGCGGACATGAGTATCTTGGGTTTGGCGTAATTGCTCTTTAGTTCTTGCAGCAGGCGGCGCCTGCAGGCCATGAAGGCCGTTCTGATGTGCGCATCATGCTGAGGGTTGGCGGCATCTTCAACGAGTCTTCATCCCTCAAGGAGGATCTGCTGTCTGCAAGTGGCCAGTGAATGTGCACGTTGAGAACTATGTAGCTATTGTAACGTGTGCACAGGAATCTTCCCTTTTATCGTTACAGCTATCTAGGGAAGCCCGCTCAACGTCTGGTGAAAAGGTCCAAATGGAGGGTGGAGCCTGCTTCAATACAAAGAGGTTTAGACTGCAGTCACTATGACTTTCAGTCTGTACAAACAATTTGGTAGGTTGAGACATCTGCAGATTCCCATATATTTCTGTCGCCAAGCTGCACAGAGAATCTTTTGAATCTATGGCGTGGCATATTATAACACAATTTTCCTGCCAGAAGCAAGGTGCGCCTGCAGACAGGCTGCCAAAATCCTACTCCTTGATGGACACTTGGCATACTAGTGTGCGGGGAACGACCTACAAATTGAGGCACTGCTGCATTGCTTTAGCAGTTTGTTGCCAACGTTGGTCGCTGTGCAAATGTCAAAGTACTCCCAACTTTACTTGAAGACTATGTGTAATTTGGTATACTGATATTGTTGAAGCGGCCCGAATCTAAATTCATGAGTTGTTCACGGACCGGCCCGGGCCGGACCCCATACCCCCATTCAAATCACATGCGCATGAGCATGCGCACATGCATGCATGTTATGCAATATTGACTACGATTGGGTAAGCATCAATCATTGCTGGTGGTAATGAGTATACTACGTAGGTCAATGCAATGCCATAATCATGGGAACAACGGATCTGGTGGTACGAACCTTGTTGCGTCGATTCAAAGCCATCAAACATTGCGCCTGCAGGGAAAGGACCCAGAAGAGAATTCAGGTCTGTGGACACTCATCTCGGTACCCTTGTTTGAGGCTCGGCTTTTGCAGTTTCGCGGAGATGGCCTTATGACACCGTTCTGGGCCATCTCAGTCAATGCATGGGCTTTGTTACTGCTGCCTTTCGCTGGTGAAGTCAGATTCAATTGCAATAATTCGCGAATGTTTGTACGCAGACAGCTTACAACTACATATTCTGAAGTTGACGAACGGACGCTGGACTGCTGCGGGACAGTAGGAAGGTCCCGAGGCGCAGGTATGCTGTTCTGCGACCTTCCATTGGGTTATGTAGACGTCTCCTTTAGTCAATGTTTTCCATTGTTGCGAGGCGCCTCTCAAAAACCAAGTGTGCGCTCCTTGAGCAGGGAGTGAGGTGCAACCTGCCAAGGGAGAATATAAATAGGGATACGATGAGATTGCGGCACACAACAATGTCTGGACTTTCCAATATTGTAGATTGGGTGGACCCTCCTTCGAAATTGGGTTGCAGAAACAGATCAGCAGAGAGACGGCGGTACAGAAAGGACTGTACAGAGCAGCATACAGAAGAGGACTCTCTGGAGGAAACTGGGGAGGAGGAGGAAGAAACTGTAAGCCAGTTGCCTAGAGGGAAATCTGAAACGGGTCAAACTGTCACTGTCCAAAGGCGCACAGGGGCTGATCTTGGCTGTGAGCACGCTCCACCAGATGTTGATTCTGCCCTTAAGAACTTGCAGAAAGATCTCATTGCATCAGGTGAGCGGGAGAGCATGCATGTTCAGGATCTTGTGAGTTCGTGCAGATGATCAAAACTTTACTCAAAGATATTGTCTATGCTCTCCATTCATCTGAAATAAGCTGCTTGTGCCAGGCGCCCCTGACTTCTCAGTGAAGGGATGGAAAGCAGTTGCAACCCGGAGGAAGAGTCTTCAGAGAGAGGTGTACAATTATATGTACACTCCCCCCAAGGTAATGCGCAATGCAGTGTATGCATGGGGACCTGTCAGCAGTTGCATGTGCTTTGGCATGCATGGACAGCACATGTCAGAGCAGTGACGAAGCAGACATGTGCTTTATATTCTTGTCTGATCTGCATGGTTGCACTTGCAGGATTGGGCCATTGAGCATAATCTGCCCCCAGACAAAAAGCCACTGACCAGGATTCAGATCAAGGAGCTCCTGCAGCTTGTGCCTACTTACAAGGAGCGTAAGAGGATCCGGATGGCAGCACAGAGCAGCAGCACAGGAGACAAGATACAGGAGTCCTTGGAAGCAGTTCAGAATGAAGGGGCAACCAGCAAAATGAGATCAGAGCAGCAGACGGTGCCTGCAAGTGCTGCACCTATCGGCAGGGCAAAACTGCAGAGAGCCGCAAAACAAACAGCGGCAGAGCGCATCCGCAAACATGCTCAGGGAGGCGGACCAATTGTGATTGCAAACAATGTGCATCTGGCGCAGCAGACAGCTGGGCAGTGTGTGAGTGATGCGCAGCAGCCGTCCAGGGAGATGCAGGATCTGCGAACATTGCTCAGCGAGTACCGTGACAAGGTAGCTGCTTTGGAGGACGCAGCACTTGAGCACTCGGCAGCAAAGGACGAGCTGGAAGCAAAGCTGCGCGACGTTCAGGAGAAGCAGCAAGCGCTGGTGGCCAAGGCGATACAGAAGGCACAAAAGGAGGGGCAAAGAGGCTCGGAGAAGCTGCAGAAACGGCTGGAAGAGCAGGCAGCAAGGGCAGATGCGCTAGAATTGGCGCTGGTGGAAGCTCAAGCATCCTCAGCTGCAGTGGGAGCCCTGTCAGACGACACCCTTCTGGTGCATGCTTTGGATCTCATGAAGAAGTCCCCAGCCCACAGGCAGCGTCTGCTAGATATCGGTCAGCTGCTTTGCAAGGACTAACTGGCATGCATGTGTGCCTCAAATGAGGGTGGGTGATCAGGCCGTCGCAAGCCGCTGCGCAAGAGGACCCATGAATGGACATTGAAAGTGTCAGACGGCACCCAGAATTGTTTATTTGGTGATTGCATGGTATGCGCAGCACGGACAGGCGACGCTGTGTCTGTATTTGTGAAGATGTCTGTCAGTCAAGTAGTAAGTTTTCTAGCTGCATGAGCTCGTGCCACGCAGTGCGGGGTGCACACATGAAGTGTGCATCAGACTTAGGAAGCCAAAGTTCTGTTTTGAACCCTTCATGCATGTAATAATAATAAAATTGTTGACCCCTTCATCCCAAGCATGCATCATAGATGTAGATCTAGATCCTGCGGTAATGTGCACATTTAAGTGCTAGTGACCAAATTGACAATGGGACGCTGAGGACGATTTCGATTCGTCCAAGTACATGCAGGAGTGCCTCGTCATCTGGTGGATGCTAACAAACCTCGCTTCCCTAGGGCTCAGCCCAGAAGAGCAGTGTTAATTTTGCACGCTCATGACGACCTCGTTTTCTGCGTTGTTACTCAGGCGATATTATTGGTGAGAGCTCGATAGTTTACAAGCAGTACAAGTGATTCAGAGGCCTGATTGTGTGAAGCCCTAAGCCTCAAGCTCCTCGTGGCGGTGTGCACCCGATCAAGCATTTGATCTTTCCATTGCCAGAGCGCAAGACTCTCGTGCATTGCCGAAGGCAACACCAAGGAGTTCGGGCACCTCTCCAAGACAATATGTTTGTGTTTCACAAGACAAAGATCAGCGCAGAATAAAGTCATCTGTCATGCTTTGTCACTACCACTGCGCAAGCCTGGTCTCACGCCGAGCTATCTCTGGCGCGGGTCTCTGCGCGGCCTCGGCTGCAGCACGGCGAATGGGTTGGCGCTCTGCACATTGCCATAGGCATTCTGCTGCGGCTGTTGCGCGGGGTACTGTGCGGGTGCCTGATACTGCTGAGCACCTGATCACCAACACACAAACTCATCAGCAACCCCATCATGCTCAACACAAAGTCATATTACAACCGCTGCTCCCCACAATTTCTGGAGAAGTTTGCAGCGCAGTTTGCAACGCAGACACGCGGTAGAATTTATGCAGTATTTTAGATAAAGCATTAATAATATCAATTCTCAACACAAGCTTGTGTATCTTTCTCATAAGTTATGCAACAACAAAAACACATGCTCGCACCTGCGTATGCGCCGCCTTGTGGGGCAGCAGCGGCGTAGGGCCGCGGCGGCTGCTGCTGGTACTGCCCGGCCGGCGCAGCATAGCCGCCACCGCCGCCAATCGGCTGGTAGGAGGCGGCCCCCGGCGGCTGCCCGTACGGGGCCGCGTACTGCGGCCGTAGAACCCTCGGGGCCCCGTAGCGCTGCTGCTGCGGTGGTGGCCCCCTGTACTGCTGCGGGGGCGCTGCGTACTGCTGCGGGGGCGCTGCATAGGGCTGCATTGGGGGCGGCGCTCCGTACTGCGGCCGGCTCGGCGCGTATTGCTGGGGCGGCGGCTGCTGCTGCGGCGGCGCGTAGCTAGACGCATAGGGGTTCAGCCCTCTGCCTTGCCTGCACACACCAATGCTCTTCAGTGAGCGTTTGTCTTTCCCCAGAGTTTCTTTTAAGCAGCTTTGCGCTGACAAAGATGGACTCTTGTGCTCTCAAGCGCTGCAGGCACTGAATTTTTTTCAGCTGAAGTCACAACAACGACTTTGCTCCAAGCAGCTGCTTAGAAGCAGCAATGGGAAGTCTTTCTCGAGTTCAAGGAATGAAGAATTGAGTTTGGAGGGAGGAACGCACCCATGGGAAGGTGGAGGCTGGTAGGGCTGCCCGTAAGCGCCGTTTGCATGGGGCGTGGGTGCATAGCCGGGGGCCGGCGCATAGGCCTGCCCGTATGGTCCGCTGGGGGGGCCTGCAGGTGCTGGGTAGTGGCCGGGCTGAGGCGGGGGCATCCCCATCCCTCCAGCCTGCAAGCAAGCAGAGCACGTCAGCAAAAACAACGATTTTGTCAATGGTAACAACGTTAAAAAGGGCTCTGACAGGCACCTGCTGACAAGTCAGCATGCACATATAATGGCTGCCATTGATTGCTCCCATCAAATACTTAAGGATGCTGCGTTGTTAATGACCCTTTGATGATGCAAATCGCAGGCTTGTCGGGATGCTGTCCACAACGCAGACAGCACTCCAGCCACATTCTCCTGCCATTGGTAGTCTTGACCAAGGGCAAGGAGAGGACAGCTGCTGGCCACCTGCATGGTGTGATGGAGCATGCGGTAGCCTGCATCGGAGATGGGCCCTGCCGGGGGATTGTAGCCTCCCGGGCCGCGGCCGCCGCCGCCGCCGCCGCGCCCGCCGCCGCGCCCGCGTGTATCCTCGTGCCACAGCGGCTTTGGTGGTTGTAAGTCTGCCTCCGTCACCGCTGGCTCCTGGCGCACACACATCAGAGGCATCAGCCAGACGTTGCTACCAGTAACATGCCCTCGCCCACTACCTGTTGACCTTTGCGCAAGCCTCAAGGCACATTCTCAGCAGTCGTCTTGGCTCACTGTACAGATCTTGCCTCGTCTCACTCAGTCTTTCAGCGAGACCATCAGTATCTTCCCCACTTCTATCTCACTCCGCCACCAAAGCATCCTCCTCTGCTGATCCCCAGGGGCCACCCTCATGCGCAGCCTAAGCAATACCTGTGTCGTCTGCATGCACTGAGAAGCAGAGAGAGGCTGATAGGCGCACCTCAAAGCCCTGGTCTGCCAGGGGCCGCGCCACATGCTGCTGGTGGGGCGGGTTGACGTACAGTGCGGTGCAGGTTGCGTTGGAGGTGATGTCATCGCCCAGGGTCCGGAAGGGGGACGCCACCACCGCCGCACACACCTCCCCCTCCGGTGGCACCAGCGCGCCGCTCATGCCTCCTGCCGCGCAACACAAATTGAAAACAATTCACGCTCTTCCCACGGTATTATGTAATGGTCAGATATGGTCGAGCGCATATACAACTGGGCAAGGGCGGACCCAACAATTCATCTGGCAATGGCTGCTGGAAGATGTTGGTGGGGCAGACTTCTTTGCACATAGCACAACCTGGTAGTGCTGGTATTAATAGTTAAATCCCTGACTTGAGACACCCATGCATAGATGGACGAGCGCTAAAACGCTGAGCCAACCACATCCAAGAAAAGCAGGGGGTAGTAGCATAGTAGTCTTCAGGAACCCCTGAGGGAATGCAACCCCTAAACGAAACCCCAAATGGAATATTAGTAATCCATGAGAAAGGCAGGATATGGGTGGCTGACCGGTTAGCTTGGGGTCGATGATGCGCTGGATGTTGCGGCGCTCCTGCGCGCTCGCCACGGCGGCGGCCAGGTCGGCCAGCTCAAAGATGTCCGGCGCTATCGGGTGCGCTGATGACACATACAACAAATCGATGCGCCGGCCGTTGCGCCGTTGCTCCTCCTCTGTCAGGCTCCCCTCCACCGCAGCCTGGATGAAAACCAACGAAGCTGACTATAAGTCTCAGAGGGAATGTGCAGGGCAGTGCGAGCGCCAGGTAGGGAGGACCAGCTGGCTTCGTGGCTTGTATAGCAAAGGAGAAAGCGCATTTGTATACATGACAGCCAGCTTGGCTCTCATGAGCCCTGTGCTTTCTTGCCAGGGCTCATGAGAGGACCATCAAGAGAAAGGCAGGATTGAGATAAGGTGTAGACCCCACTGCACAAATCCAGGCTTAAGCTGACCGTTCTCTGATGGTACAATTAAGACGTACCACACGGCAGGAAAAGCCAGGCACACGTCACATGCAAAAGATGCAGGCGCGTGGAGAGTGAGGCGCGCACCACGGCGGCGAGCAGGCGCTCCTCGTCGATGAAGGGCAGCAGGGCGACACCCTGCCAGGCAAAGCGCTTGCCGTTCATGTCCACCGCGAAATCGTTCGGGTAGAAGTCCAGGATGGGCGACGCCGGATCTACAAACAGCTCCTGCCAGAGCCAACACATCAGCTCAACTCGCTCACACCATGCTTGCATCATCCTGACCCTGGCATGCTGCACTTTGGCAGCAGCTGCAGGGGCATAGGCACCATGATAGCACAGATGTGGAGGTCACTGTCCACAATGCAGGAAGCCAAAGAGCCCACTCCTGAATCTTAACCATACTTGGTTTGAAAGGCAGGTGGTGAGGGCACCAGGGAGAAAGAGGCAATGCAACTGGCCTGGGGCATGCCAGAAACACAACTTCTCATTCCTGGGAGCCGTGGTGAATACATTGGAGGGCGTGCCTGGTATCGCTCAGGGAGGCAGTGGCGGGAGGCGGCGGGCAGCACGCCCATCAGCTGATTGAAGGGCTTGAACGGCGTCCCAACGCTGAAAGACACATCCATGCTGGACAGGTCTGTCAGGTCTGACGCAAACGGCGCGTAGTGGTACGGATAGAACCACGTCCACGAGGCCACGCCTGTCATGGCAGCCACATCATTGTTGCGTCAGCAGCTTCCTCCTACCTAGGAAATGTCCTGGATGATGTTAGCACCTCCTTCTTATCACAGAAGTTGTTCTGGGTGATAAGTGTTCCAGGATTTCTGGGCAATGATGCAGTCATATCTGGCATGGGGCATCTCTTGGCCAGGAGCCATCAGAGACAAGTAACAATGCAGCCCGCCAGGAGATACATCATCTAGCTTGGAAAAATCCCAGGCATCTTGGAATTGGGATTGACATGGCTGGGCAGGGTCTTTTCATGTTCACCAACTCTCTATGTTCCAGCATTTCCCAGGTGGTGGCAAGGGTTAGGTGAGTGGATGAGTCAGCGTGCTGGCGCACCGTCGTAGTAGTAGCGCATGACCCAGCAGAGGCCGCGCACATATTCACGCACCATCCCCCTCACCATCTCCGCCTGCTCCGGCCCCTCCACGCCCGTCTTCGCCTGCGCAGAACCCATCACGGAATTTTTTTTATCTATTAGAAAGTTCTCACCCCAAACAAATGA